ATTTATTGAAAAGAAACTTAGAGAACTCAAAAGCGCATAAGCAGCCGTATCCAAAATGAAATTATAAAATGTTGTGGCGAAGAAATCTTGGATATAGTTTTAAGTCGCGTCAGGCAAAGTCAGTATTACAGTATTATATTTGACGAAACTACAGACATTAGCCATGGGCCAGGACTTGTGGAGTGCTACTCAAATTTTGTTGAAGATACAATGGAGCCCAAACTCACAGGTCAAATTCTTGCTCAAACAGACAAGTATTTCATTAAAACCAATAACCTAGACTCAAAACTATGTGTGGGCATTGCTACTGATACGTGTAACCTAATGTTAGGTGCTGTAATGGAATTGCAAAAATGTTTGCCAAATGCTCCAAAAATCCCATGCGCAAATCATGCCTTGAATCTTTCGATTTCAAAAAGCAGCAGTTTTCAGAAAGAAATACTGTAGGTATAATGAAGGAAGTAATTGCGTTCTTCAAAGCACCCGCTAAAAGAAATACAGTATTAAAAAGAAAACTAGACGGATATCAAATTCATAGCATGTGCGAAACACGATGGACCGAGAGACATGATTCTGTGCTCCAATTTGAAAGCAAATTCGAGAAAATTGTAGAGGTACTAAATATTATATCAAATTGGAATTGGCCACCCTGAATATGTATGTATGCAAAGTACTTCCCATGCATATAATATGTTTTTTTTTTATTTTCACGTGTTGTGGAAAGCGTTAATCAGCGTAACTGATTAAAAGATTATTTATTAGATTGTTTTATTCTGAAAGGAGCTGTGTCAATGTATAATTGACCAATATTTTCGGTGAAGCTGTAGCACCTTTCCGTTAAAAATGTTTCAGGTTTCTTATATATGATTTCACTTAGAGGTGTTAGTTTCACAATATACGATACTTAGACAAAGCCAAGAGTAAGTTAAAAGTATTCTTTGGATTGAGTAGAATTAGCAGTGTTGTCAGCCTTAGCATTATCGCAACTCGTACGAGCCAAAGCAAGGTTTCCTATTGTTATTGTTTAAAATAACAGAAAGACTTGAAATGTCATTATAATGTTTAAAAACCTTCTAGACACATTTAAATCAACTTTGAATATAAAAAAACTCATCACATTGCCTTCTCCATAACAATGGCTAATAGACCAGCATTTAATCAAATTACGCCTGATAATATAGATGAGCCTTTGAAAGAAGTAAATGAAATTAAATATTTGGGGGTTGTTGTTGATCAGCACTTGAAGTTGGACCAACATGTACTGTACTTGAGAAAAAAAATAGATTTTTCATCCATAAATTCTACACTCTTCGTAATATACTGAACCTTAAACTAATATTGATGATTTGCAAAGCACTTCAGGTGCCCCTTTTGGTATATGGCATATTTGTGTGGGATGTACGGTTCAAATCTTGGGCAGTTAAAAGTGGTGCAAAACCATATAGTAAGGAATATTCTAAAGAAAAAACCTGGATTATATATCACTATGCAAGAAATTAACAATATTAAAATCCCATGAATATATCCTTGCAGTATGTAGTTTTGAACATGCAAATAAGAAAATAAATACAAATTATGTGTCCCATAATTATATCTTGCACCTTATTTTTTTCAATTTGATTCCTTCTAATATCAGGAATATTGAAAATAATAAAAAGTTTAATGTTTCGTTTAAAATGATCTGTTGGGAAAATCGTGAACAATTTATGCGTTTATTTTAAGTTGCTTTGAGGTAGAATGATCTGTCTATTTGTTTCTTTTCTTTTTTTGTGATAAAATTGTAATACGCTTTTTCTGATGTTCTAATGTTTACGTAAATACCCAACAGGGATTGGGTGGTGGCACTAAATTCGAACCAATGACGACGCAGAACGAATAGCGGTACCGGCGCACTACACGCTGCGGGCTAACGAGCGTCAGCATCAATTCAGTTGGCGGTTGGCGTTTGGGGAGCGTGGTCCGTCGAGCCCTCCGTGCAACGCTCTGCTTCTGTTCCACTCGTTGTGTGTCGGGAAGTCTTTGTCGGCGATTTTCCGCAGTGTCGCCGTGGTGTGAGTGATTTTGTGGTAATTGTGTGTGAAAATGTGTTGTGGTTGTTCATAAAAGGCGATTGGAGTATTTCACGTTGGATATTGAGCATTCTTGCGATCTTCGTGGGCTGAATGTCTTCAGAGCAGACTAGGTCAGTTAAACATAGTCATCTCTGTGTTAGCTCTGGGCTCGTAATGTCAAGATCGACTTATCTTGTAGAAGTCAAAAGTTAAACGTTTTCATGTTAGAAACCTTTAAAGTTCTGAGAAACCTTAAAAATATCGATCTTCAATGCTTTAAAACGCGAGTTAAAATTATCGCTAGTTGCCATGCGTCTAAGTTAAATTTCGCACCTTTTCCTTCAAGGCTCCGAGGAGTATTTTAAGATTAGTATATCTTAAAGTATTATTACTTAATTGTTAGCAACCCGAGGCGCTAATGCGTATTCAAATGCGCGTTATTATTATTAACAATGAAATAGCAGCATTTCAAAAATATGCCAAGTAGGAGAAGGTTTGAAGATTAATTGAGTAACATGAGAGAACACTTTTAGGGTTTTTCAGATATTCAGTCACTTATAACTCGAAAACGACCATTTTAGAGTGAAACTATTTTTACTCACAATGATCTAAAGAATCTAAAAACACTTTGTACGGGCCAAAAGATGTTTTTTGTAGTTTGTACTTGTTTACACTTTGCAGCGAGTTACCTCCCGGCAACCTCATGATCCATTCAAAAATCGAGATGGAATATTTACCCCACGAATTTTTTCGCCTCGTCTACAGTAAATATAAATACAATAATAAGTAGCACACTATCATGTACAAAAACTTGCAAGAGAGTGCGATTAATACACGTAAATATCGATTGTATTACGTGTTCATATTCTCTCGTATATAAAGTTGTTTACAATTTTTTGTAAGAAATAAATACCTCCATACAATCGATATTTTTAAGAGGATGAATCTTGAAGATTTGCCATCCATTGCACTATATTCATGCTTGCATCCACTACACAGCAGCAAAAGTGTGAACTAAGGAAAGGGAGTTCTTTGCCAAAGTCATATAGGACTTTGTTTATTATTGGCAACGAGCCCAAAATCCCAGGTCTTTATTTTCAAATGTTCTGGCAATATGATACATCACTCTTTAATTCTTTGAGTGGAACTTTTGAGGTTGAAGTATGTTCATTAAAAAATCAAGGACTAATTCTTGCCCTTAAATCGTTTTCGTTTCGAAAGTACAGGGTGAATAAGAATGTTGAAGAAGTAACGTGTCGCAAGTGTAGGCCGATAAATACTTACAATCGTATTATACAGGGTGTCCCAGAAATAACACGCCATAGTGACATGGAGCTAGATTGGCTTCAGATCAATCAGATAAAATCAACATGATGTAAACGTTTTCTATTTTTGGAGATATTGCCACTTTAAAGTCTTTCTTATGACACGTATGTAGCACTAAACACTAAATTAATCCTGCGCATGCGGTGCGCAGGTACCACCTCTGTTTCTCGTGGTGACATAATGCTACCACCGAACAATGAATGTGAAAGCGAGATAGTCAATGACATGTTTAGGTCGTATCATTCCCTAGTGATTTGGTTACAAAAGACTGCTGCACTTATCTTTTATGTGCAGAATTTCGCGAGTATTACGACTTCAGTGATAAAACTTGGGGTTATTTAATTGTTAGTAGAAAGAACCTACAAATGTTATACTATTATTAAAAGAGCATTATACTGAAACAAAATGTAACAATTTTTTTTTTAGCATACCGTGCTAGTTTTCAATGAAATGTATACTCGGTTATCTCAACCTACTATTAATGGTAGCTTAGGAGAAAACCATAAGTTAGAAGTTCTTTATAGTAATAACTGTCAAAAAGGGAGCAAAAAATAGTGATGAAAAAATATTTCGAAAACTAGAAAGCTTTTACTAAGGTCATGTTGATTATTGATTTTACCTGATTGATCTGAAGCCAATCTAGCTTCCATGTCACTCTGGTGAGTTATTTCTGTTATTTCTATTTGCGCTGTCACACGATTGTAACGGTTATCTCACGGAAGATCTGCTTTAGTAGACCTTATGCGATATTAGGATAATTAATAAACAATAATACAAAAGAGTATGTAATAAAAAATAAGCTACAAAATCCCAAAAATATTTTTTTTCCTTATGGAACTACCTATCTTTATAATTTATAAATATTCGGAAATGTTCGTTTTTCTTTTGCAAAAATGGTTCATAAGGACAAGGATACAAATACAGGAAAATAAAGTGATTATTTATCGTCTTACGACAATTTTTCATTTTCATATTTTGATAACTTATTGGCAGTGGCTCATCGTTGGTAACTACGACCTCCACGAACGTGCAAGGGGTATTTTCCATGTGCGTGCGAATCAGCTTTTATAAGAGATGCTAATATATTATACTGAACTATTTTATTTGTACAGGGTGTCCCAGAAATAACACTCCAGAGTGACACGGGTGGTAGATCGATCAGATAAAATCAATATGACCTTAGCAGAAGCTTTCTAGTTTTCGAGATATTTCCACTTTTAAGTTTTTTCAAAAAATCCCTACTTTTTGCTTTGTTATGGCTATAAGCTTGTATAGCATGCGGAAACGCTCGATATACTAATTGTACTACCAGACTGTCCTACCCAAAGTGTCAGAGTGATAGTTTTAATAACATAGTACTTGTATACTCATGCTGTTTCTACTTGTTCCAGGGACTAGGGCAGTTTGCTGAAATGTAAGTGCATTTAAGGTTTCCTTATTGGTGTCGGATTTACAGGATACCACGACCGAGAGCTGCGGGGTTGTAAAACTTTCTGATTGACGACTGCCCTCGCACAGACAGGGCGCCCCATTTAGATAGTTAGGAATAACTGAGAAAAGCCGTCAGTTCAGTAGAAAAGTCAGGAAACATTATTATGTTATGTTATTACAAAACGCTATCACACGATTGTAAACTTTGAAAGTAGAGAGAAACTCTAAATAAGTGGTCAGTAGTAGCGAGAAGCGCATGCGGGGGTACATTCGAGGTAAATGTGTTTTCATCAACAGGATTTCCGTGTAATATATTTTGACAATTTATCGACATTTTTTTTCGTACTGCGAGACGTGCAAGCGATATTTTCCATGCGCGTGCGAACCAGGTTTTATAACAGGAGTCAATATAATATTAAAGCGAACTATTGTATGTATATCCATTTGTTCAACCAGATATTCGAAAACTTGAGTACAATACAATGGAAGCAATTAAACTTCGAAAATAATACCAGCGTAACCTTCTTTTTTTTAGATAGAAGAAAGCTTTATAGCCGTTCGCATGCGGAGACGCTTTTTCTTCCCAAACTGTGAGAGTGGGAGTTGTAATAACGTAGTACTGCTGTTAATACTTTTTACAGAGACTATAGAAGTTGCTGAAATGAAAGTGAATTTATGATTTTCTTTGCCCTGACATGGTACCCCTTTTTGGTTGGGCATTCTGCGAGGGATACAGTCAACTCTTATCATTAGCGATAAATATGTTTTTCTATTTTATACAGGACTTCTATGTTTTAGGTTTTCTCGTAAATTTGTCTAAAGTACTATTAGGCTTGGTTATTGCCTTCAATTAGCAAAGCTGTGATAAACTTCAACGATTGCACAGTGCAAAAGCCTGCCAAGAAGAGGGAAAAGTGAAGGAAGGAATTCCTCTGGGTCCATGGCCGAGCTGTTAAACAGGGATCTAGGATGTAAAAGAACATTTCTAGGTATTAATATGTTGTTAATGTAAGTACATACAAGTATGGTGACAAGATACACTCCATCTACTGTATTAAAAACAATTATTACTTTTTACGAGCAATGTGTGAAGAAATGTTACGCGAGACATATGGTTAATCATTTTAGGAGAGTCTTGGAAAACGCATGGCTGACGTAAAATCGTCCAGTGTTTCTGAGGGATGAGATATGTGAAAAGTTCAGGTTTCATAAGTGTGTCCGTCGATGCTAAGTAACTAGATAAGAAGGTAGTAGTAGCAGTAGTAGTAGTTCTGGTAATACTTAGCAGATAGTAGGGCTAGTAGTAGATTATTCGGCCAGCATGCAAGGTGGTTTGTAAAACTTGGATACTCCCTCCATTTTGTGGCCCCGCGATGGTCTCCAAAACTATATTTATTATTATACGCTTTTTAATTATATTTGATATTCACTATTTCTATTTTACTATCAACAGCTGAATAAAACACCTTTATTAATTGAGAAAATATATTTACAAGTAAAATGGTTCTTATTCTTAGGTATTTCATAGGTATGTTTTCTATGACTATTTATGCCTTAAAATCGTAGCGCAAGTGTTATTCTTAGTTTGTTTCAGCTTTTAGGAGAGAGTGAGAACATTCCGTATTTCAGGAAGCGCGATGATAAATATTGATGATAATAATGTATTCATTGTAATTTTAATTTTAGCTCACATTTGGTATTTACTTTCTTTAAGGTGCATATTTTATGAACTTATCTATTTTTAGCTAAGATGTGATTGCATATTTCTTATTTTTACGTATTTTACAGAATTGCTGTCCTAAAACTTTCAGGTTTTCTTTCAGAATCATAGCCCAAATATTTTTATCGAGCTTTGTAGGGGGAAACTCCAAATTTCAGGAATGGTACAAGTTATAGACACTCCCGAGCGTAATAAACGTGATATAATGAATATTGATGATAATGGCAGCTGTCCCAAAAAATGTTCTGCCTAGATAGCTGGATGAATGTTTCATGGGCATACACGAGTAGAGTGAATAGGAACAATAAAATTATGTTAAGAATGATTAAAGCCCCCGATTTATACAGCAATATATGAAGACAGCAATCAAACGAACATCACAATTTTTACAGGGTAAGCATTGGAGAGTACGGCATCAAGAAGGTTGGTTTTGAACTTCACGAACCACTGAAGCATATGTAAAACCGTTGAGGATCTTGGAAACGTTCCCAAGAAATATATTTTCGAAACTTACCCTAAGAAGGCCAAACGCTTCCCACTCAAAGCTGTACTTAAATTTATGCTATTTTCCATGAAATACAGATTCAGTCTTCTTGATGTTTCAAAAGAAGGTGTTATTTAAATGTACTTATGTGTCTTTGCAGATAAATGTGTGGATAATAGTAGCATGGTCTACTGTCAATATAGGTATTGATGAAATTTTACGAAATACGAGTATTTGCAGCCAGATTCCAAGCAAAAGCTTCTAAAAACGTTCACGATTTCCATACGTTTGAAGAAATTCAGGGACATATTTGGGAAACTAACATAATGACGCCAAAAGTTATATTTCTTCACGCCCTTGAAGATGATTGCAGGCTGATACATGCAGAACGAGCATCAATTGAATTGATAATTGAAATGATGAAGAGGTATTTTTACATAATCTTGAGCTTATTTATTCTTCATGATTCACTGACGTCTTACCCGATAAGTCAAGCTTATCAGGAAATACAGGGTATTCGAAAAATAGAGAGATATTTCAGATGGTGATTCCTTGTTAAAAAATATGAAAAAATTTAATAATTTTTCTATTAATACCTCAAAAAGCATTTACTCGATTCTATTGAAATTTGACAGTGTTATTTGCTGTATCAAGAGGCTCATTTAGCCCTCAATAGTTAAAAATTATTAGGTCCAGTGGCGTTCCGGGGGCACCTTAGCGAATATTATTGGCAAACAAATGTACGCCACTGCCCTTTTGTAACTGTAATATTTGTTGCTTGATTAAGCATCTAAAAATACAACTTCCTTGCCTTCCGTCTATTTTTTTCGTATCTCACTTCGTTTTCGAGAACAAAGTATAAATCGTTTTATTGCATGTCACTGGAATTTTTATAAATAATTGTAACAAGTAAACACCCACTAAGTTTTTTCGTTCCTGTCAATACTTTCGATTGAATCCCAAAAAAGACGTTTTCTCATTCTTTGTTGTCAAATAAAGTTTTCCGAAAAAATTCATGTACCCATTTTATGCGTCCATGTTTTAAATACCCCCTTGAACAACTTGCACCAATAAAACCAGACCTTACAAATATTTCGGTCTAGACTAAATAAAGATTTTTTTCAACACACATACGGTTTCGATTGGTCAGAGAACTATGTGGGATTATCATGGGTAATAATCATGAGTGCATCTAATTTTTCTGAAAAAAAAGCGAATTAACACGTTGCTAAGTAATATTCTACAAGAAACACCAGTGCTAGTGTCAACAAAAATCCGAGTTGAAGACGAGGAGTTTTTCAACTGCACGAATTTTTTTGTTAAAAAAATATTACTTTGCATTGTTTTTTCGATTTTTTTCACAGGAAAAAATTAGATGCCCGAATGGCATTTGACAAGACTATTTCATGAGTAGCACAGATTATTCTGCATACACATTACTTACAAAACATACTACCATTGTTTAGCGTCATTTTCTGGTGTCCTAGGGAAAAAATAAAAATGCTCATATTTTAGTTTGTGATACAATTTGCATTCATAAATAAGATTTCTCCGATTACAAAACGGTTCTTGCTCAAAATGTAGCCCTCGTATAAACCGTTACTTCAATGCTACTTTTTTTAGGTTAAGAACTGTGGCATGCTGGCGATTTTCGATTGTGCAAATGAACCCAGAATTACGGAACGACTTGATTTTTCTTCACCTGATAGAATTGATCTTAGCAGTGGCGGTTGAGGTTTTCTAGGGGTTTTCCTCGCCCGAGTGCGAATGCAGTCACTAAGAAACCACGTTCCCCTAATGAATTGTAGATAAAATGAAAATTGTACTTATCCTATTAATGATCATGTAATTTTAGATCAAATAGTCATTAAATATATTTATATAATAAATTTGTTTTTTTTTGACTTGAGAGAAGTCCCGTATGCTTAGGCAAAAAAGTATTTTATCCTATACAAAACCATATATAAAACTGGGAATTTATAAAAGTGTTTAGAGTCATAACGTTCTGTCGTATAGAAGCCGGGTCTGCTCTGTATGGGAATTCATAGCACGGGTTCACAAAAAATTCATTCAGCGATAGAAATGAACTTGCAGAAGATTTCGATACTTGTCATTACTCATCGAATAAAAACACTTTGAACTTGTAAAACTGTCTGGTATTTGCAAGTAATTTGGTCACAACGCTGTGGCAACACTGTTGATGAACTAAGGCTATGTGGGGCTATGTGAGTCAGTAAGTCAGTATTAGTGATGGGTAATCAATACTTTCGAATAGATATCAATACTTTATCTGTAAGTATCCCATACTGAGTATGCAATACCGATACCAAGTATCGGCTCGATTAATTGCCGTTAGTATCCGTTAATTTAATACTGCTAGTGTGAAATAATAATAATGAATAATAATAATCATGTTCGTGTCTTTGGTCTCCTTTAAGTAGGTATCATCGAGTATAGACTAGAAATTAGAAATGACTGATGAGTAGTGATGACTGATGAGCGATACCCTGAATTTTAAATTACATTGCTATAGTTGTTATTGTTACAATATTGGTTAAAAATAAAAAATAAATTCTGGGCTTTTGTAACCAGAAATTAATTTCAGCCTTTTGCTTCAGTTAAGTGTTAGAAATCAAAATGAAACACTTTAATTCCCACAAGTTCGCCCAATTGACAACCGGAACGTGCAACAACCCAAAAATCGTATTCAAATTACCAATCTCGTAAGACTGCCTTAGTTTTTTTATCCTTTCGGTTCCCAATACCTAAGATCGAATCTATATCGAATATCGATATCGACATCTACATAAACGTGACGGTACACATCAACATCCTTATCTTAACGAGTTCTGGGAATCCCACGTGTCGGCCTCGACGTTGCGTTGAGAAGAACTGCTGGGTTATGTCATATCAAATAGTATAGCTTACATATTTACATAAGTTTAGAAGTGCTTATTGTATTATATAATATATTCTCTTTTCCAAAATATAATAAAATGTGAGTGATAAAAGAAGAAGTGGTGTTTGGTTGTATTTCAATGCAATTATTTCAAATAAAGCAAAAATGTCTTATCCTATAAAGGTGGTGCAACCTGCAATTTGAGGAAACGCATTTGAAGGCGAAGCATTTTGCGGTAATAACGCAAGATCTTCCGTCTCCTTCGCCTTTAAGAACATCTGCGGAGTTGGAGGAAATACCCGGACCATCAACTTCTTCTACACCTTGGAAGTCAGAAGTCACCCCAGGAAGTTCTGCTTATGACGCCACAAAAAAATTGATAAGGGCAAAAGACGAATGCCTTTTCCCTTATCAAAACAATCTAAAATATCGCGGCCAATGTCTATTCCTCGTACTAAGAACCTGTGTATAAAAGTTTTAAACATCATTATAAAAGACATCCAGCCATTTACAATTGTTGAAGATGAAGGGTTGAGAGAATTGTTAGAAGAGTTTGATCCTGCTTATAAACTTTTTTTATACTCCAACTACCACGAAGGCCTCAGACCTAAACACCCATTAGGTACAGTGGGGCTATGTTTGAATATGTTCGATGCGAAATTACGGACCGACTGTTATTGTGTCAAGAAGTTTAAGGCAACCATTTCCAGCATCTTCTAAACTGAATTCAAGTATTTATTCGAATTATCAAGTTAAATGTCAATATATTCACGTGATTATTAAATGTACCACCATTTTGTAGTAGGTAAAGGTATTGACTTTATATTCTAGGGTTATAAAGTACTCGTCAAGAGCTTCAACCCCCGTGTTCATATAATTTTTTTCCAAGATGGCGCCCAGCGGCCATCTTGACATTTTCATCTATCAATTTTACTCCACAATATGGTATCCACGCAGCAATTTCATTACCTCAAGTTTTAATTTTTTGAATTGATCCGTTCAAAAAATCAAAGGGGAGGGGGACATTCAAGAAAAGCACTGTATATACTTCTTGGATTTGACAGCTAAGAGACCACATACAACGTTGGAAATACCTACTAGCAAGAGCTAGCTCAACGCGAACTTTTGAGGAAGGTGAGGAAATACATAAGTCGCACAAACTTTTATGGGTTTCTTTATTATTTTTTCTCTCATTTATACCGAAATGTGTGATAAACAACAACTAGACTGGTAAAATAATAGAAGCAGTACAGTGGTTTTTATTTATTTTTCATTTCCAATAACAACTGCTGCAATAGTGCATTAGTCTTCCGCCGCTCTGCAGTTTCTTTAACCATTATGTTCCTTATCTCAATTACTTCTTGTTTGATACTGGCTACATGTCCTGTCAACTCCTCTACACGATGGTTGAGCTCATCGGATAACTGCGCGAACTCCTGAAAGGCTTCTTCCGTTATAGCGCCCCGGGGTGCTGCAACAACATCTAATTAGTTTCAACTTTCAAAGTCTCGTCCGCACGAGTTACAAATGCTATAATTCCTTTCCATTTGGTTTCTAGAAAAACCGGCCCATTGTGCTTATCTTGAAAATTAGACTGAGCTTTGCAACATTCGAATCAATGAAGCATTCCAAGTTAAGGCCAACAAATGTCATATGTTGATAAGGCAACGTTGAAAAAAATATTGCCTCAATGCGTCTACGTCTACGTCTACCCCAAACCCAAAACTTAGTGACTGATCAGCGCTCGACATATAGTCTGAACTGAACCATTATAGTATATATTATATTGAAAATCATTCCGAATATACATAAACATGATTCGACCATACAGGGAAAACAAAATTTGACTTCTTGTGTGTACGAGAGAGAAGCGAATGTCATTACCACATTGCCTTAGGAAGGGGTGACGCTGGAGATCGTGCAATCTGCCGCGTTGCCCATATGTTCCACCAGAAAAGGTGGAGGCTTCTACAATAGGTTAAGTTGCAATCAAACCCAAGAAGAAAGTCTGTACGAATATTTTGTTCTCATTTTGATTAGAATTATCTATTTCAATTTTGATGTGACTTATTGTTTTGGTTTACTTATTTTTGATTTGCACCGATGGTGAAGCCATTTTGAAGCACGACGACACTCTCTCACGAGCGCTAGATGGGTACTGGCCAAAATCGCTCATCTATTATCATGGAGGTGGAAACCTTGCTTTGGTATGTAGGAGATGCGGTGTTGCCAAACCAACCAATAATGCAGAATTTCAAAAATGTGTAAGCTGAAAATAAAACCAATATTTGGGCGTAGACAATAAACCAATGCATATTTTCAGCATGCATCTTAATTCAAGGAATTGGTGTAACATATTTCTTTCTAACATATGTATCTATACACACTTCTCTCTCATACACATTAAACTCAAGCCGCTAGACAAGTTTGGTTTTCAGTGTATGGTTATACTTTCACTACCACTCTGAAACAACTAGCTTTGTACAATACTTTTTAGCCCAAATGCTTAACGTCTTTTAACACTTTTTACATGGTTGGTTCAACCCGTTCAATTTAACTACGAATAACAGCTGACTGACTGGTAGCAACATTAAAAGTAACCCATATCATCAAGACAGTTTCCATATGGAATCAAAACACATAAAAAGAATATGGTTACTAATGGTCATGACTACATTTTAAGTCAGATGAGAAAAGGATTAAGTTTTAATTGGTATTACCAACAGTGCCTGACTTATCAGTATCCTCACCTCAAATAGACAATAATTACTATTGATTGAAAATGTGACCAAAGCAATGAACAAAATATGTTTACAGATAGACACAAATAAAAAAGGTCATTGTGCCCTTCAGACTTCATAAACTTTTTTTAATCATGCCTTGCAACACTGAATAAATACTATCTACATGAATTTCATAATATGTATACAGGGTGTCCGCAAAGTTGGGGTTTTCCTTTACACGACGTGTAGATCTTGAAAACATAAGCAATTTTTCTTAGTACCATATACACCAATGTCTTAAGGGAACCGAGATAAAGGGCTCTGCAACATCAAAAATATCTGAATAGCGTCCTGTAGCCGCGACCCGGGATATCACCGATTGGTACAAGGTCTCAACCCGACGGCAGAACTGGGTCGGGGTCAGTGTGTCAGGTCAGTATGCAACCTTCAACCGACGGTTACGGTCACGCGTGTAGAGGTAAACGAACCCATATAATCGATTGCGTTTCAAAAAACAACAAGCACTAGAGACGGGGCTAGAGAAGTGCAAGTATCAAAAACTAAAGTGTGGCAAACGCTGCGTGAAGAGGGGCTGTATCCGTTTCACGTCCAACGTGTACAAGCCCTTCAACCTGACGATTTTCCAGCAAGAGTGCGGTTTTGTGAGTGGTTGTTGCATCAACATGACAATAATCCGGACTTTTTGTAGTGCATATTGGTGACAGACGAATCTACGTTCACGCGTAATGGGGTGAATAACTTTCGCAACACTCATGTTTGGTCATTACGCAACATTTTGCCTTCCTTGTTTGCCTGCGTCTGCTCGGTAGCGCATCAGCTGATTTCATTTTCTGTTGGAGCGGTATGATTTCGGGCAGAGACGTACTTAGCCCTTCTCGTCAACTGGAGAGTGAGTACTTTTTCCTTAATTTTTTTTTACTTGGTCGCCCTCGTTTCACTACACATTACCTTTGTTATTTCAAGGGTAGTTGTTTCTGAAAAGGAAAACCCCAACTTTGCGGACACCCTGTATTGTGTTACTTACATTCTAGGTCACGTTCAGACTCTTGAACACTCTCCATTAAATGCTCCTCCTCCATTTCTGGAACTGTGTCCTGCAATATAATGACGTTTTATCATATACAATGTGGCCATTCAACATTTTTAGATTGAGTGTTCTCGTCATTATTCAACCAAATTGGAATGTCAAGGCATGCTCATTTTAATCATCATCATCATCATCTTAAAACCTGCTGTAAGTTATCACATAGCCATTTAACTTTTAGGGCCTTACGTGGCGCGGCATATTACACGATTTAGTTTAGAAAAGAAGAGGAATGTCAGCTTGGAATTCAAAGGTTTTCTGATGTCAAATTGCTTATTTGTCAAATTTTCTCTCTACATGATGATTGCCAGTTATCTACAGAGGGTCAGAGCCTGACCTTAAACTGATATAATAATAATAATAATAATTAAATGTCTTTTTTTAAAGGGCTTGAAGCTATTCTGCCACTGAACCCTTGTTAATGTTTAATAATTAGTTGTATGACTCTTTGACATGACCATCAAAAGAAAAAATCTGAACTCCATTCAGCTTAGTATAATTGTAGCATTTCCCACATAATTTTGGTAACACAACCTTGTTACATGCAGAGCCATCTATAAGCAAATCACCAAACCAAGAACATCCTCACATAGATCTGTTTTTATTTGTAAGTAGTATTAGTCCAAGAGCAGAAGGAAAAGTTTTGGTTATATCACATACTGTACAAAATCTCAAAACTAGTCAAATCGAATCACATCAGTATGAGATGATGCAACAAAAAAGTAGCATCTTCTCTTGATATAACTACTCTTTGTTTCAACCTTGTTAGCCCTTTCTGTTTTTCATTTTTTATCCCATCCACCAGAAATAAATGGAAAGTCAAGAGTTCATGAACGTGATTTTTCAAACATTGCAGGTCATAAGTATGTTGATTCTGTTATAGCTCCTTGGAGACAGGCAACTTACATAGTAATCATGTTCTTCTTGATTTTCCTGATTCATACTTAAGTCAGCTTCTCCATCTTCCTCTCCTTCTTCTTCAGCAGAGTCTGACACTACACTTTTATTTCTCTGCCCATGGATGCCTTCTTCAGTAAGGTAGGTCAGTATACGGATTTCTGTATCTGACAGTTTGTGTTGAGAGGCACCACCTACAGTGCGAGCAGCTCGCAATGCTGCTGCCTTTCTCTTAGCATGCACTTTCATGTCCATCCAGGTCTAGAAGCAATATGTCATGTTAAATTGAAGAGTGTATGCCACTTGCCAAATTGTAATGCAGAATGAGCTCAAGTTGCTTACAATAGTATTACGGCAACATTAGATATTTTTTTCCTAACTGGAAGCCATACTACCTCATATAACACAGCTAGGATTAATGGCCCGTAGAAAGTATGGGTTAGAGCTGGACCAATACAGGATGTTTGCCAATACAGATACTTCAAATGCAGATATATTGGTGCTATCAGCAATTCATCTTTTTTGCACATAATTATAAGTGAACATGTTGGTCCTTGTGTTGGCCAAAACACATGAGAGCAGTTACTGTTGAACATTTACATATAGAAAGCTGTTTCATGATCAGGTATGACAGTAGTGATATACATTCTCATGATGACAGAAATGCATGGTGGTAAGTGCAAAATAGGAAAAAAAATTAAAGAATGAAGTTTAAAATAAATCCACCCATTGATCGGAGATATGCACACAGCTGCTACATGCATAATCCTATCAAATTCAAGAATACCTACAGACTGTAAAAAAATTACCACTTGAGATATATTGTATTTTAGGAAATGGAATAATATCAGACCTGTATTTTCTACTAACAAGGAAACTGTATCAAGTGTCTGCCTCTGATTTTGACACATATTTTTTCATATCAGCAGAAAAACGTATTTAAGGGGTGAAAGCAACCCCCAACATTGGGACAGATTGATTCAAATGTATTTTTTTTGTAGATAGGAAAATTTTAAGGGTGCTTTTGTTTATACCAAAGCAAGTTCATTTCACCCTTATCTGTACCATGCTGTATTCATTCGTTTTTAATTTGTAGTTGCTTTGTTCCAAATAAAAACTTGAATTTTGCATAAACTATTGAGTTTGGGCAATATCAATGCATTGTTTCATTGCCTCTCTTATGCTTTGTATTCTGTATAGAGACATGTTTATGATAAATAATATACACATTATAGATCCCTCTGGTTTCTAATTAGGTACCACAATTCACAAACTTACTCTTTGCCACTTTCCCACAGTCTTTGTTGGCCCCTCACCACAAGTGTTGAGCTGATCAGTCAACTCATCCCATAAAGTATTTCGAAGTTTTTTGTCTTCAGCAGCTAAAGCCTTCCCTCTACCAAAACCAGGATGCTCCTCCATGAAGTCTATCATGATGTCCCTTTGCTCTGCTGAAATGCTCATGGTATCAGGTGTCTTGTACTAGAAATAATGTATGGTTAGCTACACCACTGAGTTGGACAATGTTGTGGTACCTCAACAACGCCGAATATCGGAAATTTTGGTTTAATTCTCCTTCAGCTCACATATATAACACCATTAAAGCACAATTGCAGCAGAACTCAAACAAATAAGTATAATAATACAAATTACAGAATAAAGTAAATACACCATTAAGTAATTACAAAAGCCGCTATCAATTTTTTTAAATCCACTCTAACTCGCATCACAAAACATATCACAAATTACTATTTACACCACAAAACATAATATACTCATGAAAAAGTCATAAATGGCTAAAAACCACAAAATACATACACACTAACGAACCAAGCATTGGCAATTAGCACAACATTGGGCTAATAAACAAGGGTAGAGGACATGTCATCAGAAACTTCAAGGCACATGTCAAAAGGTGACATGGAACCACCGCGCACATAAATTATGACAGAAATACCACGCTAGCTAGTGATGAGTAAGTTTTAGTTATAGTCGGGTACGAGTAATGATTAAGTTACGGTTAGTAACTATACCGATGATTCGATTAGTAGCAGGTGCAACTACTCTTGGACTCTTTCTCCCGGTTGTCAACCGAAAGAAACTATGCGCTGACATTGCAATTGATACTTAAATAGTCCCTTATAATTTAAAATAATATGGCTGCTTATAGCGTACGAGGATTTTGTTGTTTATCTAGTATGTATGAAGAGTCACAGAAGTTTCGCTACACGTATATAGGATGAGATTGAAAAATTGTCTGGCATATGTAATGTGTACAAGAGAGAAGCGCGATAAGCATGCGGTATGTATGTTAGAAATGGATTGAAGCATCTCGTTGCCTAGCAACCCAAGAACGATGTCATGGAAACCGTCGCGCACTTTCAACTTTTAGATAATAAAAAAAATCCTTATTTAAGTGAGGATCAAAGTGCACCTTTTAGGGTCATTTTGTAAAAGTGTTCGCAGATAATTGTGGTGTGGCAAATGAAAAAACTACGCAAATAATTGGCGTGTTTTGAGATGAAATGACTTCATAAAAAATGCTAAAAACACGTTTTGGCACCAGAATTTTAAAAAAATTTTGGGGGTGAGCACTTTCTTTAAAAAATGCCTCGAAAAAATCTTTTGCTCCAGACCTCGCATCTGCTAAGGACGGCTCTGAGTGACCTATACAGTAAAAACCATGTACCACTGACATCATAATGTGTACGAGAGAGAAGTGCGAGAAGCGTTCAATTCGTGTGTTAGAAAGAGATAAATACACCTCATTACCTAGCAACCCGAGTATCGAGGCCACGAACGCCATCGGCGCACTCTTTCTAATATACATATTGGACGCTTCTCGCACTTCTCTCTCGTATTACGACATCAGCCGAATTTGAACATTTCTGCACATGTACATGTGCGCATGTCTTTCGATGGCACTAACCTGCCCAGCCATTGATGGCCCATTGGTCAATAGGACCTGGTGAATTAAAACGTTCTTTTCTTTATTATGACGGAGCGTAAATCAGAGGTTTCCATGGAAATCATGTGAGGCACCATAATATATGTTTACTACTCTAACAAAATTACATTGATGTGTTGACGAAAAGTTGTTTGTGGAAAACCGATTTCTAGTGGTAGCCGCAAGAATTTAATTTTCGTCCACTGTTTTGTTCCTGAACAGCACATCTCTAATAATTGGGATTCGTCACATCCCTACTTAAGCCCCTCCCACACGATGTGGCGAATGCCTTACAACGTTGGATACATGTCAATTCGCCACATCGTGTGGGAGAGCGCTGACGGATTGCATATGTCCAAACGTTCGCCACATGGCACGTTCGGGCTCTTGCCGGTAAATTTGACCCGTGTCAAAGGACCTTACAATGTTGGAAGCATGGTTCGATACGCTCTCACACGAGATGTTATGTTTGATGGTTTTAGGTTAGAACTAATAGCGGCCACAAACATTATTTATTTGTTTGTTGTGATTGTGATGAAGTAGTAATATGTGGGAAGTATATTGATTTGAATACTTACCTATTCATAAGAATGTATGTTCCATAACTAACTTTTGAGGACGATGGATTAAATTAGTATACATACCTGTACAAGGCATAGGCTGCCATAACAACACTTTCTTCATATTGCTAATATTTTGTACGTTTCGCAAGTGAGTTATGGCTGGCCTAAGGATATGTATTTTAGTAAATTATAAATTATCAAGTGCTTACAGTTGTTTCATTATAATGTCCTGTTGCAATGCAAGACTAGTTGAGAAATATATTGACTTCCATTTCACAACTAAAGAAAAAGATTGAATAAATGATAACTCTGAAAGTACTATCAGGATTTTGATGAAATTTTGACCCTAGGTTACTACTCTGAAAATGACGAAGCAGCTCTGCAGTTTTTAAAAATCGATACAGTGGCGATGGAGCTATCGTCGAAAAACAAACAAAAAAACGGTCAACTTCGTTTATTTTGTATAATTTTTCCTTTAGTTGTAAAGGTTCAAACGAGTCACTGACACCGATAATAGACGTTGGCACCACCGTCCGAGACTAAAAAGTTCATCCCATCGTGTAGACACACTTTCCAATTGTGGTGTGTCGAACGTAGTAAACAACGTTGGAAGCATCATGTGGGACATGCATTAGACATAGCTCATTGTCATGATTGTCATGTTACTGATAAGCTTGGCAACATTGCAGGTACTTGATTGGTAACTAACTAGTTCCAAATCTAGTAACTTGTAGCTCATACACACCAACAATCAAAATCACTAAAAAGATTAATATTTTTATGGTGACGGTTCAGAACATCAGAACTTTTGTTAAAACTTTTCATTCTTGATTGCGACTAATTAAAGCCTATTTATCGAGTATATGAATGTGCTTAATTGCCTTGACTCGGAGTCATTATTATGCTCTGACACTGGCCAAAGGAATCCCCTGAGAGCAACAATCTGACCATCGAAATCAAACTATTCCATCTAGTAGCCGTAGCACCCCGCATCCTGAATCATGACTGAATACAAATTAGTGGTAGTAGGCGCTGGAGGTGTAGGTAAATCAGCCCTTACGATACAACTGATCCAGAACCACTTTGTGGACGAATATGACCCCACAATTGAAGACTCCTATAGGAAACAAGTAGTAATAGATGGAGACACATGCCTACTAGATATTCTAGATACGGCTGGACAAGAGGAATATAGTGCAATGAGGGACCAGTATATGAGAACGGGGGAGGGGTTCCTCTTAGTATTTGCAGTGAACTCTGCTAAGAGCTTTGAAGACATTGGTACATATCGAGAGCAGATCAAACGAGTTAAAGATGCTGAAGAAGTGCCTATGGTGCTGGTAGGAAACAAGTGTGATCTTTCAGCATGGGCTGTAGATATGAACCAAGCTAGGGAGGTAAGCATATTCAATAGAAATCTAATGGTTACTGTATGATTAGATTTTTCACACTTATGACATATCACTTGCAATAAAGCAAAATACACTAAATTATATCAGTTCATTCCTTTAAAGCTATACTGCCATTGATAGTGATGCATATGACTTGGCCAAGTACTTGATGTGTTTAAACATATCACCATGCAGCCTGGAAACTAGAGTTAATACAAAAAAGCACAAATGTTTGGCTAAGGTGCTCTCTCAACCAATCGCAATCATTTGTCCTGTTAGTGTGCTTGTTATGCATAATCAAGCCATTGTAACGAATTTACATAGATGTATATTTGACTGTTGAATTGTGACTAATTTCAATTTCAACATGGAGTTACTCAACAAGTTAATCTGAGCAATGGTTGCTGTGGCTTCACTAGGCTAGTGTGTGTGTGACACAATATGCCAGTTGGTATGGATTCATGCTAGACATATTTGTATCTGTATTTTGCTTTTTGTGTGTATGCTGTAATAATAACATATTATGTACTTGTGATAAATAAATAACTATAAGCTACAGCTCTCTATACACACACCTTGAATTTGACCCTGCATCTATGGGCCTTCGAGAGAATATGATCTATTAATGATTTCTAAACATCAACACTGTATGGTGAAGTACTGAATAAGGCCTAGACCTTTCGAGCAAAGTGCCTCGTATCTGATATTATTTACATCACCTTCAAAAATGCATTTGGTATTAATAAATAAATTACCAGACGAGGGATATTTATGAATCAGAGAATAAATTGTTTTTCAATAATTTAGATGCTCCATTTAGTAAATTGTAACATTACTATTACAAAATTGAAAAAAATACACATCATCTTTCACTCTGCCTTTCTCAGTGTTGGGTATTGAGAACTTGTTTTATGCAGCAGGTGCTCCAAATTCTGTTCCTGGAAGTAATTCTATAAGTTAAATGTCCTAACTTTGTCATATATGATATTCTCTCATGTACATGTGTAAATGTAATTCACATGTTGTTTGCTGTAATGTTATGCAATTTTCAAAAGCTGGGGAACCCTTTCTTTAAGGTAAATGTATAAGATTCCATGCCTCAGGTTTTTGAGCATAATTTTCTCTGTCAACTTCTCATATCAGCAATACTAGATTAGATCTTAATAATATGTACTGAGATAATAAATGGTTTGAGCCACTTATGAATAACTTGATTAATAACTTTAACAAACATTAAGCATCAAAAAGTGTGGGATTTCATTTATCATAGGAAAATCTGTATGGTTCTTTGATTGTGTGTATGCATTTTTATGCTAATGGTGATTCATTTCACTTTAGTGTGAGTTATCTTTGAATCATACTTTGTGAGAATGGTGCATCATAATAATAATCATGTTTTGTAAATATGTATTTATTAACAATTATTTGTTTATAAGAGTCTTCATATCATTGCATGTATACATTTTTATTAGAGATATACAATATAAAGAAATTGTTTTCTAATGCATTAGGAAATATTTAATGTAAAATAATTTACATAACAATGATTTTAAATCCTTGATTGCATTATTAGTTAGCAAGACCATGTAATATTTTTCACATTTTGGTTATAAATAGTTTAAATGCATTGCTTTCCTTAATTCATGAGTATTTTTAAATTATTTTCAGATACTAGCTTATATATTCATTACTTATAATTTGCAATGTGATCATAAGATTAAAACATAATCTCTTCTTATAAACAATTTGTGCTACTGTTGTTTGCATTTTACTACACCACTAGGTATTTTAAGAAACAAATCAAATAATGCAAAATGAAAAACAATAAAACTAAAACACACAAGTGATGTTGGTAGTACTGGTGTAGGTCTTAGTAACTTAGTAAATCACTTCATTAGAGAAAAAACATGATTACAAATACAATTGGTTAAATAAATGTTACAAAGCCTATTTTACTTTATACTGAAATATAATGGCAAAAGCAGGCCTAAATACCAAGATACTGCAGGTGTTGATGATGGCACACACAAGGTTGGATCCAGCATTTGTGTCAGAGGATGGTCACAGGATTCATGTTCAGAAAAATATTCATCTGAGGGAGGGGGTTCAAAAATATTAAGTATTATATGTTTATGAGCCGATAGATGAAGAGGTCAGGATTTAAACACCCTTATGGTTAGATAGCTATGATCACTACTTGCCATCTCCTTTCAATCAAATGAAACCACTTTTTTTATTTTGTCCATCCAAAAGTATTTTTATCAAATTTGCTCACAGCCCTAGAGGCACGCACGAAAAGGTTTCTTCTTATATTCCTGTCCGAATTGTCTGAATCTTCAATTTACAAAAATGCACTAATGGACATGCAGTGTTACTAAGCCGAAAAACGTAGAAACACTATTTTGTTTATAATTTGCGTCAAGCTGAACAACCAGACTTACGCAGCCCTCTTATGTCCACGCCATTATTAATGTGCGTACAAATTGATCATGGTTGCCAGGTGTGGTGATTTTCCACCAACTCTGGTATTTTTTTCCCTGTTTTATCCATTACATATTTGTAAAAAGTCTCTATTTTTCGAGTTTATCAAAGTTATTTGAAAGATATAAATATTAGTGGTGAAACTAGATTCGCCCAGGGGGTTCATGACCCCCTCCTGGATCCTTTATCCCACATATTGGGAGATGGTAGGAGAGGGTAATAGAATGTTTTCCCAGCTAGTAGCTGATACATGATGATGACATCCTCATCCAGTTTTGGATCACATTAACATTTTTGGACTTCTGCACATAATTCCGCTACCAATGGGCCAAGTACTAATCGCACCAGGCTTTTTTGTTCTTCGCATGGTATTGAATTTTATTCAAAAATTTCATCGAAGTTTGAGCAGTACTTCCCGAATTATTGATGGGCCAAGGATTACAGCCAGACAAACGTACAGAAATGAGTGACATTTTGAAATTTCTCGCGCTCACTTCTTCGCTAATTAGCATAGGAAGTAACATAGAATGCGTCATTAAGTTATCCGTTGTTTTATTCATAAATTTCAATGCTGGCCATGAAAGTATTACTGCACTCATTCTAGCTACAGCTTGTGTTGTTAGTACCTACTCCTTACTATGCAGAACATTCGTACAACCCCTGTTGTAGTTTGCTGGCCCCAAATAGGACTCAAACATCGTTTGTTGGAGGCCATCCAGCGTGGTGCAACACGTATGCGATATGGCAGACGTAGACAAACTTATGAAGACCGCCTCGATCGTTTTAAGCTGCGTACTTTTGACGCCAGAAGACTATGAGGTGATCTCACCATCACTTAGAGAGCACTGCATAATTTTTTTCGTTAATATGACGCATCTGTTTTGTCTGTCATAGAATAATCTCAGACTCCACAACCTCAAGTTGCAGAAGGAACCTTTTAGAACGTCTACCAGCTGAGGCTTTTTATTAGACCGTGCTTTTGACGCATGAAACAGTCTTTCATCTTATTTAGTGAATTCGACATTCGTGAACAGTTTCAAAACCAATCATAATAGTGCTTAACATATTCTCATTTTCTGTTGATCTCCACCAGAGTTGTAATTGTCCACTTATATATTGCATTTGTCTGTATACTCTCGACTATTATGTGTTTGAGTTTATAGTACTTTTACTCATCACCAACTTGTTATTTAATAATATTAATCCTCCCATTAGAGGTCAGAACTGATCAGAAATAGGAGTACTATCAGCACTTGGAGTATGTCAACCTCAACGTGGAAACACATTCAACATATGTCCTTATGAAGGCATTTATTTAAACACTACTAGTTATCATAAATTACAACTCAATGCTTAACTGCACTATACTATCGAATTATGTGAAGTGGCCCATTCTGCTCTACCAGACGCAACTTATAATTTAGATCAACTTCTCTCAGTTTTTCGTAAATTCGCTGTCTTAATTGTTCTTCATCTTGCTCTTCCAAGCCCCCATGATGAACTTTCCTAGACAGTAAAGCCCAAAAATCCTCTATTAGGCGAGCCTGCGGAGGATTATCGTTTTTGGGAACAAAAGGTATCTTGTGTTGTCGCAACTAGTTGATTTTTTTTTAATCCTTTATTAGCAATCAGAAATTAAAAATTCTATAAGCTAATCTGCTGTCCATAGTACTGTTCACAGTACTAGTTGTGGCATGATGAAGTCCCATCCAGTGAGGAGAGCTCTTCAAACATCAAGGTCTGCTGGCCATTATCTCTTAAGTCGTCTGCAGTTAGGGGGTTCTAATAGAGGGTGTAATGATGTATTACTGTGATTTTCCAGTTTGTCCTTTTTTCTCTAATTCTTCCTTAATCTCATCTATAGCAATTGAAGGCTCGTTCGCCCTTGGGCTGGTATGTGTGATATACTATTTTATTTTCTGTCATGAACCGCACCAATGCTCTATATCGCTCTTTTTGTGATGTACTGTTCCCCTGCTATTATTTCTGATAATTTATTGACCATTTCGGGGAAGTGAATTACACCATATACAAATATGGGCAGTGGTCTGGGCACCTTTTTCATCGTTGTGTTCTGGCTTGGTTCGTCTTCGATGGTTAATGGGCTGAATCTATTATTTACAGTCACTTTTTGGGTTTATGTGCATTGATTGCCGTTTATTTTTCTTCGTTTTGTGCTCCTGATGTTATGCCACGTATTTCCACTCTGTTCTTCTTCACTAGTTGTTGACATTCTGTACAAGTATTGATTTGCTGTATCTACTGTCATTGATGTATTTGGCTCTCCCTGTATATTGCTTGACTGTACCTCATTATTTGATCCGATACAATTACCAGCTGGCAGCATTGTTTTGTTTTTTTATTTGGAGCGACCTATACTCACGTATCAAAATATGAACTGATAAATTAGCAGAAGCTTGGATGCGTGAGGTTACAATATAATATTAATAAGTACACGGCCGGAAAATTTTATCTTTGGTTTGAACACTTCAAATGCGACTTTTCAATCTTTATTTTGTAGGTAGCGAAGCAGTACGGCATCCCATTCGTAGAAACGTCAGCGAAAACGCGGATGGGCGTCGACGACGCCTTCTACACTCTGGTGCGTGAGATCCGCAAAGACAAGCTGTCGCGCGGCAAGAAGTCGCACAAATATATCGGCAGCCACGGTAGGGTGCCATTTAAGCTGAAGTGCTCCATCCTGTAGAAGCGGCCTTCCTTCCTTCGGTTGGCGGTGCAGCTGCTGTCAGTTGTCTTCTGCCATCACACGGACTGAACACGTGTACTGATAAGCGTCCGGTGGTAGGGTGTGTATGTGACGGTGCTTTATGCGTATGGCTGGTTTCGGTGGAATCAGGGTAGAACAAATAGTAGAGGTTTTGGGTATAAAAATGATTGTAGGAAATTTCTAGTTCATTTGTTATATATGTTTGCTCAGTAACTGAACTTGGCCGTTATTTGAAATTTATACCCAGAAAGCGTGCTTTCGCTATCTTCTCAGTCTTCTCTCATCGCGAACTGGGTAACTTTTATTTACACATAAGACGGTAAATTAGAAAGATCCATAAATGCGAAACTCGAGGACCCTTGGAAACACGACTATTTTCGCATTATTTGTAAGTACAAATACGTTTCAAAGTTTTACGTATTAAAAAAATATAATTCGCAATTAATGTGATTATTCAACCTAACTTGTATTTTTTATAGTCACCATCCAAGAGTACCACAGAAGCAACACTTGGCTCTATATAAAGTTTCTTCAGCCTATCTGTGAATTTTTTTCGATTGATTCACGCATTGTATCAGAAAATGTTGAAAGCTAGGTGTTTCCGAGGGTATCGTACTTTCGCGTTGTGATTTTTTTAATTTGCCCACAACTCGTATACATTTCGGGCAGTGGCCGTATTTGGTTATTGAGTGCGCCTATATAAAAGAGTGCAATAGTGATGTGTTTTTTACTCAGAAATTATATAATACTTTTGTTTATCAACAAATGATATTCTCTTCATAAAACGTAAACAATGTCAATGTTCTGAACATGCAAAACAATATCAAGTATATACTTTCCACTATGTACATGGTGGCATTGCTGAAGAAATACAGTTTCAGGTTTATATACCATGAGCACCTACCATCCCACGATACCATGTTCTATTCTAATATTCCTCCACTCACAGTGGTACAATTTCACAGCTTGCAGTTTCATCTTATAGGTACTTCAATCCACTAAATTTGTTCTATTGGATTCCATAAGGAAAAGGAAATAAATAATCCATGCACTGTCTTTTAATAACCTATATAGGTTATTATTATTATTGACAAGATATATTTCTAGGTCCTCTGTTTAATCTAAAGAAGTCTTATCTTTGCCATATAAAGGAATGCTGAACTGAAGTATTTTCCTATGTACTTTTAGTTGCTGATTCCGAATGTGAGGTAAAAATAGGGGAGGGGGGAATACTTGGCCAAAATAAGATAGAAGAATGGGGGTTCATCTTGAGTGTTGATTTCGTTTATGATATCTTGAGTTTTGAAAGCTTTTCAAGTTAATTTTTAACAATGCATGAATCATTTTCAAGTATCTGATCCAGACTTATATGTTGTGTAATGGTTTGAAATCAAATAATTGATATTGATAGAAGATATATACATATATTATTGTACATTATTTACTGTGACTCAAGTTTTAGATGTATACTTAGATTTAGATAAAACATCTTATAAACGATATCACGTGATTCGAAATTTCAAACCTAGACGTTCAGTCATACAGAGAAGTTAACATTTGTTTTTCCAGTGCTTAGAGCCTAAAGCTATTTTGAAGTTCACATACTCTGTTAAACCTTACAGCCAGAAACATTTCTAAAACTTCACTACTGGACTTTGTATAAATTAACACCTGATAAAAATTTTTTGCTCAGTTCAACTATTATGATGATAACATACATAAGAATATTTATTTTTATATTTTTGAGTTTTTATGTAGCTGTAAAAGGGTTGAGATTTCAGTTATTGTCAATCTAGAAAAAATATAATAGGTGGCATTTTTTTATTGATACAAAATATGAAAGAAATAAACTCTTTGCTGTCTAGAAATATTTCTGGATGGATCATCACTGAAATGCAATGCAGTGTAATGTTGAATAGTGTGAAAATCATTAGCTTAACTAGTGCAGTCGCCGTGAAACTGCATAAAAAATAAAACAATGAATTATAATTTAAGCATATCATACATATATACGGAATGGCTTTATTGTCTTTTGTTCAAAAACTCTGCAGCTTAGTCACGACTAGTCGTGACTTTGTAAAAGCGTTTAATCTTTGTCCAAGTTCACAAGGTTTTTGGGTCATGTTCAAGAAAATAATAATTGATTTGTTAGAAAAACTTGTTCTTATCTTTGTCTGGCCGAATCAAACCACATATGTTAAAATTTTCTCTTTATTACACGACGTTTCGGTCTCAACGGTGACATTCTTCAAGTACTATTGACACTTTTTTTACAACATATTTTATTTTCCTGTCTTATAGGTGACACTGTGTTCGTTTTTTTTTGTGTTACTACAGTAGTCTGACAGGTCTTGTAACATGCTGAGACTGCGAAGCTATCATTTCAATTTTGAGATGGTACCGTGCAAAACCAGCAAAGCCCATGACCGCCTGTGGTAGGCATTCCCATTTCCAAAAGGACATCCAACCCTCCAAAGCGAGGTTATCGGTCGTTTTTTAATTAATAATAATTAGACCCAGAACTGTTGTAACACACTTGTTAATTGTTATGCAATATTCGACTGATATGCTACCCCAGGCGGTCCGGGGCTTTGCTGATTTTGCACAGTGGAATGATGGCTTTGCGCAATCTCACCATCTTACAGGACCTTTCATGCTATTGTAGTAATACACTGAATATGAATCTGAAAATGAAGGGAAAAAAACCAAGTGTCACCTGGAAGACAGTAAAATATACTGTCAAGTGTCAATTTTACTTGAACAAGGTCACCATTGGGACATTCAATAAAGAGAAATATTAAACATATGTGGTTTAATTTGGCCAGACAAACTGGGAGGATTATAAACCTAACAACCACAGGGTAAGTTCAGATTTTACATTATTTTTATCTATAATGCTTGGTTTTATCGAAATCAGCCTTACGTTAGAGAGGCAGCCAATAGGTGGTTATCATTTTTTCATTCAATTCTGGTCTCAAAAATAATTTATAAAATCAATTTATAGAAAATAATGCTATTTGAACCGGTTGTTCCAAACACTCCTCCTAAAGCATAATAAATAATCATTGCCTTTGTTGTACGCTTATTTGTGAAGGTATTTAATCTTTTTCATCATTTTTCAAAGAGCAGCGCATTCTTGATTGAAAAAATCAAGTTTTTGTAATAAACTAATTTTTAATAGAATGTTATCCTCCATTGGCAGCCCCCAGGAGTATGTTGTTGAGTTATTCATGATATTGGATGCATGGATACTTCCAGTTATTCAGCAAATGTGTGAATATGTTATGTGCGAGTATGTAAATGTATGACAGTCGAATGAAGCTTTCGAGAAGTACAGAAAAAAGTATTCAACTTAAATTATTCTAAACTATTTCACAAAATCGTACAATTTCATAAATCCACGGTGTACAGAATACCATTCTGACGATATTCATTTTAGATATAGTGTTGTATTGAATTCTAAATAGTGAAAAACATGAAAATGAAACTAGTATGGTCTGTGTTTGATGTGTTGCTCTAATTGCTTGGTTATTCATTATTCTGTGAGTCTTGATGAATTGGTATCATACAATTTGTAATTTTCTGCACTATGTACAAACTTGTGACTATTTAGATGAAAAACATCTCTGATCAACCTACCACTTATTTTCTTTTTTTGTTTGTCGAAATTTGAAGTTTTAACTCGAAAAAGATGTCATTTTATCAAAAACTGACCGGTTCGTCCTGTAAATAGTTATATACAGTCTTTGTGACTTTCCAATATACAATAATTGTTCAAGTCCAGTACTCATGGCAATTGGTTTATTCGTGTAATATTTCAGATTTTAGAGCTTTTGAACACATCTCATACTATGGGACAAACGTCAATGTCATCTCAGTTTTTTACGCACACTATTGTGATGTAATTCTTACTTTCAGCTTCTGTAATTGTTAAAGAGGGTACACTTTTCTCAGCTCATGTTATCTAGATATATTTGTCAATGATCAATGGTGGAAGATAAAATTCAGTGTATGGAAACAGAACAAGTGTGAAGCACTTACTGGAGTGAATTGTTAAATTGATTCTCGAGACACATATTAATCTTTCAAATCCAAGCTCCTTGGATAGACTGATTTATGTATTAAAAAAATACTTATAGCAATTTCTATCCCTTCTAAGCCACTAAAATCAGTATTTAGTGAAACAAATGTTGAGAAAGTGCCATTTTACACATATTTTTTTTTAGATACATTAGCATAAATCATAGTATTGCCATTGTATTTTATAAAATTTTGAATTTGGCTATGTATCTTTATAAGAAGATATTATTTTTTGCGATTATAAATATAGCCGATTCATATTTGTAGATCGATAATTTTTCTTACAAAAACTGGTTTGGTTTTAAGTGTCTGGTTAACATGCTAATAAGCGCACACTTGATGTATCACCACTGATAAGAACATTTCAAGCTGCTTATACACAAAGAGAAAACAAAAGTTGCTTAATCACACTGGATTATACACAAACTACTTCTAAATATATTTTGCCGAGTTCATTATAGGAAGTGCAGTCACATAGTATCACGGGAGCCTAGCAAGGATTGGTCATGCTTTTGCTTTAAACATAGCCAAAACTTGTGATATTTCTATTTTATAATTTTAAGGACTTTTATAAATTGAATTAGAACACCCTCTCTAACAAATATACCATCAATTATAATAAACTTAAGCAATTAGAATGTTGGACTATGATGATTAGACGAGAGTGTTCCTTGAAAGATAGATGAAAATTTTTCTATAAATTTTTTTCTTAATGTTCTACTAATATAGGATATTTTTGCCTTTCATATTATACAGAGAATATAAATATGTAGCAATGATTAGCTATAGTTATATCTTACTAAAACTTCTCTTATTAATAAATTGTTAAATATTATAATTGTTTTACTTTATCATTGGTAAAATGAATACATACGGCGCTGATGATATTCTGTCTATCAGTGAATATCTTTATGACATCTTCAGCAAAATGTGTCGGGCGCTTGATATTTTCTTAGGATGGTACTTGTAGGGAATAGAAAGACTCTGGAACTTGTCCAAAACTTTGTTTAACGGTATTTGTCAGAGAACTACTAAATTGCTCAAGGGCGCCTCAGGGTTCATTCTGGGGACCAGTTATCTCCATCATTTATCTCAATGCTACTGCATATTATCCAGCTGTACATTTTTAGCACAATCATCAATTTTAGTTCAGTTCTAGTTGGAAAATTTCGAAGGTTAGTTTACTTCACAAATTAAAAAAATGTTTGAATAACATTTTTATCTGTGAAGTTCAATTAACAAAACAAATTTATTGGGTAAATACCTCGAACGAGAGCAGTGAGTATCGTCGGGTTTATTAAAAGAGTATAGTCTGGTGGAATAAATTTCTCAAGTTTATGCTTCATTGCTTGAAAAATTAAAGTGGAAGAGTTTAGACCACACTCATAAATCATATTTCTTTCTTATCTCAATTCTTCACATGGAGTGAAATATTGTTTACTTACATCAAAAATAAAAACAGACTCGACCCTGGCAAATGAAAAAAATCACTCAATTGTTTTGGGATGAAATAAATGACTTTATCAAAAATGTTAAAAACACATTTTTTGCACAAGAATTTTAAAATTTTTTCTGAATAGACCACTTTCTTTAAAAAAAAGGCATCTCAAAAATGTTTGGCTCCAGGCCTCGCATCTGCTAAGGACGACTGGAAGGATCTAGTCTGGTGGAAGAATGTATCCCTTAATCCACATGGTGGCACTGACTACTTCCGTTCGACACATTCATCAGGTAGGTTTGCGGAGTTAAATTCATCAGACTATATATTGATTAATAGACCTGACGTTATCACTTCTCCCAGTCGAGGTATGTGTCAATTGAACTTGCGAATTTAATTTCACCAACCTTTAATCCGCCCGATGACGTCGACTACTCCTATTAAGTGTTTACCTAATAAACTTGTGTTGGTTAATTTTACCAAAGTATATCGACTACTTCAGTTCGAGGTGTTTGCCGAATGAACTTGTGATGTCGATTTCACCCAGGGGAGAGTAGTACCGGGTGCGGCAGAGAGGACGCACGTTTTTGGGATGGGTAGTACTCTCCGCCTCCGTCTACGAGAGAGGTGGGGAGGGTGCCGTTTGACTCGTGAGATCCTAGCATTATTTTACCAGTTGTCGTTATGGAGCCTTGGACGCTGGAGCACCGCGTTTTCGCCTATGATTGTTTCGTCCGAAATAATGAGTCAGTCATCGTCGTACAGCGTGAGTTTCGTCGCCACTTCAACATTCATCGGAATAGAGCTGTCCCTCTCGAAACACCATCCTTCGTTGGGTTGAATCACTTCGCAGGCGTGGTGAACTGATCAACAGAAGACCAAGAGGAGCGCCGCGAACAGTTCGAACTCCTGAAAATGTTGAACGCGTTCGACAGGTATTTCTTCGCAGTCAGACTCGATCTGCCCGGAAACATGCTGCTGCACTTCGCCTTAGTGATCAATCGGTAAGGCGAATTTTGAATATGGATCTCCGCTTTCACCCCTACAAATTAACCAGCAGAATTGTCGTTATTGGGCTAATGAAAATCCGCAACAGTTACACGAAAGACCGCTGCACAACCCAAAAGTAACGGTTTGGTGCGCTGTATCGCAAACTTGCATCATTGGCCCTTACTTCTTCGAAGACGGTAATGGTCGTGCACTCAGAACTTCTTTCTCCCTGAATTACGACGGCGACGTGTTCCAATCCGACGTGTGTGGTTCCAGCAAGATGGGGCGACCGCCCACACAGCCCGAGCATCCATGGACGTTATTCGCCCTCTCTTCCCTGGTCGCCTTATTTCCAGGTTTGGCGATGTTCATTGGCCTCCTCGGTCCCCAGATTTATCCATATGCGATTTTTTCTTATGGGGACTCCGCAAGGCTAGAATATACGCGAACAAGCCCCGAACTCTGGACGAATTGAAGGGCGAAATTCGCGTGGAAGTCGCCCAAGTTGAGAGAGCGATGTTGGAGAGAGTCTACGCGAACTTCCAAGAACGCCTCCAGCACTGCATCAACGATTTCGGCCACCACATGTATGATGTGATTTTCCACACTTGACTGTCTCAAATGCTATTTCCTTGTGAACCTGATTCCATCAATAAATTTGTTTTCGAGTAAAAATTAACTTTTTTATGATTTTTTTAAAACCGTTCATCATCTCTGCCGCACCCGTTATATTATACAGGATGCGGCAGCATAACTTTTTGAAAATGCGCACCATTCAGTCGGTTGATGACACTGTTCAGTCGCCATCATGCGTTGGAACAGTGAGAGCGGGCTTTTGCCGTTGAGGCCTACTTTTCAAGCGGATGTTTTGAGATGATAGCCCCTGTTCCGGAAATCAATTATTACGAGTCACTACGTCCAGAAAAACTGCAAATGCGACAAGACACTGGAGTTCCTCGGCCTCACTTAAAAACATTGAGGCAGCGAGAGCTTCAATGTTGCGATCACCAGGCGTTCTGCGCCCAAAGGCGTCTGCACTTGGACTTTCCGATCGTTCTGCGAGGAGAATTCTTCATGATGATCTTCATTTCTATCCTTACAAGATGGCAATTAAGTAGAAACTCTCTAAACGTGACTTCAAATCTCGGACAAACGCCTGTGAGCGTCTTCTCGAAGTTAGTTCCTGAGGGCGTTATTGCTTTTTTTTTAGTGAAGCTCATTTTTATTTGTGTCGATCCATCAACAAACAAAACATGCGCTATTGGACTGCATTCGCCTAACCTAAAGTCACAGTGTGGTGTGCAATTTCCTCAGCAGGAATTATTGGTCCCTGGTTTCACACTTTCCAGAGCGCCTTATCTTAATTATGGGAGATTTGTAGTAGACGAACCCCTCTTTCGATTTGGCCACTTGTGATTTTTTGAAACCCCGTGTTTTTAATTTATATAATAAAACACCCTTGATATTGTATTCATTTATTCCTGACTACACTAAAATGTAAATAATTTTCAACTTAAATACAAATTTTAAACTGAATAAGACATATTCATATTACAAAGTTAAAATATTCAACAAAACAACTAGAAAAGGCCACGGTTTCATATTCAAATAATATTAATATAAACAACACCTGAAATCACATTTTTCTCGAGTTTGCAAATTCAGTACTAATTAATAAAGTTACTGAAGTAATGCTGAATTTACAAATAACCATATTACAATCATTTTCTTAAAAACGACTCTCAAGTCGAGTAGCACATAGAAGATGAGCATTAAAAATGTATATCCATCATTAGGTTTCTCAAAAAATATTTTTACACTCAGTATAAGTAATAATGAACACAAGTGTCAGCCCATCTTCAGTGCATGACCTAAATCAAAAAATAATACAGAATTTAACCATCCCTTCAATTGCATGTGTTTATTCATTCCATTGTTGTAACCTCACGTGAAATAATGAGCTATCACGTAAACTCACGTATCAAAATTTAAATGGATTGACAGAAGTATGGGTGTCTTCCTAAATATAGGTCTTTTCACCAATTTTTGGGAAGCTCAATCAACTAAAAGAAATTGCTCGTTCCACAAATCAAACTTTATCACAGTAGCAACTCTCAATTGTACCTAAGTGCGTGGAAGGCCGTTATTTTTATTCACGTGACTATGAAAATATACCAATAAAAGCGCTAAATTGTCGATATAGTTCTGGGAGACTGACTAAATTTCCCTTTTCGAACGCGCCCTGTACAACCGCTTTAACAGTGGTGGGGGAAGCAGAGCTGGTAATTTGCGGCGACTACGTGCGGATTGTCAGTAAACATGGAGCAGTGGTTTAATGAGCAACGTGTGTTTATGGTCGAGGCGTTTTTTAAATTAACGATTCCTATGTCGCGGCACAGCGACTTTTTTGCATCCGTTACAATATTCAGCGTGTACGTGAAGTTCAATTGAAAAATTTAGTGAAATCCTGGGTTAAAAGATTTCAACAAACAGGTACAGTGGCAAATCAGAAGCGACCAGGGAAACAGGAATCCATCAGAACGCCAAAGAACATTCAGATTGTGCGTTGTGCTACGAATGAAATTCCAGGCGCTCAATCCGAAAACATGCTCAAGACTTATCGCCCAAGTGTTCAGCGGATTTTAACCAAAGACTCAGTTTCATCCATACAAAATTCAATTGGTACAGTTTTTAAAACCTACGGACCACGAAATCCGAAAAAATTATTGTGAGACAATGATGAATATTGGGATGAAGCAGGCTTGGACCACTTTCTATTCAGCGATAAGGCTCACTTCCACCTGAAGGGCTACGTAAACAAACAGAACTATCGGTACTGGTGTGACAGCAACCCAAAAGAAAAGCATCAAAAACAACTGCATTCAGAGAAGGTTACAGTTTGGTGTGCCATGTCGGCTACTCGAACAATTGGGCCGTACTTTTTGTAGATGTCTCTGTAACTGTGACAAGCCCATGGTCACACTGCAATGCTTCAGCAATTTTCGACTCCGGCTGTTCAAAACTTTCCTGGCTATGACCTGTTTTCAACACGATGGAGCGACAGCACACACAGCAGTAACATCAATGAACATTTTACGTGAATTGTTTCCAGGAACTGTTATTTCTAAATTTGGGGACATCACTTTCCCGCCAAGATAGCCAGATGGTCCCTATGCTCCATCCCTGCCCCCCTTGCAAAAAGCTATATTTGATTTATAGGCTTTATTTTTCTAATTAATCCATCGTAACACCAATGCTCTAGTTTAGATGGCGATCCAGTATTACAATAGCCTCACGATAAAAATATCCGACTGCTGACAAATCACTGGTATCACAGTTATCTGTTGCTTACTTGAAAAGTTCACTTCTCATAAATGTTGTTTTATTTTGGAAATATAATGAAATCACTGTGGAAAAGGAGTGACGAATGTGGATGGGTAATTGACCAATTCAAAGAGCAATCTAGGAGATAGGGCTATGATCATTCTCGTGAAAGCGATTCTGTTTAAAGGCATCTGGTAATTTTTAGTATCAGTTTACATAATATCTCTCTTGTAATACCATATCATGCACTGTTTTAATGTTATGGTCAGTCGATTCAGTTACAAGTGGCTCAATCATGTTGGATTTGACAACTCTTTCCACATATAAACCGACACCCGCGTTTGACAATATCATAAGAAACTGCTTGCCCTCCAACAGTCCCCAAAATATTTTGATGCATTTCAATGGGTAGCATATCCTTCTTGCAGTCATTTCATAACACCTCTTTATAAAAGTAATACCGGTTGGTTTACTGTGACCTGCCAAATGGGTGATGAGACCCTCCTTAAGCAAGCGAGGTACCACACATGGTGAGTTTATGTTAAGCCCGTAAGTTCACGTGATGCTCATGTCTCAACCATCAATATCCGTCAATTTTAACTAAAATACAATTACGTGGTAGTACAATGATTCTGTTTAAATATTTTGATTAATCGTCAAAGTCACCTAATGGAAATGAAACGTGAAATCAATACCTTTATTCGACTAATAACAGAAAATCAATCCTAACTTCATGGACCATAAATTACAATAAATAAAATGAATGTTAGTAAAAATGAATTATAAATATACCAAATAATAAATTCACGAACACGGAATGCTTGGAGTGAAAGAAACTAAGTATAGTGTATCTTTACGGCGACACATGGCGATCATTCGGTTTGCAACTGGCATTGCCCCTGGACACTGTCATTCTGGAAGAACGTTTTTGGTTCGTATAAAGGAAATCCGCTGGGTCGGATCACCACCTTTTTCAATAGTTTGGGGTGGTTGATCATCCAACCCTAAGTGACTCCCGGGGAGGTGGCAGAAGGAGCCCAATGGGGCATTAAGTGCTGGGATCTTACCTGATTGCTCTTCCTAATACAGAATAGGAGCATTGTTCTAAAAATACTACTTTTCACAATGTCATTTGAATAAGGTATATGAGCTATAAAAGTTGAAATTACTGTTTAGCAGTGGCTAGTTTCACAAAATTGAAAATGAAATAGAATGCTCCCAAAAATAGTCAAAGGTTCTATTTTCTCCCAAAAAGTCTGAATCCACAAAAATCCCCCAAGGGTCTAAAAATTACCCGTCTACCGTCGTCTACCACCCACTACCTGACACCTGCTACCTCGCAGTATAACCGCGGCCTTACACTTGATCAATATAAGTGGACGAATTCAACGTGCCCTACATCAGGATTATTTTTGTCTGGCCATGTAGAATGAGAGTCCAGAGGGAGGTTATTTTAAACAAAACAAAAGTCCTGTTCGTATAGCAGGCGACAACCTGTCAATGACCGTGATCAAATCCCGCCTCACAAATTCCGTTCACTCTGCTACGCTATATAGACGAAATTCACACCGCCAGATCCCAGACATAGTCACCGACAAGTCACCAACCACTGTACGAACAAACCTAGAATCTGAGTAATAATATACTGATAATCGCCATGTATCAGAATAAAAAATGAGAAACCGCTGATTTCAGCAGCAGGGTGATGCTCAGTAGAGTGAATGAAATGTACAATATTTCAACAATTGATATACAAACTTATTGCCTTGCAACATATCACACGAATGTCAAGCTGGAGTGTTCACAGTACAACAAAACTTTTTTTGAGAGTCAATCAAGAGGTGTGACTATTCAAGTTGCTCTGTTTCAAATCACCCTGTATATTTTATGAGCAATATGTTTGAATTTTGTTTATGGAATCTTATTGCACGTACTATCACCGCACCATCCTTTTCAATTTATGCACTCGCCACCTTCTCACTCTGCATTTGTTGTATAACTCGTTATTTTTGATGGAAAACTGTAAAAGAACAAAGGTTTCTCTTGAGTTTTCTAGAAACCTATATAAGACTTACATAGTAAAACATAAAAAATGATATAATCGTTTAAACATGCTTACTCGTCAAAAATGCGCGGTGGCGATTTCCCATAGTGCTCCTCAAAGTGTTTGAATACACAAAAAAAAACGGGAAAAATCGTAATTTATAACTTTGAACATAACCTGTCTCAGAAAGAACAACATATAAATAACCCGCCGGGCACAGCTAATAGATACATTCGATTTTCAGCATATTCAGTAATAATTTTCTCACACAGCAAATATCACTGACTTGATACACCTTCAGACCAATACACATAATCATCCATCTGCAATCTTGTTATTCAACCAACTTTCTTTTACATCTCATAGATAAACACTACAGGCTACTCGGCTTCAAAAAACATAAACTTGCTTTCTGCAACCAACAATGCGTGTAGTTGAGTAATTCCTCCATAGATGGACGCTCACAGCGATCATAGCGAGCAGACGTGGAATGAACTATTTGAACCCTAAAAACTACAGTAAAATACCAAAATTGATGACAGTAGCGAAACTAATCGTATAAATAAATATATGCAAACGGTCGCTGTAATCAAAAGGTACCGCGTCAAAGCAGTGGCGCACGATGTCTTCTGCTACTGTCATCAATTCTGGTATTTGACTATACCTAGTGTTTTTTCTTTGACGTTTTATAGGTTTTTTTTACATAATAGCCGTGCCGCACCTTTACTGTGGGCAATGGTGGATCTGGTGAAACTCAGGACCGTTTTCAGATCTATTTGAATGATGAATTTCTTTTTTCACATACCCAACTTAAATAGGCAATATACATGTGATTCAAATATCGGTTAATTATTTTTATTTACAGACCATACTACTATAGAAAGCAATCTTTAACATTATTTTATATTTATGCGTTATGAAGCTACGAGTATTAATTAACAAAAAATAGAAAAAATATGTGGCTAATTTAAAATAACGAAACGTAATGTCATGATATCGGCAAGAGAGCAGCCAATCCTATGTCGCTGTCGACATCACTGACCTATCCGTATGATCAGTTCCAAAGAGTAGTGGTTGATGTGGAATCCGCCACCGAGCTATCTAATTACAATTACATGAGTTGTGACGCCACTGCGAAGCGTGCGAAAAACGCGTCAATTTAATCAGAGTCATTGGAATTGCGATTTTATATGTCTAAGAAAAAATACAGACATATCCATGATTAAAATATGTGTTTACCTATATTAACGTAAATAATAAAAGCATGCATATTCGCTATTACAGTCATGGCCATTAGCGGCCATATTGCTTGTATCCTTTTTTCCATAGCGTACAAAGAACCTCAATAAATCACCCTGTCTACAGATCTGGCGTTGATAGATTCGCTAGGGTTGCGTGCCTCATGTTGTTGTTGTTGAAGATTTATTTAGCATTAATGCTACAATATCAATTTTGTATAATGATTCGGTTACATATTTTTCTTCTATGCATTTTCTGGAATTTTACATACTTGTCTATTAAAATTAAAATTACTTCACTATGTATTTTGATTATTCATAAAGTGATTTTTTAATGTCAGCTTAAACATTTTTAAATTCGAACTTTGTTTAATATCATTATTTAATTTATTAAATTCAAATACTTCCTTTTGAAATATATATTTACTAGTTATGCTACTATTACAATTTTGCAGATGAAAATCTATACTGTCTCTAGTTTCGTAGTTATGATAATGACTTTAATTTTGTGAAGTTCTCCAAATGTGGTGGTAATAAATGATTTTTTAATTTGAATATGAAAACGAGAACCATAATATATGAAATTTTTCACTTCCAACCACTGCAGTTCTTCTAACATAGACTTAATCCTAGTATCTTTGTTTTTATTTAAAATGATTCTCATAGCTTTATTTTGTATAATTTGTGATTTTGAAAATATGTTTTCATTTGCTGTAAACAAGATGGTTGAACAATATAAAAAATGGGGAAGAATTATACTGTTATACACAATTTTTTTGGAATACATACTAAGATTATGGGAAACTCTGTAGAAGTAATTCATCTTTTTCGATATTTTTGAAATAATGTATTCATGATTTTCGAAACAGTAGCTTACTATCCACATATATATATATATATATACCAAGATATTTAAATGACTCGACTATTTCAATTTTTTCATCATTAATCATGAGCCTAATTGTATTGTCACCTAAATGTTTCCCTACTGACATACATTTTGTTTTATTAGTGTTTAATTTAAGTTTATTGACATTTAACCAATTCTTAATTTTTCAATATCACTATTTAACAGTTCTAAAGCAGTGTCCAAATGCTTATGTGCTATATATATAAGTGTATCGTCCGCAAATATTTGAATTTTGCAGTGTTCTATCATATAAATAATAAATAGTAACGGCCCTAATTTACTCCCCTGTGGCACCCCTACTGATATATTTTGAACACTTGACATAATATTTCCAACTTTAGTTTTTTGACTTCTATTTACTAAATAATTTTGTAAAATGTGTAATACTGATCCTTTAAAGCCATAGTGACGCAATTTCATTAACAATCTTTTCCTATCTATAGTCTCAAATGCTCTTTTGAAGTCTAAAAATATTGTTACAATATATTCTTTCTCATCTATACTTCTCGTCTCCCCCCACCATTTGGATTGCCGTTTCTGTGGAACATTTTTTTCTAAATCCAGCTTGATTTTTTATCAAAATTTTTGTTTCTTCAATGAATTCTATGATTTGTTCATATATTATCCCTTCGAACAGCTTCTCGACATCGGGCAAGACATTAATCGGTCGCATATTTGTATACAGCTGAGAATTTTGAACTTTTGGCACAGGAGTAATGGGAATTCACCATGTACTAAACAATGATTCACCAATATTAATAATTTCTCTCCAATTATAGTGAAACAATCATTTAGAATTTAGAATGTCGATGTTCATTTTTTTTTTTTCATTCATCCATTCTTATAGTCTGTAGAGAGAATCAAAGTGCACTTGACGTAAGTCAATTTTTTGATAGTTTTGTCATTAAATTAATAGTTTTAATGTTCTATTTTTCACAGTGCGAGAGTTTGCCGATAATTGTGGTGTTTCAAGACCTGCTACTTCTTACATAATTTACAAAGAATATGGACGGGCCTAGTGAAGGTAGATGTTTACTTATTATGTCGAAATAACGCTATAATTTTGGTAGGCGTTGGCAGGCAGATGAGCCAAAAGTATACACCAAAAATACGCAATTTTTGCGACAAACAATGCTATGTAAACACGTGGCTACCAATCTATTCGAATTCATTGGTCACATTAGACGTGAAAGGGATTAGGCTCTAGCTAAAAGTGAGATCAATATTGTAACACAAAAAAAAATTAAAAAATAAACACGAAAATGGGGAACTGCAAGGAATTTTAAAACGTAAGTAAATAGATGTTTTATTTGAAACGATACTTTTGATAAGGGGGGTAAGAAATACCGAATGATTTTCTGTCGTCAATTAAATTGCAAAAAATAAATTTTTGTGAAAACCATGATTCGTGAGTAGTCATGGAGTTATATATTACAAGAGTTCAAGTTGAGATGCATATCCGTGAAGTGAAGGGCGCCCATACCTCAAAATCATACTGATTCAATTTTCTCTCTACTAGTACTCTCATAGTTTTGCAATACTCGCGCTGCTATGAAGCACATTCCCGAAACTGGACTAGATTACATTATGCCTACTACGTCTTGTGTCATTAAAACAGATAAAGACTTCACATTTTCTAGCACAAGACTTGTTAAGTGTTGTCCGTCTTACCTTAATAATATCACTATGGTAACGTGAGCGGTCTGAAATACTGCCTGCAATATAGCGCAGTTAAGCTGACATGTCTGTCCTGAGGGCATAGCTTGTTCAGCCGATCAGCCAGTCGAGAGTAGGCCAATGCGTACTCCTTGTCGAAATTGTTTATATCGATCTGGGCCCTGCCGATGGCTTTGCAGGCCAGAAACAGAACATCTCGGTAGATGGAGGTGCACTTAGGACTGACGTTGTCCACTAACCGATCGCTGGCTAGGCTTTTCAATGGTTCTGCTAGGTCGTTCATGCGAATTTGGTTCAGGATCTGCTGCATGAAACTGTAAATTAAACAAGGTATTATTAAAGATGGATACCTAATCAGGGAATAGAGGTTTTTTGAAATCCCTATCGTTAGCACGGGTATAATTATGGATTTACGCATCTAATATTAATAGCACACTGACGGGCAGGTAAATCAATCATTAGCCTTTTTGCATGTTCGTGCCTGATCAACTTAAAATCTTTATCAAACAATGTCATCACTTGCGAAAAGCACTTGAATTTCCAAAGCCCGAAATGCCACGTCGGATTTCAGAACGATTGTACAAAACCAGGTGGACAGGTGAATAGCGATATCCTCGAGTCCGGATCAAAATTTTGTTTCTTGTAGGTGGTATCACCTTTACAGAAAACTGAATTGAACAGGCACAACATTCTAACGACCTTGGATGTTACACCTCAGATGAGCTTGACCCAAACAAGGAAATAAAACGTATGATTGAGATTGCTTCTTAAAATTGTGTACACTCTTTTGTACAGACAGTGTCAATATTAAAGTGCGCTGGAGGTTAGTCAAATGCTAACTTGGTCGATCTTGTTATATCGACTTGAGATCTGGACCACAAATTAATTGGAAGCTTCTAAAATACGGTTATAAAGACGCGAGCTCGAACTAGGTGGTATTGGATACAGCAAATGTTCCTCGAGACTTGCTGAAACAGATACTATGTAGAAAGCTGTCGTGTTTAGGATGCATTTTATGGGGAGATCGATACCGCGTTATTCAATTAATAATAGGGCGTAGGATAAAAGGGTTGTGGTTTTAGGAACATACGCGAATTGATAAACATTCAGAGTACAGAGCAAGTATTCCTGATAGCCGAGAATTGTAAAGTTGGGGCGATCCGACATGGCACAAGGAGGACATCGCGATTGCAGCTGCAGAAATATTGGTACTCACGATTTTGTTATTCGACTTCGCCCACTACAAATGGTATTAGAGGTATCTCGCAGCTTCCACAGGGTGTACATAGGAGGGCCATCCGTATGAAGACTTGGTTGGTCCCAATGGCACCTCAGGCTCACTTGAGCAGCTAGCTGGGCTATAAAGATAATTAATATTTTGTATTATTACTAACTAATACTGCAATATGGTCAAACTAGCTGCGGTTATTTTAAGTTATTTGCCAATATCAACAGTTAGTCGTGAAAATCCTTTATATCCAAATTGCTTACCCTTTTTTCCAGTTTCCTTGGACGCAGCTTGAATTTGAAATGGTATTTTATTCAGAATGTGGAGAACAGTACAGACATATAGTATAATTTAAATTTGTAGCTCGTAAATCTTCAAATTGGAAAAATTTGTTTTTTTAAATTGAACTAATTTTTGCATATTCGAATAGACCCTCCCACAAAAAAGAAGCGTTTTGATGATCAGTAATTGAACTATAAGCGTGTCAACGTATAAAAATACTTAGCTTTGGCTGTGTGTCATTTTGAAAGGTAGTGACCTTGATATTCCAGAGTTCTAGGGTACTCATAAGGAGCTTCAAAATCATATACCACCTGACCCCTTTTTAAAATGTTTTATTGTAAAAATTCCGGTTTAAACAGCTCCCCATCTTCATAGTGTTTCAGTGAGGTTTAGAGTATTTTTCATTTAAGCGTTTACGTTGGTTAACGTTGGAAGACAGCATGATGAATGTATTTATACAAACTCACCCAGTGCAGCCAATTCTTGCGTCAATGGATCGGTCCCTTCTTCAACCGGTTTCATCACAGCTCCGCCATTAGTTTCAACTTCCTCCTCGTCGTCTGTACATTTCGATTCCTCCGATCGCTTGCTTATGCTGTCCATACTTCCCGTTTCTGCTTTATTTCTCAAATAAAGATTTGGGAGATGGGTCTGGATGTTGATCCGCTCGAACACCCACACCAAGTTCCAGTAGATGATTGGGTGTTCGTCGACGAATTTTGGTTCTGCTAGACACAGGTCACCTTCCTGGGTCAAAATGTTTTCCAGCTCCTGATAAAATTACATCAAATAAATTCATATCCAAGAAGGAAGTGTATGTAATTTTGTTGACTTGTTGATCATGAACTCTTCTGGAATTATGATGAGGCTAGTTTAAACTGTCCACAGACTATGGCTGTCGTGACAGAGTCTTAGAGGCATACAATACATCGATCATTTTTTTTTACTAAAAAAGTTCAATGTAGCATATCAAAAGGGTTTCTGGGTGAGCTAACTTGAGACTTCTAGATTCTTGATAGCAAATTTTACCCAGCATAAGAAAACTATGCTACATACTTTTATCTTCCACGCCTGGTAGAGGAGGAAGTATTTTAATCGTGAACAATTTCGAAAATAAGATATGTTTTTTGTATGTTATATGACATGTACATCAACAAAAACCATGTCACTCATTTCCGTCGATCTGTCGGTCTGCCTGCTAATCCTTGGTCCGTCCATAACTTGAAAAGTACTCGTATTTGGATGACATTTTTACACAACGTTATTACTATGCCAAGGGCGACAAATCTTTTTAGTCTTTGAAAATCGGTCCAGTGCCGGTGCAGAAAAAGGCCGAAAATGAGAAAACAAAAAACGCTGTTATTTCAAAAGGTACCGCTTACGTCGAGCAGATTTGGTAACTAATCTTTCAAAAAACAATCTTTGCCGAATGGTAATATTGAACAAGCCTAATAATCATGGACGTTAACCAATAATAATTAAAAAATATCGTCAAGTATGTTGACACTGCACTTTCCACACAATGCTGCCATCAATTCATAAAATATGATGTTCGGCACAAGTTAGCCCCTCTGAGGAAGAGTTAGCTACGAACATTTATAACGAAAAAAATAAATTGATCAAGTCAGTCAAAAGGCCCAAACGCCAGTTATGAGCCAGCGTCAGTGGTGAATAATCAGACATAAGACCACGACACAACGTTTTGTGCACATTGCAGTGCGACCGATACGCGACACTGTTGAAAATATGTCTCTATCTCAAGTCATACGGGGGAATCTATACTGTCTGAAATACGTACAGTCTACAATAAATGGACCTAAAGGGAAACATTTCTAGTAAGGCTTCAAGGCGAATATTTCAATTCGTCACGTGGCAAGTGAAGCACACACACACACACGCGCACGCATTTGAGAGATCTGACTAAAAACTGACACGCAAACAGTAGCTGGACGCATTTATGTGGCTACTACCATTGTCGATCTATTTCATTTCAAAAGCAAATAAGTATTACTCATAGCTCTACGGTATTTACTAATTCAAAAGTTATGAAAGAATTGTTATATGTCTGTGTAAAGTAAAGAAGTAACGTTAATTTACCAAAAATAACGAAAATATGCCAATGTATTGAGAATATATGTACCATACAATATTTTGATGTCGAATCTTGTTCGATTACCGTTTTCACGTTCCAGATGATTCCATTATCACTACGCAGTATTCGCCTTATAACAGTAGGAAAACATTTTCTATAGGGGTATGGTGTATGCAGAGCATATTTTGCTGTAAATTCGTTGTCTCAGTTTTTCTTGTTACATTATGAACTGACACTTACCTTCCTTAAAACGAGAGGATTCAGATAAGGTACGCTGAATGGATCACAAGGTTTCCTATTCTTTCCACAAATGATGATAGTTAGCAGGGGGACTGTGGGTTTGTTACATGCTATGCATACTGTGTTGAGGTTCGAGTCTTCTGATGACCAGTTGGCCATAATATCTTCGTCGTATAATAGGCAGGAGCAGTTGTGACATTGCGAACACGACGTAAGTGATATATCCAATTCACTATCTGAAAGTTGGAATATACAGACAGGTTAAGATAGCGTTACACACACCATTCACCACGATACTTCAACACGTCGAAACGTGACAACAAATAACAGCTGATCATTAAGGCCCGACTAAGGCTGGGTCCAAAAAGCTCGTGGGTCAGAAATTCAACGCTGTAATGGATCTAATTAATATGGTCGATTTCTTGTAAAATGTTTCTCATTTTAGAGAAAAAGCATACCGGCCCCTAGTTCCCGTATTAAATAAAAAAAGAAGTCATAAATAACTTGGCTTAGCTATAAAAACTTATTTTTTCTTTTTAGTCCGGATACTAAATGAGCGGCCATGATTATATAATGCACCAATGAAAATTACGCATCTGCGCCATCCTTGATTCATGGAAACAAATCTGATACAATATCTAGATTGATATGGATCAATTAAATTTGCATTTTAATGGGAATAACAATATATCTCATTGTTGCCGTAGAAAATTCTGCTTGATAAATTCTTTCAGGACATGAATAAAATTACAAAATACTTATTATTAAATACATGCATCCTGTTAACAATAAGTAAATTGACTCGATGTTTGTTAAATAAAAAGCATTCTGTAATATATGTGGTATCATGTGCGTTAACTAGGGTCTAAAATAACCCCATTGGCAAAGTAGGGTTACATCAAAGACCTATTACGTCACGTTAGGACTTATTAGGCCACAGTAAGGCTTTGTACGGCACTTCTGCCGCTTCACGTTCAAGGATAAAATAAAAACACTGGGAATACACTTTTTGGTGAATATGGGCCCTTTCTGAAATAGTGCATGACACGTGAAACTTAAGCATACAATAAAAATACATACCTGTCGTTCTTTCCTCCGATGGCATACCAAATAAGCTTTCGGGTAGTATTTCTTCGTATTCTTTAAGATTATTACTGCTACCCCTACTACTCAGTTCTGCAGATATACGTCTATGTCTCTCACCAGTGTCGCTGCCGTCATTTGACTCGCATTCTTCTTGAATATCACTGGGTGCCAACCTAATATAAAAAACACAAAACCAAAATAATAAAATATACTACAATTTCTGAGGACAGACGGTAAATCTGGTATCAATAGGACTTGAGCTCACAAATGAGATATTTTGCCATGCTAGCAAGGCTAAATATCTTGCAAAGGCGCTCTACGAGTGTGGTGGATCCGTGGATCTACTGAGACGAAGATCTGTATAGATATTCAACAACAGTGGGCATGCTTCCTATATCACTGGCGAAAAACTTTGAAAATGAGATATTATGCTTTTCGGATCTTGACTTGTACATCATGAAAAACCATGTCACCTATTTCGGCTGGTCTGTCTGTACGTCCGCTAATCCTTGGACCGCCTATAACTTGGAAAGTACCCATCGGATTTTAAGATTTTGAAAATCGGTCCAGTGATGGTGGAGCTAGGGGATAAGGCATGAAAAAAATAAAAATCGCTCAAACCTAGTTTTTTTTACGTTTCAGAGGCTGCTGATTATTTTCAGAAATTTTTTTTTGGCAATTGCTGTACATCATCTTCAAACATTTTTTAATTAGATTAAGCGGCCATGTGATGCATCGTATTGAAGCTTCTTGTAAGTACTTTATAAATCTAAATTCACTATCAATCAAAACAACAATCTCGTGTGCTGTCAAAGTTGAGCATTTTGGTACATTGACCTGCTTATAACTCAAAAACTAATAACGAAACATTATAGTACGTAAAATCAATGTTTTTTGGAACTCTCTGAGTGTATAATGGATTATGGGATATTTTGGCATATTTTGACTTTTTTCTTTCAATGCAATATTCCATGTTCGGTTAGATCCTTCCAAGGAAAAAAGATTGATATAACATATTATTGCGTTATGTTGAGTTATAAGCGACTCAATGTACATGCTCTTTATCACAAAGCAATGTCAAACCAGTTTTTGGTCAGTAAAAACATCCCTCTGCCTCCTAAGCTTCCTTAATCGCCAGACTTAAGTCCTTGTGTCTTTTTTCTCTTCCAGAAGTTAAAAAATCACCTCAAGGGACAGTCGAAAACATTCAAACGACTGTAACGGACCAGCTGCAGGCTATTGCAATATCAGAATTCCAGCACTGGCTATGTGGAGTGGAAGAACCGTCTCGTCACTTAATTAACATAGCTCGTATACCAAAATAGCGTGAAAGTGAAATAGCTTCACTTTAACTCACAGCTCCGTCAGTTCCGCGATCCGTTCTTCTACAAAAACAACCAGAACTTGGCAATCGACGACACCAACTTGTTAATATAAATATCTTATCCATATGATCCACAATTATAAGATTACAATGAGAATGAGATTGAAATCATCCCGGGTAGTATTTACCTGTCACTAGGTAATCCTTTTACAGGTGTGGAATTGGCAGACGTTGAAATGGCCTCTCGAATCTCCTCCATCTTCTTAACCATGCTGGTGGCGGCAGATTTGATGGAGCTGATACCACCTTGGATTAGTTCGTTGGATTTTTTACTAGCTAAGCTACTCGGACTAAAAAAAACAAAAAAGCCAATCATACTAAATAATAAGTACTCGAAACATATGCATGCATGCAAAGATGCTCTATCAAATAAACGCCTTTAAATGTCAAAATATTCGTATCAAGTGACAGTGACTCAAATCTACTGCAGTAGATTTGAGTCACTATCAGTATGCATACGGATAGTAGTAGTTGTATACTACATATCCGACTACATTTCGAGGTTTGTTATTCTGAAAATGCACCAAGTTTTAAAGTTTAGAGTTCTTTGGAACAACTATAGATCTTTTAACGAACTTATCAATGTTTAGCGCAATAAGTAAACAGATCGCCTTACTATGGGCGAGGTTTAACTTCCCTATATTCGTACCTAACGGGAAAATTGTCGGAGTGGTGGAATGAAACTACGGAACGTATATTTATAGCTTCACTGTTATAAGCCAAAATCTGAGAAATTACAATCAATGAAATAGACGATATTACATTTCATAGTTAAAAACCCTGATTCAAAAAGTATCTACTTAAACAGCTCCAGTTTGAGATTAACTCATATCAATTTTTCATCTACAGACATTAGTCGAGAGAAGTACCAGAATATTTTTTTTTTTTGTTAATCTTGTTCACATATGACCATTATTTACAACAGATGTAATAGCGGACTAACATACAGGTACATGAATAGCAACTTACCTTAAATTATTGATAGCATTCTCAATGAACAGCTGTGGTACCTTAAGATCAGCTTTGCGCAGGGACAGGCGTGATGGTGAATATCGGCTAGAAACCAAATCACTACTTTTCTACAACGTGCAGTGTCTAGCGTATGTTGTTTGTTATGCGATGCCATGCAGGTATATCGTCCAAAATAAAACACTAAATAAAATAGTAGGCAAAAAATACAACGCATACTTTACCCACCAATTCAAGTAGTGAGATTTCGCCCCACATAAATCTCGGACGGGACATTTTTTATACGAACATTCGCTTTTCAAAGTCAAAAGTAAATTTGGTATGTTGAATTGCATAACTGGAACGAAATCCGTTTTAGTAATGACGGTATATATACCAATGCTGCTGCATAGGCAGAAACCCAAATACTGGGACACCGCTACTGCTATAAGTAGATCAGAGACACATTGTTAATACTATTTTTAAATCTGCTTAAGGTTAGTAGAACCTCAGCAGATTATTCCACAGTATCGCCACCATAGGATTAAAGGAGCTGTCCTTTAGACTGATCGCGCGTCGCTAATTAGGCCGTGATGCTTAAGACATTTCAAAAGGTCCTGATTGGTGTACTTCACCGTCACCTTGTTGAGCACAGAAAGCAGAGCTATATGTTGGTAGTTGTAAAGTTCGGCCTTAGAACATTTTTTTTATGGGCTAAACATGTGAAAAATCTCCAATTTTCTGGCAAAGTACTGAATTCGTGAGATATCTTAAAAACGCGCAAATGAACAAGCTCTGTTGCACATTCCTTCAGTACAACTGCTCGAATCAAGTCAGGACCAGAAGCTTTTTTTTGTACACCGAAGCAGCTACGCAGGCAGAAGCCTAAATGCCGCGGCTGCTATGAGGATCCCAACCTCTTGTGGATTGTTCCACAATCTCGACACCCTCGGGACAAAGGCGCGGTCGTATCGACCAGTTCTGGATGTACGAAGTTCGACAAGGTTAGGATGGGAGGTCAAAGTTAGGTGGGTCTGTCTGGCAGAGGGCTCTGAGGAGCAAAGCCCGTTGGTGTAGCGGTAGAAGAGCCGGTGCGAAAGTTTCCGAAACTGTCGATCAGTTGGACAGCCCCTCTCTTAACAGCATATCTGGGTCTTTATAGAGAGAGAAGGTCATGCGGAGAAAAGTACTTCTTAGCCCTAAACAAATAGCCTAGCTTTTTCCCAGCAGCTGCCGCTTCTAACGAGATGTGTTCATGCAAGATCAAGTCCTCGGTGATCTTTACTCCGACCAGCCGAAGTGAACGGCTCTTTGGCAAGCTCGGCCATCCATCGAAACGGGATGAGCGCTAGGACGCTTTTTGTTCGTCAAGGTACAGTACTGTGTTTTGGAAGCATTAAACTGTACAAGCTTGTTGCGCCCCCAAGCAGTGATAACCTCCAAGTCTCTCGTTAGAGTGGAAGTCGTCGCTAGACTTCTTTTCCCCAGCTCAGTGGCAGAGATCGGCTTGTCACTCTGAATTTCTACATGTAGAGTGCTGTCAGCAAAACTCTGGATTGGGTTGCACAGCTTTTCTGGGAGGCCATACCACCGAAGTTTGCATAAGAGGGCAGCGTGCCACAGCTAACCGAACGCTTTAGTGATATCAACAGCAACGACATAAGCCTCACCATAAGACTGGATAAAAGTTTACTCCACAACTGCGTGACGTAAGCTCCTGTGGATCGCTGGTGCCGGAAACGATACTGCCTGTCGCTAATCAAGCCGTGACGTTCGAGGTAGTCCAGAAGCTCGCGATTTACGCACATCTCCATCACGTTATTTATAACAGAAAGCAGAGCTATAGGCCTGTAGTTGTATGGGTCGGTCTTAAATCTTTTTTTTTTGAGACATGAGCAAATTCCAGTTTTCTGGGAAGGTGCCGGATTCATAAGATATCTGGAAGAGACGCGAAGGACCTGGAGCAAGCTTCGCTGCACACCTCTTCAATACAATGGCAGGAATCAGGTCCGGACCCGAAGCTTTGTTGATGTCGAGCGACCAGAGCACCCATCTTACGGTCTTATGACTGGAATGTTACTTCCCGCGTAGTGTAAAGAATCCTTTGAATCGACAGCACTTGGGCGTTGGGGGGACGTCTATGGTGGAGTTGGCAGCAAAGATCTTGGCAAGCACTTCTGCCTTGGCCTTTGATGGTTACCTCCCGCATAGAGTAGGGAACTCTTGGAATTGATGGATCTCGAGCGTTTAGAGGGACATTCATATTGGAGTTGGCAGCAAAGGTCTTGGCACCTACTTCCGCTTTAGCTTTGGAGAAGCTTATCTCATTTTTAGATGTACTTTCTTCCGTTGACACTGCTTACTGGTAAACGAGGCAATGGGTAAGACGATATCTCACTAAATGACAATGCAAAAGTGGGAAACTACTGAATTTGGTTTTGATAATGTGAATATTTGCTTGACATTAGTATACACTGTACAGGCATATAAAAAAATAAAACAGCAAAAACGCTAGCACAACTTAAAAATAAATATTTCAACATGCTAATTGAGAATAATTATGTATGCATATACTACTCAACTCTAGTGAATATACACAAAGAACAATCAAATTGAAAAGAAACAATTATTAAAGTGGAAAAATACGTGGAGTAATGTTTTTCTACAATTAAGTACATCCAGATATATTTTTTGTCGCATAATTAGCAATATTTTTGTATCTGTTTCATAATGTCTACTAGGGACGCACCATGAGAAAACAAGCATTGCAAAAAGTCAAACATATAAAAATAGTCAACATTTAGACAAGTTTGAAAATATGGCATTATACTTAGATTTTGATAGTTTGACTTCATATTCGAAGATATATTTCAATTTCATACTTTATTTTCGTTAATGCGAGGCGTATGATTTGCAGTCAAATGACGCGGTTGAAAAACGCAGCGATTAAAATAATTCTAATTAATCATATAGTTTCCAAGGTCCAATTACCGAAATTATGTGAATAAAACTATGCAATAAGGCATGCAACTGGATAAGTTAAACAGGTTGTGTGAACCATAATCATTCTGTTATTAATATGTAAACATCTGATTTGCCAAAATGAACATGAACATAACTTTTTAGTCAATAGAAAAAATATGTAACCGAATCATTATACAAAATTGACATTGTAGCATTAATGCTAAATAAATCTTCAACAAACAAACAAATTATCATTAAAATGCGCGCTCATTGAGGAGAATCGACGCAAAGAGAACGGCAGGGACAAGCATCATTTACACGCGTCAAACGTGATACGTAGCTTCCTTCCGCGTCGCTCTAGTGCACAGGATTCAATTTGATTCTCTTTCCTGCCCTTCCCCTCAATGGACGTGCACCTTCAATGTTATTTTTTTCTTCTGTCATAGTTCGTTAATGTCAGACATGAGGAAAACCTAATCTTGAAGCAATGCACTGTGGATGTGTCTATCCTAGTTCACGTAATATTTGAGGGGTATCAAGATCACAGCAACTGCATAACAGCGGATTAATAGTTACCTAAATCCAAGCTTGAAGCTGGATCCCAAGCTAGCCAGACTAGAAGCAACAGTAGCAGCTGGTACTGTTTCAGAACGATGCAATTTTGCTTGGCCGGGTGGACTGTCCTCAAACGTAGCAGACCGATGCACCGACGACCTATTTTACATACAGCACGTTCAAAATTAGTTACAATGGGTACAATATCAAAAAACAATTACTACCGTAACTCTCTGATTTCACTATTTGGTGACGTTTAATCCTAAGACCCAGGTTTTCAATTGCAGATTAAATGAGACGTACGAATTTCAAAACCGAATTGCTCGTGACAGCTACGCGGGAGCGGGACACGGGTAGTGGAGATAAATAGCTCGGTGTTCGGAAATTTAGTCGCCATGAAGCGTTTCACCGGTGAGCAGCGTGCGTGTTGTATTAAGGCTTATTACAAAAATGGAAATTCGTGCACTATTCAGGTCGTGTGTGATCAAAAACCTGCGGGGCGTCCAAGGTCAATACGAACAGAGGAAACTTTAAGCGCAATCCATAGTTATCATCCCGAAAGAGATCAGCTGATCTCGCCATATCAAGAACATATGTGACGCGTATTTTGGTGAAAGACCTTAAATTGTACCCATATAAATTTCAACTAGTGCAGGAATTGAAACCGCAGAACCACCTTCTACGCCGTGCGTTTGCCGAAACAATCTTATACCGCTTTCCAAGTTTAAGCAATATTCTCTTTTCTGATGGAGCTCATTTTCATTTGAGTGGATTTGTCATAAGCAATATTAACGGTATTTGACAGTAGAAAATCCCAAATTATAACACCAACGACCTTTGCATTTGCGTTATGTTATAGTTTGGGCGGCCATATCGGCCATCGGATCCTATTTCTTCGATAACGAGCAAGGCCAAACTGTAACAGTAACTAATCGCTACAGAGCAATGCTACGTAAATGCATAATTTTGAAACCTACCATAGCAGGGCCTGGTTTCAACAAGATGCCGCGGCAACCCGTACCGCCAACGACTCTTTAGCAGTTGCAAAGGAAATATTTAGTGGAAAACTGATATCATGATGAGGGGACATTCCGTGGCCTCCCCAGAGCCCAGATCTTTTGCCACTGGATTTTTTTCTCTGAGGATACCTCAAGAGCCGCGTTTAAACCGACGACGATTGCCCAGCTTAAGCACATTTTCGAGATGTCCGCTATCAAACGAACGATGCGCCAGCCAGTTTTCACGAATTTGAAGTCGAGATTCGAGGAGTGCGGACGTCTCGATGGCTCACATCTCAATGGCGTTATTTTAAAGAAATAAAATTCCCATGTGTCTACTTTATCAAATAATATATATATATATAAATTATAAATATAAATTATCTTCCCTATGCTTTGCAGTTTTCTTTCTATGATTTTTTAAAACCCGCTCAACTCAATGGTCCACCCTGGAGTATCAAAACGCGTCAGATTTGCCTGAACGATGTAGTTAATTTTCACCAAAAAAAACATCTGAGTTGACTAGAAAAATGTAATTTAATACCAATACCTTTTTCGCTTGACAGCGACATGAGTTGTCACGAGACACAAATGACAAGCCCCATAAGGATTTATGAGAACACGAAATTTTAGAGGTAGAAGCAACGTTGCCAGATCAACAGTTGCGGGTTAACCCGAACTTGAAAAACATATTTAGGAGAAACTAATAGTTATAATAGTTACCAAACTTGAAAGTTGACCAGCAATTGAAAATCAGAGCCTTCGTAATATTGTCCGAGATAGTAGATGGTGTTAATATGCTGTTTAGTCTAAATCCGCAGATATACACCGAAAGGGTAGGCGACAAGCAACTGGAGATAGCCACCCTCGCTTGTAGGAGTTTTGGAATATTTTTAATCAACCCCTTTATACTTGACCTAGGTGGCAGATGATGATGGCGATGTACGGATACGGGCGACGCCAAGCGATACGACACCTTTCGAATATTATATCTTATCTGCAGGATCGATTGACTTCTTGTAGGTCATTTTCGGTGAAGTTTGTTTTGTACCTTTGCTAAAATAAAATCGACAATATCCGCATCTTAAAAAATATCCCGGGTAGTTTCTTAGGTGAGACGATGAAATTCGCCATATTAAATAGATAAACATGATATATTGTCTGAAGAGCAACATAATTCTTATCAACAACGCTAACTCAAGATAAAAATATAACAACATTACATTATGTGGATCTTGTATAAAAGTTTTTAGATCATGGCTGAATATCATTAAACTGTTGATTTTTTATAGCATCAAAAAGGTAAATGTGAATTTTCACGCCTTATAAATCAATGAATTTTGATATTTAAAAATTAAGGCGTGTTTGTAGCTCTAGGATTGCTGTCGGTTATTTATCTATTAGTTCCTTTCTGTAATATTAGCCCCTTTTTCAAAAAATTTGAAAACAGACACATTGAAAGAGGATGCTGTGTCTCAATATACAAATAAGGAAAAGCACTGGTTTAGGCTGTGTTTCTTCCACCGTTGTAACCAATTATTCTTATGATCAAGTCTTTGTCAGGTGAATGTTTAATTGTTCTGACGCATTTTATTTAGAGGGTGAATACTTCGCCCCTAAAAAATCGATCATTTGGAACGAAAAGTAATGACGTATTCTGAGTAACAACCTGGTAAACATTATACCAATTCGTTCTCAATTCGGTCTCGTCACTATATAGCCTGTGACCTACCATCCGTCACTTATTGCCTGCCTCCTCGGCTTAAAACTAACGTTGCTCTACTAGTGCAATAACAATACAACTATCACGACTTGAGTTGCATGTTACAATTTTTTTTACTCGCACATTCGGACTAAAATTACGTAACACTCAGACTTAAAAGAATGCAGGACAATTTCTAATGGCATATTACCTAAACAGCCTAGGTTCATCTGTCAGAGTATCAGCTACAACAGAAGCAATGGGTGGAGATTCGATGTTAGGCGTAGGCGATACAGGTACCTGCAGAGGCTCGTCATCTATTTCAAGTGCCCCCAAAGGATCGTCTTTTACAACTATTTCACGCGGGGATACTCTGAAAAAGCCAATGTTAAATTATACTGACATATTTTGGCACACAGGATATCAGCACTCATGTCTGAGTTTAAGATGGCAAGGTTATTTTCCCACTTGCAAACCGGCTACCTCAGCGTGCGTGTTCAGCTTATATTCAGATAAGAATTGTCAAATCCTGTCAAATGACAATTAGAAAAGCTTACGTTGTCATTATTATAACCTGAATTCTAGTTTCAAGTCCCCCAATTTTTGAATAATGTATATCCAGCTGACGTATTATACTCACTTTGCAGGAGATCCTTTTTCGTTTTCTGAATCTTCTCTGTCTAAACTGCCGTTGAAGAGGTTCTTCGAGCACGGAACCTTCTTGTTGTTTTGAAGTTTGTCTATTATATTCGCATCTCCAGCACTTTCTGATCGTGACAACAACCTGGAAAAAAGAAACTGTATTAACATAATTCAAGTGAAATATACAATTGCACAGAAATACCACATTATCACAACCAATTTGGACTATACAGATTATTCCCGGAGAAAGACGAAACTAGAAATGTACAAAAAACTAGACAGCATACATGCTAGGGCACATCTTTTCATCATGCCTTGTAACTACTACGAGTAACATAATTTGAAGAAAACTAGATCACAGACTCTAAAAACCAGTTTCAATCGCAAATCAGTTTTCGGGTTAACAAACTCTAACCTCGAAGTTAGCTGGCAGTTCTTCATGAATTCGTTTTATAAATTTTGATTATCCCATTAGTATTATTATGGCAATGTCAACTTTACGGTATTAAGTATGGCTTCATGGCGACTTATGTCACTCTGTCTCGTGCCATAACTTGCGCTACTATCGAGCAACGTAGGCTAAATGTTGCTATTTAAGTAGGGGTATTTTTTGTTGAGTAACTCGAATCTGAAAGTCATCTATAGTTTGGCCATAAATTCCTTGGAAGTTCTGGTTAACCAGCCCATATTTGTTGTAGCGGAAACACTGTTTATATGGTGTGAAATGTCTGGGCCATCAGTGTTCTGTGCGTTTTGTGACGCTCTGAGTTTGTATTTTATGTAATCTTTTAACAACTTGGTCCAACTATCAACCCAACTAGGTTAGATATTACGGTTCAACTACAACTCTCTAGTTAACCCATAGACGGTACCCTGGTTAAAGATACTACCATTTCAGGACAAACTTGACATTGAAAAACATACTGCGAACCTACGATTGAAAAGCCGGGCTTTAGGCGCCAACTGTGACTTTATGACGTTGCTTTACCAAGAAAAACAAAATCGATAGTGTCGTTAAATTCGATAGATTCAAGGGCAAAATTGGTAGCAGGAAAGAATACGGCTGTCGCAAGATCAACGGTCTTCTATGAAAAAAGTATATTTTTGTATTGCTCGCCTACCCACAAGACAGGTTTTTGAGGGCATATTTTCATAAAAAATGTCAACTTATTTATTACAGCTTGTACAATGAGCATACTGGTCGCTCTTCATACTCCTTCGCAATCATCCTGGAAACTCCTTTTCCCGTTCACATTTACAATATTGTGAATATTGTTATGTTTTAGCCCTAAACTTGAAACCTCATCACCTAACATTTTAATTTAATTTTGAATTAAAAGCAGATGAGGTAATGCTTGTCCAGTGATGACGATGACCTACCAGACTGTACTGTTACATAGAATTGTTTTTTCATATAAATTGTTGGTTCCAGCTCTTTTCTCTTAAGTAATCTGAAAATATCTGATTGATATAAAAAATCAGGACGCTTTCGGTATTTCGGCAAATAAGGTCTCATTTCTGTAAAAATACCGAAAAATTGGGTGGGTCTGGAACACTGTTTTATGATTTGGTTGGTAACAGGGGTTATTCGAGGTTTGTCCGAAAAATACGTATAAAAGTGGAATAACAACTTTATTTTAAAATTGTTCACGTATTACAATATGGTCTACTTCAAAGTACTCCCCCCGAGACAAGATGCACTTCTGCCAATGCCGTGTACAGTGAATATAATTATTTATTATCTCTCTCATTTTTGAAATTCAGAAAATTTTTATATGTAATTTCCAGAATGGATAAGAAAAAGTGGATGCGCAACTGATTTCTAGTTTTGCATCTCAATTAAGTGTATTTGAGACAAGAACCCACTGTAATTATCATCAACACATACAACTTACAGCTTAGACCTCCAGTAATGCCATCTCAGAAGCAGATTTTACAATACATCAAGATTGATAACAAGCCTCATGACGTTTAGGCAACAAGTGCTAAGTTAATATCTTGTAGAAAAACCAAAATAATGTCAAAAAACAGTATAATTTCAAAAAAAAATCTGTTTAACGTCACTTTTCAAGATACAGTACCGCTCAAAAGTTTTGGGGCAGCATATTTTTTGAGGGTAAAAAACCAAATCAAACAATAGAGTGTATTTAATCAAAAACATAAGACAGGAACTATTTTCCACTAAAACTCAGTTAGTTGGTAACGTATTTCTATAAAAATTTACTTTAAATTCGTGATTAATCGAAATGTCCACCACGGCCCCGAATACTGCATGACAGACACGACTCATCCGACGTATCAAATTTTCAAGAATAGTTGGTGATAAGGATACCCACGCTTCCTGCACTAGCAGGCTCATGTTGCTTCTCCTGTCTGTCCAATTCATCCCACTAATACTCAGTAGGAGACAAATCTGGGGACTGGGAAGGCCAAGTCGTGATTTTCATTGCACCTAGTTCTTGCTGCAGGTCCAAATAATTGCGGCATAGTCGAGATGAATGCTCATTGTCGTTGTCTTGCTGAAATGCGAAATTGTTCCCAACAATCCTTTGTCCTGAGGGAACAGCGTGGTTTTCCAATATTTCCAGATTCTGCTCTTTTCGCATTATACCCTCAATACGAACCAAATCTCCTGTTCGATTTTCAGCAAAACAGCCCCAAATCATTACACTCCCACCTCCATGTTGAACAGTGGGCTGCAAACATTGCGGAGCCATGCGTTTATGAGGTTGGCGGCGTACAAACTGTCGTCGTCGAGATCCGAACATTTCGAATTTGGATTCATCCGACCAAAGGACTCGATCCCAACCGTCAGTGGTCCAATCCTTGTGTTTTCAAATCCATGCTAACCGGTTGAGTTTATGTATAGGCCGCAGAAGTGGTTTGCATGCTGCTACACATCCTCTAAGGTTAGCCCTTTGTAAGCGGCGTTTTACCGTGGTCACGGACACAGGGTTTTCCATCGTTCTGTTCAAGCTTTGTGTGAGTTCAGGCGAAGTTAAATGTCTATTTCGCTTATTTGTTATTACTATAAACCTATCCTCAGGAACAGTTGTAACTCTGCGTCTTCCAGAGCGTGGTCGATCTACGACACTGCCTGTTTCCCTCTTTTTCTTCAAAATTTGAGACACAGTGTTCCGTCCTAAATGCAGCTTTTCAGCAATTGCTCGAATTGGCAATCCCTCAACACGTAAGGTACATACTGCACCCCTTTTTTCAAGAGAAACGTTACCCGTCTTTAACATTTTCCATAATTTTGAAAAAATCCGACCCTAGCACATCGACTAGTAGTTTATACTAAACTACATACAATTTTTACTTTGCTTCATTGATACCCAGAATGTTTATGTATCACATTACGCGGAACATAATACACAGTACAGAAACAAGTAAGCAGCGGAAGGAAATCGGCCGATTTATGACTGCAGTGAACTAATAAAAATATCGGCGTCTCTAAAGATGTTTACATTTATTCCCTTTTAAGTGGTGTTTCACTGATTCTTATACATCTTGCTTGAGCTTGAGTAGTCGTATTATAGATGGTAATAATCAAACAGTGTCATAAGCCTTATTTATTTTAGGTTCTCTAAAAAAATGTTACTGTCTCAAAATATTTGAGCGGTAGTGTACGTGATACGTGGCGGTCACCCCTCCATAACGCCTTGATAAGAATTTTTTATAGGTATGTTACCACATTATCTCAAGACAGCTTTTAGGTACTGGTGATTCGCACTTCTGCTGCTAAAATAATTTATCTGTTACGATACGTAAGTATGCTTATGCATGCTACCTAGCTCTAATTTACCTGTAATCAGAAAGACTCTCTTTTCCAACGAACCCGCTATCCCCACTACCGTTTTCCACTGGACCGTTCTTATTTTCTTCAGCCTCATGTTCATCTTCCGTCTCACCCGCTCCGTCCACTTGCTCCAATCCATTCAAGCTTCCCTTTACGATGTTGGCTACCTTTCGGAATCTGTCCAACAGGCTGTCTTCGCGGATGGTCGTGTCATTGCCGGAGTCCAGGGAGAGACGGGAGGCGGTTCGGTCAACGCCATCTAACAGGCTGCTTCCTATAAAGGAAATTTTAGATACGTACGTTATTCGTCATATACATCACACACATCTGAGTACGACATTCAACATGTTTGTTTTACATGTTGCCCTTGGAACGATTCCGTAGAACTTTCATAAGGACCGTATTACAATATGAGAGTTGTTAAGAAAGAAACAGAATTCATCTCTAGCTATGTAAGGTGTTTTCAAATCTAGCATTCAAAATTTTTCATTCATAAACATCTCGCGACAATGAATGACGCATTCGAGTTCGGCAGATGACAAAGTTGAAGTTTGCTTAAAAATACTTTTTTCTTTGTTATTGGCCACCTTTTTCCAACACCTTCTTAAAGTTAAATGACCTTGCAAAAGTGAAAGCACAGTGACTAACGTTGACAGGAATCATAAAAATAAAACTCCAGTGAGAATACGTCGTATGCGCCACGAAAGCGAGATTCAAGAATACGTTCGCTGGAGAAAAAAAAACATGGCCAAAATTACCCAGCAAACGACGTGTCAAACAAAAGTTATCTGGAATTGTTCTGAATATGATGAAATCACTTAATAAAAGCGTGCAAAAAACGAATACGTCTTGACGGCGCCTTTAAGTGGAATAGGACATAGTTAAAAAATCTGTTTTATGTGATAGCCCAATGTTTCGAATAGTTTCTGAATATTCTAGACCCAAATACCAGACGAAACTTATTTGTTACAAATCAATACGACATGGTGATGAATTTAATAATCACCATAAATTATCATCAGGTGAAGATTTCTATTATTATGCTATAAATTCTAAAAAGCGAAAAACAATGGAGGCGGTGAAATGTGTAGAATTGGCATTCAACATACGAAATATGAGAGCATTCAAACGTTTTTAGAAAGAGGAAACTCATAGGATTGAAAAATGTGTAAGTCACTAATATGTCCAAAGAGGTTAATTTTAAACACGAGTAAGCAATTAGTTAGATGAATAGGCACTTTCCAAGCGATTACACATTCAAAACACAACAAACAGTTAATTAATGTACCCTTTACTAATACGAATTGTCCATTTACTTCATCAACCACTGGAAGAAAAATTCCTGATGGTGGCACTAAAAATCCCAATAATTAAAATACTATATGCATGCTTAATAAATTGCTTAAAACTAAGAATCACATTTTGTGTATGTGTATCTAAAAATAAATATCAAAAATTCGACGCGCTAATCAGGTTGAACAATCTTATCGAAATAAATTATAACGCCTTACCTCCTTCAGTAGAGGCCGAAAGCTTAGCAGCTTTTCTTCTGGCTGCCCACTTGAAATGCGCCGCCCCAATAACAACGTTCCTCAATTTGTTCCACAACAACTGACTAGAACCTGAATAAGCGGGCCACTCAGCTTCCAAAACACAGCGATTGTAGAGGCTGAAACAACGTTAATATATTTATTTGTTGATTTTAATTCGAGAATAGCCAGAAGCCAAGTCATTTTTGCTATTAGTCGGATCTTTTTACGTGTGGTCTCATTTTGTAGGTCTCATAAATACCTAAAAATTTATTTGAAAAGTTTTTTCTCCCTGTCAACACTTTCGATTGAATCCCAAAAAACACGTTTTCTCATTCTTTGTTGTGGAATAAAAAGTTTTATTACTCCTTGAACAACTTGCACCAATAAAACCAGACTTTACAATTAATTCGGGGAAATTTGCTAATATGATTAGACTATATAGAGATTTTCAAATGCTATTTTATTCCAGAAACCAGTAAGGGCCATATGATTAGTCATTTCTCGAAATGAGTTCTCCTTTCACTTCCTACGCCACTGGCGCGGAAATATTGTAATCACGAGTAAATGACACGTACATCACGAAAAACGATGACACTCATTTTCGTCGTTCTGTCTGTCTGTTAATCCTTGTCTCATCTTTAACTAGTACCGCTCGAAATTTGATGAAATTTTTAAACAAAGTTTCAACTATGCCAAGAATGAAAAAACTGTAGTTTTTTACAAATCGGTACAATGGGAGCGCTGAAAAAATCCGGAAACGAAAAAAATAAAAATCGCTCAAACTTCGTTTTTTGACACTTCGCAGGATACTATGGACTAATTGCATGAGCCTGTTTGAATGACATGATCCATTTAATTCATTTGTTATACGTTCGTAGACAAGTTTTTCCTACGTTGAACTAACTTGAGCCAAATATAATCCCTTATGAATTGACGTCAGCGTTGCAGTGGAAGGGCAGAGTCACCCTACTTGACTGACGTCATTTTTTTCTGAGGACGCCTGATTTTCACTGACAAGAGTGACAGAGGAAGGAAGAACACTTTTTCAACCTGAGGCCACCTTATATAAAATTTGGAAAAGCAGGATATGTAGGTCCATATGTTTATTGAGGTAAGTAGTGAATTACGGAGCCTTAAGGTTAACGATTATGCAAGTTAATAAGAGGACCGCTTCTTTCTTGAAAATCAATCGCAGCACCCCTGTCACTCCTATGTATCAAGACTACCAGGGCAAATGAGAGATCCTCATTATAAAGATGCTTCAATTGGAGGAGCGGCTACGTATACATACCTAAGCTATTCAATAGTGATGTCATAATGAAAAGATAGTATTTTAGTAGGTTGTAAATGTCCATTACACAAATTCCATAGGCTTGTACTGAGAAGGATGTTCCAAATAGGAGCGCCAATTCTGTTAGGATGTCTCCAGAATCTGCAACTGCGACTCGACACGCGAATCCAGTACATACCCAACTAACAATTATCATTCCTATTAGAGTTGCAAGAATGATTATACAGTACTCCTTACACAGCATTGTATACTCTAAGAACATTGGCAAAACCCTCTTAGAACACCTATACAAGCGGAATGGGCACACCTAATAGCACACTCATTTAAGAGGTTGTATAAGGGCTGCAGGTAACAGTTATACAACAAAAGTGTAAGCCTCTTGCAGCCGCTATAGGACATTTGCGTCAGTGCAAGATTCAGTTTTTGTCAACTATACAACTATTCTGTTACGTGATTCTACTTTATTGCAACCAAACTATTTCTTATGCATTGTATAGACGAAGTGAAGAATATAACGTATAACTAACACATTACAGTCATCTTGTTTACTTACATATCGACCATTGTGAATTTCATACACAGGTATATGATAAACTTCTACACTGTGATTAGGTCTATTGAATTACTTGCAGAGCAAATTTTATCGTGATTATCGTGCAAAGTATTTGGGTCATATTTTGATAATGATCAAAAGTATGTCTAGATTTTTAAGATGAAAAACTGAACTTATCTGCGTTAAATCTTCCACTAATCCTATATTTAGACTCAATTACACTAATGTTTATCACTTTATATCTGTAATTTCGAACTGAAACATAATTATTTAATATTAAATAGAGGAATACATGTTTGTCCAATATGGCGGGTGGTTGTGTATAATCATGACATCGTCCATGTTGTCTTTAGTTTATTAGAATATTTTGGTGTTGCCTGCAGGTGTTATACAACAATGACAAATGTCTGAAATGAAATACCGACAGAGTCGAATGATTTACCCAGAATTTGTACCAGATGTATATCTTCTGTTTGAACAGTTGATAAAACCTTTTGAACCAATATGCACGCGTTGTTTGTCTTAAAACATTGGTTATGGCATTTTAACAAAAATATGACAGCAGAAAGTTAGGTTATGGTGAAGTTGTATACCAACATATTTAGCATATGTACAGCCTTTAACAGTTACTAAACAACAGTTGTAGAAGTGCTTCCGTTGGGAGCAATTTGTTGGCTAAAGTAGTAAATTGCACAGCAAAACAACAACGCTCCAGTTTGTTTTATAAACGTTACCATGGATGTCACACAACCATTTTGACTAACGTGCAAATATGCCGTATAAAATAGTTGTATAAACGTTTATGCAACAGTTAAAAATTTGCCCTATAAGGTGTTGTATAATATGCTATAAGAATATTTTAAACACCTCATTTTAGAGCAAATATGTTGCAGAAAGCAAATTTGCATTCCACACAACATTAAGCCAGAATTTTGGTGTTCAGGCAACAACAATAGAGAGCTTTTATGGCTGAACGGTTCTTTTAGCAAAAGCTTATAACACTACTTTGCTAGAATTCAGTAGAACGGAGAAACTATCGATCGATAACGGAACACTATATTATTTGAAATGTAGCATCAAAGTCAACAAAAATACAACACAAAATAGCTGTCGAAAGTTGTACTACTCACCCGTAGGTAAGAGCGTTCGGCTGCATACCGCACTTCCTCATAAGCACCAGCAGTTTGACAGCCAACAACGGTCTCGAATGCTCACCGCACAGTTGCATCATCAGCCTGTAGCACACCTCATCGCATGCCAATTTTTGCCTAGTTGCTCTAACCAACAGCTCGTACGCTTGTTGGAGAATCGCGCGTTCTTTGCCTTCGTTCAGTTGAAGGATGCTGGGCAGCAGCATGAAGTACAGCGTGTGGCATGCTCCGCAAAGACACCTTGGCAAAGTAGGAGAAATAATAGTAGTAGTAATAGGTATAATTGGAACATTATGTTTTTAGCGTATTATATAACGAAAATAAAAAAAAACAATAGTTATCCCACTGCATCGAAACTTTCACCTGATAACAGATTCTTCAAAATATGCATAACATTTTGTGCATAGTGCTGTGACTTGTGGCTCTCGAAAGTACACATTCCTATGAACAAAGTTATATGTGAAGTTTCAAAAAATTAATGAGCCAGCTGGAATATATAAGAATTTATTTTTCATATGCTGTCAACTATTCCAAATGCGCCAGGGTTATTTATTTAGTTACTTTCAGTAATGTCGTAATGACTTCGTGGGCATTAACAAAAACAGAGAAACCAGATAGGTCGAAGGGGCCTGCTCGATATTTGAACATAAATACAACTGCCAACATAGTAATGCGATATCCTGTATAATTGTGGATATATTAAAAAAGCATGCCCTAATACCGTGCATAAGAATCCATGAACTGTGTTCTTCCAAAACTTTTACGAGGACTGTAAATTAAGTGACGAGACTGGCAACGTAGCGTTCGATCTGGCAATATTGGAGGCACTGGGCTTGAAAGGGAGACAGGGGAACATGTGATCCGCCTTCAGTACAAGTTTGAATTCGCTCAAGTCATTTGATTGTCCGTGGCGATTTTTTTTGTGAAACAGTTTTTTCTATTGTGTTCTAAAAATGAGTGACATCAATTTCAAGCAACGGTTTGCTATCAGGAATTACTTCAGACTTGGACACAGTGAACAGACACTCTTGCTAAACAAGCCTACGGAGACAGTGTTTTGTCAACAGCCCACGTTTTTCGGTGGTTTAAGGCATTTTCAGAAGGAAGAAAATCGATTGAAGATTAACCACGGAGCGGAAGGCCTTCAAGAACCGATGAAAATATCGACAGAATCCGGGATGTTGTGCGTTCAGATCTTAGACGAGGAAAGAGAGTGAACTCGTAACGCGCATTCACAGACCGGCGCAGTAAGTGTGCCCAATTATTGAAGAGACGCCATTATTTGGGTCCTATTCTTGAAACCGACTCCAAGCCTTTTTTTCTGTGTTTCTGTGCTATTGTGTATTAAAGACTGCGACTTTTTTATTCAATAAGAATGGTGTTGTGCTCGGCTTTTGGTTGCAAAAATCGCAGTGAGAATAAAGTGCCAGGAATAACCTTTCACAGGTAAATTTTTTAGTTGTATTGATAACGTAAATACCTTAATTACTTTATAACTCCATTTTAAACGACTGCAACAATATTATTTCAGTGATATAAGTACTACTTCACTTGAATGCATAATTTAAATTAGTTATAGCCATGTGTTTCATTCAGGATTTGTTTGAATTTATCAATTTATCACTATTATGATTGAATGGCGGTCATTTGCCAGTGGCGGGTGTGATATTTTTTTATTTATTATATTTTCAAATATGTTCAATATCAAGTTAGTTTAGTATTGTTGTCATTGTATTTCAGGTTTCGTCTTAAAGATCCAACAAGAAATGGTATCTGGCTGAAGAATATGCATCTAGCTGACTGGTTTCCCACAAAAAATAGTAGGATCTGTTCAAAGCATTTTGAAATCCATGCTTTTTACAAAGTTGGAAACAGAACCTCTCTTTTGGATGATGCAGTCCCTACAATCTTTGAAGAACTTCCAAAACACCTACAGACTAAGGTAATTTAACACTTAACCCAACATATTAAGAAATTTACAAAACAAATTATTCATTTACTCAGTTCACAGAGAAATTCTAATAATAATTACTATAATTTGAAATAAAAATGAAAATACTAATTAAGTTGAGGACTAATTAATGTAATTGAGATATATTTGATTGCAGGTAACAAAGAGACCACATCCAAGATCTAGACAGCTTATTATACCTACAGCTTCGACATCTAGGAAAAATGATCCTCCCCAAGAAGATCCAGACACCCCCAGAAAGAAGCATCCTAGAAGACAGCTTTTTGCAGAAAGGGTAAAGAGCCAAGAGAAATCGAGAGAAATAAAAGTTTTGAATCAGCGGGTGAGAAGACTGAAAAGACATATTGTTTCTCTCAAACAAGTAGTGAAAGCCTTAAAACAAAATAATTTGGTATCTTCTGAAAGCTCAGTTCTGCTTCAAAACATGCCAGAAATTACGAAATAATTACAAAAGCGTAAGTTGGGAAAAAAGCATCAGTATTCTCCAGAACTGCGAAAGTTTGCAATTACTTTGTGTTTTTTCTCCCCAAGCGGATATGATTATGTACGAAATGCTTTTGAAACCTGTTTACCCCATAGAAGCACTATAGGAAAATGGTTTAAGACCATTAATGCTGAACCAGGTTTCTCTAGTGAGGCAATTAATGTTTTGAAGAAAAATGTAGAATATTCGGATAAGCCTGTACTATTAAGCCTCATTATAGATGAGATGTCCATTCGGAAGCATCTTGAATGGGATGGTAGAAAATTTCATGGATATGTCAATTATGGCATTGATTTAGAAGATGATTCTAACTTTATGGCCAAAGAGGTATTTGTTATGATGATTGTTAACATTAATGGAACTTGGAAGCTGCCAGTTGGCTATTTCCTTGTAGATAATTTGAATGGAAATCAAAAAAGTGTACTTGTTTCACAGTGCATACAATTAGTTTCTGCTACAGAAGCACGAGTTGTATCGCTTACATTTGATGGTGCTCCTTCAAATATTGCAGTGGCAAATACTCTGGGAACCAATAATTCTTATGACTCATTAAAAACACATTTTTCTTTAGATGGTAACAACATTTATGTTTTTTATGATCCAAGTCATATGATAAAATTAATAAGAAATGATTTTGGGGAAAGAAAACTACTAATAGATGACAATGGGAATTTCATTAAGTGGGAATTTATAGAAAAACTGGAATTTATTTATTTTTATTTTTATATAGATTCTAATTATTTTCAATAAAATATCTCAGTTCATACTGAATGTTCATTAAAAAAAAATATTTAATATAAAATAACAATAAATATCTTATATATTATTTTTAAATCACAATATAATATGTGCAATCAACACACTCAAGTTATGTTATTCATTTTGAACAAATATGCTCTCAATAAAGGCATATATGATTATAATCATGTTTACCAATAAGTGAAATTTACACTGTAATAATTATAATTAAAGTACCATAATATTATAACGCTATGTCATACTCAATAAATGTTTCTGTGTAAACTACATGTTTATTTTTAATAAAAAAAAATGGGAATATACCTACTCTGCGTGAGATTTGACAATTTCATAAATGAAATAATTTATTTTTTAGTTATATTGCTCAATATTTATTGGGTGTTTAGTATTTTTATGGAATACTTAGTCTGTTGTTATGCTTTCACATAAATTAACTAGAAAATGTATTATACAATAAAATATAGATCATTCGATTTGTTCTATTTCATTTTTATAATAAAATAATTATTAATGAAAAAACTTGTTGAATCTGTGGTATTAGAAATTACCGATAAAAATATACTTTGTAAATAATAATATAATAAATTTGCTTTTTTCTACGAAGAAAGTATCATTTTTCTTCCGTTTTTTTTTAGATATTTCAACTTGAAACTATAAAATAGACAAATACTAAGCGTCACTCAAGTGCAAAATTTATTTCTGTAAGATGTACTGAACCCTGGCGATACGCCCCTGGATTGACAGCCTGGAGTCTGTTTAAAGCGGACATGGCGTGTCCTCTCTCTCCCCTCGTCTAAGGTTCAGATCGTTAGTTGATAGCCAGAATTATCGGGAAAGAGTTGAATTTGACTCACACCGGTGGTTATTTGATCAAGAACAACTGGGTATTGCATTAGTGAACGAGTTTTTGGCCAGTAGAAACAGTCCATTGGCTCCTCAGCCTCTTTATTCGCCTGCCTTGAGACCTTTTTTCTCTAAGTTAAAAAATCACCTCATTTTGGGACAGTCGAAAATGGCTGGAACCGACCAGCTGAAAGCTATTCCAGTATATGAGGAGAGGACGTGCCATCTCGAGCACTGTGTGGCTTCAGAATGCAGTTATTTTGAGGGTGACAATATAAAATTGTAATTATATTTGAATAAAAAAAAATCAAAAAAAAGTCTCATCACTTAATTTACAGACCTCGTAGTCTGGGAGCACAACTCCCTCCATGCACGCTAGGACAACTCTGTAAAAGTCCCGTAAAAATGTATGATTTTTGACAGTCAAAACCGATGTTAGGACCGTGATGAAAAATCAGCAGAACATTGGAAGCATTTGTTTTGCAAAATATCGAGAAGCCGCGCACTGGAAAAACAATTTGCCCGATGGATCTAATAACTGTAATGTTTAATAATTATAATATAACAGCACAATAAGAAACACAAACCTGAAACTACAAGTAGCTGCAACGATTAAGACGACCGAAAAAAATATCGAACTTTTCCTTGCTCTTTCGTCAACTCATTCCTATTCATTATTGATTTACTAGGTTAATTCCATAGAGCATCATAAACAAATACATAGATCATAATATGTGCCTGGTCAATATGAGTAAGCAAGTCCTTTTGAGTTTTGCTCTTGAGGCGATAGTTTACAATACCATAAAATACCAGAAAAGACGGCAAAAATCGAGATTTTTTTAACTGTAATTGTTAACCATTTTCGATATTCAGATGCAATGTATCCATCTAAACTAATTTTTTTATAGCTCGATTTACACTAGTACGTCGGATGTGTAAAAATTTAAGAAGGCCCTTGACGTATTTGAAACAGTTCGGCAGTCTATGGGAGGGAGAGAGAGAATATGGCTTGGTTTGTAGCGTAGAAATTAAGCGGCTGACAAATATTCAAATAACCAAACCAAATCACAAATAGTTTTGAAATAGCGAATGTTTATGAAAATGTGGTGTCCAACCGAAACATTATAGGAACTTAGATCTGTGTAAAAAGCACAATATACACAACTTCAAACAAGATGATAGATGGCGCTTTGCGCTATCTCATGCATACACAACTTTCTTTACATTTTATAACGAATATATGAAAAACTTGCTTTTTCTCCCTTTTCCATTGAGAATCTAATATTTGCAGCGCTAGGTCTGCAACGGCCAAAGGATAAAACGTCCCAGAATTTTATACTGATCCATTTATACATATGAATTGCAATAAATAAAAAAAGCAATCTTCAATTGACAAGCGTTTTCAGAACACCCTGTATAGAGAGTGTACACCTCTTAAGAAAAGCAGTCAAATTATAGCGAATACGACCGAACAAACAAATTTGTTGAATATGATTAAATATTGAAGCGATCATTGCCAAATTCGTTGCATCAGGCGTCAAGTTTGCTATAATTTGAATGCATATTTATGTCTTCAAAATCTTTGTGTATTTATATACAAACAAAGAAACAGAGATACTAGGCTGCTTCTTCTTCTAGCACTGAAAAATACATTTTATGTTTAAGTGACATTCTTTCAACCAAACAACCACTGCTTTTTTATAAAATAAGAAATATTTATAGTTTGAAAAAGGGTAAGAGCAAAATAAGAATGTATCCTGATTATTAATTGTTGGCTTACTCTCTGGTACAAAGTTCAAATATGTGTTACCTAGCCCACGTTTCTGGACTTCTCTGACACTTTCTCGCCAACTTCTGAGCAGTCTTGATCTCCTGCTTAGTCCTGCGCGCCATTGGTGATCCTGGCATCACAGACGTGTACAATGAGGATAGATGGTTCTTTTTTTTGGCGAATGATATCAACAGGGCTGGATTCAGATTAAACCCGTCGTATTTGTACATCTCCTCGGTATTGGACGGCTCGGGAGGCAGGACGAATACGGTTCTGTCACTTTTGTTGACCATGTCCAATTCGATCAAAGGCATGCTGGGACCTTCCTCGTTGCCTATTTTCTCCATGCAATCGTCGAAAAAGGCAAGGCCTTGGTCTCCGTCAGCAACAAAGCTTCGCTCTTCGATAAACCTGCAATTAAGCGGTATTCATTATGCTGGTGCTCAACGTGGGACTAACGGGGCAGTCGGAGGAAAATTTCTGCCTAACCGCCGTCCGTACAACTACACAAGACATCTAATAGCATCAAAATCGGACTGATTGTGGACCATACTGTTTTCATAACGAGCACTCGAATACTATAGACACTTTGTGTTTTTTGACAAATATTTCAAAATTATTTTCCAATTTTGCAGCAGCATTTTAATTCTCAAGTTTCATACGGTAACTTTTTTAAACATTCCTCTAATTACACTGGACAACAAATTTTAGTTTTTTAATTGTATCTTGTGGGAAAAGTGCACTTCTTTGTTAATTTTGGAGCGCTGAATCAAAAAATGGCAATGAAATAAAAAAATTAGTTGCGGTTTAGAAAAAAAACTTTTTATTTTTAAGGATATATTAAAAAAAGTAACATGATTCATATACTTATAAGAATCACTATATGCGCTGTCTTTTTGCTGTTCTTTTATGGATCGTTTCTGGAGCATCTCTACCAAGAGTCCAACAGTAGTCTGCAAGCATGGAAGGATTCCACTTTCCCTGGTACCTTTTTTCCATTGTTGAAATATCCTGATGAAAACGTTCGCCGTGCTCATCACTTACGGCTCCGCAATTGTCAGGAAAAAAGTCCAGATGCGAGTGTAGGAAATGTATCTTAAGAGACAAATTACAGCCCATCTTTTGATACGATGACAGCATATTTTTGACAAGGGTTTTATAGTTGTCAGCTTTTCTATTTCCCAAGAAATTAGTGACCACCAGACGGAAATCATTCCAAGCAGTTTTTTCAATACCTGTTAAAGTGTTTTCAAACTGTGTATCTTTCAAAATATTTCAAATCTGTGGCCTAACAAAAATACCTTCTTTAACCTTTGCCTCACTTAGTCTTGGAAATTTCTGACGCAGGTATTGAAAAGCTGACCCATCTCTATCTAATGCCTTGACAAAGTTTTTCATTAGGCCCAACTTGATATGCAATGGTGGTAATACATTTTTTTTCGAATCTACTAATGGCATATGCTGTAAATTTTTTTGACCTGGCTCTAGGAATTGACGAACAGGCCAGTTTTGTCTGGTGTAATGAAGTGCCTTTGCCCGACTGTCCCATTCACACAAAAAACAGCAAAACTTTGTGTAGCCTAGCTGCAGCCCAAGTAAAAGTGGAACAACTTTCAAATCGCCAGAAATATGCCATTGGTGCTCATCGTATTTTATGCATGTCAATAGGTGAACTGCATACCCTACAGGAAGAGATGGTAAAATATTTCCAATATGCAATAACACTGAATTTAAACTCAATGTTCAACTGTCTATAAACAATCTCCATTCTTCTGGGTTATAGTTTATATTTAAAGCCGCCAGTAAGCCGTTAATGTTACTGCATAAAACCAAGTTATTCTCCATATTGAAAAATGGTTCTAAGTCTTTGTGGCGTTTACGAAAAACACATACCGAAACATCGTCTTCTAACAAGTTCCACTGCTGCAGTCTTGATCCAAGTAACTCTGCCTTACATTTTGGAAGTTCTAAATCTCTTACAAGATCATTTAATTCTGACTGTGTTATTTTGTGCGGTTGGTGGCATGACGTGCTCGGTATAAAATCAGGATCTCTTGACGTTGATGGCATATCTTCTTCCTGACGAATCACTCGATCGCCATGATCTGATTCGTTTTCTGATTCGCAAGCGTAGGATTCTGGGGGTTTTGGAATAGGATTTTCGCCACTGTGAGGCACAGGTCTCATCGCAGATGGTATGTTTGGGTAGTTAATAACCGATTTTTTTTTCTTGGAGATACCTGTGGCTTGTCTAACACAAGGTACCATGCAAAAGTAACAATCATTAATATGATTTGTAGGCTCTCTCCAAACCATTGGGACAGCAAAGCGCATAGACCGTTTTTTGCCATTTAACCAGCTCCTCAGACTTGAAGCACATGTATTACAGCATGTGGGGTGCCCACTGTTTGTCTTGATCACCTAGTTTACAACCGAAATAAAGCTGATATGCCTTTGATATTAGTGGAGTAATAGACCGTCTCTGAGACGCAAAAGTCACATCACCACACACGTAACAAAACTGATCTGGATTGTTTACACACTTTCGAGACTTCTTGCATGAACGCTGTCAGCCAACTGAGGAAAAAATGGCTAATATAAAACAATATAATGTACACGTATGTATAACGTAACACAATCATGCCGATTACATCATCTTTCCTTGCCGAATATAAAAATGTAGCACGTGCATTCTTGTGAATTACAGTATATTAACACTGTTACAGCAGGAACACATATAATTACCGTATCTCTAAAACTTGAACTAATATTGAAAAAATAAGTTTCATTCCGGTTTTAGCACATTAAAAATAGTAATATTTTGTTGATTTTATTTAGGATATTTTTTGGCTGTTGATCACTGTTATATTCTTTTATAAAGGGAGACAATATAGGAAAGTATCAATAGGATTGAATGAGGGGTTCATCGACTTTCGAGCCAAATATTTTTAAAAACAGGATGGTAGATCCTCTTTGAGTTTTGAGGTAACGTTTTAGTGTTCTTGAAGTTTCATGCGATCAGTTTTTCAAACATTCCGTTAAATTTGTTTCAGGTATAAATTAAAATAATACGCAAAGTGTCATGTACAGGTTTCGAGGATTATCTAAGGAAAAACTGTCCGATTTCATTTTAAGTCCGCAAACGGAATATCTATAAATTGTGACAAATCGCAGATGCTACCTAACTCACACGTATGATGATTTAAGGTGAACGCAACACGCACGATATTTATGGTAACTTTGACATATCATGTAATATATTTACCTGATGAACATTTGAGTTTTCATCACCAATGAGAAGAACTTGTGATGAGATTTATCTCTGCTTTTCAAAAAATCATTCAAATTGAACAGCGCCTGAGGATCGGTTGTTCCAACAGTTGGAGCTTTCGTTATAGGCAGAAGGTAATTCCTATAACCTTTCAGGGTAAGAACCATGAACTTCAGGAAAGCTTCTTGGATTTCCAGCTCTTGAGCTTGCTATAGAAAACACACTGAATAAGTATTTCTGGTTCTGGCAGCAAAACTGCTAAAATGCATCAATGATAGGTCTCACAGAGCTTCATACACACTGAATGCATAATTGACAGTTTCCACATCATCTATGAACAAGATAATAAAATAGTGGACATTCATTTTTGACTACCTACCTCTTTTCGCCTTTTTTGAAATTCCTGTTCTATATCGTCGCCTGTCGGATCTTGGGGTATACTGACAGGGTTATTTCTGATCTGATAATAGAGATACTCCAGCGTTGATTTTAAAATTTTTGCAGCTCTCTTCGGAAGCAACTTTGGATTCAGGTACTGTCTTAGACTTTCAGCTACCTGAAATATAAAAAAAAAAATATAAATATTAGGGATCGACCGATATCGATATGTATATCGGCAATATCGGCCCCATTTGCCCATGTATAATTCGGACGATATAATTGCCCATACGACTAGCCGCCAATTAATAGACTTGCTTGTGGGCCTCGCCGACATATCAACCTCTGATATATCGGTATCGGGCGATTATCGGACTCTAATAAAAATCGCTAATAAGACGGTGTTATCCAAGATCTTACATTTCATCAACACTGCACTTGAGAAAAAGTATTTGTTATAAGTCGAATTAACTCACTGTGATTATGTTGGTATCTAGGTCAATACAACTGACGTCAGGCGGTGGATCGTACAAGTCGAAAAACCTAGAGTCCACTCCTATGAGAAATGGCAACGGAGCATGTAACACTTCGACTAATCCTAATGGACAGAGAGGTATATAAGGACATTGCCATTTGAACGGAAACAACATTGTCGAAACTGCTTCCGCTACTGACGTCAATGTGTCTGGTCTCAGAGAATGTATCAGGATTTTCTGCTCCGTTAGTATCAAAAGAAGAACCTGGAAGAAAGTGAAGTAAACAGTATAAAGCATAGCATAATCTAATCAAAGATTGTCTAAAATCCATCAGGAAATCGCTATTATGAACGTTATGCGAGCAGCCACTGTTTTGGATGAGAGTCCAAGCTCGAAGACCCTATTTATTTATTTATTAGTCATATTATATAAATGATATGTATAAGTCATAGGAAACAGAAATCATAGAATAAAAGAAAGTCAAACATTTACAATACAAAACGTGGGTACATGAATCACAAACAAAACTAAAAATTGTAATTTCAAAATTCCTCAACAGAGTAGAAACATATAATTCAGCTCGCGGATCGCCTGAGGTGGTTTGTTGTAAAAATTCAAAATTAATGCGTTTCTCGCAGATATATTTGGTCTCTAACGCGGCAGTCTCAGAGCTCCAACCTGTCTTGTATCAGAGTTGCGGATTTCTGATTGGATTGTGTAGCAATTCGAGTTTTCAATCCTCACTGCACATTTTGGAATCTTGAACGCACGAACAACGTGAGATGATCTGCCCGAAATCATGAAGCCATACATCAGATGCAAGTGAAACATGCCGAATTATGCATTTAAAAGGCCTTCTATCGCAGAAACTTTTAAACAAATAAAATATGAATAACTGCTCGGTTTTTCAGCGAATGTTGTCTTAATTAAAGTCTTTAAAAAGATAATGTTTATAACCCCCCATTTTTGTATGACCAATCAAACCACATGTGTTTAAAATTTCTCTTTATTGTAGTATACGTTTTGGTCACAATGGTAACCCTTTGCAGCATATGACATTTTTTTGACATGTCATGTACTGAAGAAGGTCACCGTTGTGAGTGAAACGTATACTCTAATATAATAATAATCGGCATGAAACCAGAGGGCACATCTACCCCTGAAAAGATAAAACAATTCTGGACAGTGCTACCACTTTTGGAATATGAGGTATTGATGAGTTACTTGGTGACAAAACGAAAGGTCGGGTTGGGTATATCTGCGTAATATAGACATAAACAATAAAGATACTAAGCGTTCATACCTGTAAGCAGTTGTCGGCTCCCAAATTGCACAGCATAGTTTTGAAGCTGGCAGCACTCCTCGGTAACGGCAGATCTTCAGGCTGCATCAGGATCACCCTTTCCGCGTTAGAGAACGGGGACAACTGGAGTAATATTCGAGGAGATGGGAAGGGCACTTCCTCCAATAGCTGAACGACGTATCGTTCCACTGGGACCGGATGAGGCTCTTGATTGACCACAATTTTCTGAAATAGTGTCGTATGTTCGCAATTCACTATACTTATCCGACCTTAAATAGACGTTCGCAAGGTGACAAGGGCACACAGTGGTTGGTTTCTATTGTACTCCTTGAATTCTTGGATAAAGATTCGAGTTAAGAAACGACCCAATTTAGATGGCAATGTCGAAAGGTAGAACTATCGCGATTCGTTAAACGATAAACGTTCATGCAAGCAATCGGACACAAAACCATACACAGCAAGATTGAAAAGAGCGAAATCGGACTGTTCTATGATTCCATATAATGCGGTTGAATACAATAGGAGCTATGAATTTATCAGTTTTTTTGGCATCTCGAAACTTTGGAGCGCTGCTTGAATTCCATTTGGCCAGTTTTTTCGTCATATCCATGTTATATGCTCTATATAATTACGCAGTTACAATAAAATATTGCTTCAGACATTGAGTCAGCAACAGATAACAACTCGCTAACCTGTCGCATGCATAGTGTTTTCAGCGAATACGGCCAGTGAGATGTGTGCAATACCCCATTAGTCACTTCATTGTAAGCTTATTGATTTTGATGGACAGGAGGTTACGTCCTATTTATTGTCTTGTAATTATTAAATATATTGATTCAAGATCCGTAATGATTTACTTATATAAAATGAAATAATATGGGAAAACATCAATAAGGCGGAATCCACAAATTTGTCTTTGAAACCAAATAATGCAAAAACAAGACAGTGCAGTTTTGTCCAAATGTTGAAGCAACGTTTTAATGCCCTTAGGTTTCATATGGTTAAGTTTTCAAGCATTTCTATAAATTCAACTCTGATAAAAAATGAAATGATATCTACATAAATTATTTCTCAAAGAGGACTAATGTATTCTTTACTACGAGGAATTGAAGCTGCTTCAATAAATGAATTATAGAAACAATGACGAATATACGTTTTTGAATATTCTGGTTTCTAGACATACAGAAAAATAGACGCAGATACTTCAGAGGAAGATTCCTTCTTGAAAATATGAAAAAAGTTTCTATAGCGGTGGGTTCGAAAATACAGAGTTTTTAAGATACAGTGTCATAAATTAAAAAAAAGTATTTTTTATAATTATCTTAAAAAATATTTACTCGATTCTGTTGAAATTTGGCAATATTATTTGTTGTATTAAGAGGCTAATTTAACTATGGATAGATTAAAATTATTAGGTCCAGTGGCGTCCCGGGGGGCACCTTAGCGAATATTATTGGCAAAAAATGCCTTTTTGTAACTTTAATATTTGTTGTCTGATTAAGCATCTAAAAATACAACTTCTTTGCCTCTTGTATTTTTTTCGTATCTCACTTCGTTTTCGAGAAAAATAAAATATGAAACCATTTTATTGAACATTACTGGACAAAATGGGTTTACCAATTTTTGCACAAAAAATCATTTCTGCATAGCGGTTTGACATTTGCGCGTCAGTTCTTCTAAAAAGAATTATTCACGTAATTTTATTTGCGAAATTTCTCTAAAAGGTTTATTTTTTTTAATTTATAGAAAGTTTTTTCATATTTTTTAACAAGGAATCACCCTCTAAAATATCTCCGTGTATACATACCCTACATAGTAATTCCTTGAGCACCACAATCAAGATTCAACAAGTCCAAAAATGTAGATTTCTTTCATCTTCAAGATAATGGCAGTCAATTTATTATGACATTAGTTTTACCCCACCATGTAAAAAGTGGCACATGAGACATGAAAGATTCGAAAGTGTTTTAACCAAAATCAAACCAAGTCCGGTTATGTTTACCTATAACACCGCTACTGCACTCCTTTTCAAAAATATAAGTACAACTATACCTTTTGGCATTACTCCCCTTTTACTAAAATCGCGGACACAAAAATTTTACAGATACATCGATCAAAATGAGTGACCCTTTTTAATGTAGAGATAAAACATCCACAAAATACATCTTTAGTCCGATATTTGCTTGAAATATGTACTTATTTTAGAGTAAAATCCTGGAAGACAAAACGTGGGGCATCGACTGGCGTTTGTATGGACTTTGAACACCCGCGAACTAGCCAAGTTACCAGTACCAGGAGATAAACTTAAATTCTAATGGCTTTTCTTATATACTTTGTGGGAACATGATTGACCTGGATATTCGACAGTGCCAGTCCCGCTATAATTTGACCTCCTTAGAATTTAAATTTGTCCTATTTATATCCTATTTCATTTACTTTTCTCACCTGCCACCGGTAAATCGGCCATATTAGCGGGTAAGCAAGCGTTCGAACTACAAATAAATCGAATCAAATGTCTGGCAGCTTAGGAATCTTGGTCTATTTATTATGTACTTTGGAAATGTTTTGGAACAGATTCGCTCTATACATGTCCATTGATCTAACATCGTTTGATTTACTTATACACATCTTTTCTAAGCCAAATAGATACCAATGTACCCTCGTATAAGGAGATACCTGTAGAATGCAACATTTTTCGCGTCAGGTCAACACTATTTTCTCAATTATGGCGCGTAATTTCATTATGGACAGGTATCGTCATTAATAGATTAAAAATAATTTTTGCCATCAACTGCGTAACATGTCACCAAGATATTTAATTGTGTAATTTTATAGTTGACTACATTCTTTGCATATCATAACCACTATGAGTCATTAATTTTGTATAAATACACCATCAAATTCACGCATTACATGATTATTCACGCAATTTTTTATATTGTAACCTTAAACGAAATAGGAAAATGATAATACTTTTTTTACGCGGACATACAGTATTTTGAGAGATTTTTATAGTTATACACAATGTAGCGAGAAGTATGCTACCTATGTCTACAAGGTGGATAAAAACTGTCTGGGTTGGAGATACCTGGGCAGCGGAGGCATATGAGTAAAAGTACATTCAGGGTGTCCCACGAGGAACTGCGCGATCGATTACTTGCCATTGGACAATTACTAATTATTTTCGTTGTTATCAACACCTATTTTTCAAGTAGTCGATTGCTGCATTTCTCCGTACGATATGCTAAATAGGTTTTGCAACTTGTTACTTGAACTGGTAATGTGTTTTTACTGACCATTTTGTTATAAAGACAAATAATAAACCATAAAACGTATGCGGTTTTGGCCTAGTTTTCAAATTGTATCATGTTTAGTAAAATATGTATAGAGCACTTACATGTAACCACCTAAGCCACACTTCAAAGTCTTCCGAAAATGGCCAATGTGACAAGACACATATGCTTTTGTTCACGTGCAATACGTCCTTTTCATTTTCCTCATAACCCAGCAGCTCTCTTTGCTTTTCAGTCAACTTCTCCTGCAAAAATAAGGATTATTTTAAATATATCACTAAAGAAAGTAGTGAGATCGTATTTCAAGAATGTAGGTATATGAGATGAGAGAATGTTACACTGTTGTAAATAAAAATGACTTACCGGTGGGAATTTCTCGTAAAATGTGATTGCCGAGCCATATACTTTATGCTTAGCATCAGAAACGGTAAGGACGAAAGTACTGAAAAGGGGCTTGGGCTGCGTAGCTTCGGAGGGCCACAGTTCCAAAGAAGCGCCCATTGGCAGGCAGAACAAAGGCACGGAATTTGGGAATGGAAAGTCAGGAAGATCATATAGGGGATATCTGAAATAAAATGAAAATTGTAGAGTGTATTAAGTATAAATTTCCAAAAAACAATAACTCAGCAACATCTGAACTGTTTTAAGCCAATAACTATGTCTTCACTGGAAGATATTTATAAGCAAATTTATTCAAATATGTGATCGCAAATGAAATAAAATACAAAGATATTCTTAAATACCAAAAATGCAATTTCACATTTTTCGATCCATTTGTCACGTCCTTCTTTCAACACTTTTAAAAAAGCATAGAAAGATTGAAGTTCCAACTTTCCGCCTAAAGCAGTTTTAATTGTCACTTTTTTTCACCGAATCTCTGTAGTTCCTCCGCCATATTTTTCAAGATTTGTTTCTATTAATAGTTTTGAGATCATTCTAGTACACAATACGCCGTTATATAATATTTTAGAAAACATTGGTGTTAACCAATTTGAGATGGAGTTTTTTTATATTGATACATTGGTATGCATGGAATTAAGTAAAGAAAGAATTGCGCAAGTAATGGAAACAATATTTGACGAAAAAATGATTCGCAGGTTTATGGTTAAGGTCAGGCTTTTGGTTGTAACCCATAGCTTTTTTATTGGAAGCCATTGTCTAGATTTCTCTAGACGTCCGCCAGTGAACTGCCAAGAATATGTGATGTGAGGACACATTGATCTAAAGAACAAATAAGTTTAGTGGAGTTCATTATGGTACATTTTGTAATCTTTCAGTCAATTTCGCATGCTCCTCGCTCAAGAGCTGCTGACGCTGAATTTGTGACATGTACATTTTTTGTTGCTTGAATGTTTCCAAAGAACCAGGATCCAGTGGGGCGGGATTATACCTGAAAGGCAAAGGCGTGCAGGAAAGTTTCGCGTTTGGAACCTGCACAAGCCTTCCAGGCAGATCTACGTGCAATCTTAATTGGCATGGTAAGAAAAAAATCAACACTGCACAGAGCAGCACCCTTGAGGTAGCTACACCTCCTAAGAGAAATTCAACTTGACTTCAGGAATGCGGTTCAGAGTTTAGCGTGATCCAAAGAAAGAACCTTGCTTTGAGTCCCCAGGCACAGTGGAGTACCAGGTAATGAGTGAAGATTATCTTTCTAGGCTGGGCGCCTGCATTGGTTCTGATCCTAAGAGAAAAGTACAGTCTTAAGCAGTTACTTTGTCTAAAGGAGATCAAGATACAGCATGAGGCGCCAATAGACGTATAGGGATCTGGTAAAAGTGTGGCGAGAGAGATTTCAGCAGGCTCCCACAAACGTAAGATTGGACAGAGGTAGTGAAGCGGCCAATCTTTTGGTGGGGGTTCTCACCGGCAACTGTAGACTGAACAGTCAATTGTCCCTTCTGGGGGTCAAAAGATCTATCTACCCCATGTGCTGGGAGGAGAACGAGATGACCTTACACTCAGATACGCAAAATTCATCAGACATTTTACAGTTTGATTTAGATAAGGTATTTCTATGGAACATAATCTTACTATTAATCCAGATAAGACACAAGTGTTATTGTTTTGTTCTGATCAGAAGAGGAAAACTGTCGAAGATTCTTTCCATCTGACTATTGATGGCATAACATTACAGCATACTCAAACAGCTAAACTACTAGGAGTGGAAATTGACACAAAATTAAGATTCCGCAGCCAAATAGTTAATTTGATGAAAAAAACTTACCTGTGTTCTAGGGCTATTTATTGCAATCGCTACTTGCTTAACTTTAAGCTGAGAAAAAAACTGTGCGAATCTTTGGTGATGTCAATGACCAGTTACTGTGATGTCGTTTATTATCCATGTTTGGATTAATTGACCAAAAATCGTCTTCAAATCATCCAAAATAACTGTGTTCGCTTTATTTATGGGTTGCGTAAATATGATCACGTAAGTGATAAATATAGGGAATTGAACTGGCTTAGGTTAGGCAGTTTGGTTAAACAGAAATTCTTAGTTTTAGTTCATCAAGCCTGAATATCTAAGAGCTAAGTTAAGATTTAATTACGAAGTGCATGACAGGGCTGTTAGGAATCGTTATAGTATCAGAACCACCCCACACACTTCTGCATTATTCCAACGAGGATTTACATATAATGCAGCACTATTTTATAATCAGTTGGACAACAGTATTAAATTGATGTCTTTGGAAAGTTTTCGTAAACATACTAAAAGCATGTTGCTCGCTATTGATTAAATACGCATTTCTGCTACAGATATAGATTGTGTCTATTTGTATTTTATACTTAGGAATATATGTGTTCTTTTTTTATATATATTTTTTCATGTTTTGAACATCAGATGTAACCGACATAAACAGTTAAGTGTAAGAGTAGCCTTGGCTAAACTTTGCTGTTTATGTCCCTCCGGGTTATCCAATAAAGACGTTATTATTATTATTATTATTATTATTATTACTTTCTATGTTTTTGCCAATATAATGCATACTAAGGGCTGAGGTATTTAATACCATGGAATTTGATACTGAAGTTTCATACTCAGTGAATAAGCATGTAGAGTGTTGGTTCACTCGGGGCGGCAAAAAGGTCCAAAGCTGGCCTACTAGCTGGTGTTCTGCTTGATGATCCATTAGTCTGCAAGGTTGGTGCGACTTATTTTTTACCTACAACTGACCTATATTTTAAAATTATTTTCCTGTCTGACGCACCGTGTGAGTGTGCGGAATACCGGTTTTTATCCATCGTTCTGACTGGACCCTTGTCATTTGCAATTCGTAATTGGGTGTTGGAAAAGTGCAAAACAGGAGGGGGTTAGGTGATAGAGTAGTGATTGGATTTCTATCTACTAACATTGAACGAAATGTTGTTGGAGCACAATGATTTTGCATTATTATATATAAAAATGACGAATATTCAATTGTATCATTATCTTAAATCTTGTCTTCAGCTCCCCTGAATTGTAAAATGCCGAAACTCAAAAATAATGTAAGTTTGATGTATATCTTTTGAAACATCCACACTATTTACAAATTCCAAGCAACTACTGTACCTGGCCAGATCAGCAGGTTTATAAGTGATCAACTTAGCCCTATTCATGGACTTCTTATAGCAGAGAAACACGTCACTACCGACAATGCCTTTGTTAAGATTCTTGTTGATGCAGCAGAAAGCATGAGGCGGAGATTCCCCCTTGCTGGCTATGACTACGCACACGTCAGTGACCACGAGGGCATTACAGGGCATCGTCGGCTGGCCGCGTCGATACGTGATGAACGTCAACGAGGTGGAGTTGTTGACATTTGCTACATTCCCTCCAACGCTCTCCTTCACCACTTCTGCATCAGCCATCAGCCATTCTTTGCCATCATACATTACACCTGGAACCAAACATTATGTCATATTATGTTGGAGTAACTAGATTGACCAGTACTTCTTACATTTATCATATGTCATAAATTTTATAACTGTTGGTTTGCTTTGAAGACATCAAGTTAAGGAAAATTTGGAAATGATGGAAATTAAGTATTTAGTATAAGGGAGACAGAGAGCTTTTTTTTTAATCAAAGAAGAAACATGAAATCACAAAAGGGAGGGGCTGATTCAGAGAATCCCTTTTTATTAATTTTCATTTTCCCTTATAATAAGAAGATATTATGTTGGAGTAATTAGATTGACCAGTACTTCTTACATTTATCATATGTCATAAATTTTATAACTGTTGGTTTGCTTTGAAGACATCACGTTAAGGAAAATTTGGAAATGATGGAAATTAAGTATTTAGTATAAAGGAGACAGAGAGCTTTTTTCTGAGTCAAAGAAGAAACATGAAATCACAAAAGGGAGGGGGCTGATTCAGAGAATCCCTTTTTATTAATTTTTAATTTCCCTTATAATAAGAAGATTGAAAAACTCTGTTTGGACAAAATTTAAAACATCCCTCTGTATGAACCATATTTCTAAATGTACTGTTTATATCTCAAAGTAAGAATGAGTTATCATAGACCTAATGAATTTATCTTTTACAGAGGAATTGATATGGGTACTGCAGAACCTTAAATGAATTATGAACAGGCATGATATGTAACAAATACCCTAGAACAGGAAAATAAAAAAACATGACCAACAGAACTGTTTATCTAAATGTTATTGTGAAAAAGGTGAAAAATGATCCATAATAAAGTTAGATGTTAGATGTTATTCAATTGTTTGTCTATCTAAGATATATTGGAAATTGAAAAATATACAGAAATAAGAATCAGAAATTGTGCAGCAGTCTGAAATTTTCAGCCAGAAAGTTCAACAAGCATAAATAGTCTGTATATACCACCACATAAGTTGAAAAAATAAATCAGATAACCCATAGTAAATATGATCTAGGAAGGCATAAGATTTCATTAAAGTTGTAAAGCTTACACAGTTTTGCATAATTATGAAAAAAAAGGGAAATTAATCAAACAGATGGGCAACCTACATGTTTAGTAAAGATACAACAAAAATAACCAAAAGATGTTTAGAATATGTAATAATGCACAAGTAAAATTAATGTACTGCTATTATGTCTAATGGCATAATATTTAAATTGTACATAAAGCAATTAACTCAGATGTAACAATTAGGAAGTATTTTAAGGAATAATGCAGGTTGCATAGTACATCAATTTAAAAGATATTTTCTGAGGAAATTCTACTAACAAATAGGCATCCAGTTTATTCTGAGGGAAAAGGGACTTGATGAACTCCTTCTATCATACTTACCAATGTCAACTAAAGGAGGTTTATCTCTACCTCTTCTGATACACAAATAGCATTCTATAGTTCTTAAACTACCATGGTTCAAATCTGCACTTAGTCCAGTTGGTGTTTTTGTTATCACTTCCCAGTCATCAGGTTTCGTTTCACCTAAATCAGGGAATATCACGCTGATATCTGTAATTGGGGGCTGCCCATGACTGGATTTTAAATTTCCCCCTTCGGAAAGGGTCATTTCATCAAGGGGTTCAGGGTCCTCTGGCAGCCCAGCTACTACAAAATAATCGGCAACTCTCCTTTCATCCATTTTAAAACGTACTAAATGTATTTCACTAATAATGATTGATTCTAAGGCACATTCTTCTGATGGACTTCAATTTTCATTGGATTTTGAACCACTACCATTGGTACTGATATTCACACAAAACACAAACTTTCATTTGTATGTTCTACGTTATATAAAATATTGTATATAATAGGACTGCACGGTGCGTGCAAAAAAATATATCTATCAATTACTTTTATAGCAATATATTTTTTATTTTTCTTCATCCAGTCACTAATGACGTTTCTTTATTTTTCCAAGGTTAAACGTCAGACCCTCAGACACCGAACAGACGTCAATCAAGAAAAAAAATGTCAGATGTCATATTTGTTCAAAGTGTGTTGCCAAGTGTACTCGTAGATACATGCATTGTAATTTTAAGAACCTTTTACTATATGTACTTTTACAAGCTTTTCTCTTTAACTCGATGTGTTTGTTCGTTAGTAGAGAGTTTTTAGTATTCTTGTTTTGCTGCTTCATTATAATCTTCCTTATTTCGATTTTGTGCAGTAGCGAGACAGTGATCCGTTATCGAAATAAGAAAGCTCTGTTACTCACAACGAATAGGCGAGAGCTTAAAGAAATTACTTTTTGGTGCTTCGTTATGATTTTCTTTATTTCAATTTTGTGCAGTAGCGAGACGATCCTGCGGTATCCAAAATAAGAAAGTTTCGTTAGTTACGGTAAAATAAGGAAGGTCTTATTTCGTAAGGTAGTTATACGCATACATACAGATAGAAAAAGGATTTTCTGTATACTAGTATAACTCTCCGTGTAGCTTCACGGTATGCTAAATGTATTTTGTAAATCGTTCTACTAGTCGCAAGATTGCATACGCGATACAAAAAAACTTACCACCAATGTACATTGGTTCGGATATTTATAGCTGTAAACCAACTCCAGACGATTGAAAAAATAGCATTACAATATTTATTTCGGAAGACTGGCAACATGCTGTGTAGTCAATCTTCAATATAGAAATGTCAGTTATATTTTTGACAGTTTGAACAAAGGTGTAGGAGCAAAACAAAATAAAAGTGAAGTGAAAACAGTTTTTTAAAATTGTAAAGTTAGTCCTTACAGTGGCACTTCGAATTGTTGTTAATTAGTTTTGACGACATATAAACTATTGGGTGATCATCTGATACTCATAGTTTAACAGAATGGGGGCTGTGTTAGGCTTATGCTCTGCTGCGCAGGTAAAAATCTATAATTAAAAACGACCTTTTATTTATATTGTAGATTGTCGAGTTGATAACACTTCCTAAATCTCACACAAAAATTTCTCTTTTATATGTGTTTTTCCATTCCTACTTTACAAGGTCTTGCAATCTACTCATGATTCATTCTAGATATTTTAGTTACTTCTGATCATTGAAGCTTCATATAATTTGATATGAATATGTTTTGTAAATAACACCAAAGACAAATAATCAAGGGAGAAATAGATGACAATGCTCACAGACAATGATGTCATCAAAACAGTTGGTGTTCTGTTCTGTATATGCATCTAAATATATGAATTACAAAAGAATAACATTCAACATGTCCCCAAACCTGGAATATACTCTACCACTTTCTGAGCTTGAGATTTTTCATTCTTCCATCGTACACCTTTGTATATAATTACCATTTGATGAAAATCATCATATTTACCCTTTCTACCCTTTATTTGGTAATGCTGCCTGGTTCTTCGTTACCAGAATTTAGAGAGGTATCCTAGTATTTACACCAAATTAAGGCAAACACAACATGCTTGTCAGATTCTTGCACTATTAGCCAGGTAGGTGGGTAAGCAAAACAAGCCTATAGAAGTGCAAGAATTGAGATTATAATCAAATCCAAGCGAATAACCAAAATTTCTGTGTTATGTGCCGCGGTTATAATATGGTTCAAGATGACACACGGGTTGATGACATCAGTTACACGAATCGCTTGAACGCGTTGGTTTTAACGGCGATTTTGATGCAAGTTGTTTATTTTAGAAAAGCGCGTATATAATCTCTGATTATTTTTATTATCACTCAATAATCGGTGCTTTTTCCTCTACAACTGTATATGGAAAGTTTAAATAAGAAACCTTTCATAATATTCATGGGAGAAATGTTTTTTCAGATTTTTTTTTAATGATGGATCCATGGCTTTTTAGCTATGATAACTTTCAATTCTCTAAATTTTTCCGCATGTCAAAGAAAACATTTATTGATTCAGCAGAAATGATGAAAAAAGAAATTAGCAAAACCGTATACAGGTGGATATCATCTAGTGAGTTTATATGGCCATATTTTAATATTCTTGTGGTATATGGCTACACAGGATACTTTGTTAAGCATAGGAACTACATTTAAAGTGTCCCCAACAACCGTAATGAGTATAACTAACACTTTATGGTAAAACTGAAGTCAGCCTGTATCATTTTTCACAAAAATGAAGCTGAAGTACAATAACAATATCCAATATCCGGCAAAATTCTAACTTGTCACATTTCAAATAATAACCAGAAATATAAAAGTACTCTTGAGTTGGGTAAATACCACAATTTTGCGGTGATAACTATGACATATAACAGCTGATTCGTGACGTCACGGATCTTATAACCAAACTGATAACTACACTCGCTTGAACGGATTGGTAAATACCAACCCAAAATGGTAAATACCATTTCCATTTGGTTATCCGCTTGAATTTGATTATTAAGTAGCCATGTTTATTATGAAATAGTGCAAATGACATTTTAGTAGGAAAATGCCCTGATATTATGACACAAGATCATCTATGACATACTTAATAGAAGTCTGTATTATTACTGAATAAGATTAAACAGGAGCTAAGCTTGAACCTTGAATCAAAACATATACAAGTTCACAGCCATCATGCTAGATATCACGTTTGAATTACCTAATTTGAGATAACAAGTATACCACCCCCTATATAAATTATGCATGTTCTCAGATTTTTCTCATCAAAATTGCTGAAAAGGGCATACAGGTTACCACAGATGAGGATTCCTGCTGAAGTGTTGGCTATAGGAGTATAACTTATTTTCTCCATGATGACTTGGCTTAAGTCACATTAAATTTGAGTCAATATCACAACTAGTCACTCTTTCAGAGGTCTCACTATTAAAAATTAAAGAAACAACACTGTATATTAATCCAGTAGAGCAAGAGTTGTTTAGCAGTGGTTTTATACCTCTAGAATTATTGACTGAAGTAGTAAAAAAAATTAAGCTGTTCTATTTTTTCTCATATAACTTTCTATTATAACTCAAATCCTATAACTATATATTTTCTGAAAGTCAATGTTCTGCTATATTAATATTAAGTTAGCAGAGAATGCTGACTGGCTGAAGCAATCACTGTGTGCTTCTTATGGAGAACCACTCATTTGTTGAAGCTCTTGCGATGCTTTTTGTAAAGCTGTTAGAAATGGTAGTAGCACAAAGGGAGTTGTCTAACCTCACCTGTCAAGAATCATTCAGAAGTTTCAGCACTGTACAGCTTTTAGATTAGTTTAGCTTACAATATTTCTTTTAACATTATTTTTAAAAGGAAATAATGGCTAATTAAGGGTAAAAGAATGGGCTATTATTTTCTACTGCTGATATTATCAGTAGCCTAAGAGTTATTTTTCATAACATTTTTATTAGTAAATAAAGTGCTCAAAGATTGATAAGGTAAACACTTTAATTTATTTTTTATATGTTAATATTAACATAATTGACTGACTATAGCTGAAATCATCAGTTTTTTCCATAGCAATTCCATTTTATATTATATTTTGAGCTCATCTTTGATAAATATTCCTGCATAAATGTTGTGGAAAATATTGTTGGTGTAGGCTGTAGCCAGCATGCCCTGGTAACTAGAAGAACATTACTTTTTGAAGAAAACGTGTCATCCCTACACTGTTACTTTTGCTCAGCTAAGTTAATGAATGCCAAGCATTCATAGCTATCCTGGATATTTACTTCTCAATGATATGCAATTACTATTACAATTCTTATTTTATATATGATCTGGATGTTTTAAAGCACATGTCCATCTTGCACATTATTCTTTCATTTTCCTAGTATATAAATTTTCATAGACTGAGAATATAGTCACGCAGCTGAGGGTATTTATTTACATCCTTTCATTCTCTTTTACAGCTGGCATGTTGCTGTGGTAGTGCAGCTTGTTCCCTATGCTGCTCAGCATGTCCTTCATGCAGAAATTCAACTTCCACCAGAATCATGTATGCTTTAATGTTGCTAGTGGGAACTATTGCAGCTTGTATAACTTTGTCTCCTGGTCTGGAAGGTGTTCTTAAGAAGGTGAATTTTCTAACTGGCCACATATAAATCCACAGATCAGAAAATTATTGACAATTTAACTACTTTGGTAACCTTTGAGGGGTCTGTGATTTTGCTGCTACTAAGAGGTGGAAATGAGCTAGTTAGGCAAGCATTGAAAAAAGCCACTACCGGCTGTTTTTAGGCTGTTTGGCGGACCTCATAAATTTCCTTAAAATGTATACTAATCAAAGTTTATGATAACATTTAATTTACCCAAAATTTCAAGTTGAATTTACATTTTATGTTTAACTTACCTGTGTTTAAAGTTGGATATTCTTCATAGGTTGAAGTGAACCATGAAATACTCTTTGCATTATACTGACATTGTTGGATTATTTTCAATCTTAGGCTATTGACTGAATAAGAGTGATTTTATTTGTGTTCTACAGAATTTATTCCCAAGTTATATATTCATAGTTTGCTACATTTTTGGTCAGGTGACTTTTGTAGTATAGTCATATTTTTAAGGTCAGCCAAAACAGGCCAAAATTACAGATCCTTTTTCAGAAGTTTCATATAACTTATTTTTGTTTTGATAATGTCATATCCTAATATTTCATTTTCATATTCTAGGTACCGTTTTGTAAAAACAGTTCATCAATTCTACCTGATAATGTGGTGTTTGACTGTGATAAGGCTGTAGGATATTTGGCTGTCTACAGAATCTGCTTCATCTTAACTTGTTTCTTTGCACTTATGGCTCTCATGATGATTGGGGTGAAGTCTTCTAGAGATCCAAGAAGTGGCATACAAAATGGGTGAGTGATTTAGTTTTGTCATATCATTTGTATCAAATATCTGAATATAATATTTTGAGTAAACTAATGGTGCTGTTCCATGCAAAGGCATCAATAGATGACCAATGACAAGGCCTGAGACCAAAACACAGTACTGCAGTGTTCTTGTATTCGAATCTCACTCCTAGCTCACAAATTCATGGTTGGTTTGACCTGGAGGTCACACTTTCACTTGTGTACATTCAACTTTAAGAAGAATATTAAGCAATAAGTAATATCTGCATTGTGCCTCTTATTGCTTTTCCATACCTTTAAACCGTATTAAATTTGGGTTTTAGTAATTGACAGTTATAGTGGCAGGTGGCAGTTGATGTTGGTTTTGCTATTTGAGCACAGATGATGTAGTTGTAGAATCTTGTATACAGATGTTTTCATAGAATGTATAATACAGCATGTTTTTAAAATGTCTCCTTAGATACAATATACATCAATCATAAATAACTTTTTACAAAGTTTTCATCTAGAAGCCATTCATGCACTATTTGCCTGCTCTTTAAGCATGAAGTTCTCAAAAAAATATCCAATTTCCACAAAAGTCAATTATTTATTTCTTGCAAATCGATTTATATTGAAAAAGACGATTTTTAAGTGATGGATCTTTTCACTCACTGTCACATCCCTATGAATTAGTACAGTGGTTCGAATACAGATCGCGCCAATTTTTCTGTTTCCTTTATAAATGGTTAAATTCGTTATTTATCAAATTGCTAAGTAAGTAACTCAAAACACAACATTTAAGAAAAACTCATATTGAAAGGTGTCTTTTGCAGCCTACTTTTTGGAGCCGAATTTCTCATAGGAATCAGATTTTCAGGTTAAAAAACTAAAATTTGTTTCAGGTTCTGGGGCATAAAATACATGATAGTAATAGGTGGCATCATAGGTGCTTTCTTCATACCAGAAGGTACTTTTGGCATAACCTGGATGTACTTTGGTATGATAGGAGGATTTGCTTTCATCATGATACAATTGATACTCATTGTGGACTTTGCTCACTCATGGGCTGAAGCTTGGGTTGGTAACTATGAGGAGACAGAGTCAAAGAAATGGTACTTTGCTCTTATTGGAGCTACACTGTTGAACTATGCCATCAGCATAACTGGTATTGTGCTGCTTTTCGTCTTCTTTACAAAGGTAAGCCTTGGTTGGAGTGCTGACTTCAATACAAATTTAACTTTTATATCTTTTATAGGAAAACGAGTGTGGTTTGAACAAGTTCTTCATTTCCATCAATTTGATCCTCTGCTTTTTAGTTAGTGGATTATCTGTGATGCCTGCTGTCCAAGAGAAATTGCCAAGATCAGGACTTTTGCAGTCATCAATGGTTACATTATATGTCACATATTTGACATGGTCTGCAGTTTCAAACTCATCTAGTAAGTTTAGCTGTAACATGTGAAACAAATAGATGAATGTCACTGTTAAAGTTACTTGTATTGTATTTTACTTGTACCTTGAAAAAGGAGCCTGCACAAAGCTTATGTGAAACAGCTTTTGGTTAATTTGGTTTAAAAAATGGGTGTGTTGTAAATTCCAACACGTAGAACAAAATGGTCCATGGGTTTTTTCATAAGTAGTTACAGACATATAGTGTCTCTAGGATGGGTTGTTCATAATATATTACTGTGTATGGTGGGTATGGTATAACGTTTCTGTGGAGTATTTTATTCAGCATCTGTGGTTTTTGTTTTAATGACCAGGAAAAATGAAGATATATAGTAATGGTCTTTTACTTATTTTTTTTGTAGAGGAATGTAACCCAGGTCTCTGGGGAATTTTCGGCAAGAAATCGAATGGTAACAACATTGATATTATTGGGTTACTCATCTGGATGCTCTGCGTCTTGTATTCGTCTCTAAGATCTGCCAGTAAATCTTCAAAGATCACTATGTCCGAAAAGATGTTGACAACTGACAATGGCGCTGGTAAGTTAATTTTCATTGAAGCTATTGATATATCATACATGATGTCATGGAAACAATTTGGGTTTATATATATAATATTTTTACCTTGTTTGATTTGGTTGGTTTATTTCTCATTTTATAGAAATTTATATACCAAAATCCAGCATCAATGCATCAGTGGTTCTGTTTATCTTAAATGAAAAATACATATTCTTATTTACATCACTACTAACAACATAGGTCTAATAAAATTTTTGTTCAATACTTTATTCTTACTCTGAAACAATGTTTTCTTGTATTTCAACCATGGCATTATGTAGTGAAATGTAGAGTTCATATATTTTTCCTGTCTCTCATTTTTTGTTTTATGTATGTAGTAAGAGACTCTTCAGCTGGATTGGTGGAAAATGAAGGTATGGGTAGTTTCATTTAAAACATCACTATACTACATGTACATTTATTCCGACTTTACAAACTACGCCAACCTGCCCCCAGTTGTGCAATTTCACCATAATGCCTTGGGCTGCTTTTATGTTTCCAACATACTAATTTTTATATGAAATACTTGTGCAATACCGTGTAAGGAGAAAATATTTTTGTTGACAGTTGAATCACTGTAGTCAAAACTGCAGATAAATGCAAATGATATACTTAACTAGACTGATACAATTTTTCAGTGGGTGGAAGTGCTGGGAATCTATTTTCAAGGGTGAAAAGAGGACAACATCTAAAAGATCAATTTTAATTTGATACATGATTCATTCTTGCTTGAAACTCTATTCTGGAGATTAATTTGTTTTATGCAGCTGGTTTTATTATATTGAATTCAAATTCACTTTGGGTAATATACAACCCATAATGTTCTCTAATGCAGTGAGTCTTAGGAAAGATAAGGTGTTCCTTAATGAGGTGCTAATATTTTAGCTTTGATAATTCAGGTCATTTCATTGTAAATTGCCTATTATGGTATATGTTATCATCTCCTTTTTGTTTTCTCGTCACATTCGAAAGCATTTTATGATAAGTTTTAGAGTTGGTTTGTGAAAGTGCGACAATAAATCACATATGGTAGTCTCCACTAATATCTTTTGCCAAACTCCTTGCTCCAATTTCTCTCCATACTATGATAAGGGGAATACTGTGTATTTATATATGAGACCATCCAGATTGCGAGAAAGGTGGTCGAATCAGCTTGAGCAGGAAAACATATTAATATTCTTACAGATATATACTTAAAACAGAAAAGGCAGCTATTGGCAGTATATGATAGTGATGTGATGCACAGATCAATAGCTACTATATGTAAACTGCATTCATTATGCATGCACTATAAGCATGGAGCTGAGTATTCTTGGAGTAATTACTAATTATTTTCTCGGTTACTAATTTGTTTTCTAAAATGCACATTTTTCTCATTATTTTGTTCCAAAAACGAACAATCTATTTGATGCATCATAGTAGTTGGAAACACACGACACTCCCGCTCTTGATGGAGTGCTTAAGCATACGCATAAGCAAATTAAAATTCACGATGGTAAAACTGATGCATGAATGCCATATTTAAGTGAAAAACTGGCAGTAGATGATTTAAAGCTAACAGACATGTTCAGGATATCTTGGATATCTTTTTTAAACAGAAAGGGGGTCATGGTTATTAGTAGCCCTAGACTATCGTTTAAAATGGCAGGTTGACAAGTTGAAATTTTTTTTAGATTGGCTTGCCTATGACAGTAGATGATATATCATTTTTTTTCTTTTAAAAGGATCTATCCCAATATATATTAGAATATGTAACACCCGATTTGAAAAGTTTGTAAAAATATAGTTTTTTTTTAAATGTAATGTTTTATAGCATATTTAGATAGACCGTTCCAAAAGAAGAAACCACTCAACTTTGACATCCCGACATTCCGCCATTTTGGAAGATAGTGAATTTTATTTTATGGCTATAAAGTATAATTAAATAGTTTTCCGTTCAAGCTTCTTTAACTACCGTTCCCCCGCTCTGGTGATCTTATTTATCAATATGCAGTATTCATATTATTACAAGACTGTATTTTGAACAATTGAAATAAAAAACTTGAATGTTTTTCAAAAACAACTTCCAAAAATTATTCTCTGGCTGTGTAACTTTTTTCAACAAACAGAATCATCGATGTTGAATGGGTGACATTATTGACGTTTCGGATGTCACGGGACCAACAAACAATCTTGCTTTTATGTTTTGGAAAAAGGTTGCTGTGCCAGCCAAACATCAGTAAGAGTAATTAATCAATCATCTGTGGTTTATTTATTGATTGGATCATCAAGTTCATCACCCTGTTGGAAACTTACAGGCACATGTTTATAAGACTATTTGTTCGTAAAATATGTGAATGTCATTGAAGTGCACCTTAGATAGTAGCAAATATAATGGACTACTCGGACTATTTTTGGTGAAATTAGAAATTTACAGGAAATCATTGTAGTGTAGAATATAAAAACTGGTTATGTTGGAATTTCACGCTTTGTTTGCATACACCTTTAATTTTTATCATGCACACATTTTCCTTTTTGTTCTGTTTTGGTTCTTCTGCAGGTACCACAAACAAAGATTACACTAATATTCCAGGTAGAGAAGGCGATGGAGGAGAATCAGGCGGTGGCAAAGTGTGGGATAATGAAGATGAGTCAGTAGTGTACAGCTGGAGCTTCTTCCACGTTATGTTCGCATTGGCTACTCTTTACGTCATGATGACGTTGACCAATTGGTACAAGTAAGTTTAACACTTTTTATATTATCCGATATTCCGTTTTATACCGTTTTTTGTAGTACCTAAAAACATTGTTCATCTCAGTCTTTTTTGAGCGCGCCTATCAACCTACTAAAATGGTGTTTCTGACAGTGTTTACCTACAGATTTTCACATCTGACAAGTGTCAGTATGCCGAGTTGCCGAATGCCCAACTCTTTTTAGCGAGTTTGACGGGTCCAGTAAAGTTACAGTTCACTTTAATATGTTCACATGCACATGCAATGCTTCTTTGTAAGGGGACGTATATTTTTGTAAACTCGCTGACATACGTTTTTTATACGTTTTTTAGTTTAAAAATGTTGCTATGTATGACTGTTATACAGAGTGGCCCATAAGTCCTTTGATATGAAAAGAAAGAAATGAAATAAATCTAATTACATTATGAAGAATATCTATATTTGTTTTATAATCTTTATTAAATGGGAATTATTATTTGAAAATAACATCATCTAAATGTAATCCGTTACGAAGTATATAGGTTAGTTGAGAGATAAGCACAAAGCAGATTTCAGAAGTTATGTAACGTACGAATTCTTCTCTTCCAGACCAAACTCCAGTCTGGAAACATTCAACTACAACGCAGCCTCTATGTGGGTGAAAGAGATATCAAGTTGGCTATGTGTTGCTCTTTACTCCTGGTCGCTGGTCGCACCGCTACTCCTCCCCGACAGGGAGTTCATGTGAAACCCGGACGGAATGGTCCTCGTCTATTTGATTCTGTTGTTCGTCGGAAATACTGTTGTTCTCAATGCTTACATGTATTTAGCATTCGAGGATGCGTCAGATTAAAATACTTCTCTCAGCCACAATTTTTTCTACGGGATGCAAATGTGTGAATTTGTTTGGTACTCTTATTATTACAAGTTAAATTCTACGCGTTGGATGGTAAAGTACTTCTAAACGTATGTTTCATCATATGATCTACTACTTTTGTTGAGGCCGCACGTTCCTTTTTTTCATTTTTTTTTCAACTACCTGTTTGCAATAGTATTCTAAATCCTTTTCATCTGATTATTTCAAGATGTGTAATAGAGATGACTAAAAACCATCGTTTTTGATTTTGTTTTGTCATAAAATGCATGTTTGTGCAACAAAAGTAATAACTTGTTTCATTCTTCTACATATAAAAGAAGAATATTCGCACACAATTTCAGAGCTGTACTTATATTTGTTAACAAGTTCCGATTGAAATGCATTTTTTGACAAAAAAATGGTAAAAAATAGTTTTTTTAGTCATCTCTATACCGACCATGAAATTATCAGATGAAAAGGATTTAGAATACTGCTGCAAACAGGTAGTTGAAAAAATAATCTAATAAAGGGACCTACCACCTTAACACTCCCTTTTACCTTAATAGCAAAAATACAATAAAATAAAATGTGAAGCTTTATAAGCCGAGCTCTATCAAAACTGATGACATTATTAGACAGTTTAAAAGTCGAGTAATATCGGCTTATTATTATTATATAATGAGATTGCTACCGTTTGTGCAATAGTCGGTTCTTCGCGTATCCCACCGTATTCAAAAAACGCCGCGCTGGCAGTGGCGTGCGTTGTGTTTGCTGCTCTCTTGCTTTTCGGTACTAGAGTATAGCAATTTTGTTGAGTAGAGAGGTAAGATAGGTTTTTTCCGGTCCTATATAAAACTTGACATACTAAGGATGAATCCGTTATGTATTTTTGTAGAAAGGGATTTGGAAAAACATAGACTGATAGGTCTATGGTATGTTCATGAACCGATTTTCTGAAAGCGAACTATGACTGATGAGTGAGGTCATTTTCCAAAATTAAGTCTCGCTTCCATCCATTAAATCGAATTTATTTCGTCTTATGACGTGCTGGAAATATTTCTGAATATGAATTTAATCACGCCTTGGCAGGACAATTTAAACAATTTGTTAGGATGCTGTAATAAAATCGTAAGAGTTACAATAGAATTTCACATAGTTCCGTCCTATTATAACTTACAAATTCTCAACCCCATGTAATCTTTTGCTTCCCTGATCCCACAGCAAGTATAATATTCATTTATTAGTATCTATGGGTACCTACGCATTTTCTTGTGATTCCCTTAACATGATATAGTATGTATCTTTTATTATTGTATGTAAATATACACTCAATATTTTGAATTTAAGATTTATTTTTAGGTAGGACATGCTTTTACAGATTAATGTTATCTCGTCATATGTCTAGTTTTTTCATGTTCCTTGAGTAAATAATAAAATTTTGAAAAACTACGTGTACGATTTCTGTTCGACTCACCTGTAATTACTAAAAACACTAGCAACCTGATAAAATGGAGAGAAATGCAACTGATATTGTCTTCAGTGGTACGTGGACAGAAATAGCATACAAATATACTCGGTGACGTTAGAGAAGTGTTACATCCAGAGAAAATAATTTCTTCAAATTTATTTTTTGGCAATGAGGAAGTCTTACATCAAGAATGAAACGATAACATTCTCAGAAAATTTTATTGACAAGTAATAAATAAGAAAAAAAAATTAATGTGTTGGGCGACCCCGCAGCTGAATACACTCCTGTATACGTACAGGCATCCACAAAACGAGATAATTGATGTCTGGTTGTCATATACATTTTGTAAAAATAATTAAAAACTTGATTCAATTGTATAAAAATCCAAAATGTCACTAAGAAAAAATGAAGATGAAGACAAGAGACGAAACGTCGTATTGAAATTCTAATAAAATTCCAACCAATAGAGAAGAAAGTGTCAATTTTTTAATATGCGATTAATTTTAGAATCCCACCTCAAATAAGTTCGATTTTGGAAAGTATCGTTTTTTTTTCGGAAATCCTTTGCCGCCATTTAACCGACTTCGTATCTCTGACCGTTTCCGAGATCCCAATAAGCAAATTCTGGTCATTTGCCCAGATCAAAAAAAGCAATCTAGAATCCCCCCAAGGATGACGCTTAACGGCAATGTCTGCGATACGCCTCAGGATATAGTGGACAGTTTTGCTACCTTCTTTTCAACAGTTTTTATCCCGTCTGGTCTACTAAGGTCATCTCCTCCAACAAATAATTCTACCGATATCATTTCTTTAAAAAATATAAGTGAAGAAAACGTAATTATGGCTTCGAAAAGATTAAAGAACAAAATGACGTCTGGATGTGATGGTATTCCAAGTTTTTTCGTTAAAGATTGCATTCATATACTAGCGAAACCGCTGGCTTCCATATTCAACCTAATTCTTAAATCAGAGACATATCCAAATATCTGGAAGACCTCTAAAATATGTCCTATTCACAAAAGTGGAGATATCTCTGATATTTCCAACTATCGCCAAATAGCAATCCTGTGCAATTTCAGCAAGTTGTTTGAGATCATCGCTTATGAAAAGGTTTACTGCTCGGTCAGGGGTGCAGTCTCTATTAATCAGCATGGGTTTATGAGAGGCAGATCTACGGTCACCAACTTGGCACTGATTACTCAATACATTTCTGAAGTACTGGACGGTCAGGGACAAGTTGATGTCATCTACACAGATATTCAGAAGGCTTTTGATCAAGTTGATCATTATGCACTTCTGGATAAGCTTAAAACAGTGGGTATGTCTGATGCAATGCTGTCGCTCATGAATTCATATCTGAGGGATAGAAGGTTATTTGTCGAATATGGTGGTCATAGGTCGAGTTACTATCGGGCCACGTCTGGGGTACCTCAAGGGTCAAGTCTAGGTCCATTATTGTTTTTAACATTTATTAATGACTTGTCTTTTGAACTGAAGTGTTTCCATTTGTTTTTCGCTGATGACCTTAAAATCTGCACGTCAGTCAAGACAGTCGATGATTGCGTCATGCAAGATGACGTAGCTCTAATTTCGTCATGGTGTTCACGAAACTGTCTCAGTCTGAATGTTTCGAAATGTAAAGTTATGACTTATACAAGAAAAGTGAACTATTTAATTTATGATAATTATAACATCAATGGTCAGGTTATAGACAGATGCACCTCTTATAGAGACCTTGGAGTCATTTTTGATACCAAGCTAACGTTTACTGAGCATATACTCAATATCTCGTCGGCTGCCACTCGACTACTTGGTTTCTGTATCAGAAACTGGAAGGGTTTCTCCAATGTTGATACACTAATGACTTTATTTTTTACTTTTGTCAGGAGCAAGTTGGAGTATGCGACTCTGATCTGGTCTCCTATATACCAAAATTCTGTCGTGATCCTTGAGGCCATTCAACGTAAAGCTTTAAAGTATTTTCACCTTAAATGCACAGGTTCTTATCCAGAAAGTGGTTGTGACCATAGTGCCCTATTAGAGTCTTTCAATTTGGATTCACTGTCGACAAGACGAAACATATTTGCTTTGTCGTTTTTGTATGGCCTCATTCACAATAAAATTGACTGTCAAAATTTACTTGAAAAAATATGTTTCCGCGTTCCAAGGCTAGGGAGTCGACAACAAATGACATTCTATTGTCAAGCTGGCCGTACAAATGTTATGACAAAATCGCCAATTAATCTCATGTGCTGCGTCATGAACAGTGTTACTGAATCGTGTGATATTTACAGTGACAGTTGTGCATCGATTATTAACTGTTATAGATCATCCAATCTTATTTAGAATGTGTGATACTATAGATTTAAGTCCAAGAACCATGTCTCTTTAATTGTTATTTTTTTCAGCGTTTCCTGTAATTGGGTTTCACCTGCTGGAAATAAATAAATAAATGTAGTAGAAAAATGGTGGCAGAAAACGTAGTTAGAAATTGCCGTCATGAAGAAACGTTATAAGACTTTGTAATAATTTAGGCGTTCTCAGTATTGCAGAGTAAAATTTCAACTGTTAATCTACATGCCAATACTGTGTACGCTATTACATTACCAAGTGATATACAAACGCACCCCAGGTCAGCTGGACCCATATTATTATTGAATAATCTTATGTTGGGTGCAAGCCACGTCAAACGCTCTATCCTCGCGTTTGTGACGATTTGGTAAGGTTTGCCAAGCGTGCGGACGCGGCATTATGCGATATATGTGCTGAACGAAAAAAAAAAAAAACGGGATAGGAAAAATATACTATATTTTCTCTTCAAAAACAAAAATCACTGTTAGATTCAATAAGCCAATAAAACCATTTCTTTGGTATTTTAATCAATGATTTCAAATCACAATCCTTTTATAGTCTCATTTTATAAACACATTTCGTTACAACTTCCATATTTTTTTATATATTTGATATGTATATCTATAAGCACTCAAGCAATAAACATGTGTACTTTTACCCAAAGCAGTTGATTACAAATTATCTGCTAAGTAATGCTATACTATAATATATAACAAAAAATACCGATAAAATACGTACAATACTGTCTTTTTCAGGAGTATCCATTACGGTAAAATGTGACAAGTGCTGCTAATGATCATGACTACATTTCAAGTAAAGAAGGAATGAATGAAATGAGATACCCAGTGTTTGGCTTTGTTAGTCATCTCTACTTTTTAGAACTTGAAATACCCTATCATTTTAGACGGCATTGAAACAGCCATATCTGAATTACATTACACTGATGATGGTTAATTATAACCAGAAACACGTGTCTAGATTATTTTTACATGTAAACTTACAGCTCCTTGAAAGGACAACACAGTCTGTCCTATTGACTTTCATTTTAAATTCCCAGCGGTACTATAATAATTTTCTGATAAACGCTTTTCTATGTGTTTTGTATATTTTATTGCCAAAATGACCAGTCACCAGAAGTATCTAGATACGTGAACAACGGCTCTGAAGTTTTACCAGATTTATTACACCAGATTGATTATTACGAACGTTATAGGCTAATACAGGATGTCACTTGCTGATCAGCTGTTCACCTCAGTAGACGTCAAAACGTAATGGATACTCGTGAAATGCGGTTTAAATATTTCCTAAAGGATGGTTCACCTCGAATGTATGCTGCATATGTGACACTGAAAATTTGACTATTTCAAATGACACCTTTGTGTTTGAGCTTATTCTTATAAACATAAAACTGATATGTTTTCAACTTCCTATATAGCGAAATATACTTCCCCGCCGAAGTTGTTCTCGGCACCACGTATTTTTCACAAAACTCAGTCCTGCTTCTAGCACATGCACTCAAACTGCCGTAATCCAACGCCTCAAGAAATCTCAGCACAAAACTGTAGCAGTTATGTCTGTCTTCGTCATAGTCTTTAGCCGACCAGCAACTCTGCTGGCAGACTCGATTCAAAGTTGCGTCCCAATGCTCAGACCAGGAGTTTGCTACCTGCTCGAGAAGTAGACATTGTCCCCATTGATCGGAGCGGTGCTGCCGTAAACCATGTCTGTCAAATTCTACGATGGTGCCTTCTGAGGTGGTTACCCCTATGTGGAGGTCGGTTGAGTTGAAGTAGTCACTGAAAAAAAACATGTTTTTTGTGGTGACAACAAATCGCGTGAAGTAGGTTGACTCTGCATTTCCTATGCAACGCTGTCATATCTTTTCGTAAAGCATTATATTCTTCTCAAGTTAGTTGGCTACGAAAATGTATAACAGAGGTCATACAATTAGTCAGTAGTACCCAATGATTTGAAAACATTGCGATCTATCTAGTCTTCCGACCACCCACCAACGAACATGGTAACCTGTCGCAGCGTTTGCAAACCCAGCACGGCGTTGCATACAAGGATACACGTATCATCGCTCAGTTATCGTTTTATACTGCTTTTTTTAAATTCACTAACGCTCTAAAAATGAATATTTCAGCAGCAGTAAAGAATCAACGTTGGCGGATTTTGGTTCTTGACATCCTTTACGATCGGTTACGATGCCTAGAGTACGGAGACCTGTACGATTTCGTCAACTTAGTGAGTTTGATACGGGCCGTATACTGGGACTTCGGGAAGCTGGACTTTCTTTTCGGGCAATTGCAGTTAGAGTGCAAAGAAGTGTAGACACTGTGGTTAGGTGTTGTCAGGCATGGCTTCGAGAAGGCCGTACGCAAAGAGCAAGGGACACTGGACGCCGCCGTAGAACAACAGACCGTGAAGATCGCCGCCTAAGATTATTGGCCTTAAGGGACCGTTTCTCCACTACCAGGTCCATTGCAAATGAATGGTTTGCAGAACACGGAAGACCTATTGGCATGCGAAGTGTTTACCGACGAATGAGAAGTTTTGGCTTGTTTTCATACCGGCCCTTTAACTCGAGAACACTGACGTAATCGCCTTGAGTGGTGCAAACAACGGTCACTCTGGGATCAGGAATGGAACAGTATTGTCTTTAGTGACGAGTCTCGATTTTGTTTAGGCATGCACGATGGTCGTGCCAGGGTTAGAAGGCGACGTGGTGAAAGGAGGAATCCACAGTTTTTTGTTGAAAGACATGTTCATCACACTGTTGGAGTTATGGTTTGGGGTGCTATAGCTTATGGTTCCAGGTCACCTTTAATCTTCATCAGAGGTAACATGAACGCGCAGCGTTATATCCACGAAGATCTAGAACCCCATCCTTTACCCTATCTTGACACCCTGTCAGATCCAACTTTCCAACAAGATAATGCCCGACCACATGTTGCAAGAGTCACAATAGACTTCTTTCAACATAATGATGTAACATTGTTACCATGGCCACCAAGATCTCCCGACTTATCCCCAATTGAGCACGTGTGGGATATGATGGATAGGAGATTGCTCAATTTGCAACGTCCTCCTTAGACTCTAGAAGCACTTCGAGAGGAGTTGGTGGTTGCCTGGAATGAGATACCACAGGAGGACATTGACCACCTGATCAGAAGCATGCCTAGGCGCGTTGGAGAATGCGTAGCACATCAGGGTGCATCCACACATTATTAAAGGTCAAAGGGCTTTAAAGCAGTGCAATCATTTTGAAATTTTTATCATTTACTTATTATGCTTCATTAAGCACTTATACAAAATTTCATTAAAATAAAACCATTTAAACTGGGTGTTCGGATTTATATGTCACTTAGTATATGTTCAATAGGTACGAAAAATTATTGGGGTTGGAAACATATAAATGGCTAGCATAAAAAACTGAAATATAACTCTCCCCCACCCCTTACAGCTCCCAACATCAAATTTTTAACTCCTACAAAAATTTTTCTGCAAATGAACAGGATCCTCTGAAATGACAAAACCAAAGTTTTTGCGATTTCATTTCTTCATTCGATATAGGTAGGCATTGGTAGACAAGTGAGTCAAAAAGTATGCAATAAAACTACGCAATTTTGGCGACAAACAATGCAATGTAAGCTTGGCTCCTATTCTATTCAAATTCGTTGGTCTGCAGTGATCCCATTTGCAAACCTTTGACAGCCTCCGTCCGAAATTTTGTAAAATAATGTATATAAACTACAATCAATGAGCTTAAAAATGAGGTACATTGCCAGCCTGCCCGTCTACCATTGTGAAACATAGTGATTTTATATTAGAGACTTTTTAGCGCAACAAAAATAACGATTCGTCAAGTCACCCGTTAAGTTATTTTTGTCAGCGACAGCAAATAACAAGGGGCAGAGAAAGAAGAGTTTTTATGACTACTTAAGTGAATCGTGGTAATTTGACAATAATGACTACTGAAAATCATTACAAGTGAAGCTAACTCCAGAATTTCAAACTGAAATATGACTAATTGACAGGAATTAAGCAATTTTTACATGAGTGACTAGCTGAGGAAAGCCCTACCAGGACGACTTTCGACTCGGAACACCTGCCCCAAACAGAGGAAGATATTGGGTATTCTAGAACACACATTTTGCATCTATTATTTACATGTAATCAACTTACTTCAGGAAATCGCCCGTTGTCGGCTTAATCACAACAGCACAGGAATACTGAGATGCCTTTACGAAAGGATAAGGAACTCTGAAAACGAAACATAAACTATTACCATTGATTAACGTATGCTAATGCTTTAATCCCGCGTTCAAAAAATTATTCGAGATCAAAAGAGAACTTGTAGCGTCATTTATGAGAAACTCACACATCTGTTTCTCTATTTAGAATATTCAGGGAAAACCAAACTTATCTGATAGCTTCAGTTCAATGTGTACGGGAGAGAAGCGCGAGAAGTGGGTAGCAACACATCTTAGAAACCGGCTAAAAAGCGAAGATTATCACCACATTGCGTAGCAACGGTGGCGCAGAAGGTCGTGCAATCGTTTGCAATATGATACTCCAGAAAATGTTCGCACAGGCTTCTACAATAGGTTAGGTTACTGTCAATCCCGAGAAGGTAGGGCTGCTCGGACATTAAATTTAATATTTTGTTTTCATTTTGATTAGAAATAATTTCACTTTTGATGCGACTTATACCTAGTGTTTTAATTTATTTTAGAATTGTCTTTGATTTCCACCGATGGTGTTAAAATCCAACACATTCAGTTATTTTTACCTTTTGCGACAGCGAGCGGCCAGAAAATGTAACAAATACGATTACACAATATAAATTATCACTGCCTGCATGTACGCAGTTGAAAACAATTTAGAAGCAGGACGACACTCCCCTATGAGCGCTAGGTGGGTACTGACACAAATCGCTCTGCTATGATCATGGAGGTGGAAACCTTGCTTTGCAATGTACGAGATGCGGTGTTGCAAGCGAACCAATGATTCAATATTGCAGAATTTGTGGCAATCCTGACCTTTCATTTCGACCTAAAATAGGGCGCCGTTGGACACGATCCGGAATCGATCTTAAACAGATTCGACACAATTCGAAATTAACGCATATTTCCAACATTCATCTTAATTCAAGCAACTGGTGTATCATATTGGCGACGCGGCAGATTGCCGCGGCAGAGTCGCTAGGCAACGCAATGATGAGCTTCGCTACCCAGCAAGCTTCTAAGTTTTCGGTCAGGACAAGTTTGTTTCTCAGTGTATATATATACATAGATTGCGCTGTAGCGCATTATATGTAATTACAAGAAAATAAACAGCGGCATCTATGAGATACTAACCTTTTCCAAGTATGTATGTATAACAGATAGAGAAACAGCTCTGACAAATTCTCATAGATAACGCTATGGGTTCTCATTTTGTCTCGGATAATTTATTGGACTCGGGAATATAGCATTAGGTTGATTGTATTCAAGTAGAGTGACAAAAAAGTCATGAAACAACACCCTAGCCTTCCTGTTAATTATTTTTAATTAAAGATAAACAGTAAAATAATTTGAGTAGTAGGGTGCATACTTATATAGCAATACAAACATGCAATTTCTTTAGTAATTGCATCATTGCCACATCTGCTAAATATAGCAATAGTTTTTACTTAATATTGTATACGGGTGACAAATATTTGTTTAAATGTAAAGTAAGATGTGTATGATAACTGTGTTTGCGTATATCGACTCGTATCAATATTTACTGACTTTTTCAATATCTTCATATATTTCTAAGGAATAAAACGATATCCAAGCATTTGTTAAGTATAGATTATATAGTGCATCTAGCTGTAAAAGGTGAGCCATTTTCAGATAGCTCTCAATATATTATACGCGTATTTAAGATTTGCAGACTGCTTTGTTCATAAATTTTTGTCCACCTTCCAAGAACCATGGTATAGTCGAAATCACGAAAGATGACGATTACGTCATCATTTTAGTCTGTACTAAAGACAAACGACAGCGATTTGTGAATATATTTAATAAAGTTTGTGATATGCTAGACAGAGACAAACAGAATTTTATTGTCTAAATAAACTGTATTGCTAATTTGCATGTATCCGACAAAGATAGACGATGTTTTCATGTTGCATGATCGATCATATTTGAAAGATGAATAGTTAGGTTATGTTAAAGCAGGTTATGTTGTTTTCGAATAATACATTGGTCTTTGGTGTTCCTGTCTTCTACTCATAACTGTTTTTTTCAAGACAAAAACTCGTCACTAAAGTTATTATTAAGGTATCACTCAAAACCATGAAATAAAATGAAAATAAAAACAATCAGTTGAATAACCTAACTTCGCAAAATCATAATATAAATTTGTTGTCATTATGTTCCTCACATCGTGATTTTATCATCGACGTACGTCCATTGATTACTTCAGTTCAATTTAGGTTATGACGTAATAGTCATCTTTCGTTATTTTGACTATAGATAGTTTGTCATTTATACAGGACCTGAGAAGAATACGTAAATTGTGGGAGATTTGATGTAAAAGTCATTTACAAAAAAATGGTGATAATGCTTATTTTTATTGGTATTAAAACTTCTATAGCAGATTGTGGTAACAGAAATTCTTATTTTTGACATGTCTTGTATTATGGCATTCTAGTTTTTATACTATCAAGTAATTGCACTTGGTCGAGAAAATTTTGATGATGAGACGAAAATCTAAGTACAATGTCTTGGATGATATGTATTTCTTGGAAGATATATATTATTTGGGTGTATGCTTTAAATCAGTATGATCACCATTCCATGTTGCTCCGGATACAATCCCTTATATGTTGTACCACAAATGAACTCTTTTAAAATCCTGTTCAAATAGTTTTTTTATATTCATAAGATACAACTCATCTACAGGATGGATTGCTGGAAAGATATCAGAAAGCCGTTGCTGGTGATTATTGAAACAATTTCTGAAACACAAAGAAGTTTTTTCTGTACTAAGCCTTCTGGAGCTGGCGGCCTGAGATCGCTTCCACCTACTTTCTGCAGTGGCTTGAACATATGGTTGTTTCATCTTCTTTTCCAGCTTTAACATGCGTGTTGCACAGATATTTGCCTTAGCATCAATATTTTACATATTTATATCTACGATATCCTTCCCAACAATAGAATAGAAAACAGAAAATTGACGCAAGGTCTAAATGTGACCACTGGTCGTCACTTGAGTATTGTTTATAGTCTTTGTTACAATGTACATGACTCACTTAAAAGAAGGCATTATCTAATATCTGGAAAGTTGCTGACCTAATTATTATTATACTGCGCAATATTGAAGTTTGAAGCAGTTCACAAGAAGACGTATAATAAGCTTCATGCCGCTTTCCCTTCGGCAAATCTTCTGGAACATGGAAACTTGCTCTCGATATGTAAACAAAACAATTCGGTACGACCAGTACCTCCCAACTATACTACAACTATTTAAAACTGTAATGACTCATACGCGTGATCAACACGTGATCAGAGCTCGATCCCGGCTTCCTTCCAGTACAGCCGTATAGCGTACGACATATGTCGTTTCTGTGGCTTTGCGGTGGTCAACAGCACAGACAGAGATGGAAATAATGGCTGATTGTTCTCCGCCGGTAGAACCAATGAAATCAAAGACGCGCCTCGATCGGCAGACTCATAGGCGTCGGCAACGCATTGGAACGTGTTTCGTTGAGCGATCGCATATTGTGTGTTTTTATAAGAATTGTTGTGATTGTTATTGTTGTGGTTTCTGTGGTTACTGTTTTGGTTATACTTAACCATGGAGAGTACAAATGGCACGAGTGGAAGTACTGAAAGCCAGGGAACAAGTAGACGGCTTCGTAAAGCACTGAAGAGGGACGCGAAAGAAATCGTGCTCAACGTGTTCAATTATCTGAACAGAACTATGTCGCAGGGAGATGCACTGGCACGTTGTGAAAGTATGACAGGCGTTCCAGAGTGGACCATTCGCAGGGTGGTGCATGAAAAGAAGAGAACTGGAGCTACTACTGATCCAAAGTTTAATTTGAAGGGACGAAAGGCCGTTAAATTGGATGACGATAGCAAAATGGCGTTAAGGCGAACCGTACATTCATTCTTCTTTAGGAATGAGATACCAACCCTCAAGGCTGTACATGCAGCGATCAAGGAAAATGAAATTATACCCCAAATGAGCGTCGAGGTAATGAGGAAATCCCTGCACGAAATTAATTTTCGTTACGAAACGCGTAATCGGAAGTCAGTATTGATAGAGAGACCTGAAATAGTCGCCTGGCGTCGAAAATACCTATGCGAAATGATTGAATATAGGCGACAAAACAGAAAAATCTATTATTTGGACGAGACATGGGTAAATGCAGGTCACACATTTAAAAATACCTGGATAGACAAAAACGTAGTGAGTAACCGACAAGCAAGTATTGAAGGTTTGTCAACAGGTCTTCGTGGACCGTCAGGGAAAGGTCAAAGATTGATCGTAACTCATATTGGTAGCGATAGTGGCTTTTTAGAAGAGTGTGACTTGATTTTTGTCTCTAAGAAAGGAGGTGATTACCATGACGAAATGAATGTCAGTCGCTTCGAGAGCTGGTTTCAAGGGGTGCTTCAGCGAGTTGAGCGCAACTCTGTGATCGTCATGGATAATGCTTCCTACCATAGTCGTCGAGCCGAACTTGTACCGACTATGGGATCTCGAAAAAGTGACATGCAGCAATGGTTGCGCGAAAAAGGAATCCCGTTTGACGATTCATGTGTGAAAGCGGAATTGTATAAAAAAATTAAACAGCACAAACCTTGCGAACATTAGTTACGTGACTGATGAGATGGCCCGTCAATGTGGTGTCACTGTGCTGCGGTTACCGCCCTACCACTGTGAACTGAACCCAATTGAGCTCATCTGGGCTCAAGTGAAGGGTTATATTGCGCGCCATAACACAACCTTCAAATTACCAGACGTTAAGGTTTTACTTGAGACTTCCATACAGCTAGTAACGCCCGAAGGTTGGCAGAATGCTATCCGTCATGTTGTGAAGGAAGAAACAAAAATGTGGCAGCTTGACCACCACATCGACACCATCATAGAGCCAGTTATAGTCAATTTCAACGAGGAAAGCGATAGCGACAGTTTATTACTGCCCGATGTAAGTGGAAGCGACGATGAATAAAGGTAATTCCCAAATTTTTGACTTACAATATGTTTCAAACCACTCTTTATTAAGCATATGACAAATCTAGTTCACCCATGTTAAACATTCATACCCCGCCTATGAACAGCCGACTACTGGTAGTTAAGTGATGTTCACGTGAACATCGATGAGTCATTACAGTTTTAGATAGTTATAGTATAGCCAATATATTTCAAGATTTTCGACTACCTGCGCTATTTTATTCTATAATTGCTTTTAGAATGAAATTTTCTTTTAATACTTATAATTGCGAGTAAGACAACCTTTTAAGAAATATTTTGCTTTAGAAGGTAGTCGTACTAATGTTCCCAGTTTTAGGACAAATTTTAATACTGTTTTATCGACGTTTACACAACAATTTTATATGACATTTACACTTACTGAAGAAATTCGTTTTATAACAGATTCATACTGGTATTATCCGATTCGAATTTATTGGTTTACATCAATAAAATTGTTTTATTGGCGCTCTGTGGAACAATTAAACATTAATTTATTAATATATAGTATCTTCCTATTGTCGCTCGCTAAAGCATGTTGCACTCTCGACTTCCCAACAAGAAAATATATTTTATAATTCTCAACTGTCCGAGGTCGGTTGAATTAAGGAAAGAATATGAATTTCAATGCTTAACCGTGACCCGTTTTAAAATATCTTTGCTAGTTGCCAACAAGCATTGAAATCCACATTTGCATCGAATTTGTAGCACCCTGTATACACGCATGGATTTTTTTACACTAACCCTTATCTCCTGCAACACATCTGTTTAACTAAAATATACACATCAATTAAACATAAAAAAACGTCTTATAGGTACTCTCAAGGTGGTAAAAGTATTTTATAACATGGAACCTATATTTTGTGTTATTTCAACTTCAATTTACGACCCCCATTTTCAAGTGTATTACAAATAATCATTTTTGCAATGATAAAATGTATTAACTTACTACTTTAGTGTTTATATAATGGTATGAGAGGGTTTACTTATATAAATAATTCTTGCGCAGTAAAATATCAAACATCAGATTAAATATCGAATTTCTATCTGCCCGATATTGGGTGTATATATCAGAACTAGATGCCACATGGCTGATGTAGTTACTCACACATATTTTATTAAGATCTAATGCTTGCCTTTTTGTTGTACTCATGATCATGAAAAAACAAATTATTCTCAGTGGGTACAATTTAACCACAAAATCAAACTTCTATAAATGACTCACAAAGACATATCAGTCATATCAGTGAAATGAAAGGTATTCCGGAAATAAACATAGTAATTATCACATTTTCTATTGTCTACAAATACTTGAAAGAACTTAAGAAAATATGCCTCTACAATACTACAAGTAAATAACGTTTGTGCCTCTCATTATAACTAGTTCATTGCCAGTTTCTTGATAAACCAGTATCAAAAGAGGCTCTTGAAGTGACCTTATAAAAAGAAGAGCTGTGACTGTTAATTTGATTTTGTTTGCAGATTGTATGAAAGCAAAATGGTTGATTTAGTTCTTATCGCGTTCATAATAGTGCCTAACTTAGGTGGAATCATTGGCGGACTGGTTACTGTTGCTAATCTTCCATGGTATGAGAAACTAAAAAAGCCAGATTGGAGGCCACCAAACTGGGCATTTGGGCCTATTTGGGTCGTAATGTACAGTCTTATCGGCTATTCTTCGTATTTGATATTCAAGTCTGGCGACTGGACAAAAGGTAATTACTACCACTACATTTCTTGCTGCGCGATGTCTAGTCCGCAATCAAGGAAGAGGATCAGAAATAGCATGATTGGTAACCAGAGCGACGTAAGTTTCATCTTACCGACTTTATCAGGCTCAAATGGATGTGCATCGAAAACACCGAAGTGAAAAGATATGCGCATCACATCTGGATAAGAATGTAACCAGAAGGAAACCAAGGATGGAAAAAGAAATACAACTAGAAGCCACCAACAAGAGTCAGCGGGCACATATGTGGCTTCGGTCAGAATACTTTGTTTACCTTCTTCGGGCTCCTCCAGGTTACACCCATATCCAGATGTGATGGGCATATATTTTCACTTCGTTTTTTTCGATGCACATTCATTCGGGCCTAATGATGCTAATAAGTAGAAACGTACGTCGTTGGTGCTATCAATTCTTCGATTTCTGCTCATGTTCCTTCATTGCGAACATTCCCACGATTGTCATTTCATCTCCTCCCTTGCTTTATAGATACGACTAACAGTCGCTGCTCACGCAATCACGTGCATAAATGGGCTCTAAGAGCCATTCACGAAGCGTTTCGTCTAATTTTTACCAATTTTCTAATAAAATATGAGCCTATAGATCTAAGATGTATGTTGTAGCAGAAATTTCAGCATACTCAGTGTAAATTGTGTCTCTTCCAGCCATAACTAATTAATTTTAAAAAGAGTTACCGTAATTTTGAGCTGACTAGTCGACGTTACCAATTCAATGCATTTTCTTAAACTATGGGCGACAAAAGTTACAATTTTTACAACGCTTTGAATAGGATATGCTATGGCGATGTGAGATAATATTTGCATCTCTCAAGAAACAGACAGGTGGTAAAAAAATAGGTTAAATAAAACCTCTGCTATCCAATTAACACTTGAAATCGAAAATTATTCCAAAAGATTATTATGTATACCAAATGTGAACTCAATTTGCACTCTGAGGATCGTTATACAGTTCCATCACATTGCGGCTCACGTTTGAAACAAATTTACGAGGTTTACAATTGGTAGCTTCATTGTTAGGCAAGTTAACTCACAAAAGTATCGTTTCGAAAAGAAAAGCAGAAATATCTTATAGTTTTTAATTAGATAAATTAAGCCTTTGGTTTTTTTAATACTACAGATTATTGTACGAATTTTGCGGTTGTTGTGTGTAGACGGTGAAAGTTAACTTTTTAATCGAAACATCGACTGTATTGTTTTATTATTCAGATATTGAACATATAAAAAATAAGTTTTAGATATTTGGAATATCGAAAACCCATTTGTGTGCAAATTGCGAAACTATATAAACTTATTAATTATTATGAAATTTGTCGTCACCATTTTATCGTCTTCCCTTAGTAGACACACTATTGTTGCGTATTTTTATATGGGCGTGACAAAACACGAACATAGATATGTACGATTTGGTGACCATAAACTCATGTGCTCACAATAACGCTTGTTGTGCGGATCGGTTGGAAGGATGATTTGTATATGTATTTGATGGTAGATATTTCAAATATATTTTCAATTTTTCCCCAGATCCCATTCGGCAGGCGTTGCTGGTCTATGGAACTGACTTATTAGTTAACTGGTTGTGGACGCCAATCTTCTTCGGTCTTAAGAATATAAAGTTGGTAAGAGAACCGAATCATATTACTAATAATGTGGAACTGCGCCCGCTTTTCAGTTCTTCAACATTATATCATATTGCGTACAAAAATCATTCGTATTAGTAATCAACTTATATAGGGTGTCCCAGGATGTGGGGTCAATCTATCACATTTATATAGAGCACTCACAATAATGTGACAAGTTCCTATGCAAAAAAGTCTAGACCCAATCAAAGCCTCACATTCTGCTGTCCAAAGAAAACAATTTAGATTGTCATGGATAGACTAACGCATATGTTATATTGATATTTTTACACCCAGTATAATAATGGGTTATGCTCAGCCCGAAGCTAATAGCTCTTAATACTTTTGAATGTACATGATAAACTGCGCATTTTAGAAAAACACAAACTTCTGCTTATACTCTTGCGCTATCTGCTAGAAATAAAACGCGCTGTATGGTATTTCAAGGACTCTTCATTAATATGATATAGAAAATAGAACATCAAGTGAAAATGTATACCTGTTCGATCTTCTATGAACAAAAAATTGATATTTTGTATCCGCTACAAAATTTATTAAGCCAAAAAGTATTGAATTTTCCTAAAATCATTTTTTGTCGATTTTATTTCAGGTGGAATAATAAATTATTAAATAACATTACCAGTTTTTCTCATCTACGTGGCATAATTAGGATTTTAGTGAGACCGTACATATCTTGCCGTAAATCATTTTATACAGGTGAAATACGTTTTTTATTCCGATTTCAAAAATGTATAAAATGCCATACATTAATATTATAAAGCTATAATTATAAAAAACGGTATATTTTCAAGTACGGCTTGACATTTTCAGATAGTCATTTAGCCAAGCAGCCTTGAGTTTGCATAAACTGGATATAGGTAAACTGTGTCTATTTTCAATTTCAACACGACACGAAAATTTTTGTTTCTCAATTAAGTCGTACAAAAACTGCCATACAGTTTTCTTGTATAGGCTTCGATAGATGACGCAGGTGTAGCTATTCCGTTAGATTCAAGTTTGCCTATCAGCAACAGGAACCACGTCGCACTTTCAGTTTTGTTCTTAGTGCGCGCGTCTGGTAAAACGTCATATCTCAAAAAGTCATTTGTACGCTACGCGTATTCGTGTTGCAGTGTGACATTTACCTACTACAAGAAATTCAGAACAAAAATGTTTAATTTTTGGAAGAAATGCTATCATCCCTTGATAGTTTTAGGGGCGATTGGAAGAGTACGAGTATGACATTCCGAATTTTTAATTTCATCCTTGTAAAGCTTACCACTGACAAGTTGCAACAATCCTATGGTATACAAATTTTGAAGCCCGTTTTCTCAAACATGTAGCTTTTTGACATATCGCACTTTTAACTTGCAGACATTGATTGATAATCAAGAACTTCAAATTTCTCTGGCTCTAACTCACCATAAAGAACAAGATACTAAAAAAATTTTCATTTTACATTATAATGTAATGAAAACATTGAACACCTTACAATTTCAAGAAGATGATATAAATGTTTTAGAATAAGATGAAGCTTCAATGATGTTGCAGGTTCCTATACACATTTCGTATCCATCTTGCATGTAAACAATAGTAATCTAACGTTTATTATAGTCGATACGATTATTTGAATATAAAGACGCTTCTCGAAAACTCAGTTTTCAATTGGTGACGTAACTGCATAAACATTTGATAAGCTGTCATTATATTTTTTCTGAAATAACTGAGATATTATATATAATATATTATAAATATTCTTGACATTCTAATTATGCCTCCTTGTAGAGGAGTAAAAGCGGGAATGTTGATGTGCAATTTAGTCCCACCTCAAATAATGTCGGAAAATATGAAAACCACTTTGAGGAAATTTATTTTTTCTATATTCTCCGAAAAACTCTGAATTGTTATATAGCCATCACAAATTGCTAATTGTATGGAATTTTTTTCACAAAAACAGCTTTTCTGGCATTTAGTTCTAACAAAATAAGATATGTACAAAAAAGCTAGTTTGTGTGATTTTTTTCACTTTAAATCGCTTAAGCTGCCCACACGCGATATATGCGACTTTGAAACAAATTTATAGAACTTCAAGACAAAGTTTGAGCAAATGTTGCACTTATTATACTTCATTTAGTGGTTTGACCTTTTCACGTATTACCCTGCTGAATTATCTTTTTTCATTTCAGGCGTTATATGACATCTTGCTGTTGGACGCAGTAACCGTAGCTAACGCTCTCCTGTTTTACCACATAAACTCGATGGCAGGTTACTTGTACATACCATACATGATATGGTTGGTGCTAGCTACAGCACTCAACTACGAAATACTGAGGGACAACCCAGATGCTCAAGGCATCAAACATCTGGAACATTCTAAAGTGCACCATAACTAACAATGTCAGCAATGCCAAACACAGATTATTCCAAGTAGGCATCAATGTAAATAGTGTGAGTCACAGACAATCTGATCCTGTTTATTGTCATTGCTATGGAGGTGCAGCAATAGTGCGACCGTGATATTAGGTTTTATGTAAAATAAAGAGTGATAAAAATGATGTTTGTTTCATTTAAGGGGACGACTGTAATTTCTTCGCAATGCAATCGCTCTAACAGTCGGTACATATGGGCGTTAAATTGTCGTGCTGCAAAAGAACGCGCGACTACGTGTGATTTACACGGCGTTTCGTTACGCGTCGACGAATCCTGACGACTCTTTTGTCGCACTTCAAAGCGCGCGTTCCATCAAACGCGCGTCGATAGTGTGAAATGTTCCATTTACAAGAATCTAATGGTAACCTCGTGTTTCTTTACAGTGTGACAATTCAGCGTCCATGTTTACCGGCAGTAATAGTGAAGACGTATTTTTGATGGAGGGTCTGACATGTTGTCTTTCATCAGGGGTTCAAAGGTTCAACAAGAAGTTATGCTAGTTTTGGTGACGGTACACACGGGATAGACAAAAAGAGAAAGTGGTGGTTAAGTTGCCCTACCGATACTTCAATTACTGCTAAAAACGTAAATGGATCCCTTGACAGTATATTTTTGAACTGGAAAGCAAGGTTTAACCATCACATGATGTTAACATAATATATTGGTGAGCTTTGGATTGGCTAAATTTAGCAGAACTTGGGACGACTTCTTCTAAACATTCTAGATACCCTAAGCATAAATGTGTTGTATATACTATTTCTCGAAGTATGGCGCTAGAGCAAGTTGGAATAAGGAGAAGTCCGGCGAGTCCATCTAACTGCGGTAGTATGCTAGAGAAGAAAACTACTTTGAAGAAAAAGGTCAGATCCATGACTCCCCGATAGTCTGAAAGGCAAATTATACCTTTTAAGAAAGTTTCATTGATCAGTTGGAAACGTATCACCGAAGCTGTATAGAAATCTAAGAAATCCCATACTCTTACCAGAGGTTAATGCAATTCATAAGGATAATTTCCCGTTTTACGTCCAAATCATGAATCGACCATCACGAAATAACACCTATACTTTTACAATCAGATGAAGGAGAATAAACATGCTTATTTGTCCAAATGTAAAAAAAGTTTTTTGCATAATAGGTGTGCTTATAATCCCAATTTTATATTATTTATACGACCTGATTTCTAAAGAAATAAGGAGGATTGAATCAACGCTCTTAGTAGAAAGGCAGATAGGGAAAAAGTTATATATTCGCCTGTATCCTTATTTTTGTTGTTAATGAATTTAAAATTGGTATATTGCAGCAGATAGTACATAAATATGAAAGAAAAATTGATCAACGGTCGAAAAATCTCAATAAATTTGTGCAAAACTGTGAATTGATAAAAACAACTACCGAATCAGTAGCGTCATGAAAAATCTCCAGCATTTGGGAGCGCCCATGATTGTTCTATTCAATGTATGCATATCATATTTCTCTAAAAAATTAGGTTCATAACGAGTACACGTACGCGTACACTGTAATTTACTCAAACAATCTAGAAGGTATGGCTACCAGACAAAGCATGGCCATTCATCAAAGCATTGAGTTTTTGAGTACTTCTATTAGTTGGGATATAGTATAGTGCTGCATACCACAATACTCATAACGCTTCAAGGCAACCCTAACCTTCATTTTTTCTCAAGCTCATACAGATAGAAGCGTGTCACACGGTGGATGGATGTAGAGATGAGTGACATAAACAATAACGGAGCTAGAATCAATCTATGCGGTATGAATGTCTTGATATGGTATTATTATAGCAAGAGTACAATCTATCATTCAGTACGCCACCAACCATCCCTTTTGGTAGGACGAACATTTGCCTAGGAGACCTATACAGCCCGTCAAGAGCTTCTTACAACTTTACTGTGGCCGTAGATATTTAACGAGCTGTGATTTAGTAACTGATATTTCCAAATCACGAATTACGACTTACCAAATACCGTGTAAACATGTGACGTGATCAAAAATACGGCAAGGCCGAATGGCATAATGGGATCATGGCGTTAACATTTGAATGTGCGTGAGACGCGCATACGCGCTAGCTGTTAAAGTCGAGACTCATGTACTATGACCTGAAAGCAATATCGTGCCTTTATATTTATAGGCTCTGGCAGTTGGCTTCATGCGATTTCGACACGTGAGTGTTTTAAATCACCGATATCAAGAAGTAACGACATCCGATATCACAGATATTCAAAGATAATTGACATCGGCCATCTCTACTGCCAAAAAATATTGTTAAGTTCTATCTTCGAAAGCTCCGTGTTGATGCACCTAAGCTTGAGCTGTGTAGATTGGTTTTCCTTCTTTCAGAAGTGGTTGAACATGAGTAAATAAGGTCCAGAAGCTTTGCTGGTGGACAGATTGCAAGCGGTCCCAGTTCGCTTCCTCCTCTCATAGAGTGAAGTACCCTTGATATCGATAGAAGTTAGAAGATGAGTCAAGACAGAAATCGCACATCGTTCAGTGAAATCGTGAATTTGAATCTTAACCCCCTTCTAATGATCATTGTTACTAAAAAGTAATGTTTCTCCTTATGTCAACATATTGTCAGTATATTGACTATCTGGACTTTCAAGGCTGAGAACTACCGACGGCTGCCCCAGAACCATTTAAAGAGATGTTTTTGGTAATAATTGAGAACATTTATAACCAAGATTTATTTGTATAGAAAGGTGCATCTTTTCTAAAATGAATGTACCCATTACGCAAATAATTACCTGAAAGGAAGCACTGAGAAATCACCGACATCAACATTCCCTCCACAAATCGGGCAATTTTGTGGTAACGAAAAGCAGAATATTTTCGGTCCGCAGTGCTGGAAGCACAGTATACCAGGATCCATTATAACTGAAATAGAAAAATATTTGTTGTACACAAATACTCAACCTATCTTATCATGGCTAAATAGCTTTCAGGGGAATGTGTGTTTGGTACCTTGGAAGTTGCAGTGTTTTCAAAACATGCGGCAAAAGCTCAAGGAGTGTTTCTTTGGACTATTCTAAGACTATTCTGCCCTTGGATGATCTTCCGAAATTCCGTTTTGTTTCGGATATACAGACCCCAAAATGACACCATTGGGAATAGGTTTTTTTTAAATAATTTTTACAGCAGTATGTAATTGACCGAAATTTTGATAGCCTAGTAACCAATTGTGGCCTCACCTGTTAGTGTCCATAGAACACAGTTATCTCAGTTAGATCGCTAACGCATATTGCTGTAAAATAATGGCTTACAAATGATATTTTTTGAAAGCCCAATCCTTCGGCTGAAAAAAATGTATCCTTGATCGGTTCCGATAAAACGAACCATTTTTGAGAGAATCAGTTTTATGTTGATATTGGAAGGGAGCCACCGTAGCTGGTGGTTAGCGCATCGAGCTAGCAACCCGGGGCTCGCGGGTTCGAATCTCTGTCTTGGATGTTTAATTACGAGCTATAGATGTTGTGTTATGTATTGTCCACATCATGCACGTGGGTGGGTGCAAGATTAACGATAGGTACATCTCATCGCTGGAGCTGGTCTATTATACTAGTTACCTGTAGATAGATAGCTAGTAGCACATTGTTAGTACTTCGGGGCTAACAAAAATGCAAACCACAAGATATACATTTTCAGATGGCTTTGCCAAGTTTTAGGCTTTTGTCCAAGTTTTTGGGGAGTGACTGCAGTATAAATTATGCAAAAGCTGTGTTGAGGCAACACCATATTTCTGAAAAATGCTTCAGTTTATCTAAGTTACATAAGAATAAATTTTTTCAGGTATATGACAAGGCATTTCAAAAATATTACTTTCGAGCCATTATTATACAGGGTGTAAAAAATTAGCAATACTGCGTTAGGGGGCGAGTGAAAATTGAAGACTCCGCTCTCGGGGGTGGCGGCATTCAGCAATTTGCACCATTTTATTGGGAAAAAGCGTCAGATATGGGCCCCCCTCTCTAAATCCGACCTTGAACTATGGCCAAAACATCCATGTTTACAACTAAGCTATGTACCTATATGTGGCATAAGCGGTTACTGATTATCGAATTGACTCATGTGAAAATAAAAGATTTAGTTTTCTTTGATCCATAGTTACCATACCCCTTTGGTCTGCCACTGCACACAATCACTTGGCACTTCTACATCTAATGACCGCAATCAACATGAACAAAAACGTGATAAAATCAAAGCGGAACGCAACAACAGTTGAGTGACATCATAAATAAATAAAAAATAACGTAAACTAGTTCTGCTCTTAACAAACGGTTAACCTTGTTTCTTACCTGAGGTGCAGATCACAACAAAATAATACTAGCGTAGTATAGGAACTTAAAACAATCACAGTTAATAAACTTTTTGAAGTAAAAGTTTAGACGGAACTACTAATCACGAACCAACCATTGTTGCAAATCGATGTTTATGTGATTTACAAGTAACACGTGCAGTGAGAAAGGTGTACGGACAAAGCTACCTGCCAGGTAGAAAGCTAAATAATGAATGAGAATAAGAATGAAAATGCGAGCTTGATCCGGCGATCCGTGATGGAAACAAAGTGGGTTGGGACCGAGTTTCAACGGTTGCGGTCAGTAACATTGTCTGTATGCAGCGGCGTATCCAACGATGCGTATTGTACAAGCATTACGGCATGTTTCTATTCCTGACTGGTAGAATGATTGCTTTTCATTTCAATTTGATTTCTCCACTACCCACCTCTTTGTTTATTAGACGTCAGATGGTATTCGTCGTTCGAGGAGGTACCACCCAGTGAACATCGACAACTGGAGAAGAAAGTGTGCATGTCACGTGCACAAATGTTCTCCCACTAGAGACCGGGCATATTCTCCCCTTTCTCTCTACAATATGTCACTCATATAGCTCCATGGTACTTACTGGTACTTATAAGCTCTAGATATTCATGGAGTATCAAAGATAACAACATGCAGGTCGGGATTTCCTATATTGCGATACATCCATCATTTTTTTAATGAATGCAAATATGTTATCGCGATGTTAGAATACACTATTTCTACCGTATTTGTACGTTTGCACAATTTCCAATAGTATTGCACTTTCAAGTCTAAATATGCATAGCAGAAGATGTTTGGACTAACGTCTAGAGGAACTTTATTGTTTATTACTTCTTCCTTCTTTTTTAATAACAATACAATAATCTTTATTGGCTGACCAAGTTATCACTCCTTTTCGTGGGTTTCTAATACTAATTCGGCCGTTAGGTGACTTGTCCCATGGGATTCTTACGGGCATGTTTTGTCCTTGCTTATGTAGCTGTCCTTCTGTTTTCCTCTCTTGTACCCAGTCTTGTATATTGGCGATGTTGCATCTTTGCTCGATATTTACGGTATATTGTGATCCATAATGTCACACTGGTGTCTATATATTTGTTTAATATGTTTTCATTCATCTTATTGTTTTTTTTTTGTACTAGTTCTTGTTTCTGAAGTACAAGTGATAATAGGCCGTAATGCTGTCACATAAATCTTGGTCTTTATTTCTATATACGCAAATCCTAATTCCGACTATTCTGTTGGCCTCACTCATCTGCCTCACTGTTCCAGTATATAGCTAGTTATGCGTCAGTAATACAAAATAACCAAAATTTCATTGTTTCCGAGTTAGATTGATATCCATTTCCAGTTTGCACTTTATTGGTTATTTTGTGTTGTTTGTTAATACTGTCGTGTTGAACGTTGCTGTTAGGTTGAATAGACGCAAGAGTCGCTGCAGGTCATCTTATCTCACTGGGACAAGCTCAGCATCGTCTATCATATACATACATACATTGAGAACCTTGTTGATCACTGGTCCATAACTCGGTTGAATAGTAAATGGCTCAATGAATCTCCTTGCTAAGATCTCACAGATTATTAGTATTAACAACAAATACCTAAATGATCTCTCCGAACTCTCCTACATTTTCAAAAGCCGCACGCAGAAGCTGACAAGCAAGGTCTGTAATTACTCGTATACCAGTTTCTCTATTCAAGTTTTTTAGCATCTCCACACCAGTATTATATGGCAAATAGGTACTATCAAACTTGAAAATACATTTGCAGGTATGTAACTGAGAAAATCGAATTTTGTGTCCGACAGTTATAATAAGGCAAATACAAACTCTTATAGGTTGAGTAGTATAGGTATTTTTAATCCTAAATTGTTAACTATATACGGAGTTTTGATAAGGCATGGCAGTCTGATATCTAGTAGTGTATGGCTAGTATCATATTAGGATAGTCCTTATGTCTACATTGTCCTGCTTTTACTCGTTATTCTACCTAGAGATCTAGCCTAGAGCATGCTGATGATTGCCAATAAGTATGAAACAGATACAAGTAGTTGGATTATTATTATAGTACAAACCTAGATAAATTAATTCCAAAAGATATCAAGTGATGCTTCATTGGTGTATCCACTTTCACCGTCCGCCCCTGCATAAGTGAAAATTAAGAACACCGCATGCACATAATACGTGAAATTACGCGAAACTTGAGGTAAGGAAAGCGAAACCACTGGTAACATCAAACTGTCACATTCGTATATTTAAATTCATCATTTATATTCCTAAGACGTTTGTGAAATGAAGATCACCATGGTATCTAACCACGTCACATATAAGCATAATAAACAATATATAGGTATAGTATAAATATACCAAATTATCAAAGGAAAAAATAATTTTCAATAACCTAACAATATCATACAATAAATAGTCTATTCGTATTGACATTCCCTTTTGGACTGCCTTTTGTACGTTGAATCCGGAGAGAATCTAGTATCCACTAGCTCCATAAATGTGCGAATGAAATAATCACAATAAGGGGACATCCTGTTATAATTATAGGGTGGCAGACCAATTTATACTACTATGTAATATTCTATACAGAAAGGAAAGAGATACTACAACAAAGTGTCTTGATCAAACCTGCCAGATAAAATTTCTTAGTCAATGCCCCTTTCAGGATAAGTTCCATCTACTTTGAAAGCCAAATATTTCTACGCTTTACGTTGAACTCTTTCTTTGCAATGATGTAGCAATCATATAAAGGATCCCATATAACACAATATTCTAGCTTCTAGCATTCTTACTGGTATGATTTTATGAAAGATTATCGGAAAAACTGTAACCAGAAAGCTTTGGCAATAGCTTTTTGTGGGAAACTTTGTCAAAAGGTTTAGGGAAATCAGTGTAAATCATATCTACCCGTCCTTGTTCGTCCACGACTTCTGAAATAATTTGCACAATAATCAATAGATAGGTGACTGTAGCTCTCTTATCTGTAAAGTCGCGTTAATTCGTTAAAATGTAATTCCTAACAAATGGTTGTAATCCATTAATGGGTGATTTCAAAAATTTTTGAAAATGTTGCAGAGGCAAGTCTTCTTTCGACTAGTCAAAATCTCTTATGACATCACTCAATTCTCTCTGACATACAGGGTTTGTCCGGAAAGTGATAGGCCTGAGTCGATTTAAAAAAAATTATTGAGCTAATCGTTACAATTCTTTAAAAACTTTCAAAATAGGCCCCTTCTGCGTCGATGCAGCGCTGCCAGCGCGATTTCCAAGCATTGAAGGCGTCACGGAGGGCATTCTCGGGAATAGCCTTGAAAGCCGCGGTGCATGCTGCTTGGATCCCCTCTGTCGTCTCAAAATGCTTGCCTTTCATCGGCCTTTTCAGGCGAGGAAACAAAAAAAAGTCCGGGGGGGCACATCTGGGCTGTAGGGCGGCTGCGGAAGCGTTGGGATGCCGACCTTGGTCAGGTAGGTGTTCACAAGAAAGGCGGTGTGAACCGGGGCGTTGTCGTGGTGCAACTTCCAGTCGGCTGCGATGTCTTGTCGGATCCGACTGACCCTTCGTTTGAGTCTCCTGAGCACTTTCACGTAAAACTTGGTTGACGGTTTGTCTAGGAGGAACAAATTCATGGTGGACGATGCCTTTGATGTCAAAAAAGACCATGAGCATCGTTTTCACTTTGAATTAGCTCATTCTTCCCTTTTTTGGGCGAGGAGACGCCGTCGTGTGCCACTCGGAAGATTGCCTCTTTGTCTCGGGATCATACTCAAAGATCCACGACTCGTCACCTGTGATTACATTATTCAAAAATTGGTGGGTCACTTTCACACATGTTCAAATTTTCTTGGCAAACTTCCACTCGCCGCAATTTCTGGTCATCAGTGAGCACTTTTGGGACTGTCTTCGCGCACACCTTGCGCATGTTTAAATGCTGTGTCACAATGTCATGAACCACAGATTTTGGTAAATTTAACATCTGGGTAATTAAACGAATACTTAGTCGACGGTCTGAGTTCAAAACGAGCGCACACGAGTCACATTCTCGGTGTTTGTCGAAGTCGAAGGTCTTCCAGCGCGGTCTTCATCAGCGACCTCTTTCCGGCCCTCCAAAAAGGCCTGGTGGCAACGAAACACACCACTTCTTGCTAAAGCAACACCTGGGTAAGCCTGCTTGATCATATCAAACGTCTCTGTCGCAGATTTAATCGCGTACCTCTGCTCTGAGAAACGCTGCATTTTCGGCTTGCACCACTCACAGAAACACGTCGCGCGAAAATGCCTGTCCCGACTCTCCAAGAGCTCGGAGACAACTGACCAGCCGCTCATTTGTTAGCTAGGAAATGAGTCCTATTACTTTCCGGACAAACCCTGTAGTATATGGGGCTCACTCAAACCTTCTGCGTCGAAATCTGGGTTACGGGAAATCCCAGACCTAACGAATGCCTCTCCATTTTCTCCTTCGGTAACCTCTTTCTCAATTTAATAATTTTGAGGTAGTTTGGGGATTAGCAGATCAGCCGATTGAGGTATGGGTCGATCGGCTGATCGAGCTCAGGGATACTCTACCTGTGCCTTTTTTTTTGTTAACTAACCTTGCTTCAAGGACGGTGTTTCGCGTTTTGCGCGTTTTTTTCCTCTCAGCCACCCTCGCAGTCTCATCGAGCAAGAACGGTTTGTCCTGGTGACGTATCTTCACACCAAAGCAATGGAAGTAAGCTGTCTTCACAGCTGGTCTGATGGTTTGCTTCTGAGGAAAAAAGATTGGATATTTTCGTAGCATTTGTGACAATCTAAGTCCCTGATGCAGAAGGGTAGTCCAAAATGCAATAAATAATATTGTGCATCACTTTGGATTACATGCTCGAATGAGGAAAAGCAACGGTAACAAATTCTGATGATTAAATGTATGCGGATTTTGTTAAATTGTAGCAGATATACCCCTATACATGATATGCCAAAAATATTGAATTTCTTAAACATACACCAAAATATTCAAGAGGCAAATTTAATTATTTTATATAAAACTATCTTTAATCAGGCTCCACCTTATCTCAGTTTCTAAAAAAAGATGTGAAATGCATATTTGTTGAAGGTCTAAAAAATGTACAACGATCTGCCTATTAATGTAAATACATCTGTAGTAATGCTAAAATATTTAAAAAGGAGCTTCAGAGAAACTATTTTGGTTTGATATGTGAATTTAACACATTTTAATTTTATTATTGTTTGAAGTAGCGTAAAGCTAAATACATCCTTTTCTACTCTATTCTACCACAAACGAAATAGAAGTTGTCGACGGCGTTCACATGCTTCTGCGGCATTCTGATCTGAAACAGAAAATTGAGATTAATTAAAAATCTGAGAAGATTAAATAAGAACATGGACCCGTTTCTTATTTATTGTAATATTATTCACTTCAATTGGAAAGCTGTTTTTACATACCCGAAGAATAACTTACCATGATATATTGTTTACAATAAAGCAGAAAACTCCATCTACAATAATCATAAAACTAAACTAACTCTTGGTCGGGGTCTGCCGTTTTAGGTATTACTAGAGGAGAAGGTGTAAATATGGAATACCATTTTTTTGTTCGCTCCTATTTTAAAAAATATGATCAGAATTATGCCAAATTTGGGGAACGGGTACTCAAAGGATGAAGACACATGAATATAAACTCAAAAGTGTAATTCTCTCAAAAAAAAAAATGTACAAAAAATAGTTTGAAAAAATCACCACCTGAGAAAAGGTGGTGCAAATATGGAATACCTTAACTAAGCTAGAATATAATGCATATTTTTACAGTTTACTTGCACCAATCGCAAATATATTCGTCTTTTTCGGCCCCAGCACACTCGTTATGTGCCCACATTGAGCACATCAAACATTGCACCCATAATTCTCCTCTCTGATCAGCAGAAAACGCAGCCTGACAAAACATGCATGAAGCATCGTCCTCATTGGGTTTTGTATGCCCTGGCATACTCTCTAAATCACTGTCAGAGTCATCAAGTCTTACATCTTCGGTACTTTCAGTTTCATCAGAAGAAACTTCGTTCTTTGGACGTTTTAATGTGGTCTGGATTTTAGGTTTTACGATCTTTGGTTTTGGTTTTTTAGGATTTCTTTTTGGTTTTAAAGATTTTCCTGATGACAAGTTTCTTTTAATGCCACAAACTTTTGCTTCTTTTTCAGTTTTCTTATTTATTGACTCATTTAGTTCATCTTTGTATGGTGACGAGGTAATCACAGCCGAACCCATTACCTTACGTCCTCTGTTAGTTTTTTTGCGGATTGTGTTTGGAACTGGAGATATGTCAAACGGTGAAACGAATTCCTTTGTTATAGTGTCGTCAGCTTTTGAGTCAGAGCTTTGCTCTTTTTCTTGGTCAATCGTCTGAGTTCTGATTGGCACATTATCTTCGCATGAGGTTTTAGAGCGTGAAGGTTGATCGATATCGATAGGCTCGACCCAATCTTTAGAGCAGGATGGTTTGTTAACGTCAACAGAAGCAGTGGTTTTCAATGCCAACGGTAATTCCTGTTTTTGCTGCTTCTTGTTCTGCAGCAATATAGTCAGCATTAGTAAAAACGTTTCTGTTAAAAGGGCAGATTCCAGTGACGCGAAAACCATTTGCCGCTATTGAGTTAAGTTCTTTTTCATAAGCTCTACCAAATAACTCCATAATGTCAAAAGGGCTCAGAGCCCGTTGGTTTTGGCGGATCCAAATACGAATCTCTTCACTGTAATAGACTTTCAATGGGCCCATCAATGACTTATCCAACGGTTGGAGTTTGTGTGTAGAGTGAGGAGGTAGACACAAAATAGTGACAAAATTGTCTCTTGCAAGATCAATAATTTCAATATTGCGCGTGTGGCTGTAACGACCGTCAAGAATTAGCAGGATAGGGTTCTCTTTAGTTGGTTTAACGTATTGGATAAAGTGACGAAACCACTGGGTGAAAATATGGCATTGTACCCAACCGGATGGACGTGCAACTCCTATGGACCCAGGAGGAGCTCCTTTCATTAGCTGCATGTTCATATTTTTTCTAGGAAAAATAACTAAAGGAGGGACAAAGTTTCCAGCAGCACTCATACAAGAAATGACTGTAATCAAAGCCCCTCGCTCTGCAGATGTTAATGAAGCAATTTGGCGTTTCCCTTTAAGTCCTACTACTTTTGATACTCTACTTTGGACAATCGTTAGGCCTGTTTCGTCTACGTTATACACGTTGTGTGGCGAGTAAGTCTTTCTAGGAGGTCAAAAAAGCCATCCACCCTTTCCTTACAGAATCCTGCAGCTCTTGCAAAAGACGTACCCGTTGGCTTCCTTATTGACAATTCTGGATGCCGCTTCAAGAACAAATCAATCCACGCTCTGCCTGCAGCTCCTGATGGAGAAAATGGATGTTTAATTTTATTTCTTGCTGCCAACTGATAAGCCATGCGCCATGTCTTGGGATGTAAGGCCATAAAATTTGGACTCCATAGCTAAGATATATTCCACTAGTTCCTTCTCTAGCTTTGAACCGAGAATACATTTTCTTCCCAGCTTTGTTACTGCAGCACTCTCTGGAGTAACTGTGCCATCTCTACTAAGTCGAAAAAGCGTTGTTCGTGGAACGTTAAAGGATCTGGCTGCCTTGAGATATCCCATTGTTTTTTCTCTAACTGCCTTGATAGCTCTAGCCATGTCTTGTTCATTGTATTGCTTCCGTTTTTTAGGACTGGAAGGTCGACGATTTGTACGTCGAGGCATCCTAAAAAAATAATAAACTTGAAAATACATTGAAAAAAAAAAGTTGTGTAAATATGGAATACTAGTATTCCATATTACCAACACTATACGTTTTCAATATTTGAGGTTATATCTAATCTATCAAAACAAAAACTTCAACAAATACAACGGCATCTTAAACTTTAGTTCATGTAGACTGTCAACGTACAGAATATTTAAATAAAATCATGTAATAAAAAAAACTACGCTTAAATAATGACTTACTTGAATAAAGTTCGAGGGTGCGTAAAACACAGCTGCACGTGTAACAAACAAAAACAAACTGCGCCCTGCAGTGTTCGGGTAATAAAGGATGATAAAATTCGTAAGTTAAACTGTATTTTGATAGAGGGCGGCACTTGGTTTTTTTTTCAATACCTTGGTATTCCATATTTAGACCATATTCCATATTTACACCTTCTCCTCTACCTGCTTACCTACCTTTTATGGTGTTATGGAAATTGCGGGTAATTAATTAGTTCTGAGCTATCAAAAAGTATTTATTTAGCATTTCTAGTATCTGAATTTTATATTTTTGTGGGAGTGAGTACCATTTTTGGACGATAGCCTCGCATTACCCAAGTAGGTTCTATATTTTGAAAATAAGAGCTAGCCTAAGCTTCATACGGTGATTCAAGTATTTAGCTAATTATCATGAAAAATAATTTTCTGTCAAATTGATTGAAATTTCATTATGACTATTCCCTACATCATTTTAATCGGCCCTGTATAGGGCACTGATAGCAGCTGTCCCGTAATTTCGATCCGGAAAATTTTTTAGACGAAAAGCGAGATAACCGAGGTGTTTAATATGGAAACTGACCCAGGGGGGTCAGGAAATGGCGCTTCCACCATGGCAATGGAGATGGAGTCGAAGGAGCAGACCATAGAGGAGCTGAGAGCCGAATTGGAGATGGTTCGACAGGAGCTGTCAAAAAAGGACGATGATAAGAAGACCAATGAAAGATTGATGATGATCATCGAAGCCCAGCAGCGGACAATTACCGACCTAACAGTTAAATTAGACCTCCTACTGAAAACCCAGGTACCTTCCCATCTAAATATTACAAATTCTTCCCAAACACTTCCCAAAAATCCCAGTAAAGACAAAGCTGTCAATCTTAAGAGACCGTTAAATAACTCAAGCGATCTTTCCACAGACGACGATACACTCCCTGACGGTTTTACCAAGGTTAAGCCCCGTAAAACGCGACGAAACAAGACCGACACGACAGGCTTTCCTCCTCTCCCTTCACCAAAATCGCAGTCTGAAACATCTCATTCAACTGCAAGCGACTCGAATAAACAGCCTGTGCCTAATCTATCGGATACTTCCACGCCTTCGACATCTCAGGTACCAGAAGACACGACTGCACAGCCCCCACGCAAGGTACGTGTTACCCCCATCGTTCTTCGTGATGCTTCGAGATGGCGAGGCGTAAATCACAAGTTTATTTCCTTGGGCATCAAATTCGAACGCGCGGTTGCCGTCGATGCAGGAATCAGGATAATTCCCAAGTCCGAGGATGATTACCGCAGGATTATTCGTCTCTTCAGGGAGGAAGAGGTGCCCCATCACACTTTCCCTCTACCCTCCGAGAGGAACATTCATGCTGTAATCAGAGGAGTACATGCGACACTTTCGGAAATTGAGATCAAGGAAGAGTTGCAACAGAGGGGATATTCCCCCCTGCACATAATTCGCCTGAAACGCGGTGGCGGCGTGCCCATGCCTTTGGTGGTAGTCATACTGCCCAAGATAGAAAAATCTCAGCAGCTGTTCAACGAACACGAGCTGCTAGGTTTGGCTATCCGAGTCGAAGTTCAAAAGAACTCAAGACTCATCGGGCAGTGTCACCGCTGCCAAAAATATGGGCATGCGCAATCTTACTGCACTGCACCACCTAAATGTCTAAAATGTGCCTCTGACCACATGACCCACTTATGCCCTCAAACAGAACAAGAGGAACGAAAGTGCGCGAACTGTGGAGGGGGGCATCCAGCGAATAGCCGAACTTGCAGATTTGCCCCTAAGAAAAATCTGCAAGTGATAGCGCAAAGGCGCAATGTAAGTTACGCGGATGCAGCTAGGGATGCAACCCGGGCTGCCCCCTCTGTGGGATCTTCTGCGAACACGCAAAATGTGGACCTGGCAACCGCGCTAAGGTCCTTACAGCAGATCATAGGTCCTCTGATTAGCGCAACACAGGCTTTGCAGGCGATCTTTCCTGCAAATGGCTAGGTACAATCGACGACAGCCAGCATTTATCAAAATTCTTTTTTGGAATTGTTTGGGTCTAAGGGACATTCCCAAAAGACGGGAATTTCATCAAGCTCTTGTGGACGAAAGTATAGATGTGGCCTTGCTGCAGGAAACAGTACTTAATCCGGGAGATCGTCTAGCTTTCCCGAATTACGATGTTATCCGGGCTGATAGATTGACTGGACGGGGTGGCGGCTTGGCAGTGCTAGTGACTACCACAGAAGCACAAACGCTGACATGCAGAGCATCGAAGCGGCTTCCGTGGTGGTCAATATGACGGGAGGTGTGCCGTTAAAAAATCACATCGGTGTATGTCAGGTGTGGTAACAGGCTGCAAGAGGCGGATCTGGAAGTCCTTTTAGACTACTCGGGTCCACTTATTGTGGCAGGGGACTTCAACTGCAAACATCGAGCATGGCATTCCAGGTTGAATTCCACCAGTGGGATCCGACTGTACAACCATGTGATACGAAATGGCTACCTCATACATAGTACTGAGGAGCCGACGCACCACCCATTTAATCACCTTCAGGCACCTGATGTTCTTGATTTGGCATTATCCAAAAACTGTAGCTACAGCATCACTTCTCGAATCATGTATGACATCTCAAGCGATCATCTTCCCGTCGTTTTGGAAGTGGCTAATGAGCAGATCTTGGGGGATGAAATCCCTCCAAGGAAACGCATTGATTGGGAGCTATACAAGTCGCTCCTCAAAGAGTTCCCCAATATACCGATCATAGATGATGAGAACGGTATAGATGCGGCTCAAGCAGAGTGGACAAGTTTTGTTCAGCAAACTCTGCAGCGTGCAGCTGTACTTCCCGTGCAGCGACACGGCAGACCTTTTCTGCCAGCAGACATTCGTCAGAAAATTTCTGATAAAAGAGCTGCAATTAAGCAAGCGAAAAGGTCTTGTCATCCTGATGACATTCGCAGAGCGACGAATCTTGTTCATGAAGTAAGAAATGCTCTTCATGAATTCCGCAATGAGCAATGGAACGACTTTCTGGCGGGGATGCTTGACTCAAGCATTCCTCTCTGGAAGGTGGCGAAGTCGCTCAAAAACGGAAAGCGTGAACAAATCCCACACATTCACGGTCCTGGAGGCATTGTCTTCAGGACAGAGGAGAAGGTTGAGGTTTTCGCCGATGCCATGGAAAGACAGTTCTCTCCCAACTATGATCTTGATAATGACCTCGACGAGGAGCAACACATCGTAAGATCTGTCAGGAGATATTTTAGGGCCAACGGCGTCAGTGACAGTCGCGCATTCGTTGGTGATTTTTCTTCATCAGAAGATTCTTCTTCAGAAGCTTCTTCAACCGAAGATTTGCTTAGCACATCAGCGGTATCTCCTGAGATCCCGCATTGCACACCAGCAGAGATTCAAGGTCATATTAAAGACCTTAAAGTGCGTAAAGCACCTGGGGAGGATCAAATCACTAATAAGGCGCTGAAGCTGCTTTCGCGGAAGTCCTTAACTTATCTCGTGGCAATAGTCAATGCCATGCTCAGGATCCAGTACTTCCCATCCGCGTGGAAGACCGCTGAAGTTATAATGATTCCAAAGAAGGTGGGTTCGATATTTCCCCAGGATTATCGTCCCATTAGCCTGCTGTCAGCTGCGTCTAAGCTCGCTGAAAAGGTGATTCTACGTCACCTTGAGAATTTCTCGTCAGATCACCATGTGATTCCTGACGTGCAATTCGGTTTTCGGTCTGAACATAGTACGGAGCTACAGGCGGTTAGGCTGGTGGAACGTGTAACCAGAGGATTCACCCTTAACGAAAGTACTGGCATCTTGCTTTTGGATGTCTCAAAAGCATTTGACAAGGTGTGGCACGCGGGCCTCTTGTATAAACTAATCCAAAAGGGCTTCCCTTTTTGGCTTCTAAAACTACTGAAATCCTTCCTTGAAGGTAGGAAATTTCGGATCAAAATTGACAATGTGCTGTCGACAACACGGCTGATTACAGCCGGCGTCCCTCAGGGTTCGGTCCTTGGACCTATCCTTTACTCACTGTACATCCATGACGTCCCTAGTCCCAGCAACTGTGAAGTCTATCTCTATGCTGACGATACTGCATTGGTGGCTCAGTCGTGGTCTGGTGACCTAGTCCATGACAGGCTGCAAAGTGCGGTGGAAGAAGTATTAGATTGGGCGGATCGGTGGCTAATTAAAATAAACCATTCGAAAACGCAGGCAATCTACTGTACAAAAAGACGTCGCGGCGTTCCGTCTGAAGTTTCAATGAATGGACTTCGTATACCATGGGAATCCTCCGCTAAGTATCTCGGTGTCATTCTGGACAAAGGGATGACTTGGCGGAACCATATGGAAGCGCTAAAAACTAAATTCCAAATTACGTTTCGGCAGCTTTACCCATTATTATGTAAACGGTCAAAATTAAGTTTGATTAACAAGATTCGACTCTATAAGGTGGTCATAAGACCAGCAATGACATACGCATGTGCGGCTTGGTGTTTTATTGCTAAAACACACATGCGAAGTCTGCAGGTTCTGCAAAGCAGGACGTTGCGCACTATTGCTGATGCCCCATGGTATGTCTCTAACGAAACTCTACATAGAGACCTCGATGTCCCTTACCTAAAGGACTACATTAAGCAACAGGCGCAGCGGCGCTATAGCCTAGCGGAATCGCACAGCAACCCTCTGTTGCGTGATTCAGTGGACTACACAGTCGAGCAAGTTCGCAAGCACAAAAGGCCGCGGCTCGCACTGTAATCAAAATTAACTCGTGAACTTAGAACAACCAAAATTTGAGCATTTTTACACAATCTTTAGAAAAAATCAAATATTTTTAGACCATATCAAAATCTGTGAAGCGATTTTAACAATGCCTAAACGCTGCATATCCTAAAAGATTCTCTTCTTCCCCTTTGCTCTCGTTCTTCCTTCTCTCCTTTCCTTCCCCTTTTTTCCTTAAAATTGTCTGGTTTCTGGGTTACCAGACCTGACAGACTTACAAACTGACACTGTGACTCAAGAGCTAAGGTCCCACGGACCGCTCTGACAACCAACGATGACTTGATCATTTTAATCAAAAGTCTCCATGGACGGAATGTTCGAGTACCAATGGTTTCCGAGCTACAGGGTCTGAACACTGAGAAAAAAATAATTAAACCAATTAAGACTTTAATTATACCAATTCAAAAATTTAATCAACTACCTATGTGACAGCTAACAGGTTTGATTAATTTATTTAAACTCCGATTTCTAAAACAGTTTAAATCCAGAAAGTAGAGAAAGAGATATCTGAAACTGAATAAGACCACTTGATTATGTGTACAAAAATTGTACTTGTATTTTAAACACCCTAGATTTACAAATACTACAAAGTCTTCATCGCCACAAGGCTCCACTTCCTATACATACGTCAGCAGTGACCCCATTATACAGAGTGTTTCATTGAGAGCCAAAAATATTCTAACCGTGTTTGTGGGTCACTATAAGCGCCATATGCTCGAGTATTTGACACGATCACGATAATTGATCCACTTCAAGCAACTACACCGACAATGGCAACATTCGAATGTGAGGCTCATCGCGAAAATCACAAATCATCCGCGCATCACCCTCACTGCGTCTGTCGCATACTCCCGATCATTCACGAATGAAGAGTCGAGTCCGAAATTCAAATAAACAATTTAACTGTGTTTATTAAAACGTTTAATTGCTATGAATACACTTCTTCTACATAAACTAAGTTATCCAAATTAATTCAACAGTTTAATGACGCAGGTACATTGTTTGCTATTTTCAAGCAAATTAGTTTAATAATAGCATAATACTTTCAATTAACTACTAGTTCCAGAAATATCAGTTTAATTAAACAGAATGATTTGGTTACTTAGGATAATTAAAAAATGCATTATAGATAATGGAAATTTTCCAGAACTGTTTAATTGACCACGCTTTCTTAGTGTCAGTAGCAAAGTCAAAAGAAATAATTTTGCGAAACAGTTCAGCCTGAGCTTATGGTCCCTTTAAACTTTGACTAGAAAAGTAATGGTAATTCTGATTCAAAGGGATGATAACGGAATTTTGTATATACATATACATATTATCCATGAAGTCATTCAGTAGTGAAGGTATGTAACCTGTAAATGTGATAGTAGTCTAAATATAAAGCTGGGAATTAAAGTTCAAGCCGCAAAAGCAAATGCTTATCGGAAATACTGATATTTATGAGATAGGCTCATGAAAATTCACAACTCCCACAAACTACAAACGTAATCGCGAGTACAACGAACGTACCAAGCGGCCCCCTTCACCACATCGGTTTGTTGTTTACCCGTCTCCATGGTGACGGTTTGTATACCATCTGGAGACGGTGCCGACGACCCATGACATACCCCCAAAGGGTGGCGAGAAGTGAGAAGGGTTGAGTTCGTTGGCATTCCGGGACCCTCCTGGTTGCACTTCCGGTTTTGTGTTTGTGGTGTTATGTGTTAGTGGAGTTGGAAGTTTTTGAAAGGAGCTCTTGTTTCCGGTTTGAAGATGGCAGTGGCTTTCTTTCGATGGAAAAGGGAAAGTTGAATACAAAAGTAAGTTTATGGGACACTTCATGTAAAGGATGAGGTCATGAAGAGGAAGGAATCGATATGCGGTGGCATGTCATTGAGCATGGTTTTTAACTACGTTGTCACTGGCAACATCAGATAACAAAAAATGGACTGGAGAAGGATCGATCGTAGCCGGGGATCGTATGAACTGCCTCATCTTAAGTTAACGGATGCAAATTCAGCAGGCTATGTGTGCAACTTCAGATATTCAAATGAGCTGACATCTACGTCTAGATGTAGGTCCAAAAGTTTTTGTTGGTACTTCTTTATTATTTACAGTATTATGCAAGAAAAATGTTTATCGTCGAGTTATTAGTACGTCGGCCTGAAGGCCCGCAGGTTCGAACCCCGGCCCCGAAAGTTACATTTCGAGCCATGGATGTTGTGCTTACCTATATGTATATCTACGCACCAGGTCGATACAAGATCAAATAAGTACACCGCATAGCGGAGCTGGTTTGTTCAAGACTCAGTTATCAGTTATAAGCGTGTGGAAAAGTACAATGGGGTCGACAAAAAGGTTCAAAGGTCCCAGTTACTTGGCTTCTTCTCACCATCTACTACTATAATAAAATCGGAATTTACCAACGTTTACCAAGCAGAGTTAAGTCAACTACTGGTACCTACATGCACGAGAAACTACAAAGTTGCTTCCGGTAGTATTTTTGTAGATTTAGTCTTCCTTATATATTCATCTTCCTAACAATTCAGTCCTAGCAGGACAGCCTATTTTAAAGATATAAGAATTGTTGAAGTCGTATAACCTGTTTGAATTGCGTCCGTTAGCATAATGCTACATGGGATGTAACAAAGGACCGATAGAGCAGAGAAACAGAATGGATGCAAATATATTGGAGAGGGGGGGGGGATATAACGACACGTCGAACCTCTCACGCTAATTGGCGAGGAAACGTTGTAATCGCAAAAAAATTTCGAAAATAAGTCATTTTTTGAGTGTTACATGGCATGTACGGTCTCCGTTTATTTGGGCCTGCCAAACAATGTTAAGAATTGCTTTAAAGTAAACCTAAAATACTCTTCGACGTCTTGTAAGGAATGGTTTTAGCTTTGATTCAGATACTTAAAAACCTCAACAGTTACAATTTTTAACCGAGTTTTTAAGCATTGAAGCTACGCATTTTGAGTGTTTTTAGATATTATCTCTTGTAACCCCTTTTTATGACGATGATCCAAAAAGCCATAATTACATTTCTTGGTTGCCTCTTAACATGAATCAAGAGATAGCTGGTGGGAACCCCGGATCAAAATTGCTTAAACAATTTTATTCAAACAAACTCCACAAACATGTTTCTTCGGTTCGGACATTTTTTTAGATCATCGTGAACAAAAAAGGTTTTCGGTAACCGCTTTCGGTTATAAGCGATTCGACGTCTGAAAATCCATAAAAAATGGGTAAGCTCAATGCTTACAAACTCTGTAAAGCCGTTTCATTTTTGAGATCGTCAAGTATCTGAGTCAAACTTAAAACCTTCCCCAACAAGTCCTCGAAGAGTATTATAAGATTAATATATTGTGAAGCAACATTTATGCTTGTTTGGTTTAAAAGATTTACGAACTTTTGATTTTCGTAGACTGTACCTCATTAAAATCCATGTCACTCACTTCATACCACTTTTCCGTTGGTCTGTCGGCCTACCTGTCACCTAATCCCTGTCCCCTTCATATCTTGGACTATACCGCTGGGATTTTGATGAAATTTTGACAAATTGTTGCTACCTTCCAAGGATGAAAAAACTTTGTAGGCCCTGAAAATCGATCCTGTGGCGGTGAATCTTCGAGCAAAAAAAGGAAATTAATAAAGAAAAAGCGCTCAAACTTTATGTATTTGAAAATGGTTTTATTTAATTTATATGCCTTTAACCATAGTATTTACATGCGCTTATTATTAGACACATATTATCCCCTAAGTCCCTAAGTTTGCTCTTAAGACCTAGAGTGATTAAATATTTTCGATGCCTACATGAAGCGTACAAAAAGTAGGAGTTAAACCTGTAGCGAGATAGCCGATGCCACTGCGGTTTATCCATCGCAATTTTGATCGAAACATTGCCGTTCTTTTTTAAGTGGGCGGGTACTGTTGAATAATTGGACGGGTATATGCGCCTATTTGACTGACTAGTTAATTCCTTTCTTATACATGTTCGCGGTTGTCTTTTTTCTAAAGGGGGGCTAGCTTGTGTCAAACATAATCTATACTAAGTGACATATAAATCCGAACACCCAGTTTAAATAGTTTTATTTTAATAAAATTTTGTACAAGTACTTAATGAAGCATAACAAGTAAATGATAAAAATTTCAAAATGATTGCACGGCTTTAAAGCCCTTTGACCTTTAATAATGTGTGGATGCACCCTGATGTGCTACGCATTCTCCAACGCGCCTAGACAGGCTTCTGATCAGGTGGTCAATGTCCTCCTGTGGTATCTCATTCCAGGCATCCACCAACTCCTCTCGAAGTGCTTCTAGAGTCTGAGGAGGACGTTGCAAATTGAGCAATCTCCTACCCATCATATCCCACACGTGCTCAATTGGGGATAAGTCGGGAGATCTTGGTGGCCATGGTAACAATGTGACATCATTATGTTGAAAGAAGTCTATTGTGACTCTTGCAACATGTGGTCGGGCATTATCTTGTTGGAAAGTTGGATCTGCCAGGGTGTCAAGATAGGGTAAAAGATGGGGTTCTAGAACTTCGTGGATATAACGCTGCGCGTTCATGTTACCTCTGATGAAGATTAAAGGTGACCTGGAACCATAAGCTATAGCACCCCAAACCATAACTCCAACAGTGTGATGAACATGTCTTTCAACAAAAAACTGTGGATTCCTCCTTTCACCACGTCACCTTCTAACCCTGGCACGACCATCGTGCATGCCTAAACAAAATCGAGACTCATCACTAAAGACAATACTGATCCATTCCTGATCCCAGAGTGACCGTTGTCTGCACCACTCAAGGCGATTACGTCGGTGTTCTCGAGTTACAGGGAGGACCCAGTGTGGCCGGTATGAAAACAAGCCAAAACTTCTCATTCGTCGGTAAACACTTCGCATGCCAATAGGTCTTCCGTGCTCTGCAAACCATTCATTTGCAATGGACCTGGTAGTGGAGAAACGGTCCCTTAAGGCCAATAATCTTAGGCGGCGATCTTCACGGTCTGTTGTTCTACGGCGGCGTCCAGTGCCCCTTGCTCTTTGCGTACGGCCTTCTCGAAGCCATGCCTGACAACACCTAACCACAGTGTCTACACTGCTTTGCACTCTAACTGCAATTGCCCGAAAAGAAAGTCCAGCTTCCCGAAGTCGCACTATACGGCCCCTATCAACCTCACTAAGTTGACGAAATCGTTCAGGTCTCCGTACTCTAGGCATCGTAACCGATCGTAAAGGATGTCACGAACCAAAATCCGCCAACGTTGATTCTTCACTGCGGCTGACATATTCATTTTTAGAGGGTTAGTGAATTAAAAAAAAGCAGTATAAAAACCGGAATGTCCAACTGATAAGGCTGAAATTTTTTTCACTTGTTGTTTATAGTAAGATAAATACATTCACCAATTTTTATTAAAATAAAACCATTTAAACTGGGGATTTATATGTCACTTAGTATATTATGGACTGAGAGCGTTGTGTGGGAAACGGAGAATCATCCTACTTGAATCCATTTTTAGAATGAATTTTCCAAAAAAAGTTTAATACTCTCTCTCTCCTGAAAACGAGGCAATACATGAAAAAAAACCCACCCTCTGCAGTTTGATTTTTATTTTATTAATATCATGCATATGCCAGTTTCTGGAGGCACATGTGCTTGCAGATCGATTTAAGCTGATAAGTTAGGCATATCTCTCTCAAAAAGTTGAAGATTCCGCGCATTAAAAAGTTTGCAATGGTGAATTCAAGACCTTTTGAGTTTTTGAGTTTTGTGTAGAAAATATTTTTAATTGCTACCTGCAATAATATATATAGCATATTACCAGAAGCGATTGTTCATTTAATCGCCCACCATCATGGACATCTGATATACAGGGATTACTCGAAAAGTTGACAATACTTATTTTAAATGTGTGATATGTGAAATTTAAAATAAGCAGGTGGGTATCTATTTTCGGTACAACCATTTTTTGAATATTTTATCCGAATTCATTACAATAGTTATAGCATAACCACAAGCTTTCCTAACTATCTAGCATCAACTTTTCGAGTAATCGATCGCTGCAGTCTTACGTGGGATGCCGTGTATCACTAAACAGTAAACTTTAGAACTTCAATATTTGATAAATCAAACTTAATTACAACATAAGACCACTAATTAGATTACAATGTTATTTAACACTATACTGAATGATTTTCAACATTAACTTATGAATTGGGATTATGAAACGCGCCGAAGGCTGAGTAATTTTGGTAGACACTTTCTAGGTGAACAATCCAACAGTTTTGTAGACCGCATATTAGAAAAATATACGTATATTAAACATTTAATCAATGAGCACTTTCCAAATAAATTTTAAGGGTCGCCTTAGAGTCTTGATGCATAAGGTGTTGGGTAACAGCTATCAGGGAACTGAACTCCAAGCCTCTCGGAACAAAAAATTAAATTAACTGAGATTGGAAATACAAATATATACAGCTTAGCATTATTCAACCTTTAAGTTTACTTCCATTCAAGTCGTATATCTAAGCGGGGTGTAAGTTTTTATTTATAGTTATTTATTATTTTAGTGTTTCCTCGCTGGTGAATCAGCGCAATCAATAAACAAATGACTGTTGCGTGTCAATGCAGTAAAAATTTTTATTTTATTTGTGGTGTGAACCTTACTAATACCTGACGAACGACACGAAGGTAGCAACAGGACATCCTATCATAACTATGCCGTTTTAGAAATAAGAATGTAGGTCATATGAAAATTTTCCGGATATCCCGCGTTTGACATCAGTAATCGTGAGTTTACCCAGCAATAAGTTAAAAATTGGAGTTTTCTGAATTCTGGTACTGTACCGAGGTAACATTTAAGCTCTACGGGTTTTATTTAATTTCATAGATGTTTCTTTTTTAGAATTTGGGGTTGCACCATTCAGACGTATTAATGACATCAATGCTTTGAAATTGCCATGTGGCAATAATTAGGACCATATGCTTGTATGTGTTCGTGTTGTTTTTCTGTCCCATAATCAAAACCACATTCTTGAAACACACAAGAACTAAATATTGATAGTCCAAAATTGGGATAACGCCGATGATTCGTTGTATCTGTAACCCCAACGCAGTGGGACAAAAATAACACTGGACAACAAATTTTAGTTTTTTAATTGTATCTTGTGGGAAAAGTGCACTTCTTTGTTAATTTTGGGGCGCTGAATCCAAAAATGACAATGAAATAAAAAAATTAGTTGCGGTTTAGAAAAAAACTTTTTATTTTTAAGGATATATTAAAAAAAGTAACAAGATTCATATACTTATAAGAATCACTATATGCGCTGTCTTTTTGCTGTTCTTTTATGGATCGTTTCTGGAGCATCTCTACCAAGAGTCCAACAGTAGTCTTGGTACCTTTTTTCCATTGTTGAAATATCCTGATGAAAACGTTCGCCGTGCTCATCACTTACGGCTCCGCAATTGTCAGGAAAAAAGTCCAGGTGTGAGTGTAGGAAATGTATCTTAAGAGACATATTACAGCCCATCTTTTGATACGATGACAGCATATTTTTGACAAGGGTTTTATAGTTGTCAGCTTTTCTATTTCCCAAGAAATTAGTGACCACTAGACGGAAATCATTCCAAGCAGTTTTTTCAATACCTGTTAAAGTGTTTTCAAACTGTGTATCTTTCAAAATATTTCGAATCTGTGGCCCAACAAAAATACCTTCTTTAACCTTTGCCTCACTTAGTCTTGGAAATTTCTGACGCAGGTATTGAAAAGCTGACCCATCTCTATCTAATGCCTTGACAAAGTTTTTCATTAGGCCCAATTTGATATGCAGTGGTGGTAATAAATTTTTTTTCGAATCTACTAATGGCATATGCTGTACATTTTTTTGACCTGGGTCTAGGAATTGACGAACAGGCCAGTTTTGTCTGGTGTAATGAAGTGCATTTGCCCGACAGTCCCATTCACACAAAAAACAGCAAAACTTTGTGTAGCCTAGCTGCAGCCCAAGTAAAAGTGCAACAACTTTCAAATCGCCACAAATATGCCATTGGTGCTCATCGTATTTTATGCATGTCAATAGGTACTTCATATTGTCATATGATTCTTTCATGTGAACTGCATACCCTACAGGAAGAGATGGTAAAATATTTCCAATATACAATAACACTGCCTTTAAACTCAATGTTGAACTGTCTATAAACAATCTCCATTCTTCTGGGTTATAGTTTATATTTAACCCTGGAACTGCACACTGGGGTCTGAGAAACCCAGGTATCCCCTCTCTTGTAAGTGCTTCGAAGAAACGTAAATAGTTCGGCTGGATAGTTCGGTGTAAATTCAGTCTGTAGTGAGGAGAGACAGTGCGTAGACGTTGGCTCTTATTTGTGCTATCTATCCCGTCCGAATATTGACTAACATCGGTGAATGGGTACGGCAGACCCCAGAGTGTGGTTTACGTTCATAATATTTATTTTGTATTTTATAGCTATGGCAAATTCTGACTGGGAAAATCGTCGTCCATTTAACGCAACGTGAGTTACAAAATGAGGTCGACAATGTGTGGCAAAATGAAGATGAGGCAGATAGTGACGAAGACTTGTTTGGTGAATTATCTGACAGGGACGAAGATTATGTCGATGAACAACAGTCTGATACTGACAATGAACAGAGTGATGATGGTGATGAAGTTGTGTTACAGAATCCTGGTATATCAAGCAGGAACACTGCTAGTATAATGGGCAAAAACGGTCATCGCTGGAGTACCAAATACCAGGACGCAGAGGCCGCACAACGAGAGACAATATTGTTTTACATATGCCCGGTCCTAAACAACAGGCGAGATTAGTTCGCTCTCCAATAGAAGCATGGGAGTTATTATTTAACCAAGAAATGTTAGATATAATTGTATTACACACAAATCAAGAAATTGTGCGTAAGTATTTTAAAAACCTGCCACAAAGTTATAAAAAGCCAACTAACCTTGTAGAGATTAAAGCTTTTATTGGGCCTCTCTATATAGCAGGGGCCCTTCGAATATCAAATACGAATTTAGATGAATTATGGTCAATAAAGTACGGAAATGGATTATTTCGAGCTACAATGTCTCAACAGAGATTTCAGTTTCTAGCTCTCTGTTTACGATTCGATGATAAGAATGGTAGGGCTGCAAGAAAATTAGTATTTTTTTTTTTTTTTTTTTTTTTTTTTTTATACTCCAACTACCACGAAGGCCTGAGGCCTAAGCACCCATTGGGTACCGTGGGGCTATGGGGGATACATGGGAAAGGGGGGACGCCACACGGACTCTGGCGAGGGAACACGTGTGCATGCAACATGCACACATTCTGGCTCCGCCTACGAGAACCGCCGGGTGGTACCTCCGCGTTCGACAGTCAGAGACCATCTACCACCTACGGACAATCACAACATCCATGGCCAAGAGAAACATTTCTCCTGGAGACGGGAATCGAACCCGCACAGCGCACGGCGACTGATCAGGAGACCGAAGAGTCTACTACTGCGGCCACCGCTGCTGCCTAAAACAAACACACAACATCCATGGCGAAGGCGAGATTCGAACTCGCGGCCCGGCCGGCCGGCTGATCAGTAGCACGACACTCTGACCCACGCGGCCAACCGAGGTCCCGAGTAGATAAATTTACACATATCCCACAGCTTTGGGAAATTTTTATTGATAACTGTAAGTCGTATTACACTCCCTATGAAAATTGCACAGTGGATGAGCAACTTGTCAGTTTTCGGGGAAAATGTCATTTCAGAATATACATGTCTAGTAAACCCGATAAATATGGTATGAAAATAATGATGATGAACGACTCTAAAACTTTTTATATGGTTAATGCAATTCCATATGTGGGAAAAGTTAATGTAGAGAATAATGAGCCAGTACCTACTTATTATGTTCGGAAACTCTCAGAACCAATTCATGGAACCCACCGTAATATAACCATAGACAACTGGTTCACCTCTATACCTCTATATGAGGAAATGTTCCATCAGTATAAATTATCAATTCTAGGAACACTGCGAAAAAATAAAAGAGAGATACCCACAAGCTTCTTAGGAAGAAAAGCAGTTGGTACGTCCCTTTTTGCTTTTGATCACAACAAAATGCTTGTTTCGTATACGCCTAAGCGAAATAATGTTGTGCTTTTACTATCCACTTTGCATCCTGATTCATCCATTAATGTTGATACTGGAAAGCCAAACCTGATACATTCATATAATGAAACGAAGGGAGGAACGGATAGTTTTGACCAGTTATGTCATTCTTACACGACATCACGCAAAACTAGAAGGTGGCCCGTGAGAATATTTTTCAATATGTTGGATGCCAGTGAAATTAATGCTATGATTATATTCTCTCTTGTGAATCCAGATTGGAAAGAAAATACTAAAAATAATCGTAAAACGTTTCTCAAAGAACTAAGTAATTCATTAATTGAGCCACATTTACGAGAGCGGGCACAAGTGACTACGCTGCGATCATATCTTCGGCTTAGCATTAGTGAAATTCTAGGAATGGATGCGCCACAAAGACAGCATCCAGCAACAGATTTGCCAAGAAAGGTTAGATGTGCAATATGTCCACGTGGTGAAGACAGAAAAACTAACTTTGGATGTTCTAAATGCTACAAACCATATTGTTTGGAGCACAGGGCTAAACTTTGCTGCCAATGTGAAGACACAAACTGAGTTTCATGGCTAAGAAATTTATTGAGGTGTATTTTCATTTTTCAACTTTTTTTATGTTCTATAATGACTTTTTAGACAATAAAAATGTATTTAGCTTTTTAAAAGTTTTTTGTTGCATTTTTATTGATTACCTTCAGTTAATGTGCAATTGTATACTGATTTGTAATATTCTTTGTTCTAATACAATTAACGTTGAACCCAATGAACAAAATATTATTAAAATATTTTTTTCTACGAATTATCTGATGTATTTTGACATAAAAAGTAAAAATATAATGATGAGGGTATATAACATCCAACAAAAATACTTGGGTTTCTTAGACCCCAGTGTGCAGTTTATACGATAAAAAATAAGTGTGCAGTTCCAGGGTTAAAGCCGCCAGTAAGCCGTTAATGTTACTGTAGAAAACCAAGTTATTCTCCATATTGAAAAATGGTTCTAAGTCTTTGTGGCGTTTACGAAAAACACATACCGAAACATTGTCTTCTAATAAGTTCCACTGCTGCAGTGTTGATCCAAGTAACTCTGCCTTACATTTTGGAAGTTCTAAATCTCTTACAAGATCATTTAATTCTGACTGTGTTATTTTGTGCGGTTGGTGGCATGACGTGCTCGGTATAAAATCAGGATCTCTTGACGTTGATGGCATATCTTCTTCCTGACGAATCACTCGATCGCCATGATCTGATTCGTTTTCTGATTCGCAAGTGTAGGATTCTGGGGGTTTTGGAATAGGATTTTCGTCACTGCGAGGCACAGGTCTCATCGCAGATGGTATGTTTGGGTAGTTAATAACAGATTTTTTTTTCTTGGACATACCTGTGGCTTGTCCAACACAAGGTACCATGCAAAAGTAACAATCATTAATATGATTTGTAGGCTCTCTCCAAACCATTGGGACAGCAAAGCGCATAGACCGTTTTTTGCCATTTAACCAGCTCCTCAGACTTGAAGCGCATGTATTACAGCAGATGTGGGGTGCCCACTGTTTGTCTTGATCACCTAGTTTACAACCGAAATAAAGCTGATATGCCTTTGTTATTAGTGGAGTAATAGACCGTCTCCGAGACGCAAAAATCACATCACCACACACGTAACAAAACTGATCTGGATTGTTTACACACTTTCGAGACATCTTGCATGAACGCTGTCAGCCAACTGAGGAAAAAATGGCTAATATAAAACAATATAATGTACACGTATGTATAACGTAACACAATCATGCCGATTACATTATCTTTCCTTGCCGAATATAAAAATGTAGCATGTGCATTCTTGTGAATTACAGTATATTAACACTGTCACAGCAGGAACACATATAATTACCGTATCTCCAAAACTTGAACTAATATTGAAAAAATAAGTTTCATTCCGGTTTTAGCACATTAAAAATAGTAATATTTTGTTGATTTTATTTAGGATATTTTTTGGCTGTTGATCAGTGTAATCAGAATCGTAGTGGTGAGAGGTAATTCTAATAAAGGTCTGCTTGTAGCCATTCTCTAAAAATCCACCATTTCCACGAATCATGTAGTATCTTTATCTATATAATTAGCCTTTTTTGATTCATCTTTGGACAGTTCTTTACCTTCACCGATCTTCTCTATCTACGCTATGTTCATGCACCTACATCCCATAGTAGTATTGTAAATTCTGGAACACTGCCTGTCACCCTGTCGAGAGTGGCATACTTTCCAAGGAGCGTATAGTTGTTTATAATTTTTATAAATAACGTTTTTAGATAAGTTTTATAATAATAGAGATACAGACTGGTTAACACTAAAAACTGACTATAGTAAGTACATTTATCCACTATCTTTTAATACGTTACAGCATTACACCAATCATCGCATTTATTACTGGTTTCATTGTTTTATTTCATTTTAAACTTCCATTACCGCTAAGAACACCAGGTATTTTACTTTGATGCATGCCGTTTTATATATTGAACCTCATTTAGTTTGTTTCAAAAGGCAGCTATGGTGGCTAGAATATCAAAAAAAAACGCCATGATTAAAAGAGGCCACCACAGTATACTTAAGGCTACGAAAATCTCATTGAAATACAGTAATTTTGAAGGAAATCTATTGGCAGGCTACTTCACATGAAAAAGTAATATTGTATGTTTTTTCTGGATGTTCATCAAACCTCAACGCTTTGACTGTCGAACCACGAACTTTTACTTAGTCTTCTTCCATTTTCCCTAGAAGTGTTAGATAAACAATTAATACCAATCGGATATACCAGCATTTAATTGTCTTCTCTATTTTGGTTGCATCATTGATACTCTCAAACGAAACAGTTCTAGGCTTAATTAATGATCGTTATGCCTATCATGAATATCTGGAGATTTAGATCTGACTGCATGGTTCAGTCCTAAAGCAAACAAACTTTTATTTCTAGAATGCCAACCCTCATCAACCTGCCGCTACTCCTCTCCACTCTTCTGATACTCTTGGCACCGCCCACTGCCCTATCAGGTTTCTCATGTCTGAGCAACCCTTGTGTCCACGGCGTCTGCATAGATGACCTGAACTCCACCTACTTCTGCTACTGTATCGACGGATACACGGGCGCCCAATGCCAGACCAACTGGAACGAGTGTTGGTCTTCGCCATGTTTGAATGGAGGGGTTTGCATAGATGGCATTGCCATGTTCTACTGTTCGTGTGCTCCTGGATATACAGGTAGGGTGCAATGCAGTCAGTTACAAACAAAACAATTGACGGCTCTGGGAGTCTATTTCTGAGCCTTAAATGAATGAAACTAAAATAAATTAAGGGGCATTAATGTAAGGAATCAGAGCTTTATCCTACGAATAAAATATTGGAAATAATATAACTATTGTATTCAATGAAAAATCTATTCTAGTAGCACTGTTGGCAGTATCACATGAAATTTTTACAAGAGTTGTTGATCCATTCAAGAATGTCAGTAATAGGTATACTGTAACTATCTAAAACTGTAATGACTCATCGATGTTCACGTGAACATCACTTAACTACCAGTAATCGGCTGTTCATAGGCGGGGTATGAATGTTTAACATGGGTGAACTAGATTTGTCACATGCTTAATAAAGAGTGGTTTGAAACATATTGTAAGTCAAAAATTTGGGAATTACCTTTATTGATCGTCGCTTCCACTTACATCTGACAGTAATAAACTGTCGCTATCGCTTTCCTCGTTGAAATTGACTATAACTGGCTCTATGATGGTGTCGATGTGGTGGTCAAGCTGCCACATTTTTGTTTCTTCCTTCACAACATGACGGATAGCATTCTGCCAAGCTTCGGGCGTTACTAGCTGTATGGAAGTCTCAAGTAAAACCTTAACGTCTGGTAATTTGAAGGTTTTGTTATGGCGCGCAATATAACCCTTCACTTGAGCCCAGATGAGCTCTATTGGGTTCAGTTCACAGTGGTAGGGCGGTAACCGCAGCACAGTGACACCACATTGATGGGCCATCTCATCAGTCACGTAACTAATGTTCGCAGGTTTGTGCTGTTTAATTTTTTCATACAATTCCGCTTTCACACATGAATCGTCAAATGGGATTCTTTTTTCGCGCAACCATTGCTGCATGTCACTTTTTCGAGATCCCATAGTCGGTACACGTTCGGCTCGACGACTATGGTAGGAAGCATTATCCATGACGATCACATAGTTGGGCTCGTCTCGCTGAAGCACCCCTTGAAACCAGCTCTCGAAGCAGCTGGCATTCATTTCGTCATGGTAATCACCTCCTTTCTTAGAGACGAAAATCAAGTCACACTCTTCTAAAAAGCCACTATCGCTACCAATATGAGTTACGATCAATCTTTGACCTTTCCCTGACGGTCCACGAAGACCTGTTGACAAACCTTCAATGCTTGCTTGTCGGTTACTCACTACGTTTTTGTCTATCCAGGTTTTTTTAACTGTGTGACCTGCATTTACCCATGTCTCGTCCAAATAATAGATTTTTCTGCTTTGTCGCCTATATTCAATCATTTCGCGTAGGTATTTTCGACGCCAGGCGACTATTTCAGGTCTCTCTATCAATACTGACTTCCGATTACGCGTTTCGTAACGAAAATTAATTTCGTGCAGGGATTTCCTCATTACCTCGGCGCTCATTTGGGGTATAATTTAATTTTCCTTGATCGCTGCATGTACAGCCTTGAGGGTTGGTATCTCATTCCTAAAGAAGAATGAATGTACGGTTCGCCTTAACGCCATTTTGCTATCGTCATCCAATTTAACGGCCTTTTGTCCCTTCAAATTAAACTTTGGATCAGTAGTAGCTCCAGTTTTCTTCTTTTCATGCACCACCCTGCGAATGGTCCACTCTGGAACGCCTGTCATACTTTCACAACGCGCGAGTGCATCTCCCTGCGACATAGTTCTGTTCAGATAATTGAACACGTTAAGCACGATTTCTTTCGCGTCCCTCTTCAGTGCTTTACGAAGCCGTCTACTTGTTCCCTGGCTTTCAGTACTTCCACTCGTGCCATTTGTACTCTCCATGGTTAAGTATAACCAAAACAGTAACCACAGAAACCACAACAATAACAATCACACAACAATTCTTATAAAAACACACAATATGCGATCGCTCAACGAAACACGTTCCAATCCGTTGCCGACGCCTATGAGTCTGCCGGTCGAGGCGCGTCTTTGATTTTATTGGTTCTACCGGCGGAGAACAATCAGCCATTATTTCCATCTCTGTCTGTGCTGTTGACCACCGCAAAGCCACAGAAACGACATATGTCGTACGCTATACGGCTGTACTGGAAGGAAGCCGGGATAGAGCTCTGATCACGTGTTGATCACGCGTATGATTCATTACAGTTTTAAATAGTTGTGGTATAGTTGGTGTTATAACCTATATTTGAGTGTTTGTCGTTTCATTGGTAGACTGTTGGTTATACGAGAGGGAATTCTTGGAATGGGTTAGTAGATATGAGTAGCTGATAGAAATGGGCGTGGTACTATTACCTTTCGGGGAACTGTATTCCGGAACACTAATAGAAGAATCGCTCCATGGGGCATTTTCAAGAGAAAATGTGCAGAAGACTCGCCGTCGCCCATCAATCTTGTCTCTAAAGACGAAGTTGACTTTAATGCTATGAAGAACCTAGGAATATATTATTTTTCCTAAAATGGATGCATTCATAAATTTGTTTTATCAACGACAATAGCTGTAAGAATTTGACGGCATCTACCAATGACCATTTTGATCCCACGGAGGGACATAAGCCATGGATTGGTGTTTAAAATATAGTTATTGGTCATGGTCAAATGTTTGCCAAATTTAGATAAACGATAAGAGTAATAAACAAAAAAACGCTAAGATCTTATATGGCAGTGGTCGAAAATAGCAAACCCGTGTAACAACATTCATGTTTTTTTAAATTTTTAATCTTTTACTATTTCTTTTATATAGGTGATTTTTGGCATATCAATTCCTTTTGACGAGTCCTACAAGCAGTTAAAATAAACGACGAATTTTGAAAAGACCCTGTATAATACTCTATTCAAGCCAATTATAATACATGGATCAGAGGGATCAAAACTAACAAAAAAGTAAAAGAACAGGCTATTAGTGACCGAAACAGCTATTTTGGAAGAGCTCGCCAATGGAGTTAAAGAAAGAACATATACCGTTGGAGATATCTGAGTTCATAAGAGAATAAATGACAACAACCATTTTAGATGACATCCAAACAACTTCTGAGGTACGGCCATGTGAAACGGATGAGGAGGAAAGAAACGTCTTAGAATGGACACCACATGAAATTGGAAACAAAGCTGGCCAGTTATCACATGGATACAAGGAATATCGAGAGCTATGTCAAAAAGGAATATGACTGATATTATAAGCAATTAGGAACTGGAAGATGTATTGCTATATGAAAATGGAATATATTAGTAGTTCTACGATTTGATATAATTTTTCTCCAAATCCGTGTGAGGAGATGATGGATGGTGACAGGGCTAGGTCTTCTGTAGGTAAAAAATATGCAAAACAAATTGGACACATGCTGGGGAGGTTCCTTAAGGAATTGTCGACTGTCAACTATTTAAAAACCACTTAGGCCCACTTTTTAACAAAGGACTGGGATTCTAATTTAACGAACAGTGTAGAAACTTCTTTAAAATATGTTTGAATTTAACCATTGGTTTTTCATGAAACGTAAACATGCATAGAATGTCACCTGAAAAGTACCATTTGCCTGAGTAGTAGGTTTAAAATTTTAGGTGACCTCTGCGAGGTGGACATCAACGAGTGCGAGAGCAATCCCTGCCAAAACAACGGTACCTGCTTAGATGCCATGAACGGCTACACCTGCAGCTGCTTACCAGGTTACTCCGGGTTTCATTGCGAAATAGACGTAGCCGTCTGTAATGCTACCAACGAGACCCGCTGCATGAACGGCGGAATATGCGAGGAGGGGCCTGGAGACTCCTTCTCATGCAGATGCGTCAACGGTAACAAAAATCATTTTGCTTGAATATAGATGACCATGTTGTAGTAAATGGAAATATGGATCCTATATGAACTCTAGAAATAGCTAGTTCATTTACGGAATAATCAGTGGTTTCAGTCTAGAATTCTCGAAAAAGAAATGTTGTGCGAACATATAACGGTATCATTAGACTGAGTATGCTGAGACAGGGTTTCTATTAAATATCTGAACACTCCTGATACTCAATAACAAAGCATTTATTCCAAGAAAAGTTTTAAACAAAACTTTCAGGATATTCAAAGGTCAAATTTGTCGATGACCTCAAATATGACCTAGATAACAACCGTGGATGTTATTTGGAGGTCGAGTTTGAAAATTCAAAGGGCAACCACCATTTGAGATTGGACATCCGAGTTCATTTTCATGCATGAGGTCATGTGGTTATTAGTGGTACATTCGTTATGAAAAGTACACCTACATTCTTAAAAGTTGGTAACCACGCATTTTTTGAAAAAAGGTTTTAAGAAATCTTCAAATAAAAAAAAATATCAAAAAAGCATTTTGGCAGTGACTTCAGAAATGACATAGATGACCTAGGAGGTGATTTGGAGGTTAAGTTTAAACATTGAAATTTCAACTACCATTTCTGACAGCAGAATTGCGAGCTTGATATTCTCCAGACTTCATTTTGATACATGACGTCAACTGGTCATGAGTGGTCCACTAAGCATGACCTACTGTAACATCTGAAAAGTACCCGAACACACCGAAAACTTTCTTAAAAAAACAACGGTCCTAACGAAAGCTGCAAGATATCGAAAAGGCAATTTATCAGTGTAGATTGTGATACTTGATATCATTCGATCATAACTAGTTCAATCAGTATGTTAACGTCTGAATAGTACACGAACACCCACAAATCTTCAAAATTTCAGTATGCTAAATGCAATTTGTTTTTGTTCTAATTACTTCAGAGTTCATTCGGAGCCGAAGTTTGTGAATTCAAATAGCGACTACCATTTTTGACATCAGTAGAATTTCGAGGCCTACAGGAATTTTCTTTAAAAAATGGTCGTTGCTATTTATTTATAAACTTGACCACCAAATGACCTCTGAAGACACTAGGTTTTGATATACTGAAACTTTTAGAGCTTTATTTTAGAAAAATACACAGTTGTCAGGTTTTTGTGATGGAACCAATTAATAAGAACAAACGCCTACTGGCGAGGAAGATTTCTATTCGCGAACAACTTCGAAAATGAGATATTATGTTTCTTGGATGTTATGTGACATGCACATCACTCATTTCTGTCGGTCTATCTGTGTGTCCGCTAATGACTGACCCTGCTATAACTTGGGAAGCCCTGGTCGAATTTGGGTAAAATTTTTAAACAAGGATACTACCCAGCTGAGAACGAAAAAGCTTTGTAATTTTTGGAAATCGGTCCTGCTTCGGCATAGATAAAAGCCAAAAACAAAAAAAATCGCACTAATTTTGTTTTTTGACATTTCAGAGGATTCTGATTATTTTTGAAAAAATGTTTAGGGGTAAAAAATTGGGGCGTGGAGTGTTGTAGCGGGCTGGTGGAGGGTGTACCGCAATTTTTTGAAGTTAGATAATTCACCGCACCTATTAGACATATTTCACACATAAATTTTCTCGGACATTTGCTGTTAAAAATATTTTCAGCCTATCGGTCACACTTCCCGTGCGCCTGGGAATTATAAATATTGCGTCTTGGGTAGTGGATTCGCGGTGACGCGATATGGACATATGAGGTGGGCGTGATATTATCCATGAATGTATATGAACGTTATGCTTAAAGTGTAATTTACTGAGGTTGCTTGACTTCGTGAGGTAATATATAGTATATCTAGTATATGAATGGGTATCAAGAGCTGTTATAATAAGTTATCGAAAATTGCTAACAAACAAAAGCTCAAATAGTACACTAATGATTCTGACAAAACTTATGTCATTTTTATGCCACTGCACTACATCGAAAATTGTACTAGAAGCTGTTTCAAAGGCATAGGAAGTATGGAGTCAATCTACTTGACGGAATTTTTTGAATACGCTAACCTGCTAGCTTTAAGAATACTTAATATTTTTGTGATGCACAGTAGTTTCACAGTTGCAAAACACTTCAATTTCTTTCTTGCTCATTACCTTCTGTGAGTTTAATGACGCAGGTCAGAAGTATTTTTCTAGGTTGGATGGGCTTATTCTGCGAAACAGAAGTAGACGAGTGCTTGTCTGCGCCTTGTCAAAATGGAGCTGTTTGTGTAGACCTGCAAGGTGACTATTCTTGTGCCTGCCTCTTTGGTAAGCAGTATTTTTTATTAGACTTCTATTCATCGGACGGAACTTTCCATAAAGCACTGTTATCTCGCAAGACATAAGTTTGGTCGCAGAAAATAACTACCAAACAGTGGAAAGTACTTCATTTCCCCAGAGAATTGACTACCTGTCAAGTGAATGGACTTCAGATGAAATTAGATATCTTTCTCTGGCTTATAGCTAAGTTAAGAGAAAATGCATTTACTGTTATCCAAACTACGTGGCAGTGGATGTTCATCCATAAGAGCTAATGTAAATCAGGGTATCTACAATTTCAGTAAAAAATGTATTTATTACTGAGGTTTAATAAGATACAAAAATGTTGCTAGGTAACATTTTACAATAACTCAAATTTCTATTTTTGTTACCATTTTGTTACCATTTTTCGAAATAATGGTGTACATATGTATACAGGGATGGAGGGTTACAGGAAATGTTAGTCTAATCTTTCCACAGTTGTACCAGAATCATCAGGCGACTAGACAAATTTGATCCTAGGCTCAATTCTGATTGTGATTTTAATGGCTTTCCCTTCGTATATCTACTTACACAAAAAAATTACTAAATTGTTCTTATAACCGTTCTCTCAATGAGTACGTAAAAAGGTCATAAGTTGAAAAAATGACTTTTGAACTTTTAACTATTTGCCACAGTGTTAGAATTTGGATGTACGTAACTTTGAAGCGATTGAAAACTTACAGATATTATTTGTTAATTTTTAGGCTATAGTGGAAGAAACTGCGAAGATGTAATGCATATATGTGAAAAGAATCCATGCAAAAACGGGGCCTTATGTCTAATGGAAGGTGAACATAATGTCTGCTACTGTGTACCAGATTTTCACGGAAACATGTGCCAATATCAATACGACGAATGTCAATTAGGACCAAGGTAACGCTTGTTCAATATAACCAAGATAGAAATGTTAAGTAACATCGTATATGGCCAAAAGTATAGTGGTGCATACCCAAAACCTACACCAAGTTTTCTTTTGTAGCTTCTATTTAAAGACTTTCAGTTTTCAAGCGATCTATTCCTGTATTCGGTTTATTATATTATTTAACTATATCATTAGTCATGGTAGTTGCAAATGAGCGGAAGAACATAAGAGTATCTACAACTAGATGAATGACTCTGGTCGCATGATGTCGTAATTGACGGGTTCCCCTCTTCATCCCACAACGTCAACGCGGGTGTTCCCAGGGATCGGTCTTGACTCCGACACTGTCCCTCTTACATATTAACGACCTGTATGGTCAAAAGAACCCACAGATTTGCTGATGACAGCACTCTACATGCAGGAATTCAGAGCGACAAACCGATCTCTACCGATGAGGTGGAAAAAACAAAGATAGCGGCGACTTCATCTGTGACGAGATATCTGGAGGTTAGCACTGCTTGTGCACGCAACAATCTTGTACAGCTTAATGCTTGCAAAACACACTACCGTACCTCGACGAACAAAAAGCGTCTTGACGCTCATCCGGTTTCAATCGATGGCCGAGTCCTGCCAAACAGCCGTTCATTTCGGCTGGTCGAAGTCAAGATCACCGAGGACTTGATCTGGCACGAATACGCGGTGGCCTGGCATTTGGGCTTCTACCTGCGAGGCTGCCTTGGTGTAAAAAAAACATGAAAAGGAGATGGAGGCAGTTAAATCCTTTAAATACTTAGGTTCAGTAACTGATACACAAGGAAAACAAAATATAGATATAATGCTGAATCGAGAAAAAAGCAAGATACAGGCCATCAAGGAGATGAGGTAGTGATAAGAGTTAAACGAGTTTCGGGAATGGGCAGATTCAGAAGTGAAGTGATAAGAGAAGAAGTGATGGTAGAGACAATACCTTGAAATCGTTTGGTCACATAAATAGAATGAACAGCAGCCAACAAGTAAAAATCATAAGGCAGGCGAATACTGTACCACTTCGGAAAAGGGGAAAGAGATGATGTGATCGTGGACGCCTTAAATATTGGACATCCGGACCCCACTAAAAAACATTACGCTTACTTGACAGATTACAATCGCTTTATATAAAAAATTAAACTAAAAAAGAAAAAAGTTAAATGAAAATATTTTTCATGAGCTTCTTGATGTGCTTAATATTGCTACTGAAAATACCTATACAGTAGCTTACAGCGGCGTTGCCAGATCTTATGATCCTAATAACTGGTTCATTCATACCATAATAGGTAGAATGAATTTGTGGACAGCGACAATGTCACTAGCTAGATATTTTTTGTATTTCGTTACGACTTACGCCACCGGGTGGTAGAAAGACTGATAATGTGTAAACACTGAGAACCAAATTTATCTGACGGCTTGAGTTCAATGTGCACGAGACAATCCAAGGCAAGGTTTCCACCTTCAACATTGTAGTTGAGCGATTTTGGTCAATACCCAGAGTGTGGTCCTTCTTCGAAATGGCTTTTATCCGTGTACACGCAGGCAGTGATAATTTGTATTGCGTAACGTTATTATAAGTTTTCCGACCGCAGCAAGTGTAACAATAAGGATTTTATCACCATCGGTGAAAATCAAAGATTCTAAAAGTCAAAATTGAAATAAATAAGTCTAATTAAAATGAAAACAAAATATTGAACGTTCGAACAGAACTTCTTGGGCGAACATGCGAACATTTTCTGGTGTAACAATATAAGCAACTGTTGCTAGGCAATGTGGTGATGGCCTTCGCTCTTCAGCCGGCTTCTATCTCTTTCTAACATGTGTTGATACACACTTCTCGCGCTTCTCTATCGCACACATTGAACTCAAGCCGTAAGACAAATTTGGTTTTTCCTGTATGTGTCCTCTGTTGAAGTGATTCATTTTCGTATTAGACTTATTTCATTATTAAAACACATATTAATTATTGCAGATGTTTAAATGGGGGAACATGTATAGACGGTGTAGATAATTTTACGTGTTCCTGTCCACCGAACCTTACCGGTGTTCTCTGCGAATGTCTCATTCTGCAAGATGCAACGTTAGATTGCGAGTATATAGCACCATCTGATTGGAGTCAAACGACTCAATTAACAACGTCATCATATGGAAGTACCTCATTCACGTTATCTCCAAGTACAAGTACTGTTAAAGTTGTAGCACCCATATCCACCACTGTGGAAACTTACACGGGTACGGTCAGTACAACGTACATAATGGACACATCTACAGTTACTAAAGCGGAGACTGTGTTTCCCAATTCTACAGAATTTGGTAGGTATTAGAAAGTACGTTATGTCGTTTTTAAGACATGATTGTAGATCTTTTTTATCCAAAGTTTATTTTTGGAAAATTTTAGCATTTTCCAAGCGAAAGCTAAATTGGATCTTCCATTCTAGCTTTGTCATGAGGCCTCAAACTGTAGCACCATGTATTAGAAGCTTTTTCATACGAGTGTCTAGTGCTAGTAGTCTGTATCACTTTATTTTTGAATACCAAGGTGCATGTAAAAACAAAAAGCAAGCTTATTAAGGTGTTATTCCATATTTAACATTTGGAGTCCAAGAAGAAGTACTATTATCTATTGCAGCTACTACTACAAAAGCATCTGTGACAAATCTCTCCACGCTGCCCTGCGAAACTAGTACCACCACAACTGAAGAAACTCCGTTCACTACAACTAAGCTATCCACTCTAACAGAAGGATTTACAATGCCTGAAATCATGACTACTCCATCATCTCCATTTACTGATCACACAACATCTGAAGCTTCATATAGTTTCGATACAACTATTGGAGAAGGCTCAACCTCTCCAAGAACTCCAAGCGTAAAACTGCCGACTGAATCACCATCAGCAGTTTCCACTGAAGCTGTGACCTCTGGGGCGAGTTTCACCACTACGAGGGGGACATCAGTTACAGTTCAGGAGACAAGTAATAAAACTACATTATACGAATTCTCAAAATATGTATCTTTAGTTGTTGGAGTGAAATCACGTATCACAAATAGCGCGTAATGCATGCAATTTACATAGCTATATATACTAAGTGACATATAAATCCGAACACCCAGTTTAAATGGTTTTATTTTAATAAAATTTTGTATAAGTACTTAATGAAGCATAATAAGTAAATGATAAAAATTTCAAAATGATTGCACTGCTTAAAGCCCTTTGACCTTTAATAATGTGTTGATGCACCCTGATGTGCTACGCATTCTCCAACGCGCCTAGGCATGCTTCTGATCAGGTGGTCAATGTCCTCCTGTATCTCATTCCAGGCAACCACCAGCTCCTCTCGAAGTGCTTCTAGAGTCTGAGGAGGACGTTGCAAATTGAGCAATCTCCTACCCATCATATCCCACACATGCTCAATTGGGGATAAGTCGGGAGATCTTGGTGGCCATGGTAACAATGTGACATCATTATGTTGAAACAAGTCTATTGTGACTCTTGCAACATGTGGTCGGGCATTATCTTGATGGAAAGTTGGATCTGCCAGGGTGTCAAGAGAGGGTAAAAGATGGGGTTCTAGAACTTCGTGGATATAACGCTGCGCGTTCATGTTACCTCTGATGAAGATTAAAGGTGACCTGGAACCATAAGCTATAGCGCCCCAAACCATAACTCCAACAGTGTGATGAACATGTCTTTCAACAAAAAACTGTGGATTCCTCCTTTCACCACGTCGCCTTCTAACCCTGGCACGACCATCGTGCATGCCTAAACAAAATCGAGACTCGTCACTGAAGACAATACTGTTCCATTCCTGATCCCAGAGTGACCGTTGTCTGCACCACTCAAGGCGATTACGTCGGTATTCTCGAGTTAAAGGGAGGATCCAGTGTGGCCGGTATGAAAACAAGCCAAAACTTCTCATTCGTCGGTAAACACTTCGCATGCCAATAGGTCTTCCGGGTTCTGCAAACCATTCATTTGCAATGGACCTGGTAGTGGAGAAACGGTCCCTTAAGGCCAATAATCTTAGGCGGCGATCTTCACGGTCTGTTGTTCTACGGCGGCGTCCAGTGCCCCTTGCTCTTTGCGTACGGCCTTCTCGAAGCCATGCCTGACAACACCTAACCACAGTGTCTACACTTCTTTGCACTCTAACTGCAATTGCCCGAAAAGAAAGTCCAGCTTCCGGAAGTCCCACTATACGGCCCCTATCAAACTCGCTAAGTTGACGAAATCGTACAGGTCTCCGTACTCTAGGCATCGTAACCGATCGTAAAGGATGTCAAGAACCAAAATGCGCCAACGTTGATTCTTTACTGCGGCTGTAATGTTCATTTTTAGAGCGTTAGTGAATTAAAAAAAAGCAGTATAAAACCGGAATGTCCAACTGATAAGGCTGAAAATTTTTTCACTTGTTATTTACAGTAAGATAAATACATTCACCAACTTTTATTAAAATAAAACCATTTAAACTGGGTGTTCGGATTTATATGTCTCTTAGTATAATAAGGTAACTCGAACATCCAATCGCCTTGACCACTCTTCGTAATTTTGTATAAATGGCGAATGTACCAGGATAATGCACGGTTCACGACTCGTGAGAAATGGTGAAGGCTGCTTTGAAGGTGAAGTCAGAGTCAAATACAGCAGCATTTCACAACCTTTTTGCAATTATGTACCATAATCGTTAATGTAAAAATAAACATGCATGCCACTTTTGGAAAATGGAATGAGGAAGCTATACAAAATATCAAACACTGTTTTTGTCTTTATGCCGGTGTTCTGTAAGTTTGCTTCGTTAAATTTATATTTTTGCAGATATCCAAGAATTCGAATAGATTAGGAGCTAAGACTATATGTTTACATCGCAATGTTTATCGGCAAAATTATGTAGTTTGAACACATCCTTTTGGCTAATTTGATTACCATTGCCTGCCAAAGTGACAAACGGCGTACATTCTTTTCTTCGGAAAAGTGGCTATTCGTACTCGGTATACTCACGTAGAGCAAGGCAGAAAAACTATCTGAATTGCGATGTGAATCGCTTAGTTTTTGTTAATAAACACGGATAAATTGAATAAGGTAAAGAAATGAAAATACATATTTATTAGCGGTACACCAGATGAACAATTCTCCCCATTTCCGGATTTTGAAAAGTAAACAATACGAAACATTCTATCCATCAAACAGCAACAACAATGGTGGAATACCTGGTATTGAGAGTATGGGACTTCGTTCATGAATTCTATTAGGTTTTTCAAAATAGTTGTCTGAGCAAATTCTTGCCTAAAAGCATAATATGGAAATTTCTGCTATTATATCATTTTTGCAATATTTACCCAATAAAAAGTTTAGAAGTTTTCTAATTAATTTGATACTCATAGTTCATTTTGGGCGTACTAAACTAACATGAGATCGTAAAATTATTACTTATAACGCAACAGTACCTTTCCCAAGAACTTTATGATTAAAAATTAAAGAAGATAAAGTTAAATTTTATGTCAGTTTAGTTGTAATAAAGTTTCGGTTGGTCCTCTTCAGTATCCATTAAAAATTGGTTTGTCTCCGGTATTTTGAATTTTTCAATGTTGTTGTTAGGTATATAAGAGGGATGTCTTTTAAATTTTGCATATGGAAATAAAACAACACAGTAGTTAGTTTTAAATGACTTTATTGTTTTTCGAAGTATTCTCCACGAAGATTAATACACATCTGCATGTGCTCGAACTAGAATGATTCTTCTTTCGGGGTTGATTTTTCGAAGCTCGGTGATGACTTTTGGCAAACAAATGGTGGTATACAAATCCGCAGTAACAGTTCTTTGCTCATTAAGAGGATTTGTTGCAATATGACCCGCTTTTGACACAAATGTCGCGACCATCTTTTTCGAAACACTTCGAGAAAGGATGACTTTTGTTGGCTCTTCTTCACCTTGGAACACCCAAACAGCCGACTGTCGTTTATTTTCTGGTTCATAACAGTAAATCCACGATTCGTCACCACTAACAATGCTGTAAACACTTTTTGAGTTTCCGGAATTGAAACGGTCAAGCGTTTTTTGACGCCAATTAACCCTGGCTGCTTTCTGCTCTTCAGCCAACGAGAAACTAATTTTCTTACTCCTAATTCTTCATGCAATTTTTTTTTAATTGAAGTCTTTGAGGTCTTCAAGGACGCCTCAATCTCGCGATATGTCACATGTCTAGCTTCAATGATGAGTTTGCGCACATCATCAACGTTTTCCTGGGTGACTGCCGTATTTGGTGCACCCACCCTGGGATCGTCCCTAAGACTCACCCGTCTACGTTTGAATTCTCCATACCAACGGGTAACTCAGCAAGGCATTCTTGTTGCGATAATTGTCTCTGAAAGTTTTAATAAATTATGGCGCAAAAATGACACTTAAACATTCACCGTAGTGAGATCACTGCACGTATTGTTGTGAAACTTTGAATTTAAGTTTACTAAAGAGTGAGGTTAAGATTCAGTACTGACGTTCGATACGCGCGGCGTCTATGTTTCTATATGCAAAACTTAAAATACGTCCCTTGTAATTCTATTATCAAACCTTAGATTGGAATAGGATGCGCAATGAAACGAGAAGGGAAATGAAATAAATTTAAATTACCTCACAGCTATCTCTAGGTAAAAGCCCAATGTTGAGGCACATGTCAATAGGCAACGCCGATGACTATTATATACAGGGTGTTTCAGTTTATTGTTGCATAACTTTAAGATTCGATAGAACTTGCAAAATTAATGCATAAAGTCTATATAAACATGGTTCGAAGAATGCCCGGCTTCCGAAATACGCCGAGGGTGTTTAAATTTACTTTCTAAAATAGTTTTTTTTAAATATTTCGAACAATATTTGATGTATAACAGTGAAAATTGGTATACAAGGGTTTTTTGGTAAGATAAAACGAACCATGGGCATAGTTTTACTGTAGCCGCTAGAGGGCGCTCTCTACTCTATACCTGTAGTGTATTGAAATGACCGAAAAAATTTTCTTAGTGCAATTTTTTGCTTTTTGAATAAAAAAAACTGATTCCTGGCACTTTTCAACATAAAAAAGCTCTCCTGTGAGTTTTCGTTATAGTTAGCCATTTTTGAGATATTTCGATTTTTAAGGTTCGATGCATTTTTAATTATTTATGGGAAAATAATATTTTTTTTTACATTTTCGATTTGGGCATTACAAGTAATTAAGATGATCGTTTAGATTGTGTTTTTAAACACAGCAATAATTCCTAACTCCAAATAAACACAAAAAACAGAATATTAACTTATTTAATGTTCCAATATTATTTTTAACAAATTAAATTAATTATTTACTAACTAAAATGCTATTGGATAGTTAGGTCAAACATACAAAATCTAAAGTAGTTGCTCGAAATGTAAACCCAATTGTTGAATACACAATTCACATCTACGAATGATCGAACGTGGTATAGCATTATTCAAATAAGGCCTTATTTCATCACATGCATTCCTGATTATGTCGATTAGCATATCTCTTGTGGTTACGGGAGTCTGGTACACTTTTTCTTTTAGAAATCCCCACACAAAGAAATCAAATGGATTTAGGTCAGGGGATCGTGGAGGCCAGGCGACTGGTCCTCCACGGCCGATCCATCTTTCTGGATAATTTTCGTCCAGCCAGTTTCTAACTATTCTCGAATAATAAGCTGGACAACCATCAAGCTGGAACCAGGCCAATCTTCTTATATCTAACATAACATCATCCCACATATTTGCATGTTCAGCCTTCAAAAATTCCAAGAAGGTCGCAGCATTTAACCTTGCAGGCAAAAGGTAGGGTCCAAATAGTCGATTGCGGTAGATACCAATTCACACGTTCACACTAAATTCATGCTGAAAATTTCTTTCCCGAACTGCAGGCGGATTTTAATGCGACCAAATATGTTGATTATGAAAATTTACCACTCCACGTCTAGTGAAGCATGACTCATCGGTCCATAAAACGTTACTTAAAAACTCCCTATTATTATCAGTTCTATCAAGAATCCACTGACAAAATGTGATTCTTCGTTCTCCGTCCCCTGGCTGTAGTCCTTGCATAGGTTGCAAATGATAAGGACGTCTATGGTCATTTCTAAGAACACGGTGAACATGGCTTGCTGAAATTCCCAAGGCACCAGAAACTCTCCTAACACTTGTGGTCGGATCTCTATCAAACTCACGTAGAATCATACGGGTAAATCTGCGCTGACGAACATTTATGTTTTGATCCCTTTGGAGATTTCCAAAACCATTTTCAATTATTTGGCGATGCACTCTTACAAATACTGAGCGAGTTGGATGTCGTCTGTTTGGAAATCTTCGTGCGTATTCTCTGGCTGCTTCTGCTGCGTTTTCATTTACAAAGCCATACACAAAATAAATATCCGCTAACTCTTGATTGGAGAATAAAAATGGCATTTTTATAAAACAGGTAAAAGAAACTAAATTTCGTGCATTCACAATTGCAAAAAAACGTTTCAGGTTTCAACAGACAACAAAACTAACTGTCAACTAATTGACGTTTAACCTGCTTCTGCTTTCAATTTCAAAAATATTTGCAGGCACAGCCTACTTCTAAAAATTATCGAGCTACTGACTTTTCAACGTTATTTTATCATAAATAATTAAAAATGCATCGAACCTTAAAAATCGAAATATCTCAAAAACGGCTAACTATGACGAAAATTCACAAGAGAGCTTTTTTATGTTGAAAAGTGCGAAGAATCAGTTTTTTTATTCAAAAAGCAAAAAATTGCACTAAGAAAAATTTTTCGGTAATTTTAATACATTACAGATACAGTAGAGAGCGCCCTCTAGCGGCTACAGTAAAACTATGCCCATGGTTCGTTTTATCGTACCAAAAAACCCTCGTATACCAATTTTCACTGTTATACATCAAATATTGTTTGAAATATTTAAAAAAACTATTTTAGAAAGTAAATTTAAACACCCTGTATTTCGGAAGCCACGCATTTTTCGACCCATGTGTATATAGACTTTATGCATTAATTTTAAAAGTTCTATCGAATCTTAAAGTAATGCAACAATAAACTGAAACACCCTGTATAACACTTACCTATAAATTGTTTTGCTATTACTCAATTTAAGTTGCTCTTTTGCAGTCCACAGAAACCTTCACTACTTTCAGCAACTATCTGGGACACTAGCATGGTTTAAAACCCACACACTTTTATACTATTTCGCAGAAAAATACATATTCAATGTGAAATGTCAACAACTGTCAAACTGGCGGCTTAGGCATGATCGACTTGTAATGCGAAATTGCATCCTGACTACTGACTACATAATTTTGGAGATCAGCAAATCGTTCTTTCTACCTAGTCCGAGTAGAATCTCGTAGAATTGTTCTAGTGATGACAAAGCGGTTGCCTTGTACAGTTTAAAGGAAGTTTTGAAAACTGGATTTTTATTCCGATGGATCGCCGGGTTCTATCAAAGAGCCCTTCAATTTGGCTCTTCGGAGTTAAAATCACCGAGGACTTGATCCGGTACTAGCACATCTCGGCAATAGTGGCAGCTGCTGAGAAAAAGCTTGACTATTTGTTTATAGTTGAGAAGTTCCTTTCTCCACATGACCTCCTCACTCTGTGCAAGGCCCAGATAAGACCTAGCATCGAGTACTCCTCACATGTTTGGGGTGCTGCCACCCCGACTACATATCCTTGCTCGATTCTGTTCAGACGAGGGCTAACCGATTGATCGATGACTCTTCTCTCGGAACCCATTCGCACCAGCGGGCCGTCCAGCTCTCTTCTACCGCTATGCCAACGAGCTTTCCTCCTCAGAGCATACCGCCGCGCGATGTGCCTGCCAGACTTCAGCCTACCATCCTAGCCGTGTCAAACTTCGCACATCCATAACAGGCCGATACGACCGGTCTCTTGTACCTAGGGTATCGAGATTATGGAACAATCTACATGAGGAGGCTTTTTCCATTTCTACTAAGCTTGGACAGTTCCAAAAATCGGATTACCAAAGCTTCTTTAAGATCATGATATCCTTTCGGCCGTAACAACTGTTTTGTTTGAATATAATCTCTCTGCTTCGATGTACAAAAAGGTTAACGTGCCTTTCCAGAATTTAAACTATGCTATCTCATATATTATCCGCTCAGGAAGCTATATTAAAATTTATTTGGCTATACCAATTGGTATTTGCTTTAATTATAGCCACTGCCACAGTTACAACTACGTCACAAGATAGAGCCACAAATAGATCTTTTCAAGAAACAACTACAGTGCCTTCATCGTTATCAACATTTTTGACTACCACACCTTCTAGAGAAACAACAACGCTCTCTGGTAGCAGCCCCGAAACCGAATTTACTACTACCGTAGTAGAGTCGACCCAAACAACTACTATCTTCGCCATTATCGATTGCACAAAGCCCGAAACGAAGTGCCAAAATGGAGGTATGTGCATCTACGTCGACCGTGGATATAAAGTAAGTATACTCATACATACAGGGTGACTTTGAAGTTGAGTCATTAATTTTCAGATAGTGATTGTAGAAGGAAGATAAACCAAAATATGTGTGTAAAAATAAAAAAAAAATTAAAAAAAAATGTTACCTTGTTTTATAAAGTATCCTCCCGACAAGTATTTCAGTGCGGACCTGTATTTGATCGTGCGGTCTTGGAGCACCGGCATCCCCTGTGAGGTCTTAAGTCACCTGATTCACGAGCCCTTTGTACTACATTAACAAAGGCACGAGGGGTTGGTTGCACTCGATTGGGAAACCGATTTTGTAAAGTAAAAAAGTAAAGTCCCCCCCCCGTAAATAAGAATTATGTCCACAAGTTCAGTATTTTCGTAAACATGTGCCATTTTTTATTTCGCTTGAGCCACGCAACAAACACCACTATTCACTCACGCGTTACCGACTGAATCCAACTAAAAACATCGTGATAAGCGTTTCAAATTCTTTCGCTTTTTTGTTTCCGATGCGATGAACCGATGCGGATTATATCCGTTGTCGCCAAACACGAGCACATAATATTATTATTGAGACAGGGCGGTACTCAAACTTCTAAAGGGCTATAACTTTGTTACTTTAATTTTACCAGAAAAATGTTAAAGAGAAAAAACATTTCTTTTGATCAGATCTACTCACTGTTAAATAAATGACTCAACTTCGAAGTCACCCTGTATATGGAGTTTAAAAAGATTGGCCAAAAGAAGAAAACTTCAAAATATAAGATAAAAACATGAAGAACGTACATGTTTGCCTCACTTTCTGATTAGTGGCTATACCTCGTACGATTTTTGCATAAATGTAACTTTGCAACAAGAAAATATTTCCAAATACTTACAACTTCCAACGATGTTGACATTCAGTATTGTAAGAGAGGTAGGCGCTCATATGTTTTTGCAAAGTCTCTGCTTATCTCTAACGATATGTTTCTTGACCTGTCCGAACATTTACTTGTCATCATATTTCGAGATATTTCAGTGATTCTGTTTGTTTTAAAGTAATACATTTGAAAACAGAAGTGCCGCTACTGAAAATAGATGTTTATACTTATCTACCATCATACATTTTTGCCATACTTTTGAGAAAGCAGCAGTTAATTTATGTACAAAATGTAAAGGTGTTCGAATATTACATTGTTTGGTCTAGTACATACAGGGTTTGTCCGGAAAGTAATAGTACTCATTTTCTTCCGCCATGACTGTACTTCGGAGCGTTCGCGCACCGACTGGATTGTGACACAGCATTTGAACATGCGCAAGGTGCGCGCGAAGATGGTCCCATAAGTGCTCAGTGACGACCAGAAATTGCAGCGAGTGGAAGTGTGCCAAGAAAATTTGAACATGCGTGAAAGTGACCCCCAATCTTTGAACAACGAAATCACAGGTGACGAGCCATGGATCTTTGAGTATGATCCCGAGACAATCTTCCGAGTGGCACACCACGGCGTCTCCTCGCCCAAAAAAGGGAAGAATGAGCAAATCCAAAGTGAAAACGATGCTCATTGTCTTTTTTGACATCAAAGGCATCGTCCACCATGAATTTGTTCCTCCTGGACAAATCGTCATCGCCAAGTTTTACGTGGAAGTGCTCAGGAGACTCAAACGAAGGGTCAGTCGGGTCCGACAAGACATTGCAGCCGATTGGAAGTTGCACCACGACAACGCCCCGGCTCACACCGCCTTTTTTGTGAACAGCTACCTGACCAAGGCCGGCATCCCAACGCTTCCGCAGCCGCCCTACAGCCCAGATGTGGCCCCCTCGGACTTTTTTTGTTTCCTTGCCTGAAAAGGCCGATGAAAGGCAAGCATTTTGAGACGACAGAGGGGATCCAAGAAGCATGCACCGCGGCCCTCAAGGCTATTCCGGAGAATGCCTTCCGTGGCGCCTTCAATGCTTGGAAATCGCGCTGGCTGCTTTTTTTTAAATCGACTCAGTCCTATTACTTTCCGGACAAACCCTGTATGTAATCGGTCTGTATACGCGGACGATTGCTTGTGTAAACTCAAAGACATATATAACATTAGATCCAAGCGTGTTCGACTGTTTCATGCTCTGGGTGATCGATACAAAGTATTTACATTATTACAAAGACATTCAAAGATATTGTCAAACTTGACCTCATGACGTTTCAGTGTGCCTGCCCATTCAATACAGAAGGCAGATTTTGCGAGAAGAAACTAGGAATCGTGACAGCAGCCTTCAGTGGAAACTCACATCTCTCCCACCATCTCCCCGATGCCAATCACGTCTCCATACAGCTTGAAGCGAAGACCATGGCAGAAGACGGTTTGCTTTTTTATTCGATCACAGACAAGTTTTACATGGGATTGTATATAGAACATGGGTTTCTGAAGTTCAAATTTTCTTGTGGTTATCAAACGATGCTGCTCAGTGAACTTAAAACTTCAGTGAATGATGGACATAAGATCACTATAAAAGCAACGTTAGTATTCTATATATTATGCGAAATGTAGATAATGATGATAAAATAGATCATTAGCCCAATCTAAACTAAGTACAAGAAGGATGAGTAAAAAATATCTGGGGATCAAAACGCGTGACTTGAGACTTGAAAGGACAAGGTGACAGAGTTTTGGTAATCACAAATACCGCATACTTATGGGTGAAGTCCGGGAGACCTTACTCGTTTTCGACATAATATAATTTTTTTAATTGATATTTAATAGTGTATAAAAGATATCTAATTGTGCTAACAATACGAATCTTAGGACACCTCAAATATCAAAATCCATCAAGCCTTTTGGCCCGTGAAATAGAAATATTTAAATTTGCGGTTAAAATCCGCCATTTTGTTTTTATAAAATTTCAGTATACCCAGTGTCACCCGCACTGTTGAAAAAACCTAGAGACGCATCTTGTGTCACATTACTTTGACAGCAGGCGTGAAAATAGAATATTTATCCACACACGCGCGAAAATCGTAATCCTTTTTCTGAGGCAGTATGGTCAAAATTGGGTACTAAAACATAGTTATTTGAATACTTATTACAATATCCGACAGTTATTTACAGTTAACATCACCCACTGAAAAATCAAAATGGTTTTATAAAGGAACAGACATATATTTTTACCTTACAACAAAAAAAAAACAAATACCTATTTAAATAAAAAATCATTAGTAATTAGTGATTTGCAATCAGCGACCTAAAAAATCCAACGATATAATTTTTGGGCTGGTGTAAATCGATGTATTGGAATAAGATATGTTTTTCTCGAAAAACGACACATATCAACAAACTTAAACAAAAACTTACGTTTGAGACTTTCTGAAAAGATCATTTTGAATAATTATACTAGAAGGTTTATTTATAGCAATAGTTTGTTAGCGCTGCATTCCTGGCGGTCTCTAGAAGCTGTTTTCCCACCCAATGCCATTTTGAATTTGTTAATTTCTTCTTCCTGCCACTCTTCACGTAAAAAATCGATGTGATGCCATTAAAAGTCGGTATGTCAACTTGTGTACTGAGAAGCCGCTAGCACATTCCGCGCCTACTGGCTATGAGCGCCACCTATAGAGGAATGGCTAAACGACCATGTTGCCTAAGATGGTGCAACTTGAATTCTTTATGGGTTGTAAGCTGCTGAGATATTCTATAGAGCATACTCGTGAACAAGATGTGACGAAGAAAATATGGTCGAGTATTGGATGCTTGTGTGTATTGGTCTATATCATATTATGATGTTTGACTATTGGTACTTGCTATGCGAGATAATTATTACCGAATATGCTACCCATGTATATATATATATTAGCTGAAAAGGGTTCGATTGATGCACTTGACCAAAAAGCTTATGAAAACCTGAACTTAAATTTAAAAATAACGTAAAAAATCACGTTTGCGTATGCAGTATTTGCGATTGTAAATGCACTCTTTTAATAAGACATACATGAGCAACTCGGAACATACGTGAAAAATGAGTTTTTGAATTTATGATACAAATACAAGAAATAACGGTCGATTTTTGTTTAAACCTGCAGCAAAATGCATTCTTGTACCCATTTCGGTGCATTTCTCCTAGCTTATCCCATACTTATAAATATTTTCAGACTAGATATGAGCAAAGATAAAAGTCACTGTTACGCAAAAATAATAGTTAACAATACACTGTCGATGACCGGAGACCAAATGGCTAAAATCAACGCATTTTCGAGAACAGAGTCCTGGTTATACCTTGGAGGAGCACCTAATTATTTGGATATTGACGTATTTCCATGTAGAGGGTTCGTTGGATGCATGGGTAAATTGAAGGTAAATTATAAAATGTGTCCATTTAGGATCTCTATAATTCTTGTAGTAAAATTTTGGATAAAAGAGTAAACAACTGACCGATACAGCTTTCACGTAAAATTTGCTGTGATTTAGAATTTGTCTTTTATGTATTTCAAGAATCAAGCTTATTCAATGCAAATCTTATATTTTAATTATTAAAATCTATAACCTATGATTGACTGGTTTTAGCAATCAATTAAAATATTTCGGGCCTGAGTAAGTAAAATCAATTGAAAAGCCAGTAGAGCACATAACATAAATTTTTCTTATTCAAATTTAAGCAATAAAATAATGAGTCACATCGATCTACACGTCCTAGAAAATGGCTATCTTTAAAAACTGGATATCAATTAACACTGTTGGTCGACATAAATCAGGCGGATAAATACGGTTTCAACATTATATCTCTTTTTTTTAATCATGAAAGATATTACCCGTTAAAATTTCAATTTTTAATAGAAGCATCCAAGGCCGTACTCTCCGTGGTTTCTCCTATTAAACCTTATAGTGAGGATGAAAGCATTTTGCTTGATGACGTTGTGTACAAGACGGAGGTTAACACATATTAATTTTTTTTTTCTATATTTATGTGTTGTATGCTTTTGTATCATTTGCACAAATATATTCCTGTGCCGTATAGTGGTGATCTTTTAGATATCTGACAAGCCTGTGGATATCTACAACGATGCAGAGGACGCAACCGAAATAAACGAGTGTTCATCACTCCCCTGCTTATCCAACCCCTGCAAAAATGGAGCCTCTTGTGAATCAGCAGGGGATGACTGGCAATGCAGCTGCAAAAACGGATATGTCGGAAGGACTTGCGAGACTTCAGTGTGCGAAAATAATCCATGCCTTTTCGGAGGCACCTGTATACCATTTACACACAGCGGGTACATCTGTTTGTGTCCATTTGGAAAACGGGGACATTTTTGCGAGAATGGTATGCTGTACAATACTTATTCCTGTAATAGTTTTCCTTATTCAGCAGCAAATTATTTTCACCAGAACCAACGACAACAGTAAATTTTTGTTACTATTAGTTCGGTTACATGCTCGGCTTTAGAAAGTTGACGTTTATCAAGAACTGACAAATTTGCTGCTCAAAATACATAATGTAACAAAACCTCTCCAATTGGTCAATGTAGCATCTGTAACTTATTATGTGGTTTTCATGTTGATTATCTACCATGTTTGCCCGGCCAATGAAACAACATATTTTTGAAATTTTTTAATGTAATAGACGTTTCGTTGTTTGGTTCCGATGATGGAAGGTGATAGTAGAGTAAATTGGATCCGCGTACTTGTGACGACGAAGTGAATGTCGGCTAAGATCTCAGTATAATGTCAAAAACATATCTACATAATGTCATAAAAAATCGGAATATCACTCTTTTAAGTTACGTAATTCAGCTGCCGTATCACCTAACTGCCCTGCAGATCGAAAAATATATGACAAAAAACATCCCACATCCTAATGCTTTCAGGTTAACTTTTTTTTTGGAAATCTCCCAATGTTCCCATGGGTTGGTGGTTAATGTTCATGTTTGTACGTGCAAAATACGGAGCTAGAGCTAAGACAGTTGAAAAAGGGAAAGCATGTTACTAAATTTTGATAGAGAGACTGAATACTCTGCTTGATAATCGTTGCTTTAGTGAAAATATCACTTTAAGCTTGCTTTTAGTAAAATTGAGGTAGAGATAGATGGAACAGTATATGATGAGTACGTTCTACATTATTCTGATAGAGTTATTAGCCTATGTTTAACGTCGAGTAAAACTCAAAATATAATATCTAACAATTCATAAACAATTCTGACGTAGCTTTATTACTCATGCGACTTTTACCGTATGCCATAGCTTTGCGAGTTTGACGATTATTTATGACAAATTTAATAACTGAGATAGATAAGTTATATAACTTATTTTTTAGCTTTCATGCTGATAGAATGCTATGTATTTCTGGCAAGAGTAAACCACATACGTAGAAATTACTCTTTTCTGACTTTTTGACCAACATGGTAGCCTTTTTCAAACTATTTTTTCAGAAGGAAAATGCCACCAAATTTCTACATATGAAGTTTCATTTGGCCGGAAATACGAGACATGGAGTTTCATCTGGAATAGAAATCGTTTTTTCGCTTGCGTGTTTCGTAAAAATATATTCAGAACTCATACATTCAAATCTTCTGAGCTGTTCGCTAGTAGAGTCACATTCAATTAGAATTTATTTTTACTTCACGTTAAACTGTCAGCATCAGAGGAAAAATGTTATTTTTCTCATAATTTATGGAAGCTCCAACACAGCGCCGCTGAACTGTCATGGCAGAATTATCGGTTTATTAAATCAAAGCTTTGGTGCGGATGTTCGCATTTTCACTATTTCTTGCCTATAGTGAAAAATTATGGAATATTCTTCTTGGATGTAAAATATATCCATAATCTTTGGAAAAAAATTGTTGGGAAATTTCGGTAGCTTTAGGGCGCCAAAATAATTTACACGTATTTTCTTTGCAGATATAAAGATCTCTGAACCGTTCTTCTCATCAACCGTCAGGGGTTTGTCTTCATTCGTGGCGTATCCTTTTCCAGACGGCATAGCTAGGAATATGGAAATCAAATTCAGGTTCACTCCTACCATGATGGACCAAATATCATTGATGCTGTTCCTTGGTCAGTTTGGATATCATGATTTTTACTCTGATCACTTGTCAGTTAGCTTTGTCAAGGGGTATATTATGTTAACTTGGAACCTTGGATCAGGTAAGTTTATGGTTTGATTAAGTTATACATCATACTCAGGCAGTGAGTGTAGTTGAAGAGTTTCCTGTAGAAAAAGTATCGCTTATGGTGGCTTATATATAAGCTCTCACTTCTTCAAGATGACGCTAGCATAGATGGTGTTAAAAAGTATTCAGTAGAGTCTGTAGTGTACAAATAATCTGTGGACGTAGCTGATACTGTTTGGCCTTTTTAAGCGTGTTTTGCTTTGCCTAACTTGAAGTTAAATTAATAAAAATCATTATGCTAATTTTAAAAATTAAATTAAGTTTTCGTAACTCAAAAATGTTCATTGTTAAACAGACACGACTGTAGACTCTTTTTGATTTCAGGTCCAAGGAGGATATTTACTTCTCATCCAATTAAAAAAGGCGCCAGGGACTACTTAGTCAGATTAGGACATTCTGGAAGACAGGCCTGGTTGTATGTTGAGAACATAGGAAATGTTACAGGGAGGTCGCCTGGGAATTTGGTGCAGTTAGATGTTGTCCCATTACTTTTTATTGGTAAAGAATTGCCATAGTGATTAGGGTTGACCAGATTGATAAGAAATTCAAATAAAATATACAATCACTAAATTATGGCATCAAAACGGACGATATTATATACTTACGTAAAATTCAAAAATGTTTCATTTGAGCTATTCTATGACTATTTTGTACTTTTGACGTTATTAGAAGATCCGCTTCGTTCAAGAAGAACAACATCCTTGAAAGCAGTGCCTCTTTATCCAAAATATGTGTTTCTCAATCTACAAAGCTGTCCACAACTAGTATCTCAAGATGGAAAGCTCCAATTTTTGCCAGTCTGTCAACATCTCCTAAGTGTTACAGAGTAATTTCTGATTGCATAGAATTCAATAATGGAATATTCTCCAACGAAGAGAGTGCTTTTGTTCTTTGGTATGTCCAAAAATTCACCCTTTGAATATACATTTCTTTTAGGTGGCCACAGCTCCAGAAACTTTTCTGACCTTCCCCACGACCTCCCCATGCACACAGGCTTTTCCGGTTGTATTTTTGACATAGAAATGAAGTCGGGCAGCGTCGTGATTCCCTTTCATGGTTCGATGAAGACGTTCGGAAGGGCAGTGGGTCAATGTGGTACCACGGAGTGTTACGAGAGGAATTGCCAGAACGACGGTGCCTGTTTGCACCACGGTAGCACTTTCATGTAAGGCAACAATTTCGAGTGAAATGGCCGCAATCAACTTTGCATTATAGGAATCTCGGTATTTGGTGGCTTAATTAGTAGTGATCCTAGTTAACGTGTCTCGATCATTTCGACCTTAGGAAATACGTATAGTCAATTTGTCAATATTTGATTATTACAAGCATCATACGCATTTGTTTGGCCAGTTCCAGTTGCTAATCAATTAGAGATGTTCGACTGTACCTTTTTAATAGCCCTGGTACCTCAGGAATGTATTTATCCTTATTCTAGCTTTCTTCCTGAGACAAATCGAGTCGAATAATAAACGTCCTGTATATTTTGACAATTCCAAGTTTTGTATGATTATCTCTGGTATGATTCCCAATAACAAGGGTAATAATATACGTTTGAAATAATACATTATTCCGTACATTTCACTCGAGTTTTTACATTGTTCAAGAAATCAAAAAATTTATTACGCAGAATCAAAACACTTCCAGAATAGTAGATTGTGGTACCCGAGTAAGACTATCATGTTTGAATTTATATATTTGTTGTTTTGATTGCAGGTGCCTCTGCCAGGAAGGATGGTTTGGACCCTTGTGTTCTTTCAAAAACAATTTCTGTGATAGTAGTATAACAAGATGTTCAGAAAAATCTACATGTATTCCCCAACTATCTAGCTATGAATGTGATTGTCCCCTATCGAGAACTGGAGAATACTGCCAAACAGGTGAAGTATTGACAGACTTGGTTTCAAAATATTAATTTCACTTATTATGATCATTTATGTTGATACCGATATCCATGACCATGAAATAATATCTTTTATGTTGGGATGTTTTGAATAGCAAAAAAACTCACACACCACTTCTTACCCACTTTGAAGCAGAAGCCCCCCCCGATTGGGCGCCCATGCTGGTATCTAAAACACACATTATACAAACACTTTTGTTGAGCTGTTTGCTCATTTGCTCATTCAAGCTTAAATTGCAGTTGAAAACATAACTGATGTCAGTTTTTCTGGAAGAAGATCATACATCTCACTGCAACCAATAGAAATCGATGTTGCCAAATTCCATGTGGAGATGGAGATAAGAACATTGAAAGATACTGGCATTATATTTTTTATTGGCAAAGAAAATGGCAACTTTCTATGCCTCACACTGTTGGACGGATTTTTGGAACTACGAATTCAGACAAGTAAGGGGCAGCTAGTAATTTCCACCTCACACCTTCTACCGACACATTTCGAATACAATTATTAATATATTGTTTCAAATGTAGAGTTGCACTTTTTGAGATAATTCATTAGGAAATTATATTTTCTGTTTAAGGAAAGAATAGAGTGTTAGGTGCAAAACCGCTATTTGTCCGTAGCTCTACATTTCTTGTGAAAGCAGTATGGTATAGAGTGAAGTTCGGACTTTTTGGACAAAAAGCGTACCTGAGTGTGAACAACGTTATCAATACTGGAATTCTGGAGAAAACGCACAATCTGATTTTCAGTAAAGAGCCAATCTTCATTGGTGGCTTTGCAGATATGTCAAAATTTCCAATTTTTGCATCAGGAAGTCTTCCTATACCATACAGGTTAGAAACATCCAACTAGGTATTCAAGTAAATCAAGGTACAGAAGATCGTTTCATCCAAGGAAGCAGCAAAAATATTTTGATATCCAGATTATTCACATTATCCATGATATACTGGGCAGAACTTATCGGAATTTAAGTTGAACCTAAAGACAACCCTTATTCGTTCATGATATTTCAATATCAACTAGATTTTATAAATATATAATATATATCTAAAATAGCTATTTATAAAAACAATGGGCGACAATACACTTTATATTTGAAAAATGTGTTACAGTCTATAGGATGATTCATAACTACACAGTAACACAAACGTGCATTCTTTAAATGGAATATCCTGTATATCTTTGTGTATTCTGGAAGTCTTGTTCAAAAGAGGAAGTTTGATATAGCATACTATATGGTTTGGATCACTACTTCTGGAGCTGCGGGATATTTTTCTCGAAAAAACATTCAAGCTTGATAGCTTATGTAGATAAAATCGCAGATTTTTCGTCAAAGAGAGCCTCATATCCATTACTCTTATGAACACAAAATTCACTTTACCCAAATTATTAAAAAGAGCACGCTGAATAGTTTTAGATTTTCAATCTTATTTTGGTATAACTTTTTAAGAGGCTAATTTAGTAAATTTTTGAGATAGTTGCAGGTTTCCAGGTATTACAACTGAAAAATAAATACCATATGATACTTGGGAAGGGATGATTTTTAGTAGATGGGTGGTTATTTAAACGAAGACTTGTACCGATCCACTAGGAATCCTCCATTAATCATGTGGTATATTTAATTAATTGGAATTTCTAGAAATCTGCAAATAATTCAAAATTTAACAAATTTACCCCCCACATACCTTATACCTAAACAAAGCTTATAAGAAAGATAATCCAAATTCAAATGATTTTTAATTCATTAAAATATACAAGGTATTTCATCCATTTTTTTTTTGTGAAAAAGGTGTATCCTGTATAGATGAGGAAAAAAGTTGACAAAACGTCTGAATTACGAGAAATTATGGAATATGATTTTGATGAAATAATTGCTACTCTATCTGCAATAGTCCAGAAGAAGTGATCCAAATCACACATACAAAGCACAATGCTCTAACAAACTTCTTCATTTGGAGAAATATTTCAGCTTATCCTAAAATATAAAAGGTTTTCTATTTGAAAAAGTGCATGTAAGTGTTGCCACGTAATTATGAATCACCCCACCCCGTCTGTAGAGAGCGGCATACTTGCATATAATTTTTGTAAATATTTTTTTAAGTATATTTTATTATAACAGAGCTATGACTGTAACCATTACACGAAATGATAAGAAAATCTAATAGTATTATCAAATATAAATTTGGACGCTTGTAGGGTAGTCAAGGAACCTTGCTATCCATGTACCTTGAAATTTGACTGTAATAAAAATAAAGTAAAAGTTACTTTATTCACGGCCCTTTTTTGTGTAGATGCGATTGGGACATTTCTCCAAACATGATAATCTGAAATTTAATGAATAATAGGATTATTTTTTAGAGGATGTATAAGGCAAATTTCGATTAATGATAAACAAGTGCCATTGGATTCAAAAAATATCAAAGATGCTCGAAACATAGTCGATTGTGATGGAACACCCTGTGGGAGCGACTTTTGTCAAAATGGAGGCACCTGCTGGTTAGATGCAGCCTTGAATCCACATTGTTCTTGCTTGAGTCCGTATTATGGAGAAAGGTAAACGATTTAATGTCTCTATGTTTTGAGGCCACTAGTTTCAAAATATACAAACAGAACAATTACATAATTCACTAGGACCAAACTGTTTTTATCTGCACTCAAAAGCGTGTAGCAACTTGTAAGGCAGAGCGATAGAAACATAAAAATCTGAAAAAAATTGTATATGATTAAGAAAAAAATGCTTGTACAAAATTAATTTTTTTCTACACAAATACATTTTGACCAACATTAGATTCAATGATTGTATATAGTCAAATTTCTTGATTTATAATAAAACACATGATATTTACATTTTATCTGACAAATGACGAGAGACTTGAATACATGGAAAGTATAGAGTATAGAGAATCTACTTGCATTTACGGGATCACCCTGTAATTTGTCACGTCTTGTAGGTGTGAAAGTGTGCAGAGTTGTGATGAAAAGTCGTGCCGAAATCACGGAATTTGTGTGAACAGGACATGCGCCTGTAATGTTGGAAGGACTGGGATGTTTTGTGAGACAGAGATTACGGTGCAAGTACCAAAACTCTCTGGAGGTGGCTACATGATGGTAAAAAAAGGTGGAGATAAGAAGAGAGCGTTGAGGGAAGTCTCTGTTAAAGAATTTTATGTGAACTTTACCACCGTTAGACCGAACGCCTTGATATTGTGGAGCCAAAAGGTATAGTTTTAGACGAGACAGGATACCAAGCTTAAGACCGAAACGCCAGACCATTAACAAACATACCACTCTTACAAATATGTCGTTTTGGAAATTGAAACAATGCGGTCCTAAAACGTACAATTGCCAGACATACTCATTAAATTTGAACTTAAATGTTTCTGCGCGAGGTACCTTTATGAAAGCCTTTCCCATTGAAAATCAAAAATGAAATTTCACAATAAAAATAATTAAATTTGCTTTCTACTTTAACATTAGCGAATATATCGTCAACCTAGAAATCTACGCGGGACGGCATAAATTTTATCATACGAAGAAACTATTTATTGTTACTCAAAATACGTACGTAATTTCCATCATAAGCAAGGTCCAATCATCAAATCAGCGCTGTCATTGCTCTTTCTAAATAGAATGACATAAAGTCTCCCAGCTCGTCTTCGGATGCAAACCTGCTTTCTTTTCGCTGTGACTTCGTAAATGGAAATCAGGGCTATAAAATGGATGATCCAACATCCGGATTCCATATTCTTAAACTATAAGCTGTCGAGTTATCTGCTGGTAATGTGCCGGTGCGTTGTCGACGAGAAGATATCACGATGGCAGCAGCGACCTAGGTCTTGAATTTTTCAGTGTTGTAAATAGTTGTGGTAAACAATCTTCTATGTAGCATCCAGCTGTGGCTCTCTTCTGCTTATCAAGCACAATGTTTGCCACCAAACCGGATTTAAAAAAGACATGATCAGTCTTTTTCCCTTCGACATCGACATTTTTAGTCAACTGACCTTCATTTTAGAAAACTGAGACCCTAGTCTGTTCTTTGGTTGGAACATCAAAAAAACAAAGTCAATTTTCGTCACATAGGAACAGAATTTACATTACTGTTCACCTCGGATTATGATTTTTTCTAGCTTGCAAACGATCGCATATAAATCGGCCACTACTTGGTTCAGAAATATGTATTTAGGGTTTCTGCTGTCTATAATATCTATAATTCGGATGTTTTTTTGTTTTAGCTTATCTCGCACATTCCACATACATTTCGTTTACGTTTTCATGACGGCCTGTACTTGGATCGCCTTCCAAATTGAACAAGCCACGTTTGAAATTCGAAAACAATCTCTCCATAATCCCCAAGAAATACTTTTTCATTTCTTCGTCACATTTTTAGTTAATAAACTACTACAAAAATTACGAAAATTATAGTAAGCAACAGTCGGGAACGCCTCCATAGCGATACTTTAAAAAACTAATTTATTTGCGTTGACAGTTGCGTTGAATATTTAGATATGTATTTGGGCTAAGTATAGCGAATACTCAAAATGTATAAACATACTCTAGGTCAATTGTGGGTACTTGTCCTATAGCAAAACTAGCGCATAATACGTATTTACCCTGAATAGCTAGTATTGTATTATTTGATGATGCTCAGCATGGGTATTACATATCTTGAAACGTGACATTAGATTGTTTTTTGACATAACTTAGGCTTTTCTACAAGATGTCAGCACTAGCTGATGGACATTTGTTGTGAACTCGTTTTGTAGTTGTACGTGTTGCCTAAGCGTCATGATGTTTCAGTTATCGTTTGGCTCTGATCTGATGTAACATTTGCTTCAGAGATGAGATTATTGGAGATCTAAGCTGTAAGTTGTATACTATCTGGAAGGAAACGGCATTGTATAGGTCCATAGTGAGGATTTGTGTGCTGATAATATGTGTTGATGATAATTCCTTTAGTTTCTTGTTACAAATACACTTACTTGAGATTCAAAGCTAGAAATTAGTTGCGTATCCACTTTTCCTTATTGATTCTGGAAATTACACCTTCAAATTTGCTGAATTTCAAAATTGAGAGAGATAAGAAAATAAAAACCCAGGTTGGTGAAGTATCATGTGAGAAAATATGCTTCAGGAATATTTATGAAAGTGTTATTTCATTATTTTATATTTCCAGTCATTTAAATTTTATAGAAATTTATTTTGCGATGTCAATAGAAAATACAAATCCGCGCACTGCGAAAATGTTTGAAGTATGATATGTGATTCCTAACTTTTCTGTGACGTGGCCTAATTGCACCCAACGCAGGCGCTGTGGCGATTTCCCGTAATGCTCCCAAAAGTTTTTGGTCAAAACAAACCTACGAAATGTCAAAAAATCGACTTTTCAAGATTCGTAATACCCGTATTCGTCGGCTTTAGGGATCTTACTCGTTATCCAGAAGACAAGAAATTACAACACCCTGTATTTTATAATGATTTTTGACTTTAAACAGAGATAAGCTACTTTTAAAAACAAATGGTGATCCTTTTTTGTCAGCTTAAACATAGATTTAACAATTAACACGTGGTAAATCTTAAGTTGCGCATGATGCAACACTTTATATATCGAATTATAGATTTGGAAACACACTAAAATACAGAACATACAGGATGTCCCAGAAGTCGACGTCAAGCTGGAAACGGGGGATAGGCCAAGTTATAATGCTGATCAGAAAATGATGATTTATCGGAAATATGGCTCCAATGCTGGTGCTGCAGTTAGGCTTTATCGTCATCCCGATCATCAAGTTTTTGTGAATGTGCACTGTTTATTCTCAGAGGGACCATTCCCAAATCAAGCAAATGTTGAAGGAATAATTTCTTTTCCTTACGAGAACGTCGTACTATAAGCAGTCGAAGAAGACTCGAATACTTCAGTGCAACAAATAGAAGCAAGCACGGGAGTGCCCAAAAGTAGAGCCTACTGAATCTTGCGAAAGAATGAGCTCCACTTGTACCGCGTACAGCGGGTGCAATCCCTACGACCCCGGGATTTCTTCCACGAGCTTTCAAATGATGTTACACAGATACCGGGGAGATCCGCGATTTTTAGAGAAACTCTTATGGTTTGATGAGTTGACATAAAAAAAGATACAAAACTTACAAGAGTGCAATACAAAAAATCCAAATTTGATCAGATAAGACAGATCACAGTCCCTTCAATGTAAAAATGTGGACCGGAACTCTAATTGGGAGAATCGCAGATCCCTTTGAGCTGCCAGAGTTCTTGAATTCGAAATTTATTTAGACTTTTCAGAAAATAATTTACCAAATTTATTGCCACCAAGCATTTACAGAGACATGTAGTACCGGCAAGTCGGCTGCCCGGCGTCCTATGCCCGTTCGGTTAGAGAATATCTTAAATCCACTCGATTTTTCCTTTCTTGGGAGCGGGGAAAAAAAAGTTTACACAAAGCCAATCATAAGTTTAGCTCAGCTACGGAACAGAATAACGAAAGCAGCTGAATTTGTTAATAACGGAAGATTCGCCAGTCTGATAATCATTTTTAAGAAGATGGAGAAAGACACCTTGAATATTTATTGTGAATCTAATAAATACATTCACGAATTAAAAGTGGCGTTACGATCTGTCTTGCTTTCACTACGTAGAATGATACTGTCCGTCACTCTGTCTAAGAAGAAATTGAAATTTGTAATGGGAACTAAAAGATCATCATGGTGTAGATTTTTCAGATTTTTTTGAAGCCTATAATTTTAAAAGTACACGACTTGCACTTTTTATACCTTTCTGATAACTATGATGACTTGGCCTATTCCCCGTTTCCAAGTTGTTAACTTCTGGAATACCCTGTATACATTGCTTTTCAACTGGATCCCCCAATTCATTTTTTGAATGGGTCAGGTTGAACTAAAATTCGGAGTGATAAAATTAATGCATAAACACTATGTTTTAGCGTGAAAGTCGTAGATGGCGACTGGGCATCATATTCGAATATTTTCTTAAATGGAATGTGGGCATGTGACACGTCATCTCAAAGCTGCTGATAGACATCTTATAACCCCGTCCCTCAGGGTTCGGTTACAAAGTGCGGTGGATGAGGTACTGGAATGGGCAGATCGGTGGCTAATCAAACTTAATTACTCGAAAACGCAGGCTATCTATTGTACTAAAAAATGTAGCGGCGCCCCGCCTGAGGTTTCAGTGAATGGAGCTCGCATACCATGGGGAAATTCTGTTAAGTATCCCGGTGTCACTCTTGACAGGGGGACGACCTGGCAGAATCACACCGAAGCGTTAAAAACTAAATTCCAAATTACGTTTCGGCAACTCTACCCTTTACTGTGTAGAACCTCAAAATTAAGTTTGGTTAACCCTTTCAGGACCGACGCGTCCACGAAAAAACATGCCTGCTGGACCAGAATATTTGGATGGTCATATGACCCGGTGACGGCTATATCCGACGAAATCATAAAACAGTATAATTCTTTTTTTATTCTATTAAAGCATACTTAGAAACACAAACAGCAGTAAATAGAACTAAAGAAGGTCAATCAAAACTAAAATTGAAGCCCTAGAACTAATACCTAAAGACAAAAAAACAAAAATAAGAGCACATGGTATCAAAAAAACTCGAAAGACATTTTACTTCAGAAGTGATTTTCTTCATGATATATTTTGAAGCATGGAGCTGGACACAACCCAACATCGCATTCCCTACACATATATTTGGTTTCTTTTCTTTTCTTAGGTTTTTGTTTGCTGTGGGAACATACATAGCATCTCCTGTAGGCCGATTTGATGCCTTCCTTGACTGTAACCAGATCGGGAAAATGTCTTTGTGTGAGTCTTTTATTTCCAAGATCCAGGTGAACAGATCTCGAAGCTGTTTTTTGAAACCTGCAAAAATCGAAATATAGAACTATTTTTAGACAAAAAGAAATATATATATATATAAATATATATAGGTACCTTTCCAACAACTGCCTAATCACTGCAAGTTGAAATGTGGCCAGTGGAACTTTTGCTGGATTCTGTGTCAAATACATGGCATGAGCATTCAATAAGCATATATCCATGGTATGAAAAAATAGTTTTTTATACCATTTCATGCTTTTGCGCGTTGAATCAATGCTGCTGATCATCATATCACTTCGGTCGACAGCTCCCATTTGCTTGTTATATTCCAAGACACATAATGGCTTCTGAAGGTTTTCATTTGTGACCCTATCCTTCCTTGGAAGACTGACCATTTTATTCTCATGTAGTGTAGTCAGCATAGTGACATCTCGCCGATCTTTCCATTTAACCACCAACATGTTTTCACTGCTTCTCCAATCACATTCACCCCTCTTAAGTTTTTTGTCTAAAATTGGCATTTCTTTCCTATTTTGTTTCACGGTCCCACATGAATTGGTTTTATTTTCAAATAGAAATGTTGACAAAGTTGGACTGGTATAAAAGTTGTCAGTAAAAAGAGAATGACCCTTGTTCATGTATGGTTGTAATAGATTACTGACAATTTCACCTGTAGCACCCAATCCACGAGTATCTTCTTGTGTGCCTTTGCCTACGTACACTATAAAATCCAAGACGATGCCAGTCTCACAATCACACAAGACATACAGTTTGATTCCGAACCTATGTCTTTTTGTTTTGATGTATTGACGAAAACTGAGGCGACCTTTGAAAAGGGCCATACTTTCGTCAATAACCAAATGTTCGAAAGGATAAAACTGGGATTTGAAATTCTCTTTTAGAACGGTCAAAATATTTCCAAATTTCCCCAATCGATTGTGAGGCTTTACCTCCTCATTATTAGCGAAATGAAGATAGCGATGTATCTCGCAATATCTGTTTCTTGACATAGTCTGTCCAAAAACGGGAGTGCTGAGTAAGATATCTTGGGTCCAGTACTCTTTGATATTCAGTTTCTTTAAACGTGTCATAAGCAGAGTTACAGCGAAAAATACGTAAAGTTCTGGAATGTCAACGCTTTTCCACTTAGGTGCATCTCTTTGAATGGCATACCTATTTGTTTCGATGGCAATGACGTTCATAATATTTTCAGATAAAAGACTCAAAAAGAAATCTACTTCACTGCTTTGATCATTTAAACTAACATTTCTTAATCCGCTATTAGTACTGTCAAATGCAAAAACTTGCGGAATAAACTCTTTGTCCGTCCATTTTATTTCTAACCTCGTACGTTCTCTAATAATATCCATTCTCTCGTCTATTGCTGTCTCAGGTTCCAAGACCGGCGTTTGAGATGAATCATGCTTGTTGTCTTTACCTTCAGACACTTGCAAGTAGTCGTCCTCTGAAGATTCACCTTCCGAGCTGGGAATAAACTCGCTTCCACTGTCAGCAAAGGGATCTTCTGGCTCATCCTCATCGGAGCTCATAAGATATTGTGAAAGATTTCGGACTTCCTCCGGGGTCAGCCCACAATAGCCCGCACCTGCATTATTTCTTTTACGCTTATTTCGTCCTTTTCGACCGTCAGATGTACTGGGTTCAGCGTTATCCATCTCGCACAATGAACAGAACAACACAAGAGTCAAACACAAACTAACTATGTCTACAATGTCCCAATAACAACACGAAACTGTTTCAAACCAGTCATAATAAGTAGATTTGCCTGCTCCACGTGTTCGACGCCGAACTCCCCCGAGCGTCCACCGTCGCCCATGTTCGACAGTGTCGGATTCTCAAGCCATTGGTCTGTGGGGAAATGCAGTGCTGAGCGGATTTAGCCGACACTGGTCCCTGTGAGAAGTTTAATTTTTAAAGGTGTCGTAAATGATCGACATTGGTTTTACCAGTTTGTTTCACCCCTGTCGTATACAGCCGACACTGGACCTAGGGACAAGTTTCTTCCTGTCGGAACTTGCCGTCAGCGGTACCGAAAGGGTTAACAAAGTTCGGCTATACAAGATGGTTATCAGATCAGCAATCACTTACGCATGTGCTGCATGGTGTTTTCTTGCCAAAACGCATATGCGTAATCTGCAGGTTTTGCAGACCACAACTTTGCGAACCATCACTATAGTCAAGCGGAATCGCACAGCAACCTTCTGTTGCGTGAGTCAGTAGACTACACAGTCGAGCAATTTCGCAAGCACACGACCGCGGCTCTCACTGTGATCAAAATCAAATCGTGCAATTCTATATCCAATTACGATTTTTGCCACACATAAATTAATTTTTGGATTAATTTAAATCAAGCGAATACCAGTTAACAACAGCAAGGCGCACTTCACCCTCTTTGCTCTTCCCCCTTCCTTCCTTTTTTTCTTCTTCCTTTCTTTCTCTCTGACGTCGTCAGGTATCTGGGCAACCAGATCTGACAGACCTACTGACCTACGATACTTTAACAAAGAGCGAAGGTCTCACGGAGTGCTGGCATTAAAGTAGAGCATTTTGTGCATTGAATCGCTTATAACTCAACTCCAATCATCAAAACGCATAGTATGCTATATAAATCTTTTTGAAAGGATCTCTCCGAGTGTGTAATAAAAAATGCAATGTTCTTTTGACAAAGTTATCAGAATTTGCCATTCTTTTAAACAGCATGTCCTATATGCAATTTACTGCACACTCAAGTAGAACCTTCTAGATTCAATATATACTAAGTGACATATAAATCCGAACACCCAGTTTAAATGGTTTTATTTTAATGAAAGTTGGTGAATGTATTTATCTTACTGTAAATAACAAGTGAAAAAATTTTCAGCCTTGTCAGTTGGACATTCCGGTTTTTATACTGCTTTTTTTTTAATTCACTAACGCTCTAAAAATGAATATTTTAGCCGCAGTAAAGAATCAACGTTGGCGGATTTTGGTTCTTGACATCCTTTACGATCGGTTACGATGCCTAGAAAACGGAGACCTGTACGATTTCGTCAACTTAGTGAGTTTGATAGGGGCCGTATAGTGGGACTTCGGGAAGCTGGACTTTCTTTTCGGGCAATTGCAGTTAGAGTGCAAAGAAGTGTAGACACTGTGGTTAGGTGTTGTCAGGCATGGCTTCGAGAAGGCCGTACGCAAAGAGCAAGGGGCACTGGACGCCGCCGTAGAACAACAGACCGTGAAGATCGCCGCCTAAGATTATTGGCCTTAAGGGACCGTTTCTCCACTACCAGGTCCATTGCAAATGGATGGTTTGCAGAACACGGAAGACCTATTGGCATGCGAAGTGTTTACCGACGAATGAGAAGTTTTGGCTTGTTTTCATACCGGCCACACTGGGTCCTCCCTTGAACTCGAGAACACCGACGTAATCGCCTTGAGTGGTGCAGACAACGGTCACTCTGGGATCAGGAATGGAACAGTATTGTCTTTAGTGACGAGTCTCGATTTTGGTTAGGCATGCACGACGGTCGTGCCGGGGTTAGAAGGCGACGTGGTGAAAGGAGGAATCCACAGTTTTTTGTTGAAAGACATGTTCATCACACTGTTGGAGTTATGGTTTGGGGTGCTATAGCTTATGGTTCCAGGTCACCTTTAATCTTCATCAGAGGTAACATGAACGCGCAGCGTTATATCCACGAAGTTCTAGAACCCCATCTTTTACCCTATCTTGACACCCTGGCAGATCCAACTTTCCAACAAGATAATGCCCAACCACATGTTGCAAGAGTCACAATAGACTTCTTTGTTGAGTTGGTGGTTGCCTGGAATGAGATACCACAGGAGGACATTGACCACCTGATCAGAAGCATGCCTAGGCGCGTTGGAGAATGCGTAGCACATCAGGGTGCATCCACACATTATTAAAGGTCAAAGGGCTTTATAGCAGTGCAATCATTTTGAAATTTTTATGATTTACTTATTATGCTTCATTAAGTACTTATACAAAATTTTATTAAAATAAAACCATTTAAACTGGGTGTTCGGATTTATATGTCACTTAGGCTCAAATTAGACGCTTCGTTAGTCCGCCATTTTAAAAGTTCTGTTCAGAAGCTTCAAAATGAGGAATCACAAGCTCCCCCCAAAAAATGTCAACAGTCAATTTTACGTTAAATTATATTTTCATGCATCAACTTTTCGATCTTCTTAACTTAATCCGTTCAAATAGTAAGTCGAGGGCAGGACCTTTCTGGAAAGTACTGTATAATAAAGGAAGCGTTGCTCCACTGCGCTTACAATCAAAATAATAGTTGAAACAAATCAGCAGACAATTGTAACGGGACTTCAACTTTTTTTAATGTGAGCGCAGTGGATTTAAATTCAGAGTTCATATACGGATTTTTTGTAAATTTCAGAACAACAACTTCATAGGTATGGGACTAGAACATGGTTTTTTAAAGCTTGCCTATTCCATAGAAGATGGTAATAGAACTGTGATAGAAAGACCACCTTATCCACCAGTCAATGATGGATTGTGGCACAGTGTTGTTGTAATGTTTTATCCTGTGTCAATGGCTATAGATGGCAAACATTTCGCCCAGGAGCTAGCGAGGTGAGCACACATTTCATTCTTATACATGATTTCTCATAATACCGAGACACAAAAATATTATTTATAAAAATTGAAAATTATGTGAATAAAACGTAGACAAATCATGAAAGAATGAAATAAAAGACCCAAATTGGAAGCGATCTTTACCCATCTGTTTAATATATGAAAAGTATTTATCAAATTAAGTATATTAAAGAATATATCGCAAGTGGCTTCGCCCACAAATTCCTGGCGACACTATGATTAACTAAAAATTGAAAAATGACGCGATTTGCCTGCCAGGCAGACCCGCCTGACTTCGGCGTCCTATCGTAATCGTGTCGAACTTCGTATATCCAGAACTGGTCGATACGTCCGCTCATTTGCACCGAGGGTATCAAGATTGTGGAACAATCTACAAGAGGAAGTTTTTCCCAGTTCTACTAATTTTAGGCAGTTCAAAAATCGGATTAACGAAACTTCTTTGGGATCCTCATAGCAGTCGTGGTGTCTTGGCATTTTGGCTTCTGCTTGCGCGGCTGCTTCGGTGGAAAAAGACTAACCGAGCCTATAGAATATGCAAATGTCCGAGGTCCGAGCTACGAATCCCGTGGGATAGAAGAGAAGCCATTTAAGCGAGTTAGCCTTACTAGAGGAATATGTTTAGCACAAACTAGACTCTCTAAGAAAAAAGTCAGTCAAACAGGTTCTTAGTCCATAGATGTTCTTTCCTTGCCCTACCGGTAGTGCATCGTCTAACTCGGGCAGACTAGGGACCACGATAGCGCAGCCAGAGCATAGAAAACACTATACATGGTGTTCATTTGAAAACTTCCCACCACGGATTTATCGAAATCCACTGAATGAAAGAAAAAACGCCAAGACACGTCAAAAGATTTGTCAATGGGGACAACTGTTCAAACAAAATCTACTTCACCCCCTTTCACTCTGCCCTTAAAAATTTTAAATGACAAGGAATATCGAGTAATAGCTTGTTTGAAAGGTCTTTCGAAGTTCTTAATTTTGACGTTTGATGAAAATGGGTCGATTCGTTTTCAAGCAGCTTTCGATGATGCGTTGACGATGCTCATCCAAAATTTCAACTTGGAGAGTAAACACAATAGAATTCAAATGGTCCCACAGAAAAAAGTCTAATGACGTCAAATCAGGAGATCTAGCAGGCCATTCTATAGGCCCTCTTCGCCCTATTCATTTATCTGGAAACTCGTCGCCTAGCCAGTGCCGAACCGGAAGAACATAGTGAGGAGGAGCGCCGTCTTGCTGGAAATATACTTAAGCCTCATCAAGTATAGGGTTTCCATCCTCTTCGATTTGGTTTTCAATTGTTTCAGTGATAAACGGATTGATGGTATTTTCCAAAATATACAAATAAATATCTCCATTCAAATGTCCATTAATAAACAATGAACACCCTACTTACCGGCATGCCATTCCATAACAGAATAATCATCACGGTCGACGCATGACCATGCTGGGACTGTATAAATCTACCAGCATAAAAAAATTCAAATAAACACCGACCACCCCCTCTGGATCCTCTGAAACGTCAAAAAATTAAGTTTGAGCTACTTTTGTTCTATTCGCTTTAGACCTTTTCCTCTGCCGCTACTGGACGAAAGTCTCAAGTTATAGACCGTTTTTCGTGATGTCATATAACATCCTAAAAACATAATATCCCAATTTTGAAATTTTCTGCAATTACAATACTTCATCGTCAGTAGGCGTGGGAAGTAAAAAGAAAAACGCAGTACACAAAGTTGTTTCAAACGATTTACTGAGCAGTTAGACAATAAAGAAAATAATATTTTAATACCCTGTTTAGTACGGTGGGTTACAGTTTGAGTTTTGTCATTTGTTGACAAATACATACTTCAACTTTTATTTATTGGGGATAAAATGCCTTTCAAAATACAAGGCGTTGTCGAAATTTTAAAACTTACTGCGTTTTCCGTAGCTTTTATAACTTATTTTTTTTAAAGAAAAACCCAGTAATGCAGCCAGACCAGGGTATCGCCGGCGGGCGTTGAACCGGCAGCATGTTGGCTTGTTGACGTTATTTTCCATTCATTTCCGAAGATATATAATACAGTTTCAAAAAAAGCATGTGTACTTGTTACTTTGAAAATATCATCATCACTAATTTTGTTATATTCTATTTCAAATCATTGATGGAAATACGGAAGTACGCTATTGGGAATGTTTTGATGACGAGTGAGTGGCGTTTGCATAAACAATAGTCAAATCACAACTGTTGACTTGCCAACTGCTTACAACAAGCCTAGAAATCTGTGAACGTTTATAGAAACCAAAACGCTCAACTTACATATTGCCAGTCCGCTATTTTGAAAGATAGAGATTTTGCATTTTAGGTTGCAAAGTGGTACTTATAAAGAGCTCCGAAATAAGGTGAACATGATTTCCTATTCCATTAAAACATGTCGTCATTAAAATATGCCGTCAATTTCAGCATCCCAAATTTCAGCTCGCAAATTTCACCCCTTCTAAAAATAATAAGATGGGGACCTTTCTGAAAAATACTGTAGAGGACCTGCCTCTACATACTATATATCATTTCATCATTATTAATTCATTAAGTTCAGGACAATCTCAAAACACTTATAATAACCGATTGAAATTTCAGGTATCCAAATATAACTACAAATGGTGTGTTCTACATAGGAAATATACCTAATATAAACTCAAGTCTTATAGAAGAAACTCATGGCATGTTCACGGAACCGTTCGAGGGGTGTATAGAAATGTTTGGTAGCAATAACGACTTCGTAGATGATTTTAATAAAATTGATGGAAGAAATGTTGATAGTTGTGATTTGTTTTGAAATAAAAATGTTTTGTTGTTTTTTATCCATATTAGTTTTATTAGCTTGAAACTTATCCAGCAGTATAAAACCCTTTTCAAAAAGTTTTGCGCTCCAGGGATCGATAGGGGACTAGTGTTGTCCGTACCAGTTTTCAGCTACATAGGTATTTTCCCTACGCTGCAGTACTTTGGTTATTTGCCTTAAGAAGAAAGAAGATCTGATTTACCGGGATCTACCACTTTGCCCTATCCAGCTATATTTTGTTGTACTCATAGAGATCTGTAATATCCGATAATAAATCTTTTGTAAGATATCAAGTTGGGCAACTCGGTCAGATCAAGTTTTTATCGTTAAACGCAGCTAGATTTTGGATTATATAGAGTTCGATTAGTCACCAATGAAAAATCGTGTACTACGAGTACAACCGCGTTTTAACGGGGCAAGTACTTTTTGAACACACCTTATATGTAATATCATGCATTATACGACAATTATAATAATATAACATTGTAATTTGATACAAAATCATCGTTAAATAGCGCTTTCACAAGTGCTCGATATCAATCATGGTTTTTGAAAACACGGATAAGTACTAATGATCTAATAATAATATTGTATACGCGATAAACAAATATTTAATTACATTGCATATACAACTTATCATTTTATACACTCAAAACTGGTGATTTTAAGTAAATCTGTTATCATATTTTTGTTTGTAGTACGCCACACGCGAGTTCACTCGCATAGAGAAGACGTTGATCAACAAGGTTTGTAATTATTATTATTACTATTTACAAATATCAAACAGCAGTTTGTTTCATGTTCTAATACCGTATAAGGAACCCTGTTCAAAAAGGCGCCGTATAACAATATTGAGATTTTGTATAAATATAACGCTAACGTAGCGTAGCATAAAAAAATAATATAGTTCTTAAGTAGGCGTTATAGTTTAGTATTTCCGATTTTACACCAAAGGCTGCATGCACTAGAACTCAGCTGACTCTTGCAGTTATCGTAATTTTACTTTAGCTCAACTACCATCCAAATAACTGGTGCTGGCGGCCCAAAGCATGAATTTAAGTGAGAAAAGTGGTAATTTCAAAAAAAGTAGTGAAAAAGTGCGTTAATTTTCTGAGAAATTGAATATTATGATGCCAAATTTAAACGGATAATATAATCTTTATGAAAAAGACGAGAATAACTCTCATAAGGTATTTGTTACTGTTCAATTGACGTAAACAAACAATTATTTATATGTATGCATATTTCAAGATCAAATGCATACGATGCATAAAAGAAAGATAAAAACATAATTTTGTAGATACGGTAGTCCATTAAGTATCCTTTACCAATTTTACATACATTAATTTGAGCGAACAATCTGATGTCAAAAAATTGAAATATCATATAGTTATTACAGATTACTATTTTTACACAATAATTGACTAACTTAATCATGACACTGTAAGACTACTTATCCTTAGGAATCAAGCTAGGCTTTATTAGATGGGTTCCCATGACCACTTCCTGGCTTCATCATCAGATCATCTCCATGTCATAATTATATTACATTGTCAATTGTCATACTAAACATCCGCCATAATATGAGGGTGACATACTATATAACAGTTACTGGTTCAAGGCTTGTAAAAAGTGCCACTATTAATTTATATTGAAATTCCAGCTCAAATTAAGCCAGGAGAAAATGAAAACGGTTCAGGGTACATTAGTATTTTCTGTCTCTCCAAAAATACTCGGAATTGCCAAACTATCTAAGTAACACTTTATTAGTTACCTAAATGTGCAACTTTGCCTCCATAAACGAATTTGTATTGTACTGCTTACCGTTTACGAATTTGAAATCCCCAGTTTATATACAGTGCTTTTCTTTAATGTCCCCCTCCCCTTTGATTCTTTGAACGGATCAATTTAAAAAATTAAAACTTAAGGTAATGAAATTGATGCGTTGATACCACATTTTAGAGTAAAATTGACAGATGAAACTGTCAAAATGACCGCTGGGCGCTATCTTGGAAAAACATTATATGAAAACGGGGGTCTTGTGGCACATCATTTTGAAGCTACTGTCGAGTACTTTATAACCTTATAATATAAAGTCAATACCTACTACAAAATCGTGGTACATTTATTAATTACCTAAATACATTGACATTTAACTTGATAATTCGAATAAATACGTTGAGTTCAGGTTAGAAGATGCTGGAAATGGTTGCCTTGAACTTCTTGACCCGGTCCGTAATTTCGCGTCCAACATTTTCAAACATAGTAACATCGATATTTCTCTCAATATTTGTTATTCTCAGCCGTACATCCAATATTGAAGCAGGTTCAGTTTCGTACACCTTTTGCTTCAAATAGCCCCATAAAAAAGGTCTAAAGGTGTCAAATCTGGCGACCGAGCTGGCCATTACACAGGACCTCGACGGCCAATCCAACGACCGGGGAAATTGTTATCTAAATAATTCCTAACTTATCTGTAGTAGTGTGGTGGAGCACCATCTTGCTGGAATACAATATCAGTATCGAATTCATTAGGATTCGCTTCGACGATTTCGGTGATTAGAGGGTCAATACTATTTTCCAGCATATCCAAATACAGGCCCCATATTAATTGTATTCTTCGATCAGGGTCATCTTCAGTTAGCTGATGTACCATTTGAATTTTGTATGGGTGATACTTTTTCAAAAGTCTCCATACAGTAGAAGGACAAACCTCACATACACTCGCGATGGAGGAAGTGGACTGTTGGGAATTTACTATGATCCCACCAATTATTTGAACTTGCTTTCCTTCCGGGATGGTCGGATGACCTGGGGGCGTGTTGTTGTTTACACTAAGAGTAACTGTAAATTTAGATACAAGTTTCCTTAAATCTTTTCTACAGATAGGACGATTCGGGAAACGATCATTAAAACTCCTTTCGCTCTCGTGAAAGTTACGCGTCGCACCATAAATAAAAATTGCTACGATTTTTTCTTCCGATGGACGAGAATTAACCATTTTAAAAATAGTTCAAACAGTATCTAGCACTGAAACCAAAAACTAGATGAGAATATTTTAACTGTACAATGATGTTTGTTTTCCTACTGATATTCTTGTAACTGTCAAGAAAAAATAACAAAACAAGTTTTTATCGCTATTGCTGTGGATACGGCAGAGAATTACAATTATTTGTTGAGATATGCATGTTAGTGGGTTTGTGTCCAAGTGATTATTAAATGTACCACCATTTTGTAGTAGGTAAAGGTATTGACTTTATGTTCTAGGGTTAAGGTACTCGTTAGAAGCTTCAAAATGATGTGCCACAAGACCCCCGTTTTCATATAATTTTTTTTCCAAGATGGCGCCCAGCCGAGTTTTAATTTTTTAAATTGATCCGTTCAAAGAATCAAAGGGGAGGGGGACATTAAAGAAAAGCACTGTATATAGAGTGCTTTTATCAAAGTTTAATTAAAATTTTACGTAGATTTCAAGTATGTAATACACATTAGCTCAGCTTGGGGAGAGCCCTGTACACGAACAACCTAGTCATAGTTAATTTTTATAAAAAAATTCTCTTGATTTGATTTGGCAGTGCTTGAGAGGAGGACAGCTCCTTTGATATCATCAAAATTTTAAAAATTGTGCTTTTCGTAACAGTCTAAGACTGAGCTATCAAGTTAAACGATCAGCGGCGATCTACGCTCATAGAAACCCCTTTTTCACGACTATCTGTAATAACAGGTATCAGATAATATCACTAATGCTATACCAGACAACATCAATGTTCTGTTCATTTTCCAAGATTCAATATTTTATCTATTTCTACTCATTTTAGTCTATGCCGAGTAATAGCGAACTCATGTAAGTAATTCATACATATATATTTTAAACGTCTTTGAAATCGACATTTGTGATTAATTATTTATTTATGAAAAATATTACAGAAACTGTAAATAAAGTTGTACCTCTTGAAAAAACTCAAACCCGCAAACAACCGTGGATTAATAGGTTCGTAATCCAAGCCCGAAGAGACAGGGACGAAGCTTATAAAAAGTTTAAAATAACCAAATTAAATTCAGACTGGAATCTGTATAAGAAAAAAAGGAACATTTACGCTCGTGTTATTCGAAACGAAAAGAAAATGAAATTACTATTGACCAATGCAAGGGGGATAGCAAAAAAATGTGGTAAACTTTAAAGCAAGTTGTAGGCAGCAAAAAACAAGAATGTTCTGTCATATGATAATATTGAATTTGAGGAAGATGCTGGATCTGTTCAAGAAAATTTTAACACTTTTTATGCAAAAAGCATAAAGGAAATAGCCGACAAAATACCAAAAGTTGCACCGACAATTCAAGAATTGCCAGTGTTAAGTGATGGTCTGTCAAGCTTCAACACTATAAGCATTGATCAACTTAGAAAAAGGGTGATGGACCTTAAAAACAAGTCAACAGCGGATGATATTTGTAATGTTAAGTTTTTGAAAACGGCTTTTTGTGTACTCGGATACCTTTTGCTTCACTTGATCAATGCATCCCTTACAACAGGAAAAGTTCCAAAAGCAATAAAAACTAGTGTTATAGTGCCTATTCCAAAAGTGTCCTCATCAAATAAACCAGCACAATACCGACCCATTAACTTGTTACCAGTGATAGACAAAATCTTGGAAACCGTGGTTTGTGCGCAGTTACGGGAGTTTCTGGAGGCAAGAAAACTGTTGTTTAAGGGACAGTCGGGATTTCGGGAAAAACACTCGTGCGAGTCGGCGCTGCAGTATGTCTGTTCGATATGGCGTTCATACATTCATGACGGGAATATTGTGTTAAGTGTATTCATCGACCTTCAACGTGCATTTGAGACTATTGATAGGAAAAGACTGATCCAGAAATTGCAGACCTATGGGATTACAGACAGTGCACTAAAATGGTTTATGAACTAGTTGAAAGACCGTTGTCATGTGACGAAGATTAATAACGTGGCGTCAAATTCAACTGATAGTGAAATTGGGGTACCTCAGGGTGGTGCGTTGGGCCCGCTTTTGTTCCTACTTTATATAAATGGCTTGAACAGGGTTTTAGTAAATACATTTCTGAGCTTATTTGCAGACGATACATTGCTTTATGTGTACGGTAAGGATTTTAGACAAGTTGTAGATAGTATGAACTCAATACTGGAAATTCTGTATAACTGGTTATGTGTGAATAGGCTTAAGTTGAATGTAGAAAAAACAAAATACATGGTTTTTGGGACAAAGCAGAACTGTAATACATTTTTAGAAAAGAAATTTTGTATTGAGATAGATAATATTCAAATTGAAAGTGCATCTAGTATGAAGTATTTGGGCGTAGTTTTAGATCCTCAGCTAAATTTTTCATTGCATGTTGATTATGTTAGTAAACAAATTGGGAAAAAAATAGGATTTTTTAGGCGAATATCTGAAAGTCTTAGTCACTGGAGTCGTCTTCTTGTATATAATACCATCATATATCCACATTTTAATTATTGTTTTTCATTGTTGCTATCATGCAAAAAACTGATATTCAAAGGCTCCAGTTACTACAAAATAAGGCTATGCGCACTATATTATTTTGTACACGTTATACGCCTATTAATTTAATGTTAAAAACCCTCGGATGGCTTTCAATACAGCAAAAGGTTGAAATGTCAAATGTCTTATTTATTTTTAAAACAAAAAATCATTTATTGCCTGAATACTTGCAGGAATATCTAATACCGAGGTCCGAGAGGCATGCATATAATATCAGGTCACGTAATACTTTTGACATAGAATTCGCTAGAACATCCCATATGCAAAAATGTCTTTTTAGTGATGGTTTGAGACTTTTTAATGCATTACCTACAGACATTAGAGAAGCGACGTCTGTAAATATATTTATTCGTAAGGTTAAGCAATTGTATCTAGATAAAATGGCATAATATATGTACTTTCTGTGTTAAGATAACTGTATGTCATTATCTCGCATTTGCTATTGTTGCATTTACTGTGGTTGCAGTTACTATGATTTTAAGGGAATCTAGAATTACTATTTTTTGTTTATTACTGGAGTAAGACACTATTATAAACTATAGGAAGTAGCTTTAGGGCTAAGAATAATAAACATTTCATTTCATTTCATGATGAAAGTTAACAAGTAAACAACAATCACAACAATCCAAGGTTTGATACGTGTTATTTTTGATGGTTCGAGGATGAACCCGTATTAAAAAATGGATTTCGCGTTTCATGAAAAAGTAGGCAACTGTTAGGTGGGTTTGCCACTCGACCATCGATATGTTTATTGTGTCTAGAGCGAGAAAATGTTTAACAGCTTTGCGAGTTTGAAAGCGGGCGAATAGTGGGCTTGTATGAGGCCGGTTGGTTCTTTAGGTTGCGCAGACTCGGCACGATGGTTGTTTGTTTTCGGGAGTTAGGAAGGCCGTACAAGAAGAGTTAGAGGGTAGAAGAACTACTCCTCGCCAAGATCGCCGCCTTAGGCTTTTGGCTCTACAGGACCACTTCTCGTCCACAAGGTCAATTGCGGACCAATGATTTGGACACCATGGAAAGCCTATAACAATGCAAATTGTTTATCGTCGGATCAACAGTTTGGACTTAGTCCATGCCCTGCTCAGTTTGTCCTGCTTCTCACTCCCAGGCACCGAAGTGATCGGCTGGCTTGGTGACGAATCCAGATTATCTTTGGAGATGCATGATGGCCGTGCAGGGTTCAGAAAGCAACGAGGTGAAAGACGATATTCTCTTTTCTATAGAAAGGCATGTGAACCACACACTGCTGGAATTATGGTAACGGGGGCTATTGCTTATAGAAGAAGGTCACCGTTTTTTTTTTATATCGAAACAGCCGCGCGGGCAGAAGCCTAAATTCCGGAACACCGCGGCTGCTATGATGATCCCATAGAAATTTTGTTAATACAATTTTTGAACTGCCTAAGGTTAGTAGAACTGGGAAAAGTCCTCTTGTAGATTGTTCCACAATCTAGACACCCTCGGGACAAAGGAGCGGTCGTATCGGCCAGTTCTGGATGTACCAAGTTGGACACGGTTAGGATGGGACGCCGAAGTCAGGCGGGTCTGTCTGGCAGGCACATCGCACGGCAGCATCATGAAAGAGAGCTCTGAGGAGCAAAGCACGTTGGTGTAGCGATAGAAAGGAGCTAGATCGCCGACGGTCCGCCGGTGCGAAAGAGTCCCGAGACTGTGTGTTAGAGAAGAGTCACCGTTAGTGTTCATCAGAGTTGGTAGCATTTTTAAGACAATCAAGTCGATTTGTTGCCATGGCCCTTAAAGTTCTCGCATGGGTATCATGTAAAAAACCTATAAAACGTCAAAAAAAACCTATAAGATGTCATCTTGAAAACTAAGTAGTTTTTAGGGCGCAGACATTCATTCCACGTTTGCTCACTAGGAGGAATCACTCAACTAAACTAAACGCATTATTGGTTGTATATGTTTTGTGAGGCCGAATGGTTCTTGTTTGTAGTTTTTATCTCTGAGAAGAAAGTTGGTTGAATAGCAAGATCGCATCTGGATGATTATGTGTATTTGTCTGCATGTGTATAAAATCAGTGATATTTGCTGTGTGAGAAAATCATTACATATGCTGCCAATGAAGTATATCTATTGGCTGTACCCGACGGGTTATTTTTATGTTGTGCTTTCTGAAGAGAGGTTATGTTCAAAGTTATAGATTACGAAAAGCTGAGGAGAATTACAGGAAATCATCACCGCGCTCGCGTTGTGTGCAATTACTGTTACCATGTATATGGCTTGTAATTCGACAGTGTACAGTGAATATAATTATTTCTTATCTCTCTCATTTTTGAAATTCAACAAATTTGTATATGTAATTTCCAGAATGGATGAGAAAAAGTGGATGCGCAACTAGCTTTGAATCTCAATTAAGTATATTTATGACAACAATCCAATGTAATTATCATCAACACATACAACTTACAGCTTAGACCTCCAGTCACGCCATCTCAGAAGCAGATTTTACATCACATCGGAGTCAAAGATTGATAACAAGCCTCATGGCGTTTAGGCAACAAGTACATCTAAGTGCTAAGTTAATACCTTGTAGAAAAACCTACATAATGTCACTTCTCAAGTTACGTGATCTTTTACACATTAAACATGTCTATGACATTATCGGAAAAATATTACTCCGTTTATCCCATTCCTCACAGACTCCAGCGTTACTTCGGAACGAGGTACAGGTAGCCTGGGATGAGCTACCTCCAAGAGGAAATGGATCATCAAATTTGGAGTATGTCCAGACGAGTTTGTGATTACATAAGATATCTTGGAGGCCCAACAACTTCGTTTCTGACATTTTATCGAATCGTTGAATTTTTTTGAAATGTTGGTCAATTACCCACCATACCCTTAGAGACATCTATACAAAAATTGTTGTAATGAATTCAATATTACCGGGTGTTCTTTTTTTCTATAACACTTCGCATAAAATATCTTATTGAGATCTGAATTTGAAGACCCTAAATAAGAAGTAGATAACTTTCTCTCAGTAATTATGTCACTCTTGTCAAACAGACCCATAAAATTAGTCTATACTCGGTAGTCCCCACCCATCTGATAGCGCTAACGCTAGTTTCTTTCCTGTCCTGTCACACCAGTCAACCATGCCATAAGCGCCAGCCACGATACTATAACTAGCGGAAAGGAACTATAACTCAAGATCGAGAAAGACGGCGATGTAGCTAAACGCACACAGGGTTTGGCACATGATGGTTGCCAAAGTCCCGACCGACCTCCTGTCGTGTATGTGAATATTTTAGTTTTAAGGGCAAATGTACGGGGAAACCTATATGTGGAGAATCTACTAATAGGTGCGTAAAATTACCTCGACTGTTTTACCATCCAATATTTTTTCCTGAAAATGATCAGAGGCTTCTGGATTATCAAAAACGCAATTAGAGCGATTTTTATTTTCTCGTTTTTGCCATTCACGCTGCTGACACTGGACCGATTTTCAAAAGCTACAAATCTCTTTCGTCCTCGGCACATTAGTTCTGGCATGTGAAAATTTCATCAAAATTAGAGCGGCACCTTCCAAGATATACCTAGACAGCAAAGGATTAGCGGACAGACAGACGGACGGAAATGTGTAACATGGTTTTTCATTATGCACATGCCATAATAACATCCAAAAAAGCATAATATCTCATTTTTCGTGACTGAATTACTTCTTTGGCAGTAGGCATCGAAAGTAATAGCGCTCTATTCCATAATATCCTGTATAACGTATTTATGGCATTGGGGCTGCTTTTTGGAAAAAAAAATTTTGTCATTAGATTTCCAGAACATATAAAAAATATTGTTAGGATATGTACTTTCAGCAATGCTGTGACATTTATCCAAGGTTTTTCCGTATTTTGGCTACACTCGAGCTATTGAACTTTGATAAAAATATCGAATATTATTAACTTCAATAGAAAATATCATATATTTTTGTGTTCCAGAGTCAAAGGCCGCGAAAACAGTTCTCTTTAGCACGCGTCTGATGTTTTTATCTTTTAGAAAATGACGTGGTTATTTCTTAATAAAAATCCAATGCTATTAAAAGGAATGTCCACATTTCTATTTACAGATGGCACTAACGACATCTCTGCTGCTAGACACCGCCATATTGCTCACAATCATAATCTTCCTTCTGTACAAATTCTATACAAGGAACAACAACTTCTTCAAGAAACGGGCAGTCAAACATATTCCTCCTACACCTTTCCTAGGCAACTTTGTGGAAGTGCTGTTCCTGAACAAACATTCAGCAGTATGGATAAAAGACTTGTACGACAAGTTCGGCGACGTGCCATATTTTGGAGTATATATATTCGATGTACCATATCTGGTGATCAAATCCCCAGAGATAATTAAGAACATTGTTGTGAAGGATTTCCAGCATTTCGTTGACAGAACGATGGCATCAGCTAGACATGATGCGGTTCAAACCAACATGATGTTTTTTCAGGTATCATGTCAATTTACCGATAAGAGATAATACAGTATCTTACTAGCAGTATAATATACGGGCCCCTTTCCACTTCAGTTGGCCCAACTATTGAAATCTTAGTTTTTTTCTTATCAAACACAAATAATAAAAATGTAGCACGGTGTTATAGGTTTAAAATATACTAAGTGACATATAAATCCGAACACCCAGTTTAAATGGTTTTATTTTAATAAAATTTTGTATAAGTACTTAATGAAGCATAATAAGTAAATGATAAAAATTTCAAAATGATTGCACTGCTTTAAAGCCCTTTGACCTTTAATAATGTGTGGATGCACCCTGATGTGCTACGCATTCTCCAACGCGCCTAGGCATGCTTCTGATCAGGTGGTCAATGTCCTCCTGTGGTATCTCATTCCAGGCAACCACCAACTCCTCTCGAAGTGCTTCTAGAGTCTGAGGAGGACGTGGCAAATTGAACAATCTCCTACCCATCATATCCCACACGTGCTCAATTGGGGTGAAGTCGGGAGATCTTGGTGGCCATGGTAACAATGTGACATCATTATGTTGAAAGAAGTCTATTGTGACTCTTGCAACATGTGGTCGGGCATTATCTTGTTGGAAAGTTGGATCTGCCAGGGTGTCAAGATAGGGTAAAAGATGGGGTTCTAGAACTTCGTGGATATAACGCTGCGCGTTCATGTTACCTCTGATGAAGATTAAAGGTGACCTGGAACCATAAGCTATAGCACCCCAAACCATTACTCCAACAGTGTGATGAACATGTCTTTCAACAAAAAACTGTGGATTCCTCCTTTCACCACGTCGCCTTCTAACCCTGGCACGACCATCGTGCATGCCTAAACAAAATCGAGACTCGTCACTAAAGAGAATACTGTTCCATTCCCGATCCCAGAGTGACCGTTGTCTGCACCACTCAAGGCGATTACGTCGGTGTTCTCGAGTTAAAGGGAGGACCCAGTGTGGCCGGTATGAAAACAAGCCAAAACTTCTCATTCGTCGGTAAACACTTCGCATGCCAATAGGACTTCCGTGTTCTGCAAACCATTCATTTGCAATGGACCTGATAGTGGAGAAACGGTTCCTTAAGGCTAGTAATCTTAGGCGGCAAACTTCACGGTCTGTTGTTCTACGGCGGCGTCCAGTGCCCCTTGCTCTTTGCGTACGGAAATCTCGAAGCCATGCCTGACAACACCTAACCACAGTGTCTACACTTCTTTGCACTCTAACTGCAATTGCCCGAAAAGAAAGTCCAGCTTCCCGAAGTCCCACTATACGGCCCCTATCAAACTCATTAAGTTGACGAAATCGTACAGGTCTCCGCACTCTAGGCATCGTAACCGATCGTAAAGGATGTCAAGATCCAAAATCCGCCAACGTTGATTCTTTACTGCGGCTGAAATATTCATTTTTAAAGCGTTAGTGAATTAAAAAAAAGCAGTATAAAAACCAGAATGTCCAACTGATAAGGCTGAAAATTTGTTCACTTGTTATTTACAGTAAGACAAATACATTCACCAACTTTTATTACAATAAAACCATTTAACCTGGGTGTTCGGATTTATATGTCACTTAGTATAATAACAATGAATATTTTGATAGTATGTAGTAGAAAACGCCAACTTTATCACTCCCTAATCAAATTTGCAGCGTAAAAATAACACATGTTGCAATTACAGCATATCAATGGCTTTTATTAATCTCAGCTGTCAGAATACGTTCAAAATAGTTTTGGGTAGTTAAGGTTTTCAAAATGGGTAGAGGAAAGGTTATTAGTGAGAAAGTTCTGTTACTGATAATTAAATTTTTTAATTCTGGGAAATCAAACTCAGAAATTGAAACTTTGTTAGACTTGTCGCGGTACAGTGTGAGAAATATTGTTAGAAGATATAACGTAACTGGTTCAGTTAATATTAAGCCACGATATGTGAAAAAAAGTAATATCACAAATGCCGATCGAAGAGCATTAAGAAGAATAATCGTGAAAAACAGGCGTGCCAATTATTTACAATTAAGTGCTCTGTGGAGTGACGCTGTTGGAAGGAGAATTTCGAGGTCCACAACTCATAGAGAGGCCCACAAATTGGATTTAGCACTTGCAAGGTAAGTTTTCTTATAAAAAAAGTGAAGTAAAAACCCTAAAGTTGCACAACTTGTTTATAGGCCAAAGAAAAGCCACTATTAAGTCCACTGCAAAAGAAAAATCGACTTAGATGGGCTAAAGAACATAGACAATGGACACCTCAAAAATGGTGTGCAATACAATGGAGTGATGAGGCCCGATTCGAAGTTTGTGTTGGTGACAGTCGCAGTAGAGTTATTCGCAAAAAAATGAAGCATTCCATGTTGACTGTCTGAAGAGAAAAGTGAAATTTCCAGGATCAATTATGGTCTGGGGCAGTATGTCATCAAAAGGAGTAGAAAAACTTCATTTTATTGATTGAAATGTGGATACAAACAAATATTTGGCAATTTTAGAAGAATCTCTTTTACCAGTGATGGAAGAATGTTTGACATCCAGCCAAGATTTTGTGTTTCAGCAAGATGGTGCAGCGTGCCATACCTCAAAAAACGCTATAAAATGGATGGAAGAAAATAATGTACCACTTTTGGAATGGGTTTCTAGCAGTCCAGATCTGTCACCTATTGAAACTTTGTGGCACGAGATGAAAAAGGTTCTACGACAACATTCTGCTCGTACAATCACCGAACTAAGATAAAAGCTTCAAGAAATATGGGAATGTTTTCCACCAATTTTTTGCCAAAACTTGGTTAACACTATGCCCCAAAGAATTTCAGCCGTAATAAGAAATAAAGGTGATGTTACCCAATGGTAATCTTTCAATTGTTGCTTTGTTAACTTCGCGCATTTATTCGCACATTGTTTATTTGTTTAGATGTTCTATCAGTTATAGGTCTAAGTGATTTCAGATATGTATTTTTTACGACTAGAGTGTATCTAAAATGTTTTTGAGAAAATAAATTGTTTTAGAAGTAAATAGTTTCGTCATGTTTAGTTTATAAAGGCATATTTTGGTACAAATCTTGAAGTGGGCCAACTGAAGTGGGAAGGGGCTCGTATAACTAAGGCAACACGGGAAATGTAAATGGCAACACTGGCAGAGCACTGAGCTGCGTTCGTGAATTGCTAAAAAGTGTACTACTCTGTAACTTTTAGCGTTCGTAATTGTTTGACATACCTATTCCCTGCGTTCGGAATTCTGGAACGAAGCATGAAGTAATCCTCCTGGAGCATCAAAAGTGCGCTTTTTCCGTGCTCAAAACCTTAGTAATAAGAGTGTTGTCACTTGTCATTTACATGGCTCGTTGTTTGTTTATTTGTTTATCAAAAAGTGCTCAAAATTGGCAGATATATATTTTTCACGATGAATCCATAGCGTTTCTTACAATAAATACACTCAGTGACATTAGAAGTGTTACACCCAGAAAAAATACTTTCTTTAACTTGATTTTTTGACAATGAAGTAGTCTCACGACAAGAATGAAACAATAACATTCTCACGAAATTTTAGTGACAAGTAATAAGAAAAATAATGTGTTGGGCGGCTCCGCAGCTGAATACACTTCTGTATGCGTCTCTAGGCATCGACAAAATTAGATGATCGATGTCTGGTTGTGGCACCTCATTCCAAGCAACTCGAACTTCGTAGATTAGCTGTGGCAGAGACTGTGGCCGATGGTGCAAAGCGGATAGTCTCCTCCGCATCACATCCCACACGTATTCGATAAGACTTAAATCCGGTGACGGCCACGGCAAAACATTAACACCTGCTTCTTGAAGAAAGTCTGTAGTATGACGAGCAATCTGGGGTAGTGCTGTTAGCGGAGACGGAGCAACTGTAGGAGTAACCGGAGATCGCGGAGCTGGCACCGAACGGTGATATCCGGTACTACTGTAGGAGGTGGGGAGAATCCGGAGGGATACGGAGGTAGGGAGTTAGGGCGATCTCCGGAGGGGAACGAGGCGACTGGTGATACGGAGTCTAGTGCTGTTAACGGAGAGAAGTTATGGGTGTGTGTATGTGTCGCGAATCTGCCATTTGGCCAATTTGAAACTTTTAAATGGCTCCTAGAAAATCGTCCCAAGCGTGGCTCCATTTTGAGCGAATAGATGATAAGCCGGACTCGGCAAAGTGTAAAATTTGCAGAAATGTTTACAAAAGGGGTGGCGGCACAAAGAACTTGTTAGATCATCTGCAAAGATTTCATCGCGTGGTGCTGGAAAATGGAGCGATCGCAACACGTGCTGATGGGGTCGCAGGTGTTTATGAGGAGAACAGTCCAAAACGGAAGGCCCTCGACCGTCATTTCGTGTTGTGGAAGATGACGGATTCGTTCAATTTGTGAAGGCCCTTGACCCACGGTACAAATTACCATGTAGACAAACGATATCTAATGTAAGTATACAGTGTTGTGTGCAGGTTGTCCTAAGTTTACCTGGCAACATAGAAGTTGAAGTCCAAGTGCTCTGCCGCCAATAAAAGTTGCTTAGGGGTAGTGCAGCAGATAGACACGCGCTGTAACAGTAAGCTTGCGATGATACGTCGTCTCATTGAACTCCGCGAGGAGCTAATTTTATGCATGTCTGAATTTCCAAACGCGCCGCAAGGTTTAAACGGTAAGTTGTATATAATTTTTTCCTTTAAATAAAACTACGATTACCTCTTTATTGTTTTTATAGGAGATGACTGGCAGATTTTGGTCCAGCTGGATTCAATATTACGTCCATTTGAAGAGATGACGAGGACGTTGTCTGGTGAGAATTATGTCACGGCTTCTCTCATTATTCCTCTTACTAAGGGGTTGATCCGAATGCTGGACGATATCGACCGGTCTGCTCTCAAATATGAGGTTCAGGAGTTTCTTGACAATATTAAGCAATCGGCGATTGATAGATTGCTGCAATATGAGCAACGCAGCGTTGCAAAAGGTGCAACTCTCATGAACCCCCACTTTAAAAAGAAAGGGTTTGTATCTGAAAATCGGGCAGAGGATGCACGAATTCAAATAGAGGCCGAAGTCAAGACAGAGGTTCAGAGGATGCCGCCACCGACACAACAAGGAGGAAACCTTACCCCGGCTCCATATGTCGGCCTTCTTTCTTACCTAAATCATCAAGGCGAGAGACATTCAACGGCCAGCACTTGCACTGTGGACGCAACTATTCTCGTTAGACAATATGTGGAAGTGCAGCCAATCAACAATCAAAGAGACCCGATAAAGTATTGGTCTAACGTTGACGTTCAGTGTAAACCCCTTGCTCAGGGGCATCATATTATATGTGTGTGCCAGCCACTTCAGTTCCATCAGAACGCCTCTTTTCAAAGGCCGGTTACGTTATTACCGAGCGACGAAATTCGCTATCGCCGGCAAAGGCAAAAATGCTAGTTTTTTTACATGGTAACAGAGCATTTGTTTAAAATGAATATTTTCTCCCTGTTACAGTAACACCTCCATATCTGTTTGTATAGTGATGTTTACTTTGTATTTTGGGGGATATTGTGATATTTTTTCCTTTTTTTTGATATTTTGATATCTATTCTTTTGTATTTTTTGGGATACATTGATATTTATCCCCTTATATTTTTTGGGGTATAGAGACTTTCATCCTTTTATATTTTTTAGATATCGTGATAGTCATTCCTTTAAATTATTTTGGATATGGGGTTTTACTTCATCTATAATTCATAGTTCCTATTACCTATAATGTTTGTCATATATTAAAATCTTTTCCTCCATTTTTCATAACAATCGATCAACATTTCAACTTTATTTGATTCGTCAAATATGTGTCGTGACGTTTCACTTTACAGATGAAATAAATCATACTATTCTTCTTATTTGGGCACATTGAACCTCATTCCTTTCTCACAACCTTTTTCCAGAAATGAAAAAAAAGTTCCTTTTAAAAGTTTTGCCTTGCAGAAAATCAGCCTAAGTCAAAGAACGATAAGCGCACGCACGCCTTCAATACATTAAAAAAATATAAAATATATATTTTTTGTAAGGTGGTACAAATGCACTGTTACGCTACAATCGATGTTTGTAATCCAATTAAAAATAAACTGTGAAAGGGCAAAAACCATTACGTGTAACATATTTTTATCTTATACAAAAAATTCGCAAGGGCTGGTTCGAACCCTCAACCCAAGGGGGAATCATACGATATGCCCTTGCCTTTGCCCACTACGCTACAGCAACTACATCTCATTCGCCGCTCCGTTTCAAAATCAAATCAGTATTCTGTACAGACCAATGAATCCGGTTGTTCTCCGGAGATCTCCGCGAAAAAGCGCGCGTAAACATCCTCCGGAGAAAACCGCTCCGTTAACAGCACTAATCTGGGGACGTACGTTGTCTTGCTGAAAAAGGACGTGTGGACGGCAATCCAGATACGGCAGTTCAGTGGTTTGTAGGACATCATCAACATAACGCGCAGCATTCATATTGACTTGAACAAACAGAAGGGGTGATCGGCTACCATAGGCAATAGCTCTCCAAACTATTACTCCAACAGTCCTGTATAGATGTATCTCAACAGCAAATCCAATATCACGCAGTTCTCCACGGCGGCCTCTTACCCTTCTACGACCATCGTGACAGAATGGCGATTCGTCTCTCAAGATCAGTTCAAATATTGACGACAGTGGTCCGCAGTCAAAGGAGGGGGTATGGGCGGTATGAAAAAAGTCCAAGTGCTCGAATGCAGAGATAGAGTGTACGCATAGTAACAGGTCCACCTTCTTCTTCAAACCATTGGTCAGCGATCTGAAGCGCCTATCTTGACCCTCTGTGGTACGCCTCGGTGATCCAGTTGGCCTTCTTCATGTTGCTCTACCTTCTTCTATCCACACACGCATTACACATTAACACGGCGACCAATTTCGCGATAGGACAAACCAACATCTCTATATAATTCTACACCTGTCGATGTCGCTAACATGGTGATAATTTGGTCGTATTCGAACTCGAGGCATTTTGTTATGCTTAACACTAGTAAATGAAAGGGCAATAACTAAAAATAATTGTAGTACTCAGCTCTCAGAAACTGCTTTCTTCACAAAAACGAGGAGATAACATTTTAACAAAAGGATAAAAGGTTGACATTGTTACCACAGCATGGTTTAAATATAGTCATTATGTTGCCAAAAAAAGTTGAAAAATTTATTTTTTCTGGGTGTAATGTCACTGAGGATATTTATGTTCAGGAATTTTCAATAAAATCATATTCTTAAGTTTCTTGTGACGCGGCCTCAGGAATCGTTTCAAAACCTGTACACATAAATATAGGACATTTGAAAGATGCATATGCTTGCTGGGAAAGTAATGAGTCAATCTAATTGACGTTATTTTTTCAGAAAGGCGAAGAATGGAAAGCAACGAGGTCAAAAATGTCTCCAGTATTCACATCTGGAAAACTCAAAGCTATGTGTCCAATGTTAGTTGCCAATAGTTTTAGACTTGTCGAATACATTAAAAGTCGTCATCAGAAAATAGATTTAGAAGATATGAGTTCCAAGTATGTTGCTGAAGGCATTTTTAGGTATGTGATCTAATCTTTTAGTGTTTTATGATAGAAAAGTGTGTAAAAACGCTTCTTAGCGTCCAAGCGAAATTGTGTAAATTGTCACATTAATGCAGAAACCATCCAGTCCATTTCGACATTTTTGTTTTTTTACAGCAAATGATCGAGACATGATTTATTTAACGCAGAGGGTGCAACTCGAGAGAGAGCTATGAGAGTGGTGTTTTTAAACAGGGCGGGCCATAAGAGTGTTGACGATTTAAATCTTAAATTTCTCGGAAACGCGGGTTGGAGGGGGATAAGCTGTTAACCGCGCCGTTGCAAACGAATAGTTTCAGGAATCACTCTGAACATTTCTGCAAGTTCTTAGCACGTTGTCCTGGAATTTGCATCCACAACCTGTCGAAGATCCTCTTTGTTCATGATTTTTGGTCTCCCTGAGCGCGGTTCATCGCTCAAACTGAGATCTCCCGAAGAAAATTTTTTGAACCACTTCTGTGCTGTAAACAACTTTGAATTACAGTTTTATTCGTCGCCATTTTCAATTATTAAAACTAGGTATGTAACAATTTTCAGCAACTTTTTATGTGTGTGGAAAAAGAAGCATTCATACTAAAGTGACAACAGGTAACAAACAATCGCTATCGATCAACGACATCCATAGCAATGTGCGATATACAGCAACCGCACGAACTTATTTGGTTACCTGATACTTTATTAAAGCGGCTTTTCAATTAGAAGCTTTATGAGCATTGAACGCCCATAATTACTTTTCTAGGGTATTCTTTGGAATGGAGGCACACCTTATGGACGAAACAAATAAAGAATTCGCTGAACTACTGATCAAAACCCAACACCCTTCTTTGAAGATCGCAATAAGCATATTTTGCTATCTTTACCAACATCGTTTCGTTGACTGGTTCAAGCTGACTTTTGGAGATCCCAAGCTGAGGAGTTATTGTGTCGAAGCATTCAGAGAAGCCTTGAAGGCTAGAGAGAATAGTACTTTCAGAGTCAACGATCTCATTGATATCATAAATGACTTGAAGAAAACTAAGGAATTCAAAGATACCTTCGAATTTGGTGAGTAACAGTTACTTTATTATAAGTTGGTTCTTAGCATATGGCCACGCGAAAATCGTACTACCATAAGGAATAAGATAGAATACAAAAAATCTAAGTGTGAATCTCACAGAGGTACTACTTTTTATGTTTTTTTCACCTATTTTCACTTATTCAAATCTATTCCACGACTCTTAAAAATCAGACGTAAAAATGAATAACAGCTATCGTGTATTGACTTTTAAAATACCTCATAACATATGTCCTAAAAGTTTTAGCATTAAATTCATTGGCTTCAATTTTAACACACACAATATAATATCAAGTTACCTTTGTTTACCTACTTTACTGTCAGTTGACATTTATTTATTTTGAATTTTTCGCATTAAGATGTCGTATAAATTAGAAATAAGAAAAAGTTGGTTGGGCGGGTACCCGAAGCTGATATCTGTCGAATATTCCAGAATGAAAATGTTTCACGCAGAACCTTTATCGAGCAACAGTGGAGTGCGAGCAGGGAATACCATGTTTGAATCTCCCAAAAAGTGGAAGACCACGTGCAATTACTGCACCAAGGTCAGAGAGATTGGTGAGATCAGCATAAAATCTTGTTGGAATGTCAACAAGGAGACTGCCTCATCAGTACTGATCTTCTAAGAGTACGATATCGTTGGAATTAAGGAGGAATGCCATTAAATACCGAAAGAGACTTAAGAGCCCCAAATACTCTGAAGCGCAAACCCTTCGTATACCTAGATGCTGTCGTCAACTCGAGGGGGAACTTTGCTGATGAAAAAATCATTATCTTAAGATGACGACAAGTATTTCACTTAAACTAAGCGACAAATTTTATACGGACAACGTAGTGGAATGCCGTGACAATGTCAAATACAAACATAAAGTGGAATTTAAGATAAAATCCTTGTCTGGTGCGGCGTATCCTAACCTTTTGTGTGAAGAGTGAGGGGTAAGCTTCGAATAGTCGGAGCTATACTGATAACTGCCTTTCCAAATTGCTCTAGTTTGTCCATATCATGCTAATGATCATATTATGTTTTGGCCAGTCCTAGCATCATGCCATTACTCAAGAGATACCCAAAACTGTAAACTGGCTTCGATAACACAACATACCTTTTGTTCCCAAAAACGATAATCCTCCAAATTTACCGCAGGATCGGAGGATTATTGGGCTTTACTGTGTAGGAAGGTTTATCATGGAGGCTGCGAAGCCTATGACGAACAATTAAGACGACGAATTTACGAAAAACTTAGTCATTCGCAGAAAGTTGCGTCTGGTAGAGGAGAATAGGCCACTGCACGTAATTCGATAGTATAGTTTAGTTAAGTATTGAGTTTTTTTTTTTTAACCAATACTTTTTACTTATTTTTTCTTTTTCTCTATTTTGTTTATAAGATTGTTTTTTTTTACTGATCTGCTTTTCTTGTTTTTTTTTTAACCAATACTTTTTACTTATTCTTTCTTTTTCTCTATTTTGTTTATAAGATTGTTTTTTTTTACTGATCTGCTTTTTTTGTTTTTTTTTTTCAATATTTTCTTCTTTTTTTCATTTTTTCAAACAAACTTACTGTAATTTATATTTTATAATGTTAGGCCTACTTTCCGACAATGCTTGTATAAAAGTTCGTAAACTTGCTGGTTCTCAGAACTGAGAATTGATTCTAAATTTAGAGAATTTAGAGGCAAAGGAAGGTGATTCGCTAAAATTTTATACAATTCAGAATTTTCGTTGTTAGAACTTGTACATTCTAATATTAAGTGTTGCAAGGTTCCTATATTTCCACAACTGCAAAGTGGATCATCTCCGTATCCAATTCTTGATTTATGATGGGGCGTTAGGACATGACCATTTCTTATTCTGCTCACGGTTCTAATGTAAGGACGATTGGTAATTCCTTGAAACCAAGGTCTGCTTCGAAGAGTCTCTTGTATACGTTTCAGGTAACTTCCTGTTGGACTGATTTTGTAATGGTTATTCCATTTATCCTTTAGTCGTTGTCTGATCAGAAAATGAGCGACAGTAAAAGGAATCTCCATGCCCGGAACGTAATCGCCTGTAGTTGTAGCTCTTTTTGCAAAATTATCTACCATCTCGTTTTCTTTTATACCTGAGTGGCCTTTGATACAGACTATGTTTATAGTTTTGTCGATTTTATTCAGCTCCTGAATGCGCTTGATGATGTTCGCAATTAGATGATTAAGATCTGCAGTGGGGTGACAATTCTCCAATTTTGTTACAGCACTTCTACAGTCGGTAAAAATAACAAAATTCGTATTTCCATGGAATTGGAAACAGTATTCAATAGCTTGGTTGATCGCAACCAGTTCTGCTGTGTATACCGAACATTCAGGTGGCAACTTGAATTCTTGGTGATACGAATTGTTGCTGTGATAAAATGAACATCCCGCTAAATTGTCTTTCTTCGAACCATCCGTGAAGATATATTCCCATCCACTCCATCGTGTTCGAATATCATGCCGGAATTTGTAAGGTGTTGATAAATCTAGTTCGGAATCTTTCGTAAAGATAACTTCGGGTGGAGAGTTATATGCCGAATATTCAGGTATGAAACATGGGTTGATTTGATTAGAGCGTACCTTCCTGACGGTAGGAAGAAGCCACTCATAACTCTCTATGATCAGAGGAAAACTTTTGTGTTGCCAGTATTTCGCTGTTAATCCATGAATAAACAATTGGTGGATCTCGTTAATGAATCCCCTGCTGACCAGTTTAACCAGGGCTTTATCGCTCAACATTTGTCGTCTCAATTGAAGAGGAGGTTCGATACATTCAACCTCCATGACATTGATGGGAGTGCTATTCAAATATCCGATACATAGCCTAAGGCACTTATTTTTGATCTGTTCTATTTTTTGAAGATGAATTCTAGATGCATTTCCATAAAGTATTGATCCGTAGTCCAAGATTGATCGAACTAAGGTCCTGTAAAAGGTTAAGCACACTGCTGGATCTGCTCCCCATTTCCGATGTGAAAAGGACTTCAGAATGTTAAAAGCATTCTGACTTCTCTTTAAAATGTATGTAATATGTTCTTTCCAGTTAAGTTTTTTATCTAGGATAACTCCTAAATATTTGACAGAAGTTTTATAAGATATATTATGCCCAGCCAGAGTGATGATATTTGAAGGACTAAGGCGAGATCTGGTAAACGTACATACACAAGATTTTGAGTAGGCAATGGAAGATCCATTATTCTCAAACCATTCGTGTGCAATGGAAGTCGCTGTTTCTAGAAGTTTCATAGATTGAAATAAATTTTTGTTCTGGATACTAATGGCATAGTCATCTGCAAACTGATATATTTTAGCATCTCTTGAATTAAAAGCACTTTCAAAGTCATAGGAATATATTATATACAAGATGGGACTCAATATACTCCCTTGTGCTAGTCCTTTAGATGTTGATCGTGGTCCAATAGTCTGCTCAGAGGCTCTGATGAAAATGTTTCTATTGCTATACAGTAATAACAAATGGTTGGCAAGTTCTTTTGGAAGACCAATATTTATAATTTTACTGTATAGTATATTCAAGTCTACATTATCATAAGCTCCCATAACGTCTAAAAATGTTACAGAAGTATGCGTGTTATTCGAAAATCCAATTTGGATATCAGTTGTTAACTTTATCAGTAAGTCTTGAGTAGACCGTCCTTTTCGAAATCCATATTGCGAGCTTGGTAGCAATTGGTTTTTCTCCAAGTAGAATTCCAACCTGTTCTTGATGAGTCTTTCGTAAGTTTTCTAAACGCATGAAGCTAGTGCAATGGGACGATATGAATCTTGATGATGTTCTGGTTTTCCAGGTTTCAGAATTGGAATAATTATATAATCGTACCAATCTTTCGGTATTTCAGCGTTCCCACAATATATTTGATTGAAAATATCCAATAACGATTGTTTCGTTGTTGTAGGTAGTTGGTATAACATCGAATAATGAATTTGGTCCTTTCCCGGAGATGTATTGTTGTTCTGTTTGAAGACTCTCTGTAATTCTATCATGGTGAAAGGTTGCATCAGTTCATGGTTAGTCCACGTTGAGATTCTTCTTTGGATGTTGTTACTTACATAATTTGGGGCCAACTTACAATGAAATTCCTGTACCCACTCTGCTGAAGCTTCTATAACATGATAATTACTCTGTCGCCTATTTTTATACAAGTTAACTTGCTTCCAAATTTGTTTAAGTGGGGTGTTACTATTTAAAGATGAACAATATTGACGCCAACTTTCTCTTTTAACCTTTTTGAATATTTGTTTGGCCTTCGCGTCAAGTTTTTTAAAATTAAGTAAGTTTTCGAGGTTTGGGTTTGTCTGATATAGTCTAAAACTATCCTTACGTTTTTCTACTGCTATATTACATTCATTGGTCCACCATGGTTTTCCTTTGACATTATTTTTGTTTTCATATTTCGGAATAGAAGCTTCATCTGACTGGTTAACATTTTTGATGAAAGTGCTGTAATCTATAACAGGTTCTACATAAGATCTATTTATACTCTCGAAACAGAACTGATTCCAGCAAGCTTTGTTTATGTTCAATTTTCTATTTGATGCAAATGACAATTTTTCTGGAGTAAAATTACAATTGATTAGTATAGGCAAATGATCTGAACCACATGGGTCTGGCAAGGTTCGCCATTCTAGCTGATGATGAATTTGAGGTGAACATAATGTAAGATCTATTGCTGATTTTGATTGATATTTTACATAAGTTGGATCTCCATTGTTAATAAAACTGAGATTACTGTCATCTAGAGCTTCAATCAGGATTTTCCAAAATACGTCATCCTGAGCACAACCCCATGAAGTGTGATGTGCATTAAAATCACCTCCTATAATACATGGACTATGTAAGGAACTAAAAAATTGTATCCATTCCTGTTTAGTGATTTTGGTTTGTGGTTTAATATATACTGATACGAATGTAATATCTGAGATTCCTTGAAACTTTACTGTAGAACATACTTTCATTATTTTATTACAAGCAACTAATGATATTTGAGAATATTTTAAACTATTTCTCATCAGTATAGCCACTCCTCCTTTGCCATCTGACCGGTCTTGACGGATAACGTTATAACCTTTAAATTTTACATATGTATTCATTTTAAACCAGGTTTCAGATAAAAGTGCGATGTCCACATTTTGTTCTTCTAAAAGGTGTTCCAAATTACCTTTATTTGCTATAGCCGATCTACAATTCCATTGACATATCCTCACAAAATTCATTGTGGTTTCTAAATGCATTGTATAGATTCTATTTTATGTTTTTCATAACGTACGAACACCTTGGTAAAAGTGTAAAATGATTAAAAATATACTGTAATTTTCTTAATTCTTAAACTTATTTGTCTATATTTAATCTTTCTCTTATGAGATTAGTTATAGTTGATTTATTCAAGCTGTTGATGTTTGTTTCTCTAAAATTTGTAAGAACAAATATAACCAATTCTGAAACATGTTGGATGAACGTCTCATCTCTCGTATTAAATTCATGTACACAGTAACTGGGGTTATTAGTGATACCCCCGGGTACCTGTGGAGTGTTTACTTGACTCACAATTTGTCTCCTAGCTTCTTCTGTCAAATCTGGCGAGGAAGGCGAGTTCCGTTTCATAGGTTTAGACAACCTTTGTGTAAAGTGCGAATTCGCATTTGGAATATTTATTGATGTTTGAGTGTTTGATGATTGAGATGGAAGATCAGAACTATTGATTTCTTGAGGCGTAATGGGATTATTTTTTGTAACTGAAGCATATGTGGTTTTTGGCACCGCATTGTTTGAGTCTCTAAAAGAAGAATTAGTCATTGCCATATGCTTTTTAATTGCTTTTTGCCTCTCAAATTCATTACATTTTGAGGTTTCAAATGAGTAGTGACTGCCATCGCAAATTAAACATTTTTGTTCCAAAGAGTCGTTGTGGCATGAGCTAGTAACATGTTCTTCGTGACATTTTGCACACCTAGGCTTGCTTCTACATTGCTTACCCAAATGACCATAACGCATACAGTTATGACACAAAATTACCTTCTGTATATAATGATTTACATCAAAAAGAACGTGATTTATAGCAACACGCTTAGGCAATTCTTGCGCTTGAAAAGTAACTACAACCTTATTTATAGGTAGATATTTAATGTCACTATTTTGATCTGATTTCCGGTGCATGCGTTTAACCGAATCCACCGAGAAAATACAGTGAGAATCGAAAGGTTTGATCCTCTCCAACAAGTATTCGTCTGATAAGTCTTTGTCCACCGAAATAACCCTGTCTATATAAAATGAATTTGGGTATATAAACGTCTAAATTGATAGTTTTGAATAAAATCGTTTTATTTAACAGGACATTTGCTGCTGATGGATTTTTGAACACAATCCTCACCCTATTGCGTCCAATCGATTCAATTCTTTTAATCATATTGTCAACTTCAGGAATATTTTTGAGAATGGTTTCACCAACCTTAACTGGTTTTAATTTACCTGAGAAATTTGGTTCATTGTTTTCGATATAAACATGATAGGAGCCCTTATCAGTTTGCTTATATGTTAAAAGCGGTCTATCTGCTTTTTTGGGAGATAATGTTGGAAGTTCTACCTGCATTACTCCTGATTGTAGATCATAGTCAATTGTATTATCATTACCGACCTGGGAATTATCTTCAATAGTTGCATCCATTGAATCCTTCGATTCCTTCCTTTTCTTTCCAGGGGGCAAGCCTCCTTGGGAGACACTCATATATGTTGCGGGGCTCCTGCTCAGACTTGATATACCTAAAACTACTTACAGAACAGCTAAGTTTCGGCACTAATTAAATATTCAATCTCGGAATCGACCAAAAATGATGTTCGCTCGTCACGTCACTTTGACGTGTATAAGTATTGAGTTGTAAGTTATGATTACTTGTTAGTGTTTAAATAAATTTCTTTTAAAAAAATTCCGGTAAATATTTTGTGCCAAAACTTTTAGGACATAGGTTATCGTCAAGTGACAGCGGAGTTCTTTGTACTGCTTCCTAGTTCCTAACGATGGCGATGCTTTTGAGAGAGCTGTCTTGCATAAAGTGAATGTAACACTTTTAGAATTAGAACGAGGCAGCCAATATAGTTACTAATGATTTTGACTGCATTTGAAGTCAACCTAGAACTGAATTTTAATGAATCAATAAAAGGGGGCACTTAAACAGACGACAGAATTTGTTGAAGTATCGTGGTAAATAGTGTAGGGTCAACCCAAAGACCGTAAGATACACCCCATCAAAAAACAATAATATCATTTTATTTTTGGATTCAGTCAATCTTGAACAATTTTGAGCTAAACCGAAAATGGTGCAAAGCCGGAAAGAGTGGATCAAGGCATTCAAGCATCTATTAGTTTTCAGTTGTTGCAGATTGTTTAATTTCGTTACATTTGAGTGAACTATTAAGGTCTATAGAGTGTAAGTAAATAAGAAAAAACTGCAAATTGACTAAAACTGTATATACAGGGTGCGTCATCTATTACTTTTTTATTTTATTTTTTTTGTTTTTTTTATATCGAAGCAGCCGCGCAGGCAGAAGCCTAAATGCCGGAACACCGCGGCTGCCTTGATGATCCCAAAGAAATTTTATTAATACGATTTTTGAACTGCCTAAGATTAATAGAAATGGGAAGCTTCCTCTTGTAGATTGTTCCATAATCTCGACACCCTCGGGATAAAGGAGCGGTCGTATCGGCCGGTTCTGGATGTACGAAGTTCGACACGGTTAGGATGGCAAATTTCCAGTTTTCTGGGAAGGTGCCGGATTCTGGAAGAGACGCGAAAGAACTGGATCAAGCTCCGGTGCACACCTCTTCAGTACAATGGCAGGAATCAAGTCCGGACCAGAAGCTTTGTTGATGTCGAGCGATAAGAGCACTCGTCTTACGGTCTTATGCCTGAATGTTACCTCCCGCATAATGTAGGGAACCCTTTGAATTGACGGCACTTGGGCGTTGGGAGGGACGTCCATGGTGGAGTTGGCAGCAAAGATCTTGGCTAGCACTTCCGCCTTGGCCTTTGAGTTGAATACAATAGTTCCATCCTGACACGTATGTGGTGGAAGGCTACTATGTGAGAAGTTCTTTTCAATCTGCTTGGCCAGCGTCCAGAAAGACCGACTGCCATTGCGCTGCGACATTACCCTGTGCCTAACTTTTATATCGTGCTGGTTTTTGGCATTGCGAACCGCTTCTTTATATTTGTTTCTGGACTCAACGTCGGCTTGTCTGTTCTCTACAGCGGGGTTTTGTAAGAAGGTTCTGTGTGCCTTGATCTTCTGCTGGCGAGCAGCGTCACACGATTTGTTAAACCAGCCGTTGGACCCTGGTCTAGGCACTTTCACTGTGCGAGGGATGTATTCCTCCATTCCGACGTGGATAATTTCGGTTATCCAAGAACAGACAGCCGACGGATCCGCGTCAGTGAAACAGACATCTTTCCAAGGAAAGCTAGAGAAGAAATCTCTGAGCCCCTCCCAGTCGGCATGTCCGTAATGCCAAGTTTTGCGGCCTGTACGAGTTTCTGCTACCACAGCGGGTTCTGACCGAAACCTAACCTCCCCAGCACCGTGGTCTGAGTTACCCAGGGGGCACACGACAGCAGTGCTGTAAGGGACAGGATGCGTGGTCAGAAAGAGATTCAGCAGGCTACTGGCGTGTGACGAGATGCGGGGGAAAAAGTAGGGCTCGTCACCAGCTGAGTCAGCCGTTGGGTAAGAGCGAACGCTTCGACTGCACGACCTGCTGCGTCGGTCTTGTTTGAGCCCAACCAAAGCGCATTATGGGCATTGAAATCACCGAGAAGAACTACCTCTGAAGCGGGATGATTGATGTTCAGGAAGTCGATCTGGACGGCGAGGTATTCGAGTAGGTCATCCCAGTTATGGTCCGAGGGAGAGCGATAAAGGCAGCAAATAAATTTGGGTGATGTTTTGGAGTTGAGGCGAAGCCACAGAATGTCCTTCCGATCTGATTCTAAAGAAACATCTCTGGAGCAGGAAAGACTGCTGCGGACAAAAGCCACAACTCCCCCGTTCATTCTCAGATTGGAGTGCACCTCGTAGTTTGGGAAGTTAAGATGGTTAATCGGTGCAGACTCTGAGATTTTTGTGTTCGTCAAGAAAAGCACGGCGGAACGATTGGATTGCAGGTAGTGATGGACAGCATCAATGTTGCTGTTAATCCCGCAGATGTTCGAAAAACAAATGTTATCTTCGATGTTGTTCCCTCGAGCCCACCCTCCACCCGGACATTCCGAGAGTGGAGTGAGTTTACGTTCGGAGTTCTTAGTGCTCGAGGGATCCAACATCATTAATTTCTTTGTTTTGGAGGATAACCGACTGCATAGCTTAGGTGTGGAAACATGCGGGCATTAATAAGACACCTTGGGAAAAGCTAGCGGGTGGTACTGCCTCTGTCGACTGGTCCTTGTCTACCACCTTCTTTTGACGTATTAGTGATGTTAAATAGACCTAAAGTGGCTTGTTGGCGGACTTGTACCGCCACCCGGCAATCGGTAGGTACTGAGGTATTCCTTAACACGTGGACAATCGCTTGAACGGGAAGAAGTTATATACTGGATTCAACAACTTCCGGAACAAGCATTTGCCACGGCCCCACTCAGTAGGGGACAAAATTTGAAAAATCAACACGCTTTTTACGAGGTGAATTTTTTTATTGATAAATGAAGGTTGGTTTATGCCATTTATGTATGAAAAATAACATCAGTCATGTTACCACCGCGGCTTCGTTTACAGGCCAATATCCGAACATCAAAATTTTCAATGCCTTTTCCCAGAATAATCGGGTCTATATCCGCAATTTCAGTCCGAATATTGCGCTTTAGGTCTTGAATTGTCCGGGGACCATTCGCATACACTTTTCCTTTCAAAAATCCCCAAAGAAAATAGTCAAGAGGTGTTAAATCGCACGATCTCGGGGGCCAACTGACATCTGAATTTCGTGAAATTATGCGGTCTTGGAACTTCGTGCGATTGTTTGACGAGATGTGTGACCCGTTGCTCCGTCTTGATGAAACCAAAGATCGTCGGCACCAATACAATCCAATTGTGGCTACAAAAATCTGTTAACATGCCGCGATAACGTTCCCCGTTGACGGTAATGGCCTTTTCTTCGGCATCTTCAAAGAAGAATGGTGCAACGATGCCGCCAGCCCATAATCCGCACCAAACAGTCACTTTTTCAGGATGGAGGGGTTGTTCGTGATATTGGTGTGGATTTTCAGCTCTACAGAATCTGCAATTTTACTTATTTACGTACCCATACAGGTGAAAATGAGCCTGATCAGAAAGCAGCACTTTGGCCGCAAATCCGTCTTCTCTTTCCAGCATCCAATTAACAAAAACACGCCGCTATTGATGGTCTGCCGGCTTCAATTCTTGTGTTACTTGGATTTTGTATGGATGGAGGTGTAAATCAATGAGTAAAATCCGGCGTAAAGTGGTCTCACTAATTCCCAATTGGTGCGAACGGTGCCTAGTCGAGGTGGTTGGATCTTCTCGCACAATTTCACTCACTGTATATGTAGTTATGTTTTCACGAGTACGAGATGGACGAGCATGTTGGTATGGTCTACGACCTTCAGCTGGACCAGTTTCCTCAAAATGATTAACAATCCAACGAATTCCAGGCTCTGTAGGGCGTCCATGTCGGCCAAAACTGGTGCGAAGTTTGCGAAAAATATTTTTTATATTTCGACCATTTTCGTAATAAGTTTGGATAACCAAAATACGTTGTTGTGTTGTAAACGAAACCATGATTATAAATGGCATACCTTTGACAGTTCATTTATGCATACCACATGACTTTTGACTCATATGGTAACACATAAACTTATAGGTAAAAAAGTAATAGATGGCACGGTTTTGGTGGATCTCACTTCAAACTACCAGCATCACTTTTAAGGTTGATTCTCACTATACATTCCGTTTTCATTCCGCAAATTATTGAAATTAAATATTCGCCTTCGCTTAAAGCAGGCTATTGCGTGTGTATGCACATTATCCGTAAGGTATACTGTGTATACAACCACATTGTACGGAACGTTTACGAAACTGATATGGAATGGAAACGGAATGTATAGTGAGAATCAACCTTTATACATCCATCTCCCTCACACATGCATATGCACAATTTGCCTCTGTGTGCGAACTTTCTACAGCTTCGTCTCGCCAGCTCAAAAATTTTCTTGGCAACGTATAAATATTCCAAATCGCAGCTTGCTACTTTCATTGTGATAACTCACATTACATGGGCGTACCATTTTGATAAAGCGAATGAAAGCAAAGCTCCTTTGTTGACTCAACAGTGCAAGAGTAGCTGTGTTTACGATCCCAGTGTGCAATTTACTTAAGGAGCTCTATATCCATACATGGTTAATCGTATGGCTTGCTTATTTCGTATGGCATTGATGACGACAGAAACCGTGAAAAGAACTATAGATATTATGATGTTTTAGACAAATGTCACATGATCTGTATTTACAGTGATTTGTCAGTATTTATCAGGGAATGTGATATTTATTTGACCGTGTAGCCTGGACGTCAGTAATATTGGTTTAGGTTAGGTAGTAATCAATCGACGGTAACGCAATCATCAGTAAAAGCTGAAGGTACGAACCACACTGAATATTCCTCATGCAGCATTCGCATTAGAATGACGTCTTTATTTTAGTTTTTTACATAACTCACTTCTGCTATTTTATTCGGTTAAATTTTTCTTCATATACAAGTGCGATACTGGTGATCCAGGTGGCCATTGTGCAGGATCAATAATAAGATGGGATTTTTTGTATAGACGGAAAATTGGGACGATTGAAAAATGTGTTTTAAGCCGACAACTGATGACGTCAGTCCTATTACCTTCTCGAACATCGGATACGTAGCTGTTATTTCCTTTCCAATAACAAATGACAGGCAAGACGTAATTGATGCTGATCCATGGGCTAGGGGGCATTCCGCTTCACATCACTTTTAACCTGTTTGTATTGATCAAAGTCATAAATAAAAAATTAAAGCAAATTTGAATGAATAATATTTTTGCACCTTTTCAATTCCATTGCTCATTACAGAAGGAGAAAAGGTACTAGCACAACCCTTCATGTTTTTCATTGCTGGCTTTGTAACTACTACGCTGGCATTAACTCATACTCTCTACGAACTGGCTCTCAACCCAGAGGTGCAAGAAAAAACGAGAAAAGTAGCACAGGAGATGGTTAATGATTATGAGGAAATCTCATATGAAGCACTGATGGATAAGAAGTATGCTTATATGGATATGCTCTTGAATGGTAAGATATTTATAAGAAGTTTCACTGCGTTAAGTACGGGTTTGTATTGTAAGTACAGGGTGCGGCAGAGAGGACGGACGTTTTTGGGATGGGTAGTACTCTCTGCCTCCGTCTACGAGAGAGGTAGGGAGGATGCCGTTTGACTCGTGAGATCCTAGCATTATTTTACCAGTTGTCGTTATGAAGCCTTGGACGGTGGAGTACCGCGTTTTCGCCTATGATTGTTTCGTCCGATATAATGAGTCAGTCATCGTCGTACAGCGTGAGTTTCGTCGCCACTTCAACATTCATCGGAATAGAGCTGTTCCCTCTCGAAACACTATCCTTCGTTGGGTTGAATCACTTCGCAGGCGTGGTGAACTCATCAACAGAAGACCAAGAGGAGTGCCGCGAACAGTTCGAACTCCTGAAAATGTTGAACGCGTTCGACAGGTCTTTCTTCGCAGTCCGACTCGATCTGCCCGGAAACATGCTGCTGCACTTCGCCTTAGTGATCGTTCGGTAAGGCCAATTTTGCATATGGATCTCCGCTTTCACCCCTACAAATTGGCCATTGTGCAACAGTTACAGCCCGGAGATTATGCACATCGAATGAACTTCGCACGTGAGATGGAAGCACTGATCGATCAAAATGAGAACCTCAGTCGCCCAAGTTGAGAGAGCGATGTTGGAGAGAGTCTACGCGAACTTCCAAGTACGCCTCCAGCACTGCATCAACGATTTCGGCCACCACATGCCTGATGTGATTTTCCACACTTGACTGTCTCAAATGCTATTTCCTTGTCAACCTGATTCCATCAATAAATTTGTTTTCGAGTAAAAATTAACTATTTTATGATTTTTTTAAAACCGTCCATCGTCTCTGCCGCACCCTGTATTAATATTCCACTGAAAATGTTATCATAGCGAAACCAGCCAGTGTCACATATCGTCGCCTGCCGGAGAAAATCACGTAACTCCACATTTTCTCAAAAATGAGATTTTTATGCCCTCTTTTAGCTATAAAGGTAACCTCTCGATGCACAAAATATCCAAGTCCCAAAATCACTATTTACACGTTAAAAACCGCCAACGCAATATACGTGTATCTCCTGGTGTTGTTTAGTGTTTCGCGAAAAATGCCTAAGCGCCCAGTCCCTATGTAAATACTGCAGTTTGCGTATCAGTACTTGTTGCTCCGCATATTTTGTTGTTCTTAACGTGTCTAATCAACTTTTTGGAAAGCTATTTTGCGCAAGGTGGACGGTGAGTATCCTAAGTATGTTCTATCAGTGATTTCAGTATTCAACATTCGATAATAATCTTCATAAAAGCCATTGTGTATGCTTCTGGAGATACGTAGTTTTCTATAACGTTGCGTATTTGTGTATAGATGCCATTTGAGGGAGATACATAATTTTTGCGAACTTACATATATCTAAGAATTTCGCTTTTTGTTTTTTTATCAAACCAAAACGGCTGTAAAAAATACTGTACTGACATTTCTGCTGTCACACAAGGTACGTCATAATGAAAATATGAATTGAATTTCAAATTAAGAAACCAGGTAATTAAGTCGAAAACATATATGATTGATAGTCAAGATGTAATTTAGATAATCGTATCGCGTCTTTAAATAGTTGATTTGATGGAAGAAGAAGAAGAGAACGTTGGATATGAAATGGAAGATCAATCAGAAGTGTTATTCCAGAGAAAAAGGGCTAAGCAATGTTGACCAATCAATGTGGTTAAAAAACGTAAATCAAGCGAACCGAGAAAAGGGTTTAGCGTATAAAAGCAAAGTGAAGGTTGATGGAAAATGGAAATACGAGATTCTTCGAAACGAGAAAATGTTATTTAATGCTTGCGACTGTAAGATTACAACTAAATCTCGTGGACTAGACTGTAGAAAATTGACTCAGGAAAACCGAGACTACTCAACAGAAAAATGTACTCGTATTTCCAGAGTTTGGTGAAAATTCAAGATGTAAAAACAAGATAAAAGTCGAAGAAACTATTCACTAAATTATTACCTCAAAGTCGAGAACAAAGAATTTAGAGTCTGCAAAGGAATGTTTCTAAATATGATCAGCATAAGAGAATCTACAGTATTGAACTGGACGAAAAGTGACAAACTGGAAGAAAGTGAAAAGAGAGAAAAATAAGTATCTATGTCCCCAACCTCAAGAAGAAAAATTGCGTAACTCCTTAAAAAAATTAAGTGTTATACTTGGCACGTTTTTTTTTTCGTTTTCAACCTACAAGTGGCCGGTTTTTCAACAGACAGTATACATTTTGTTAAGTTATTAGTTAAACACAATCTTCAGGAAAGTTTTTTGTCTCCCCTAAAAAAAATTCCAATAGGGATATAAGGGATTTTCTCCGGAACACGACGATACGTATGAACCTCTTCTTCCTTAGTCATCAGATAATCCTCTGTATTTCCCGCTTAAAGAATCAGTTAATAGGTTTGGTATTCATTTCTAATACCGAAAGAACATAACTATTCGCATCATTTGTCAAACTGTCAGCATCAGAGAATAAAGGTCATTCCTCACATCATACGGCAGCCTAACCTCCACGCCATATGTTGTGTCAGACTTGCAGGACACGCCACGACGCCGCTTTGGCGCGAGGTTTTTTTGTAGAACTTTAGAGGGCGAGTTTAGTCACTGCTTGTACATAGAAAAATGGTAACACTCAAAAAATACATTTAAAAAATAGTCCATTACAACAAAGTCGATTTATTTACTTTATAGAAACGCATAGAAAATATCCAGCACTCTCTTACTTAGACAGAGCTTGTACAGTAGACTACAAAATACCAGGCACAAACTATGTGTTGAGAAAAGGAGATCGGATAATTATACCTACCTATGGACATAACTTTGATGAGAACTATTTTCCAAATCCTGAGAAGTATGACCCTGACAGATATTTGAACAGGCTTAACCAGGATGGACTATATTTCTTGCCTTTTGGGGAAGGACCTAGAGCTTGCATAGGTAAGGTCATCCTCACAAACCTTCCCAGTTTTTGTCCCAATGGTCGTTTTTACGACGATACATTACTTTTTTTTTGGCTGTTCTATCTCAATTTTTAATCTGATAAAAATGCTGGTTTCAGGTGAAAGATTTGCAAGTCTCAACTTGAAAGTTGCCCTGACGAACATCTTGACTAATTTCAGCGTCGAGAGACTACCAGACACACCAGAAAAAATTACGATCAATCCAAAGGCGTTTGGTATCCAACCAATAGAAAGACTGAATGTCCTGTTTAAGCCAATCAAGTAGTTTGGCGAGAATTGTTTTAGGTTTTAGTTTAAACATGTAGTAGTTAAACTTACTTCTAGCTGCTTTCAAGCATACGTGTAAAAAACGATTTTGTGAATTGGAAATACACTGGAAATTTGAAATCAAAATATGTAAGGAAATATGTCAATGCCTATGTGAGCTATTAAAAAAGATACTTGATATATTATGATTATGGTTTGGTATTCATATCCAGGTTCTAAGTAAGTTCACAGTGAAACCATGGGCTTTTCTCTTCTTAGAAAAAATTTTATCTTTAACACTGGAACAGTTTTTTTAAATCCATTTTTCAAGGATACTGTAGTGTATCCTAGTTATTTGTTCATGTGTTGGAACAAAGGATTTGTCATTCGTCCAGTGAAAGATAACTTGTTTAGATCCTCTGGACTTCCCGCAAGAGGGATCAGACAATAAGATTTAATTTTTATTTGGGATACTCTTAACATATCAAACTGTCAATGGATTGGATATTTTTGTCACATTTGTTCGAAGCCTAATCTCCATGGCAGAAGTGGGTCACACTCTAATGACGGAATGTTGAAGAATTACCGCTTTGGCGTGAAATTTCAAGTTTCAAGTTTGAAGGGCACTAAAATATTTTTTTTTGGCGAATACCCCAAACTACAATGTTCACAATATTGAAAAATAAAATAAAAATAAAAATAATATATTTTATGAGTATCTTTTATGTACTTGGGAATTGTGTTGGCATTTTAAATTTGGTCCTTTACATAGGGGATCCTCAGGTCATTCTACACAAATAAATAAACAAACTTCATATGAAAATGAAATATATTTGTATATTTTAACAAAAACAGATGCAGAATATTATAGTTACCTCTTACCAGCTGGTAAATATGACCTTCTGGTGATTTGACCCAATGATACGAGCTCTCCCTCCATGACGTAAGGTACCTTTCCTATGACCTCATCTGGGGTCATGTAAACTGAAGGAGGTAATGCTACATCGCCTTGGACCAAGTACACTACTTTCTCTAGGTATTCTGGATCTACCGGTGTCAACAGAACGACATAATGAGAAGATGTATCTCCACCTCTTACCACACCTGAAATATCAAGTTTGAATTATAAATCTTTGCCGGTAATAATCATTCAAATCACTGTATTGCAGTTGATTCATCCTAGTTGTAGCACCCTTGAGCATACATCCTTTAGAAAATCATTAAAATGAGTAGAAAATGGAGAGCAAATATTATTTTTTTAACGATAATAAAATGCACTCAGTAGCCTCCTTGATTTTCATAGTTTTTCCTGTCCTTCAGAAAGGCAGTGGTATTTCTAGATTTCTAATGTTTCGTGTAAGCGCTTTATTTTGAGGATAGATTTTCTTTTGGAATTCTAAGATATTTCAGGCTGATAAAACTTCATTTTTATCAACTGTTTTATCAGCCTGAAACCCCTTATTATTCAAAAAGATACATACATAACAAGGCAACTTTACAATAGGGGAGCACTGAGGCTGAGACGGAACAGTACAAATCTAGAAATGCCCCAGAATTTCTGAAGGAGAGGAACTAATATGGAAATCAAGGAGGCCACAAAGGCGTCCTACAATTGTAGATGCGACTGAGGATCCGGCTCTTCATCAATCTTCACTATCGACTTGGTCATTTGCGCTGATGAGACCTAGGTTATGGTCGAAAAGGTTCAGGGTCGTATCGTCAGTCGGTCTTACAATTGTAGGACAACACCTTTATGACCTCCTTGATTTTCATAGTTTTCTACTCTTCCGTGTCAGCGCTCTATTTTAAGGTTATGTTACACATCTATTTGCAACAAATTGTTCATGCGGAACAGTAGAAATCTAGAAATATCCGTCTTTCTGAAGGAGAGGACAGACTATGAAAATCACGGTGGCCATAAAGGCGCCCTACAATTGTAGGAACGACTGACGATACGGCCCTTAGTAGTGAAAACACTCACTCGGTGCTATTTGTAAACTATACTATTAGTCAAAAGTACACCGATTCTGGTAACACTTTTCCAGATATGAATAATTTAAAGACATGACAATTAGGAAATTAAGCAAGAGAGAAATACTTTTGTACAGAGGCTCTAAGAGTTTCCAAGACTTATAGTTTTTATGGAATCCCTACGTGAAAACGTATAATTTAAAAAAAGAACTATGGTTGTCAAACATTTTAATTATTAGCACACAGGCGCATAAAGTTAGCGACAGGACGATTTTATGAATTCACCTATTTCTTACAAAGTATATTTTTGCTTTCAAAATTAATTTACTTTTAGGAAAACTATATCCTACCATATCCATAACAGATAAACAGATCCGTCTGTTCCTCCTTATCACATAGTGCTACAAGGTTTGCATTGACTTCAGCACAACTGACTTGCTCACACTTCAAATTCATTAGTTTCAAGGTCGATAGTTGCACTTTATACATAGGCAAATGACAGCTAGTAAGCGAAAATACATTTGGCGGTAGCAGTTCTGCCAAATATGCCAAAACACACAATTCCCTCAATTGTCTTGGTTCAAGTGTCCAACCTAAAAATAGAATAATTGCATGCTCATATCGAAATTATTTGATTTTTAATTTTTTTTGCCTACCTGTACTATTGTCACTCAATGCGTTCAATTCATGCAATCTGAACTCAAAATCGATCGGATCATGACCAAAAACGTCGTAATTATCTTTGATTAAATCTATGTTCAACCTGCTCTTGAAGTTTTTCTTCTTTTGTTTACTGTTTATCTGAACAACATCGGTGGGTTTCACATAGGTGATTATAGAGGAGATTATATGTAAACCCAGATTCTGAACAAAGCCCATGTAATTAATAACTGTAGGCACGTCGTTGTCCAACTTAGAAACATAATCCATCAACGATTTCGCCGCTTTTACATAGATAAAAGGATTTCTGGTGACATCAATGCTTGACATATATGATCTGAAACAACATACACATTATATACACAAACTAGTGATTAAATAGCTCTTTCATTACTAAACTGAAAATATGCCATTATTTACTGCACTCCTCTAAAGAGAACTCTTCCTAGGTAAATAATGAACGTTTGTCTTCATGTATGGTTTTTCTGCTTACTGACCGCAGAATTGTCCCCGTTACTAACTAAAATTATTAGTAAATGTGACTGAAATTGTTGTTGACTGTATTTATTTATCCCAATATTTTGACACCATGTTAGACCCAGCTTACTCAATAAAATGGAATATTTGAAACTGGAAAGCCAATGTGCCGACGTAAGTAGAATCTTCCATCTTTACCAACGAATTCAGACTAGGTAGAAGAAACCAGTCACGTATTTGTTTGTCTTCTAATTCTCGTAAAGCAATTTACCATCTACCAATTATCCAACAATCATAACCGGTCATGTTTGGTTGTCACTTTTTCATTTTAAGCCACTCGGTATGTAGCAGCTGTCAAATGATGACTTTACGAACTTGCCCTTTGTGACGTCACCGTTTATGTCAGTTAAGTCCAATATGCTAGTGGTGGTTTCTATGCGGTTCTTGCATGTCAAACGTAAATCCATGGGTATAACACAACCCTTTCTTATCCTTCCGTCGATGACTTATAATTTTCCGTAAAAAAATATCAGATACCAGACATACAGCTACTAACTTTTATGAAGTTATCCATTGTTTTTATTTGAGCAGAATTTAGAAAGTAATTTATTTATTTATTTATTTATTTATACATTATTGCCCAACAGAACTATTCCAATTAAAGGACAATATCATGGTAACTTTACTTATAATTCATACATGTAATGTATACCTAAAACTAATTTAAAAAAATAGAACTAGCTATTATAATAGTACCTGAAATTCGACACGATCTTACTGATACAATCAAAATTAATGTCAGAACTGTCTGCTATGGAATTATAATTGTTGCATATAGAATGTAGCGGAGAATAAAATAATACATTTGTACGGGAGGTACTGCAGTAGAAAGTTAGAGTTCTTCTCGTATTTAACCGAGGAATATAGAAATTTAACCTCTGGAGAAGTTCTGGTGCATCCACTCTGTCGTGCAAAAGCTTATGAATGAATGATAGGCCAGCAGTGGAACGTCTTAACTGTAGAGACTCTAGTTCAAAACGACGCAGCAGAACAAATTGAGAGACCCCCCTTTCTGGATATGTGCCATCGATTTTATAAACACAGAATTTAAGAAATTTCCTCTGCACATTTTCTAAGATGCTTATATAATACGCATAGAAAGGGTTCCATATCAAACCGGCATCAGGTACGTTGTTAATATCATAGTGAAGTATTTGCTAATATTTGAATTGTACTTATAATCGTCAACGTTGGACCACAAAACAGTTGCGTGTAGCAAACCTGTGCTCAGTTCTTTGTTCTTTGTAAGAATTATGGTGTTAGATGATTTCAGGACATAGTACTTCTTAAATAATTTACAAAGAGTTGTATAAGCCTAATAAAGATAGATGTTTCCATTGCTAAGTATTATTATGTTGATACTATGCTGTCACTTTGCACGTATAGACGCAATTTTGTCGAAAAACAATGCAATGTGAATATAGGCTTGGCTCCCTCTAATATATTCGAATTGATTTATCTTTATCAAACACTATCGTGTAGTGGCAGCATCTCTCTCCTACAGCGAACGCGTCGCTTTATCTGACAGTGTTGCCGAATATTAAGGAATTATCAGATATGCAAAGATTCGGTCAAGCATACTCTGAAGACCAAATACCACTGACGTCGCAATATGTACGAGAGAGAGGCGTTCAATACGTGTCTTAGAAAGAGATAGAAGCACCTCGTTGCATAGCAACCCGAGTACGAGGCCACGGACGCCATTGGCGCACTCTCTCTAACATACATATTGGACGCTTCTCGTGCCTCTCTCTCGTACACATTGCACTACGTCAGCCAAACTCGAACCCCATTGTATGTAATGTACAGTGTTACTTTTCCCTACTAACCAGAGAAATGATGACCGTAATGCCCCATGGAGAAGTAGCTTTTCTCTCTAGGTAAACAATCACAAAAACACCTAGGTACAAAATGGATGTCATTTACAATATGGTATCCTGCTACAAACTTTATATGTCAAAATATTTGAAAACGAGTCAGAAATAACTAATATTAGTCTAGTCTAATATTCGTATCAGTCATGTGCCTACTCTCTTCAATATTTCTATAATTGGGAAGCTGTTGGAGAACGACTTAGAATGCTAGCAGAATGAAAACACAACCAACACTAGTACCTTACCCCCTAACTAAAATAGATCAGTCCGCATAAATAAAAAATTGTTGGTTTTGACACACACAAATGAGCTTGAAACGTCTTGATCGTTGATTTACGTATAGGTTAAGGTAAATGACATTATACAATTTAGATATTTAAATCTCATGTAGTGGTATATAGTGCTTGCAGTGAAAAAATGAATACTTACTCCATTTGAAAAGGCCATTATTTATATTAATAATGGTTTAAAATATTATTTACCTAGGAATGCAAATGTCACTTCGAGGTGAAAACGAACAAACATTACTAATAACATTCACAGATTAAGGGAAGACTTAACTACCACTCACCTTTCAGTCTGTCTCAAATGTGTAAAGCTTGGCCCTAAGACAGGCTCTGAAACATTCAGTACAGATACCATTCCTGGTGCTGTAAACATTGACTGGCCCGGATCCAAATCAACCATTCTAACCTTTTTGAATCTGCCCAGGAGCCTGTTGATTGTATATCTCACAAACGTACTCTTACCCACACCTTTACCTCCAGTTACCATAAATTTTGTGCTGGGGTTGATTTGGTCTATTAATTCATCCCACTTCTGATGTGTATTAATAACATTTCCAGTCTTTGGTTCAAAAGCTACTTGTGGTAACTTATTTGAAATATCATCTGGGAATATCTGTTGTGAAATATATTTTTCTATGAAACATATCTTGTTCTCATTCAGTCTTGAGCACTGTATCACAGCGCTGGTTTCCTCTACTGAAACTTTCCTAAGGCATTCGTTGCTTTCCAAAAATGATACAAAATCATTCAAGTTGGTACTGCTGGCATCCGTTACGTTTTTTATGTAAAGCCAAGCTGAACCTCTTGGAGAGTAAACATTCACAGCTTGGGACTGCTCATTTAAAGTATAACCAAGTATATCAACTTTGCCATAGATTACTTTCAGTTTAAACAGACCAAAAAATGGTAAGGTACTGTTTCTTCTTAACACGATTATCTTATCATCATTCATGGAATAATAATCGGCTTTCGGTTTTCGTACTTCATACACTGATTGAAAATGTTTTTCAGCATCCTCAGCATCGTGCGAGGATTCTTCAGAATATATTTGGTTTTCTAGCATCAAAGTGTTGAACCCTGAATTCGGCACTGAATTAGCAACATCTATTGTGTTTTCTGATAGTACATCATGTAGTGTTCCTGAATCTACAGTGGAATCCTCTGCAGGTTCCACATACTCATCATCATCATCAATTTCAATGTAGTCAATGAATCTTGAAGATGCTTCTTCTACCAAGTCTGGTTCCTCATCGCTTTGGACTTTCTCTGAGCGACTAATCATCTTGCCAGCAAGCTCTGAAACACAAGGTTATTAAAAAATGGCAATATTCCACGAGCAGAAGGTGCATGTTTTTTCGTGATGTGCATGTTCTTGTAAAATTATCTCATTTTTGCAATATTTATATTAGCTTTCTCGCCAATTAACGTGTCCACGTATTGATTTAAAGCCAGGGAAGCAGAAGCCTAAGCACCACGAGACCGCGACTGCTGTTAATCCTTTGATCTGGAATCTGATCAATCGAAACCGGATGAGCGCCAGGGCGCTTCTTGTTTATCAGGGTATTTTAAAACGTCAGTTGCATTTTTTAATAATATATCCGATTTTAAATTAATAGTCTCACATGAGACATTTTGATCGGTCTGTCCCTGAGACTGAGTCTAGGGGAAACATAGTCATAGGGTTCGGAGGGACATACCATAATCTCCTAAAGCATCCGACTTTAATGTGCAGAGATCAGCATAATTTACAAGCCTGAAATTGAATTTATGATTAGAATGAACATTTTCCTCATGATAGTAAATTTTGTTCAGATAAGGATGCACATTATTTTCGAACACTAAGCAGAAATTTTTGTTGATTCCTTCTGGGTCCCTATAAGGATTCACTTGCGCAGTGTCCAATTTCCTTTAGGAAAGTTAAGGTACACACATGATTACAGTTAGTCAGTCTACTTATTTATTTCGTATGACATCGTGAATTAATCACCAAAGTCAGCAAGAACTTTACAGACAAATCATATCAAATACTAACCGCAGCGTATTTTCAAAGTATAATAGATATTTGATATTTATGCGAAATTTATAGATATTCAAAACAATCTTTCTCATGAAGGAACAATTTGACAAACATTTCTAAAGAAAGGCTAATCATTTAAGATCGGATGTACCTATTATTAAAAAATACACCTGACGTTTCGAAAAAGTCAGTGGTGTAAAACATTTTATTGTGCAAAACTTCAAGTAACTACTGTTATCCATTCTGCAGATACACTTACTTTGTATATGTACAAATGTATTGTTTTTTTTAGATTTTATATGGCATGAACATCACGAAAAACATGTCACACATTTCCGTGGGTCTTTGACTCCACTATAACTCGAAAATTACAGTTTAAATTTTAACGGAATCTCGAAACAATGTTACTGTGCCACGGATGAAAAAGTTTTGCAGACTTTGAAAATGGATCCAATGGTGGTGACGCTACGAACAAAAAAAAAAATAGAAATCACATAAACTCTGCTTTCGAACATTTTCGAGACTTCGGATACCCTTTCACGTTTTGTCATCGAGCTCTTCAGAAAAATACCGCGTGCGGTGGCAGTCATAACGGTAATTACACCGATGATAAAATTGATTGCAGTATATTTCTTTGGTTATCTGATTTTGACGTTGTTATTTTCGGTTTATTACAACATTGTTCTTTTAATGATACCAGGTAAGTAATAAACATTGACAGACATGTTTTCCAAAAATATGACCATGTTGCCACATAAGATCGCATTAATTCCCTTAGATTAAGAACAGATTCCATTTTCTTTTTAAGAAAAACGTTCATTTTTCAAGCATGACATCAACTTTCTAAGCAAAATTCACGTCTCAACCTCATTTGTGATTATTGCCATGCTTAATGAATTTCAGTATTACTCAGCAACAAAAAAAAAGTGCCTAACATGTGGGTATCTTTTAGGGGCATATAATCAATGCTATAAGAATACAGAGTATTCAAGAAATACTTTCTTTTGTCACAATAAAGTAGAAGTTATGTTAAATATATCAGATATCTTTTTGTGATTTGACACATTTTGTTATAATGAGAAGATTTAGAATAAAATAAATTGTGAATATATTAAAAAATAATATGCCTTACCATCTGTCTTATATTTCAGTTTCTTGCTTCTAAAGTGATCTGCCATATTTTGACTCAAACTTGATACATCAGGCTTGATATTCTTCTGCACTTCAATTTCAAACTCCTCCTTACTCTTCTTAACTCTCCTTTCTTTATTTGAGGAATATGAGTTTCTCCTACTTTTCCTTTTGAGTTCATTTGAATCATAAACCTTTTTGTTGCTGATTTTTACATCTCTTATATAATCACTAATAAAATCAAATTCAGCATGTGAATCTAGTGGTTCTGTAATGCTTTGTTCTCTGGTACAGAAAAATGTATCCAAATTAAAGTCTTCACTATCACTATCACTGCTAATTTCATAGATGTCTGTTTTTATTTGACCTTTGATAGGTTTCAATGATTCTCCTTCAGCATCACTATCACTGCTGACAACATGAGAATCTTCCTCAAACGATGTTTTTATTTTATCGGTTGCAGATACATATGATGTCTCTAGAATAGTGATTAAGTTATTTCAAAACCTACTAATAAAAAATTAAGCATCAGTTTAGGTATGTAATCATTCACAGTCTTTCAGTGATCTTAGAATTGATTTATATTTTTCAAGAAACTAATGTGCAACAAAACAGATGTGCATCTTATACCATTTTTGAAAGTGCAGTTATGTACAGTATGTTCCGAAGTTTTTTTTTAAATAATCATGAGCATTGCAAATGGGCATATGTTGTTTACCATGGCATTTAGCAGCTACAATGACAAGTTAAAATTGAAACCATATTTTGGCATTACATTTTGATATATTTTTCAGCACAAAGTAAGTAATTCAAAAGGTATATTTATGCTCAGCATCTTATACCTAAATTTTTGTTGGATGCAGGCAATGCTAGGCCCCATTCAACAAACTTCCTCAAAATAAAATTACCTAATAGAATCATTGCCATGGCATGACCATTTGAAACTCTGAATTTAAATTCTATTGGTTTTTGGGCTACCTTTGGGAGATTGAAACAGAAATGCAAGTTGGGAAGAATTAAACCCAAGTTATGCATTTTCTTTGAAGCAATGCGGTTAGCTCCCGAATCACGTTTATTTCTGACTTTTACTGCATATTGTTTAAGTTGGTTGGTTTTTTGAGCGTTTAAGAAAGATAAAAGAGTAATTACCTGACTGAATAATTTAATACTTGAAAAACGTTTTGATCTGCTAGCTAGCTACAGTTACCAGATTTCTACGTAACCTTATACTTTGTTGTTGAGTCATTAATTTTCAGATAATGATTGTAGAAGGAAGATAAACCAAAATATGTGTGTAAAAATAAAAAAAAAATTTTTTACCTTGTTTTATAAAGTATCCTCCCGACAAGTATTTCAGTGCGGACCTGTATTTGATCGTGAGGTCCCCTGTGAGGTCTTAAGTCACCTGATTCACGAGCCCGTTGTACTACATTAACAAAGGCACGAGGGGTTGGTTGCACTCGATTAGGAAACCGATCCGCATAAACATGTGCCATTTTTTATTTCGTTTGAGCCACGCAACAGACACTATTCACACGTGTTACCGACTAACACTGACTGTATGTATATCTGAACTGAATAAAGTAATTGTAAAAACATTGTTCCAAATTCTTTCGCTTTTTTGTTTCTGATGCGATGAACCGATAAGGCGGATTATATCCGTTGTTGCCAAACACGAACACATGATATTATTATTGACACAGGCGGTACTCAAACTTCCAAAGGGCTATAACTTTGTTACTTTAATTTTACCAGAAAAATGGTAAAGGAAAAAAACATTTCTTTTGATCAGATCTACTCACTGTTAAAATAAATGACTCAACTTCGAAGTCACCCTGTATATTAATAACTACTGTTATGCTGGCTATACAGTCGATAAGTATCACATTCCGTAGTAAATAATGACAGATCACAGTAAACACAGATGTATGAAATTTGCATAAGGGCTAAAAGTTTGCAGTAATAATTTAGCTACTGGTTTTGTGAGATACATTGGTCCCAATTTAAAATGCGAGTAATATTATTAACAAATATGCGTACCTGTCTCTGATCTTGAAGGCACAAGTGACATTGTCTCTTCATCAGTGTCTGAACTAAAGGTCTGAAAGCACCTCTTTCTCTTAGTTTTCTTCTTGGAGTTCAACTTTTTTGACTGTGATTTTCCTTTAGAAGCCAAAGCAAATGAATCGTCACTGCTCTCAGAAACAACCTTACGTTTCTCGGATCTAGCTTTTGAAGGTGGCGTATGTCTTTTATTCTTTATTGAATCCTGTTTTGAAGACAAATCGAAGACGTTTTCTGACTTGTAACACTCTAAACTCAATTTGTTACCACCTTTATTTTCAGTGCATGAACTTGCCCTGTGCCTGAAAATAGTCTGTCGCAACTTGTCGATGTAATTTTCATCCATTCTTTCCACTGAAGGCCTGGAATAGTGCCTATCTTTTACGTATCTTAGAAATAAACATAACCAAAAAATGATAACCTCAGAACCTCACATGTCAGTGACAGCTGACAACTTTCGGCTTCATCTCCAGCTACTTAGATGTCATCACTTTCACCATTAGGGCAACAACGCACGAGCCGCTAACCGCGGCGGATGGCGGTCACGCGGATGTTAGTTTGTGTAGGAATAATTGGAAGTCAACTCACTGGCACTAAGGGTAAGGGTAACAATGCACGAGCCGCGCACCGCGGCGGGTGCCGGATGAGCGGTACCGCGGGGAAGTGCGGATTGCTTTACGGAAAACGTCGCGAATGGCTGGTTGCTAGGTAGTCGTCATGAGAGTCCGCGCGGTCTCCGAGTTCGCCGCGTCCGCTCATCCGCGCGGTTACACGGTTGCAGTTGTCTGCCAATTATTCCTACACAAACTAAAATCAAATCCAAGCGAATAACCAAAATTTCTTTGTTATGTGCCGCGGTTATAATATGGTTCAAGATGACACACGGGTTGATGACGTCAGTTACACGAATCGCTTGAACGCGTTGGTTTTAACCGCGGTTTTGTTGCAAGTTGTTTATTTTAGAAAAGCGCGTATATAATCTCTGATTATTTTTATTATCACTTAATAATCGGTGCTTTTTCGTCTACAACTGTATATGGAAAGTTTAAATAAAAAAACCTTTCATAATATTCATGGGAGAAATGTTTTTTCAGATTTTTTTTAATGATGGAACCATGGCTTTGTAGCTATGATAACTTTCAATTCTCTAAATTTTTCCGCATGTCAAAGAAAACATTTATTGATTCAGCAGAAATGATCTAAAAAGAAAATCTAGTGAGTTTATATGACCATATTTTAATATTCTTGTGGTATATGACTACACAGGATACTTTGTTAAGCATAGGAACTACATTTAAAGTGTCCCCAACAACCGTAATGAGTATAACTAATAAGGTGCTCCACTTTATGGTAAAACTGAAGTCAGCCTGTATCATTTTTCTCAAAAATGAAGCTGGAGTACAATAACAATATCCAATACCCGGCAAAATTCTAACTTGTCACATTTCAAATAATAACCAGAAATATAAAACTACTCTTGAGTTGGGTAAATACCACAATTTTGCGGTGATAACTATGACCTATGACATATAACAGCTGATTCGTGACGTCACGGATCTTATAACCAAACTGATAACTACACTCGCTTGAACGGATTGGTAAATACCAACCCAAAATGGTAAACACCATTTCCATTTGGTTATCCGCTTGAATTTGATTTAATATCCGCGTGACCGCCACCCGCCGCGGTTCGCGGCTCGTGCGTTGTTAAGGTAAGGGTAACAACGCACGAGCTGCGTACCGCGGCGGGTGGCGCATGAGTGGTACCGCGGGGAAGAGCGGATTGCTTTACGGAAACCGTCGCGGATGGCTGGTTGGTAGGTTAGTCGTCATGAAAGTGTCCGCGGTAGCAGCTGTAGCCATTTGGTTTTTGTACAAATCTATTCCGAAAAAACGAAGGAAATGTTGTTGTAAACGAAAATATTGGATTCACCCTCTACTCCAAAGAAGGAGCACCAATGGAACTTTCGTTATATTGTACAGAGAGTTGAGAAACTACGAAGATAAGTTTTTCAACTATACAAGAATGTCAACGGCATCTTTTGATGAATTACTGAACAAAATTAGAAGGAACATAACTGGGAGTAACTACGAACATGCGCCCATGTGTATGTCCTCAAGAACAGCTTTTAGTTACATTAAGGTAAGTTACACAGAGAGACCAATATATTACCTTATTAAAGTAACAAGCTAGGGATACACCATTTGAAGGATTAAAATAAAATAAAGGTCCTAATTTATTATCATTAAACACACTCATCATATCAAATTCTAAATTTTCTAACATCCTCAAAAAGCGTAATTTAAAATACTAATCAATGACGTGTCCGAGATTACTTCTGAGAAAAACTATGTTGCTATAAATACAAGATATAATAATTTTATTGAAGAAACACAAACACGGGCATTGAAGTACACGAAGTAGACCAAAGGGAGGAGAGAGCAGGACCACATGACACTACAATACAAAGGACTCCAAGACGGCAGAAGAAAAAGACGAATGACACAGCAGAAGGTGAAAACATAGGCTCAGAGCTTATAAGCGTTCTAAAACAAAATGTGTCTAGTAATGACGATGACCCAGACCGCCACTTTCTACTATCGTTGCTAAACGATTTTAAACGCATAACCGAACGTTTGAAAGCAATAACTAAAATAAATATAATGAAAGTGATTATGTGGGCTACCGACCAGCGCTACAATTACCAAATGCGTCCACCACTACCCCAAAACTATACACATAACGCTTCTTGGGCAAATACTCCTTCGTGCAGTTTCGATAGAAATACTCCAGATCAGTATGACACTGTGAGAAACACAAGTTCTCCTGAATCTAGTTCTACAATTTCAGAGCATTCTCACATATCTAATTACTATGAATTTTTTTCTACACAAAATCAGTTATGATTACTATATTATTACGAGTTGTTTGTTTTTTCAATACAATAAATTCAGTAAGTCAAACATAGTTTTTCTCAGAAGTAATTTCGGAGACGTCGACTAGTATTTTAAATTGCGCTTTTTGAGGATGTAAGAAAATTTAGAATTTGATATGATGAGTGTGTTTAATGATAATAAATTAGGACCTTTAATTTATTTTAATCCTTCAAATGGTGTATCCATAGCTTGCTAATTTCATAAGGCAATATATTGTTCTCTCTGTGTAACTTACCTTAATGTAACTAGAAGCAGGACATACACATGGGCGCATGGTCGTAGTTACTCTAGTTATGTTCCTTCTAATTTTGTTCAGTAATTCATCAAAAGATGCCGTTGACATTCTCGTATAGTTGAAAAACTTATCTTCGTAGTTTCTCAACTCTCTGTCCAATATTACGAAAGTCCCATTGGTGCTACTTCTTTGGAGTAGAGGATGAACCCAATATTTTCGTTTACAACAACGTTCCCTTCGTTTTTTCGGAATAGATTTGTACAAAAACCAAATGGCTGCAGCTGCTACCGCGGATACTTCATGACGACTAACCTACCAACCAGCCATCCGCGACGGTTTCCGTAAAGCAATCCGCACTTCCCCGCGGTACCGCTCATCCAATACCCGCCGCGGTGCGCGGCTCGTGCGTTGTTACCCTTTAATATTCGAAAGCAGCGGCGTAGTGCTAGGAGGGGGCTGATATTTGGTAGAAAGGCATCTGAGAATATGCGTGCTTTTTTTGTATTTTCTGTCGATTGTTTTCGTTAATATTAGATAGTCAACACAAATTCATTCATGTTTTCTTGAAGGCAGAAAATTCAGAATTAAAATGGAAACGTGACTTTCCTCTCTAAGAAGTATCCAAGCGGGTGTTCCACAAGGCTCTGTTTTGGTTCCGACACTATACATTATATACACTACGGATATTCCTCACACGGACATACTACTATATGCTGACATGACACAGCACTGGTAACTAGGTCTGTCCCCAATCAAGAAATTGCAGACAGACTGCAAGAGGCTGTGGAGCAGCCGCAGGATTGGTATTTCCGTTGGAGAATTAGATTGGACGCTGGGAAAACCCAGGAAATGTATAAAAGACGACAATCACTACCAGACAACATAGTTATTTGTAACCAAAGAATTCCATGAGCATATCAAGTAAAATATGTGGGACTAACAATCTACGCAAGTCTATTTTGGAAACCTCATGTAGAATCGATTACAACAAAATGTTATGATATCTCGTGATTTATACCCCATTCTTAAGGGTACTACAAGACTGAATCGTATAATCTATCTCTGGTATTCTTTGTTGAAGAGATTCGCTTTTCGGCCAGTTAGATACCTCAGTAATTTTTGAGTATCCTGATCAGTAGAAGAAGTCAAGTCAAGTAAAGTTATATTTCATTCATCTAAATGTCTGTATATCTTTTTAATTAGGACATTGATTTAAATGACGCATTCTGCGCGCGCGTCGCAGTGACGTCGCAACTTTTATGGCTTGTAATTTTATTCTATGGTTGATTAATTTGCCGTCATTACTTGCTGTCAAGTTTTGAAAGGACCTACTTCTCTTATGCCGTTTTTCCTATGTGTTGTCTTGGCGGCGAAATTCACCTGCTGGTGGCAGCACGTTCGCTCTCAAGCGGTCTTCACATCTACGTTGGAAAAGGGGCATAACCCTTTGTACTTAGATAGCTCAGTGACGGATTCCGTGTCAATCAGTATTTTTTGAAACTGACCAAGCTCATAGGTTGATAATCAATGACAGCGACAAAGGATTGGTTGCTCACTTGCCGATACCGTGACGTCATGCCTTTTTATCCGCCGCCACTGGATCGATCTTCAAAAACTACAAAATTTTTTCGTCCTTGGCATAGCAGTAACCTTGTATGAGAACTTCGTCAAAATGCTACCGCTACTTTCCAAATCATAGACGGGCCACGGATTAGCGGACAGGCACACAGACAAACCAACAGATAGACAGACCGACAGACACACAGATAGACAGTCAGAACGACAGGCTTATAGACAGACAAACAGACGGAAATGAGTGACGTAGTTTTTAGTGATGATATAACATATAATGTAACACTCAAAAAACATATCTCATTTCCAAATTTCTTCGCGATTACAATACTTTTCTGCCTTCTGGCAGAAGGAAGAAAATCATCGGGGATTGTTCACGAGCATTCTAAAAACGAGTGGCCTCTAGGACCGGAACACGGACTTCGGCCAAAAAAAAAGACGTCAAGCAAGTTGACTCTGTACTTCCCATGCTACGTTGTCGTCAGTTCGCAAAAAAAAAATATGTTCGGCACAAGTTATACCTTCTGAGAAAAAGTTACCTACGAACGTGTATAGCTAAAAATTAAATGACATTCCTCCTCTCCCTGAGAAGAATTGCTACAGGAGCACATCATCGTTGCGATGACCAATCCCGCGTGAATGACGATATTGGCCTTCACCAGGCACAGTAGACGCAGCTCACAGCAGTGTGGAAGCGATTGCCCACTGTGACGTTCGACCACCGACGATGACGATTGCCCATCCCGGGGACCACGTCACACGAATCAACATGCGACTGTAGGAGATAATAATTTAATAATTTCTAAGTTTAAGGGTAAAAATGATGAGTGAAATATACCTAATATGTGAGTAGGATTACTGGGGTTGGAGGCGTATAAATATACCAACGTCAAAAGTTTGTACGAAATTGGTCAGGATAGTCTGAAACGTCAAAAAACGAAGTTAGAGCAATTTTTGATTTTACCTTTTTTCCGCCGCCACTGGACCAATTTCAAAAACTACCAAGCTTTTGCGTACTTGGCATAGTAGTAACAATGTGTGAATAATTCATGGAAATCCTAGCGGAGCCCCGCACGGGTATCACGTATCTTGAAAAGTGACATTATGCCATTTTGTTTGACATTATGCTGTCTTTTTTGACATTAAGTAGGTTTTTCGCCAAGTCCTTGAATTAACACTTAGTTGTACGTGTTGCCTAAACGTCATGCGGCTTGTTATCAAGCTTTGGCTCTGATGTGATGTAAAATCTGCTTCTGAGATGGCATTACTGGAGGTCTAAGCCGTAAGTTGTATGTGTTGGTGATAATTACATTGGGTTCATGTCTCAAATACACTTAATTGAGATTCAGAGCTAGAAATTTGTTGCGCATCCACTTTTTCTTATTCATTCTGGAAATTACATATACAAATTTGCTGAATTTCAAAAATGAGAGAGATAAGAAATAATTATATTCACTGTACACTCTCGAATTACAAGCCATATACATGCTAACAGTAATTACACATAACGCGGGCGCGGTGATGATTTCCCGTTATTCTCCTCAGTTTTTCGTAATTTATAACTTTGAACATAACCTCTCTTCAGAAAGCACAACATATAAATAACCCGACATATTCAGTAATGATTTTCTCACACAGCAAATATCACTGATTTTATACACATGCAGACCATTACACATAATCATCCAGATGCGATCTTGTTATTCAACCAACTTTCTTCTCAGAGATAAAAACTACAGACACGGATCACTCAGCCTCACAAAACTATGCAACCAATAATGCGTGTAGCTTAGTTGAGTGATTCCTTCATTGATGGACGTTCACAACGATCCTAGTGAGCAAACGTGGAATGGCTGTTTGCGCTCTAAAAGCTACCGAGTCTGCAAGTTGAGATCTTATAGGTTTTTTTTGACGTTTTGTAGTTTTTAACATGATACCTGTGCCGGTAGCATTAAATATTTATTAGATATTAAAAAAAAATTTTTTGTTAAATATTTGTAGCGATAGATTTTTTAATATTTAATAAATATATTTCCGATATACTCATAAACCATTCATTATAGATATTTGTAGTATATATAATTCATATATTTTTGCGAAATTTTTTAGCATTAATCTGATACATATTTTCAGTGTATATAGAAATTCTTCATTGGTTATTTTAGTAAAATCTGTAGGAATGCTTTTATAAAATTGGTTTAATAGAGAAAATTCGTTCTAGATATAATGATTTAATTTGCTAGACAAAAATTTCTATCAAAAAAAGCATTCTAAGCCTCTTCTGCATCTTGCAAATCCACTCTTTAAAAAAAAAACAAACTTACTAATCATGAAGTATTATTGAATACAATATTGGTGCTGAGCAGTGCAGATTTACTCCGAGTAGCTCAACTGGGTCACTGAAAAGCAGCTCTATAATGCAGCCAGAAGGACCCCACATTTTCTTCCTATAACTGTTCGAGATTTGGTTAATTTTAAGAAAATTTGGTATGTTATTTTAGATATCTTGATCAAAAATGTCCACGGGCCCAACTTAATCCTTTGACTAACTTTCAAAGAATTTTTTTTAAAAAATAGACCACATCGATTTTGTTGAAATGTGAATTTATTTGCAGTAGTAAGGGGGCTAATTTAGCCACAACTATTTTGTGATTTTGTATTGTAATTCAAGGGGAAAAATATAGTATTTTCGTCTGTTAAAATTTTGGAACGTTGAATTTAAAAATTTTAAAATGGTTACTGCTGATTTGTCCCCTATTAGGACAAAAATAATAATAATAATTGAGATTTAAAAAAGCATTTTTGATTTATCTCGATCAAGTTATGATTATATGACTTTTCATTGGGATGTTATGAATATAATTTTAATATCCATTCTCGGATAAATCCACAAATCACAAATAAATGTTATACTCCAAGGCTAGTTATTTATGGTCTTGTAAACACCTTTATATTCAATTGGCACAATAATGTTTCCCAGTCAGATAAACTAAGCTATGTAATTTTCGAAAAACTTACCTTTTCCCTTTTCCACAAAAAAACACTCAAATAATGTACCACTTGGAGGTACATAGGAAGCACGCTATCATAATGAAAGTCACAGGCAAAAAGGATGCCGGCCATTGGTCGGCTCAGGTCGGCTTGCCATCATGCTATTGGTCTCTCGGGGTCACACGCACATGCGCCGTCTCCGAAAATATTTAATGAATATTTTCTAAATAATGGAGATTTAATATTTTCCATTGATTGAAAAGTAAATATTTAATGATTATTATAAAAAAAAATATTGTATTTAAAATATTTATAAGACATTGAATTTTAATATTTAATAAAAATATTATATTCCAAATATTTGTTTAAGAAAACAAACATATAAGTAAGATAAATGAATATTTCGTGCTATTGGGGGAAAAATAACTTTCTGGACTTTCTCAGTATAGGGTGTCAACGTCTGACGTAAGAATGGTTTTTCTTTACAATTTAGCGTTTAGAATAGTCGTCATATGGGTTCCCCCTCATTTTACGTAAAAAGATGGCGTCAACTAGGTTGATTTTACACTTCCTCCGCTGCTGTCATCAGTTCATAAAGGATTAAAATCAACACGACTTAAAACCTCCCTGATAAAAAGTAGTTACGAACATGCACAATACAGAAATTAAACGGTACAAGTCAGTCAAACAGGCCTGGCAACGTTGCTCCTTTCCATATCGTCAGACACGCGGCAGCGCCCACCGGAGCCCAGATAGCAGAAGAAAATGCGTATTGAAAACATTTCTCGACAATACTAAGTTTTAAAGACAAATGTACGGGAAACCGGCGACATGTGAAACATGGCCAATAGGTGCGCAGAATTACCAACATCAAATAATTGAGATATACTCTCCGCCACCCCCTACAACCCACAACCCCTATTATTTCAAAAATGATCTGGATCGTCTGAAAAACGATGCTTGAGCGATTTCTTTTGTTTTTGCCCAGTGGCGTGGCAAGTAAAATGACGCTGGTAATGAATCTGGCGAATCGGCTATAGTCCATCGCCACCAAGATCGCTGGAACTGAATCCACTAATTTTTTTAGTGGGGTTGCTTTAAAGACTTTGTTTACCATGCTGAGCTTACCTACCTTGGTAACAGAATTGTGTTACAAAATTGAACCAGCCGCTAGTACTTATCCTTGCAGATTTAAAAACGTTTTATGGCATCATAGGGTATGGATAATGGTGCTTAAAATATTAGAAAATTTAATATAAGTTATCCTTGGACATCAATTGTGCTTTTTTTTGCCTCCAACCAATAAAATCGTCCGTTAAAACTGTAATTAAAATAGAACAACAGCAGCATGCGACAGCAATAATGATCACTTGAGCACTTATAAATTGCTAACAACCAATTGGCAGAGTGATCAAACACTATTTATTGGGTGTCAAAGTCAGACGAAAAAGGCTTCTCATTAAAATTTAGACATTGGGGTATTATTTTTGTGGGTTATTTGCAATATTAAGAAAAAATAATACTCTAATAATACTCAATTATAAGTGTTTTGAAACAAACCTTGTTATTTGTATAAATTGCATGGAAATAGCTGATGCACGCCAGTATGTGTCAAAAAAAAATTTTTTTGAAAATCTCGAAAATCGTAATAATTTTAATAAAACGACATTTTGTCATATAGTTGCGGGGTTATCCTTTAATTTCTGTTATACAGGGTGTTTCAAATTCGATCCTCACCTTTGGGATCTCGGAAACTGTAAGAGATACGAAGTCGCTTAAATTCAGGCAAAGTTAAGTATTTAGGAATTCAACGAAATGCTGCTTAGAAAGTTTCGACATGCAGAGTACTTCTGGTAAGAGACAGAAATAGCCGAATTTTCCTAAAATCGTTTTAATTTTTTCCTTACTTTATTTGAAGTTGAGTTTCAAAATAAATTGCACATTAACATTGCCACTTTGTTTTCTCTACAAGGTAGCGTAATTAGAATTTAAATATGTCGTTTCGTCTGTTGTCCTCCATCATCAACATTATCTTTTCTTATGGATACCATATTCGATTTTCGCGCAGATGAATAGAGTTCTTCACTATGATTCAAAAAATCTATGTCATACATTGAGATTGCCAAACCTTAGTTATTTAAAAAAGCAGAATTTCATAGGTGGGTCTTGAAATTATCGGATAGTCATTTGTTGGTGTACATTGTTCACTGCTCAATTTATTTCTCTTCTTCTCAGTCTTCCAAACTCTGTTGTTATGTTCAATTTCAGGTCTTGTCTTGTATACGAAACAAATGAAATCTGATAATTTGAAGGCCTTCCTAGGAACTTCAGTTTTTCTGGAATAACGAAGGTTTGGCAATGTCAATGTATGACATATTATAAATTCTTGAAATCAGAATTAAAAGCTCTATTCATCTGCGTTAAAGTCCAATATAGTGTTCATAAGAAAAAGAAAGTTGATTGCTGGACGACCAGAGATGAAACGTCATATTGAAATTCTAATTATTCCATCTTGTAAAGGAAGAAAAGTGGGAAAAAATTATTTTGAAATCCCTCTACAAATTAAGTCAGGAAAAAATTAAAACGATTTTGGGAAAATCTGTTTTTTTTTCGTCTCCCTATGGAAGTCTTTGCCCTCATTTAAGCGACTCAATTTAAAATACCCGGTACAGATTGACCCAGGTAGCTTTCCAATAGCCTAACTACACACACTACACACCCCGTACCCTGCAAAACTATCACAGTGTATTATCATGGAAACGACCTTGAGTTCGCGCGTTCAGTCACCCTCCGTCCTTGCGGCCCCTCCCCGCCCATGGACCAAGCCCCTTCTTTGGCGCCGCCGCCATAGCCCACTGCGGACTCGCGAGATCCAGATCAGTCGCGTAAGGGCCCTCGGCAGCCTTAAGGAGGCAGCCCTTCAGCCGTCCGATCGCGGGCCATTCGATGGCCTCTTCGTCGTCGAGCTACTCGCACCTCTTCTGGTAGGAGCATTGCAGCGTCCATCAGTTTCCGTTGCATTGCCGACACCGACGACCGGAGATAGGCAGGTAGGGCGCAAGAAGGAATGTAGGTCAAAAGGTCAAAAATGTGGCTCGTGCGTTGGGCAATGGAAGAGCCGTTGACAGGGCGGGTTTCGCGGGTTTTATATGAGGATCGTGTTATTGAACGGGATCCAGCTGTTTTTGAGCCTTGTCATTGTTACATAATACATGACCAGTATCTACAATACACCGTTCAAATATATTTGCATATTTGTTGCCAATCTGAGGTTCTTGTTGAATTACGCGGAATTTATAAATGATAGGATAAATAAAAACATAATTCTCTAATCTTCTAGATTGTTCAAAACAATTTACGTAAAAAAAACTTTGATTTCAATTCAAGGTAAGTCGTCGTTTTAGCTATATTAGACACCATATTAGACAGTCAGTATCTATGTATATCAATAGATACTCTATGTAGATATTAAATATGATAGCAAGATAACAAATCACAAACAACAAGACTTCAAATGTACATTCGATCGCGGTGGAAAGGTATGAAAAATTTACCAGCATAGTAAGTCTTACATTTCCTCGAGGAATCGCTAAGAACATACTTGATGTTCAGGACTATGAATATATTTATAGGTAGTCGTTGATGCTGCTTCTTCATGCTTCTGCAACATTACCTTTTTGCAAGTGGCTGTATTAAGTATTACGGTGGTACTAGAATGTGCTTTCAAATTTCCCAGAAACAAAAATGTAGAAAATTATGTACTATATATTTGCAATAGTCTAGCAATTCGAGGTGTATCGAAAAATGCGTGTCCAGCTAAATGAATATATCAAATTTATTTATCGGCATTCTTAATGCATACTTTTCACCACACGACCATAAAATAAATGTTAAGGTGGTTGGGATGTGTTATAAATATTATTTGCAACATTTCACGTGCGTGCTTTAGTGCTAGAATGAACTACAGGAAGATATTATGTTGTCTTGCGATGGCGTTTCAAATATAACGCTTATCAACCTTAACTGGCTTATGTAAGTAATACGAAATATTCAATTGTCGAATCAATCAGTGTTTGGAATAATTAAGCAATTGTTGGCTATTTTTCATAGTTTATCCATGTAATCGCTTATCTTGAAGCAGAATAAGTCAATGTCACTAGTGCATATAAAAATATTAATTATTACAAAATGCTATCTCGTATCAGTGTGAGCGTTACAAACCATTTTCGCAACACAACTCCAGCTTCCACAACTCTTTGATAGTATTAACGCTTGTTCTAGTGTCGTCTGGAACATTTTCATAGAACACAAGTCCGTGGATGAGGCCGTTGATTTATTCTACAAAAAGCTATATGACGTAATTGATAGATTCCTGCCATTACATAAAATATAATAGTAAATTCCTCATTTATCTTCTGACTGAAACTGTAAAAATAACAAAAGAAATTAAAATATCATATAAGCTACGTATAGTGGTACAGGCTCACTTCACCATTTCTGTAGGTTAAGGACCAAGTCATAGGAACAAATAAAAAAAGCTTTGATGAATGTACTATGAACATCGAGTATGAGATCCCAAATCTCACAAAAAATATTGGAGATATGTTTTTAGCAAAAGAAAAGACCATCTTCCATTCCTAATCAAGTTAAGTACATATAATGTCTATGAAGCAAGATCTGGACCTGATACCTGTAAAGTTTTTGCCAGTTATTTTGCTAGTGTTTACAATAAATCAATCGATTTGCCCATTTCAAATAATTTTAACAAACATCTCTAAAATGACAATCCTCAAGTATCATTTGAATAAATCTCTGATTTCATAGATTCTTTAAATATATGTGCCTGACGACACACCACCATTGCTTACAAAAAATGTGCGTTTAGCATCTGTTATCTATATTTGATTTTCAACTTGTCGTTAAATGCGAATACATTTCCATTCACAAAAGGGCGATAGGTGTTCTGTTAATAATCATAGGCCAATTATCAAACTGATTATATTTTCGGAGCTTCTGAAAAAGTCATTTACGAAATAATATTGGGAATTTTTCACTGTCGCATTACCGACTAACGCTTTTTTTCTCATGCGCCCTATTGAAACTAACTATACTATTATCTTTTGTTGAATATTCCTGTAATATATTAAAGGGTGGCAAGTTGATGTTGTCTACAAGGACTTTAGCAAGGCATTTAACAAGATAGATCACTCCATATTGTTAGATAGAATTTCTGAAGTGGGTGTGGAGAACTCAATGTGCCAATGGATAGCCTCATAGACCTATAACAAAGAGACAACAAATCACTACTGTTAATGACTGTAAGTCTAAACCATATGTTGTAACATTCACAAGGATGTCATTTGGGGCCGCTTTTTCCGTAATATTTAAGCGTAGTCGTAGTCAATATTACATATATCTCAATCTCTCATAATTTAGTACACGTAACTCATATTTTATTGTAACACAGTGGGTGTATGTTGGATTTCACTGTGAATATCCCAAATTGTAATAAATAAATAAAATGTCGTATAAATATAAATGCAGGTCCCTGAAGACGCCAGTGGAAATCGGTTAATTTCAAATAGCTTTTTAACGATACGATGATTCAACGAAGGTTTGACAGTCAGATTTACACCGTATTCGAGAAAAAGCTGCGTTTTAATACTGCCCCTTTTCGCAGTTAATTCCCAAGAAGTGTTACAAAAGCTTGAAACTTAAATACTTCTAAAGTCTATGTTTTCGCATCTGATTTAACCCGTAAAATTTATTTCGGTGATACCTTGCCGCCATACATTATGTGCCACAATAAGTTTGTGTAACACATTATAAACCAGTTATCATAGTTACGATGTTTGAAAAATTGCGGAACCAGTATATATTTCAATCTAGATAGAAATGATATGAAACAAGATGCCTCATTTTGTTGGTACAATTCTGCAGCTTTTCAAAGTTTTTTTGTGTGCTAATATTATACAGGATCTTAAAAAAGAGTAATATTTTTCACGGTTTTTGACAGATCACAGTAACACTACAGGAATTACTTTACTCAAATATATGCAATTGGCCTCCATGCGCTGGCGTTTGTTTGTGTAGGCTTACAGACTTACGTCTTTTTGTTTTCTCTCACCGCCTTGAAAACTTTCTCGCCAACGTATGTATCCTACACATATATGTGTATGATTGTCAGTATGACAACCTGTTTGGTATGAGCGTGCGAGTTTACCCTTCGTTGATCTTCGATATAAATTTGTTGTTGCAGTGTTTATTGACTTAGGGAAGATGCTCCGTGTGGCATTATAACGTAACCGCCAAAACACCGAAAGGAGCTACAGTTCACTGCTGGCGATCCAAACGAGTTAATTCTTGAATTACGTAATGGTCATGCTTGCACTATGTCTAGCCACACGCTTCTGTAGTGCATAGCGCTCGGTGTAAACGGACACAAATCAGCTTATACTAACGAAACAACACGAATTTTCGGACATTTCTATAGAAAGTTGTGCAAAATACAAAGGCGGTCAATAGTCTCATATTCTCTGATTTGTTTTCTGCCATCTGTTTCTCAACGATTAGGCGTATACCGTATTGATGATTGCTAAGAACATGAATCAACGTTTTCAGCCTGAGTTCAGTTTATTCAACTTACTTTTTGTGTTCTGCGTGCATCCGAGAGATAGCTACCTATTCTGTGACCATCTATATCCATATATAATAATTAAAATTGAGAGATCTTTACAAATAAGGTTTTCTTTTATGCGTGATGAATTTTCCTTATCCCAAATACATCCATTGGAACATGCACTTTGCTGCGATCTATTTTTATATGACCCCGCTTTACCATGAAACACTGTTTGCGTGCTTTATGTATTACAACAGTTGTAGCTGTACGGCGCCATATATCATGAAAACTAGTACCTCCTTTTTTACGTAGGCGAAAATAGAAACATTAGCTGCTGTATAAAGCATGTAGAAGCATGGTAGTAATACAGGGTATTTTTGCAATATCTTTCGTCTCAGTAATTTGTGTATAGAGATGATTGAAGAACAACTCGTGATTAGTTCTTCTTCAGAAAGAATAGACAGGATGTTTTCGTCAGTCTTCTCAATTCCTTCCCAATCCAAGTGATGAGTCGAATACTACTATATTTACTGTGAACCGAATTAAACCAGGACATATACAACTTTATAAAAAATACATATACGGATCTTATGAGAGAAATATATTCTTGAGGGTTGAAGGTTATTTACCTAGAGATACAAAAAGTTCTGCTGAGTGACTTTTCATTATAGTCATATATATATATACAGGGTGTTCCATAATTATTGCGACAAAATGATAGGGGTTGTAGAGGGCATAAAAATATGCAATTTTGCCTTATAAACCCCTGTTCGTAAATATGCCGTTTGAGCACTACCGCTAATTTTACCTTAAGAGCTCATAGGAGAAACAAAAAATTCACCAGCTGCAAAATGTTCATCTAGCACATTTCATGGTATCGCCGGTTTGTAAAAAAAGCCTGCTGTGTTCACATTTTTGTTATCGTAAATTCTCCACACCGATTCATTTAAATTATCTGAGTGGTGCGTCAAACTAGATAGTAAATAAGAGTACCTTAGTCTTAAAATGCACCGTTATTCGTATGCGGAACTTGCGGATATGCATTTAATTTACGGAGAAGCTGGTGGTAACGGAAGACGAGCCTCGCGAATCTACGCCCAACGGTTTCCAGAACGACCTCATCCGCATCACGCCATTTTTGCAAGGATTCATGGACGTCTTCGTGTCAGTGGCAGCATCAGACACCTCGCGGGAGCAGGGCGGCCCTTCACGAGGCGCACAGTAGAATTTGAGGAAGCGATTCTGCATCATGTAGAGGCCAATCCGCGTACAAGCGTGCGTGCTATTGCACATGATATAGGAGCGTCTCAAACTACTGTTTGGCGGGTTCTCCATGACCAGCAACTACACCCATACCACCTTTTAAAAGTCCAAGCCATGGGTCCTGAAGACTATCTGCCGCGTCGACGTTTTTGTCGTTGGTGGCTGCAA